TGAATCTCGTCCAGCGGAAGTCTAGTGGTGTGCAAGCGACTTCTTCTCCGAAGGAAAAGCGCATGTCTATGCCTGTTGATTCCTTCTCAGGCGGTGACACCGTCACTGTTGAAAGCAAGCTCCATTTTGTCGATCTGGCTGGTAGTGAGCGCTTGAAGAACACCGGTGCCTCTGGTGAGCGCGCAAAGGAGGGTATCTCGATCAATGCTGGTCTTGCGGCCCTCGGAAAAGTCATTTCCCAGCTTTCTTCTCGCCAGTCCGGCTCTCACGTTTCGTACCGTGACTCAAAACTTACCCGTCTTCTCCAGGATTCACTGGGGGGCAACGCTTATACCTATATGATCGCCTGTGTGACCCCTGCTGAGTTCCACTTGAGCGAAACTCTCAATACTGTTTCATACGCCCAACGCGCTCGTGCTATCCAGAGCAAGCCCCGAATTCAACAGATTGCTGATGAGGGGGACAAACATGCATTGATCGAACGCTTGAAAGCCGAGGTTGCATTCCTTCGACAACAAATTCGCAATTCAGAGGGATCAGAACGCCGCGACACAACCTCAACTGACCGCAGCGACCGCAAGAACGAGCGAGAGATTCAGCTGCAAAATCAACTTCTCGATGTCCAAGAGAGCTACAATGCTCTCAGCCAGCGCCATACCAAGCTGATTTCTCACCTGGCCGACGATAACCAGGCCGCCAACGGCGAGGCTGATGATACCGCTGTTGATGGAAAGATGTCCATTGAGCGAATGCAGCGATCACGCTCCTTCGCCGAGTCTGTGGAGCAGGTCGTTCTCGAATACGAGAAAACCATTCAAGCCCTCGAGTCCTCCTTGTCTGACACGCGATCCTCTCTAGCGACTACTGAGAGTACATTGCTTGAGCGAGAGACTAAATGTACTTATGTTGAGACTGTTAATGCACAGTTGCAGTCTCGCATTCAGAAGTTCTTAGATCGGGAGGTAGGCACTGAGACCTACCTCCATGAACTGGAGTCTAAGCTTGATGGTGCCTCTACCGGAGAGGAGAAACATGCGGCTATCGTGGCCGAGCTGCGCAAGGAAATCAGCCGCGCACGTGAAAATGAAACTAGCTGCGAGGAATACATCTCAACTTTGGAGGACCGCCTTGCCGAATCTGACCAAGACATGGAGCTGATGCAGCGCGAGGTCATCCGTCTTGAGCATGTCATTCAGCGCCAAAGAGGCCTTGGGCAGTTGGATAATCTGCTTCAGGACCTTGATTCACGCCATCACAATCCTGATGAACAGCCCGAAACCCCTAACGGTGTCAATTCTTCCTATGCTCCTGTTCCGGCTAAGACTCAATTCCACCGACACACCCCATCCCTGGACGTTCTGAACGAAGCCGTTGAAGTGGCCATCCCCGAGTCCGATGAGGATCTTGGCGAGCCGATCATTGAGGTTGACGAGGAATCGGTGGCCGAAGTTGAGCAGCCCGCCAGTGAGACCAGCGATGACCTGAGAGTCTTGGAGAATGTCACCAGCAAATTGGAGGCACGTCGCTCGGAGGCTCTACGTGAAGATCCTGTTACTAGCCCTGCCCAGTCTCAGTTTGTTGCCGACAAGCTCGAGACTGTTACCCAGGAGCTTTTCGACTTGCGCCTCTCCCATGAGGGCGCTCTTGGGGACTATGAGTTGCTTGAATCAAAGTATGAAGAGGCCATGAAGGAACTGGCTGCGCTGCGCCAGGACAAGCGCGATGAAACACGTCACCCGGCCCCGAGTGTCCAGAACGAGGTCTTCCGCCCCGTTTCTTTTTTAGAGGATGTAAAGGCTCCGAACGCCAAATCTGGAGCACAACATTCATTCTCGCAATCGCTCTCCTCGGAATTATCCTCGGCGAGGGATCGACTGCATTGCGCGAATCATCTGATGACTCGAGACTTGAGAACCCAGAGACCCCAGTCACCCCGATGGCATCGTCCACCGTCGCGCCATCCGACGCTGAGGACCTGGACAGGATGCGCAAGGTTCTTGCCGAGCATCAGGAGGGCACAGATTTGATGACTCAGAAGTATGGCCAGCTCCAGACTGAGCATGAGGAGATTCTTCTACTTGTTGAAAAACTCAAGGCCGAGGCCGAGGCACAACGCGCTAAGACAAGCTCCCCTACCACCCCTGGCTTCAAGATGATCCGCCGCATGACAAGCCAAAATCTTCTCTCCGGCGTGGACCGTGCTCACCGTTCTCTGACATCGCTGCGTACCATTGCCAATGAAGAGTTCTCCAGCAAGCCGGAGACGCTACAAAACTTCGAGGTTCACCTGGATGCGACCATGCACGAACTGGCCACCCGCATGGAGCGACTACAGTCACTCGAAGCTGAAAACCAGGGCGTGAAGAAGGAAATGGAGATGAAGTCCACCATAATTTCTGGCCTGACCCGAGAGCGCTCGAGTTTGCAAGGAGGTTCTTCAGTGGACATGGGTATGGTCAGCCAATTGCGTGATCAAATCGTTGCCCAAGAGAACCAAATCAACGAGCTCAAGCAAGCCCATGAAGCTCGCGAGAAGCAGCTGTTGTTCGAGATGGAGACCCTTGAGGGCCTTCTGAAGAGCCAAGAGTCTGCCACTAAGGCCATGGATGCTGGTGCCGAAGAACAGGACAAGAAGATTGACGCTCTGGAAGGGGAACTTTCCGAGTGGAAGGGCAAGCACCAAAATGCCCTGACATCTCTCCAGTCGTCTGAGACACAGCTCTCGACAACTCTAGCCGAACTTGAGACTGCCCTGGCTTCTGTAGAAGCAATGCGCTCTGAGCGTGCTGCTACGGATGGCTCTTCCAACAAGGAAGCTGCTGCACAGGCCCTTGAGTCCGAACGATCCAAGCAACAAGAGCTTGTGGAAAAGCTGAAGAACGACATCGACCAGCACCAATCCACTATCACCGCCCAGATCGCTACTATTGCTGGCTTGGAGCAGTCACACGCCGACGCTCAAAAGCAACTATCTGCAGCTAAGGAGAGCGACAGCGGCTTGGCGGACTCCCAGCAGGCCCGAGTTGCGGAGCTTGAAGAGCACATCTCTATCCACAACTCGGTCATCGATACCCACAAATCTAACCTGGAATCTTTGCAAAACTCCCATGCCGCGGAACTGGCAGAGTTGGAGGAGCGAACCAAGGCTGCGGTTCTGGCTGAGTATGAGTCACGCATCGCCGAGAAGGATGCCGAGCATGATAGGTCAATGGCGGTTTTGCAGAAGGACATTGCTGACTCGCGCGATGAATTGGTCAAACTTATCGGATCTGTCTCAACTCTGCTCAGCTCGGATGTTACTGCCGAGAACATGGCAGACCAGATCCAAGATGTTCTGGCCCAGAAACAACATTTCTCTGAGAAATACGCGGAGTTGATGGAGACCAATGAGGATCTTCGCAAGCAGATTGACATTGTAAATGTTGAAGAGTTGACAAAGAAGAGCTCCACCCAGGATGCCAAGGTCAATGAGCTGGCTCTCTTGGTTGCAACACTGGAGGACACTCTTCGTCAAAAGGACGAGCAGGTCAAGAAGAAGGAGGCGCTAGTCGATGAGATTACTCTTGAGAAGGAGAAGAGCGTTCGCTTGGTCGAGGAACTCGAGGAGCAGATTACCAACAGCTTTGACCAACACCACAACCGTCTCTCGGTTATTCAGCAAGAGCGTGATCAGGTCCTGGAGGATACCAAGGCTAGAGTGGTTGTTCTTGAGAAGGAGATTGAGACCTACCAAGTGCGAATCGAGCAGCTGGAGCTTCAAATCAAGAACAGCGGAGCTCAGGATGGTGCCCACGACCGAAGCAGTTCCCTCACTTCCAATCTTAGGAAGAGCTCATCTGCTGCGTCCCTGCCCTCTCCTCCTCCAGCTATCCCTCTCCCTCCGCTTCCCTCTATTGCCTCTGGCAGTGTCTCACCTCCCGGTTCTCGCCATGCTAGCAGGGAGCTGGTCAATGCCCAGCTCGTTGAGGACCAAGAAACTCGCATCCGTACTATTGAGAAGCACCTATACGCCGAGAAGCAACTTACTGCTACCCTCGAGGAAGCTCTTGGTGACCTGGAAGCTCAAAGCAGCAAGGTCAAGACCGACTGCGAGGCCTGGAAGAAGAAGGCCTGGGGTTTTGAGGATGAACTGTCCACCCTTCGCAAGGAGCGTAACTCCGCTCGTCTTTCCCTTCAGGCCGTCGAAGAAGAGCGCAGTGCCCGCAAAGAGGCCGAGGCCGCGCGTGCCCAATTGGAAGAGCGGATGAACGCCCTCAACAAGAAAAAGAAGAAGAGCACCCTCAACTGCTTCTAAAACTCTTCTTTTCCTTGATCCCCCATCACTATCTAAAAGCGCGTTTATTACGCCTGTCGCTACCGGTAACGGATGTACACTTGATTGAAAATTCCCCCCCCATCTTTGTTTCATACCCCCCCCTTATTCCCCTTTCATCTCTCCCGTTTTTAACTGATTTACGCCCCATATTACCCCAATCCCCTGTATTATGACATCTTGTTTATTTCACCGTCGAGTCGATTCTTCGATACCTCTTTTGCCCTTTTTGCCCTGTGCTATAGTTTTGTTGGATACGCATCCTCTGTTTTTTTACATGTTCTTTGGTTTCTTGCTCGCGCATGAACCCACCCCCTCTATGATTTGGTAGTTTCTGAACACTCCTGGATACTATCTCCGTTGTACATTTTCCGTTGGTTGGCTGTCTCTAGATTGGACAACCAATCCAAAACTTCTGCTACCAGGGAGCCTTTCCCATTTTAACCCATTTTTACTTCTCTTCTTCCCATGTATCTTGTTTTATCCACTCGTTCATATTTTGATTGTGCCTGGAACATAGCTTTTATATTAAGTGCTACCAATTAGATGGCTTCTCTCTAAGACAACTTAAAGATAGCGTGCTGCTTGAAAAACTGGACCATCCAAACTAGTAGTAGCATAGTACTGTTTGATTGCTATCTTCATTTTAATGCCAGTATCTTGTTCATTATGTGACCACTGGCTAGCATTATAGTTTCCACTTCCAACCCTTTCCCGAAGAAGCTTCGATTCTTACCCAGAGGGTCGCCATGCTTGCAGCAAAAAGTAAAACTCCCACGGTGATTGTAACTCTCTCGTAGTTCGAAGGATCTGATAACGCCGACTGGCTAGACAATAACAGTCCCGTCAATGGCGTACCTAGTAGCGCGCCAATACCTCTAATAAGATACAGCGCCCCATTAACCGAAGTAAAATGCTGAACCCCAAAAAGTTCAATCAAGCTAGCAGGGAACAGCGAAATATAAGCAGCACCGAACGAGCCGTATGATATCGCGAAGATGATAAACAGGACATCGGCGGCAGTATGGGGCACGGTGTTATCGACAAAGGTTGAAGGCAACCAGAATGCAAACACGACAACCGAACTGATAATAGTCGTCAAGAAGAGCACATTCAGTCGACCAAATTTATCAGCTGCGTATCCGATCACAATTCGCGAAACGAAATTAGCCGCGTTGCTAATCGTGATGAAATTATCCGCCATACTGCTGCTATAACCCAGAGACTGTGCGAAAGCCGCATAGAAGAACAGAGGCGTGGAGTAACCCGCCGACTGCAGAAAACACCCCAGAGCCTGTGCGACGAATTTCTTCGTTTTGGCCACTTCCCAGTCAATCAATGGTACCTTGATCCATCCAGTCATCTTCGATAACCCGGCTATCTGGCCAGCCACCTTGTTCTTAAATTTCGGCTCCCAGCCCAGCGTACAGCCAGAAAGAGGCACGAAGAAGATTACCAAGCAGCCGGAGATACGCAATGCATTGCGGAATCCAATGTGCGAGGTAATGGCGCGCAGCACCGGTGGCCAGATCATACCCCCACAAGCAGAGCCGGAGATAACAATACCCATAGCCAGACCGCGACGCTTGTCAAACCACGTCGGGACAACGGACATGGTGGGGACATAGGCCATGCACGTCCCCAGACCGACGAGGATGCCCTGGGTTAAGGCAAATTCCCAGACATATTGGCTCAGACTGGCGAGAATGCACCCGAGACCGAAGACAAGCCCGCCGGACATGATGACGGGCTGTGGACCGTAGAGTTTCGCCCAGGTCATGACGAAGGGGCCGCCCATGGACATGATTGCGATAGATAGGGTGCCGATTAAACTTAGAATTGATGATGAGGTCCCCGCGAAGGGTGAGTCGGGGTCTTTGGCCATTTCTTCGTAGATGGCTTGGTACACGCCGTAGGAGAATATGATTGCGCATGTCATGAACATTGTCATGAAGCCTGCTGCAACGATGAATGATTGGCGGCTGTTTACATGATTTGTGTTAGTATCGTAGAGAAGGGCATATTGGGGGTATTCTTTCTCCGCATATACTCCCCCAGACGTTGTATCCTGCACCCAAGTGTGGGTTGCAACCTAAAGCTTGGCAGGGTCTGAGGGAACGTGGAGTAGCGGCTTCAACGGTAAAACTTACAGTTTGGTGGGCTTTTGGGGCGAATCATTTTCAATTTGTGAGGGAGTGGGTTGGGCGACCGGTTCACGATCAGCGATGCTGGCCACATCGTTCTTCGTCTCCTCTTCTCCCATGGCTGTTGTTCAGGGGCTCTAGTCTCCCACATGAGAATTAAGGACGAAGGAAGAAAAGTAAAGAACAAGAAAAGCTTTGTGTTGATCAGGGCTGTTCCTTTCCTCCAAGCGCAGTTGGAGATCTCGGATATCACGGCAATGTCTTTCCCCCTCCCAGTCTCCACAACCAGGCAAGCTGGTTATCTGATCGAATTTCCCCGGATTGCCACGCGAGCCACATATGCATGAACTACTATGTATACCCCGTGCTATAAATCTACTATATTATTTCATTTTATATCTTGAATCAACTTCGCTATCGGAATAAGCGCAGGATCTCAGTGAACGGGGATTTTTCCTTGCCGTGAAATTTGGAGATTTGGAGAAGTCCCGGCACAAGAAATATCCACCGGCAGATCTGCTGATAGGCTCATCCGATATTGGATCCCACAACCTTCCTATACTAAGGTATGGAGTAAACTATCAATATTTAATTAACAGAAATTGACCTATGGTTATGGAGATGAAAATAACTTGGGAAGCTGATCAATATGTAGGACTCGGAGCCACTAATTTACCTATCGAGATAAAGGCAGCATAGTATAGTTCCAAGCTTATACCAGCCGCATATCTGATGAACTTAGCCAGAAGAAGGTGGATTTGGATATCATGCCCCATTTCAGTTTCAAAACCATGGAGTGATATTGAGTTCCAACTCCTCCGCTCAGCCCTATGAGCCATAATTTTCGAGACCCAGTTGCAGCACCCCCTCAGCCAGCGGCCACTGGGACGGTATGGCTTCCACCCTTTTGATCTGCACGGAGGTACCAAAATCGGTTACTTGTAAGAAGCATTGACTTCTCAGTACGCCTGCATAGTGTCGAAGAGGTGCACACTGGCAGTTGGAACTTATCAGCTGCTCAGTAAGCAGTCCTATACCTTTTGTAACCATTCAAAGATCGAACCTTGCGGCTCAGCACGTGAGTACCTGTACCTCCCATGTACACGTCTTCTGAATAGTCATATTAAATGTAATTATACCAGAATAGACTAGGATAAGTGATAGTGATACAATATGAACAAAGGTATACTACTCGTATAGATGTGCCCCACAGCAGCTCCCTGATGAGTAATCACATCTGATGACGTCCCCCTCCAACGTGGCTTGATTGTAGCTTCGCAGCTCACCACGCCAGAAATCTCCAAACACCGCAGCCATGTCGGGTCTCGCGCCCTCTAATGTGGTGATCATTCACCCTGATCTAGGTATTGGTGGTGCAGAACGATTGATCATCGACGTCGCGTTGGCTCTGCAAAATCGCGGACACCGTGTGACAATCTATACCTCACATTGCGACAAAAGCCATTGTTTTGAGGAGGCGCGCGATGGCACACTCGATGTACGCGTGCGCGGAAACACAATCTTCCCAGCACACGTATTCGGTCGCCTACATATCCTCATGGCGTCGTTGCGCCAACTTCACCTCACCGCGTCGCTCCTCTCCGAACTTGGGTCCAGAGACCAACCGAACAGTTCAACGACAAAGAATGATCCCACTACCGACAATAACCATATCCAAGATGACATTTTCATAGTCGATCAGCTGCCCGCATGCGTTCCCATCTTGAAAACCTTCAGCCAACCTCGCAAATCCCGCACCCAGCGTATCCTCTTTTACTGCCATTTCCCCGACCAATTACTTGCGCGGCGGAATGAAGGTGGCTCACTTCTTCGGCTGGCGAAAGTTCTGTACAGATATCCCTTTGACTGGTTTGAGGGATGGGCACTCAGCGCGTCAGATCGGGTCGTTGCAAACTCCAATTTCTCGCGGGGCGTTGTGCGGGATGTTTTTGGGCCCGACCTATTGGGAGATGTGGAAGTTGTCTATCCTTGTGTCGATACAGATGCGAAAATTACACCCGAGAAGACGGAAAGTGGTCCGCTCTGGGGCGACAAGAAGATCCTGCTGAGTATTAATCGCTTCGAGCGCAAGAAGGACATGGCTTTGGCAATTCGTGCCTATCACGGACTAGGCGCAGAGAAGCGAAAGGGGACGCGATTGGTAGTTGCTGGTGAGTTCAATGACCCCTCCACATCTGTTTTTCTTCACGTAAGATTTCTAAACAACAGTACAGGCGGCTACGACAATCGTGTCCAAGAAAACGTTCAGTACCACCAGGAACTTGATGACCTTGCCACTGGCTTGGGATTACAAACCGCGACATCGAAGACTGTTGTCTCTGCTCTGTCTATTCCTGACGAAATCGATGTTCTCTTCCTTCTTTCCGTTCCCACTACTTTCAAAGATACCCTCCTCGCACAATCGAAACTCCTTCTCTACACTCCGATTAACGAACACTTTGGTATTGTTCCCGTTGAGGCGATGCATGCCGGGCTTCCTGTACTGGCATCGAACACTGGTGGTCCGTTGGAAACGATCGTCGAGGGCGTTACGGGCTGGCTCCGAGATGCACATGCGATTGATGAGTGGACAGCGGTGATGGATAAAGTGCTCTATGGCATGAGCGAAAAAGAGATTGGGGCAATGACAGCCGCTGGTAAGGTCCGAGCCGAGAAGGAGTTCTCCCTCACGGCCATGGGAGATCGTTTGGAAGACGAAATCTTGACGATGTTGACTGCCAATCGGCGTCCCTTCCATGGGTGGCAGGAGGTGTTTGTTATGCTTGCTCTTCTCGGGTCGCTGTTTGCTCTGGCTGTGGCTCTCTTGCTTCGCGCTCTGTAATTTAATTCACTTTCCAATTATACCCTTTTCCTCCGTCCACTACTTCATTCCAATCAATTCCCCTTCATAATTGCATAGTTCCGACTTGCCGCATCGGTGTAGATCGGCGGGCCTCAAATCACCTGACTTCGTGACGTCGCGTTCCTCCGCGTCGCTCACTTCGACGTTTCGACACATCGCATCATGCCCGAGGTCATTGACCTTATTTCCTCCGATCCACCATTGCCAGAAAAGCCGCGACCCCAAAATGAGCGGCAGACGACGCGTCCACTCCCTTCGCGGGGGTTAGCCAACATAGGCACGGTCTCGTCTGATTCGATCGACGTTTCGTTATTCAACTACGACGACATATTCGACAAGCCAACCAAGAAGCGTCGAGTGAGCAATGAAAGGCGGTCGCCTCTACGAAAGACTACATCGACCAGTGAAACTACGATTAACGACCGCGTTCCATCTTTCTTGTTCTCGGACGAGGATTTTGGCCTGACGCCCTCGAACAACCCCGCCACACGACGACAGCCCGCCGGAAATGTCGAAGACTCGGACCCGATTACCTGGAATTCCTCCCAACCTCTGCCACTACCAAAATTGAATCTGCCTCCTCGATCACGAGGCGCGGTATGCGAGTTCTCCGATATAATAACCTTGGATGGAGACGAAGATGATCTTAAGCCGCAAGGCAAAGACGCGTCCCGTGTCAGTAGAGTGGAGGAAATAGAGGAATTCAGTGATCCGTTTGCTGGGCTGCCGGAATTTACAGATGTAACGGAGTTCCAAGAAACGGAAACGGGAACATCCGGTTCTACCAGTGTGTTTTCCAGCAAGACCGCTGAGCTGTTGTCAACCCTGAGCACCACCGGCAAACGAAGTAGAACCATGTCCCCCAAAAAGGCAGGCCCGCGATCTCGAAAACCAAACAACGACGATATGATGGGCTTAGGTCTATCTGACGAAATGGAGGAGCCAGCGCAGCCGAAACGCCCTGCCAAAAAGACGAGCAAGCTTACAACTGAAGAGAAAGAGGCAAAAGCAAAAGCTAGGGCTGATGCTAAAGTACAACGAGAGCTGGAAAAGGAAATGGAAAAAGAAAGAAAGAAACAACTCAAGGAAGACAAGGCAAAGCAAAAACAGCTGGAAGCCGACATCTCGGAGGTCAACAAACTGAAGGTGGATAAGAAGGACTCCACACCGGAGATGATTCTTGATATGGCCTCATCATTCGAAGGAGGTGCCGTGGAGAATCAGACAATTGAGTTCATGAAACGGCTCGGGGTTGATCATCATTTCTTTACTGGCCCCATTCCGCATCTGGTCAAATGGCGCCGGAAAATGAATGCCCGATTCAACGAGGATGCTGGCCATTGGGAACCCTGCCCGTTCTATATCCAGGACGAGAAGCATGTCCTATGCGTGGTACCGGCCCAGGATTTCGTGGATATGGTCATTCCATCCCCGGATGACGAGGAACGAGAATCATTGGAGCTTCATGTTCTCAAGATCAAAAGTGCCCACCCAGAATGTACAGTCATTTACCTGATTGAGGGTCTCATGGGCTGGATGCGCAAGAATCGAAACTCACGGAATCGAGCATACCAAGCGGAAGTACTACGACAATACGAACCAACCAGTACCCAAACCTCAACTGCATCCTCTCGTGGCCGCAAAAAGAAAAACAAACCCGAGACAACCCCACCAGTCGATGATGACACCATTGAGGATGCCCTTTTGGAGCTGCAGGTAACCCATGCGTCTCTCATCCATCACACCAACACGCCGTCCGAATCGGCCGAATGGATCAAGAATTTTACCGAACATATCTCAACCATTCCCTATCGACAGCAACGATCCAACGGAAACGATGCTGCATTCTGCATGGATGTGGGCCAGGTCAAGACGGGCGAAGATAAGCAGGATACCTTCGTCAAAATGCTTCAAGAGGTGAACCGTGTCACTGCTCCTATGGCTTATGGTATTGCGGGGCAATACCCTAGCGTAACCGACCTGGTTAGAAACATGCGGACGCGCGGGCCCACGATGCTCGAGGATATCATGGTATGTCCCCTGTTTTCCCCCTCTTCCTTGCTTTTAATTTCATGCACCCTTATCACGTTGATTCGCTCATCACGCGACTCGGGAGCTGTGGAATATCGCTGACCTGTCCTAGAAATCAGCTAACAAGAACGGCGGCATCACCAACTCCCGTGTCGGCCCCGCAGCCAGCAAGCGGCTGTACAAAGTATTTACAGGTCTTGATCCCACATCAACAGACGTCTAGCCACTTGAAGGCTAGTACCATAGGCCCTCCATCCCGGGTCCATTCGGGCTAGACCCTCCAAACTTCAAGCCAAAGACCTTGGAAGGCATCGCCGTCGTCGAACGTTATTGGCGAAAGTGAGCGCTCACTCGGTTGGGAAAGTCTTGTGGCTGAGAGCAACACAAAAATAGACATTGCATTCAATCGAACGTGGATTATGTGGACTATCTTCTTTTGGAGGATCAAGCAATTTACATGAACTTTTTCGACTGGATTTTCAAAACGTAGCCAGAAAAAGTGCTCCAGACCTATGACGAATACTAGCGCCACCTCTGTCAGTATTTCGAGCTGTTTGCCCATCGCCGCGTTAATGGCGACGTCTATGAGCAGATGCGTCGAGTACGAATGCTTCACTGCTGTCTCTAATGGAAAAGCTAACGGGAGGGTAGTTTCTCAATGGTGTATTCCCGGCCGAGCACAGGATCCCCCGACGAACGAAAGAGAAGAATACTCTAGATGTGGATGTCTTCTGTGTGATCTACCGCCATCACTGGGTTCATTCGAGCTTTTTCGCCATAGAGTATGATCGTTCAATTTTCCACGGTCCAGCTTTGGTCTCAAAGTTCAGTACCCTCATAAACAAAGAAACATAAATATTGCATGTATATTACCAGTTGACCAGTCCCAAAAATTTTATATGTATGAAAATCAAGTCTATCATCAAGCCGGCCCACTCGAAAATCTCATTTCCTGCATGTATAGAAACCTATTCTGCCTATTGTTCTACGAGGGTGACAAAAATAAAGGATCGATTAAAGCGCACCATAGACTTCCTTCCCGTTCTCCTCCATCTCGTCATATGAAGTTCTCATTTCATCTCCATCCGATATCATCTTCCAAAGCGGCCACAGCGCATTGATCTCACACTTCATCCACCCCTGGAATTCATCCAGGCTGTCTATTTCCGGGAAAGCTTCCACAACTTTAACAAAACGTGCAGGCCCGCCTACACGTCGTCCGAGCTTCCTATTTTCCCCGGGCGGTGCATCTAATAACGTCTGGATTGATTCATCATCAATAACGATACACATGCGATACATAGTGGAATCGTCTCGCTTTCCCTGCTCTTCAACCCACTTTTCAAAGTGAAGTTGGACATCAAAAACAGATGCTTCGTTGAATTGCATATCATCCATGATCGTCAATTGATGTTTTGCCCAGATCTCGTCGTAAACTGTAGGCTCATCCCCATCTTTCTTCTTGTCGTTATACTCGTGGTAGAGCAGCGCTTTCACATAAGAGCTGATAAGATCGGTAATCCGCGGCCAGACGGCATCTGATTGGGCGCTGTAAGTGGTTCGATAGATTACGAATCCCCAGAAAGGTAGGGATCCATTCTTGAGAGCGGCGTGTAGACTTTCAGTAGGCCACGGGAGACTCATGGGGGCCATGCTGAGGGTGGTAGAATGAATTCAAGTCAAAACGATCCGAATGAAAGAGATAGGAGGTAGGAAAGATGCAAATTTGTTAAAGTTGTCTATGCCAAGCGGCCAGGAAATTGGATGTAACTTTGATACGCACCAATACGCCCCGCGTCACAAACCATACAGACTGAGACACTATGCGTCGGGCGAGGCCGTCAACCAAGCGGTAGAAACCGTTGACGCTGCTAAGAATTTTTTTTTCTTCTGAACTAGATGTCGATGAATTCGATTTTCTTTTCTTTTCAGTTCTTTCTTATTTAAAAAAAAGTTTCAAGAAAAAGAAGAGCTGTTGGCTATTTAATCTCATAATATTATCCCACTGCAAGTCCATCCTATATAGTCACGGAGAATTGGGGAAGATGGCATGAGGCAGGTTCGGAGGATAGCTGTGTTGGAATCTGAGGTCAGTATAGCATCACCCATGCTGTCTTTACTATGGTGAATCCTTCTTTGGATTCGGAGAGCTGCACAAGCAGCTTGCAGGTTGGCAAGACGTATTATGTTGGTCCTACGTATACGTGGGATCAAATTGACGATGAGACTGAAAGTACAAGCGCCGCTACATCCTCGGCCACGGCTACCTAAAAGCACTCTCATTGGAAGTGCCATTAAGTGTGTTTATTAAACTTCGGAATTAAAAGTAGATATGAAAGAGAGGGGTACATGGCGAGAACACATCAGAGTCAATAATCACGTTCCAATTTCAAAATAAGCGTATCAAATTCGAAGAAAGCCGTAAATAATTAAAATCATCACTAATAACGAAACATCATTTATAATGGTTACTAAGTTATCAGGCTAGAGACCTGTAACTAGGCAAGGATTTCGGATAGTAGAGATCAGATTAGACAGTTGATACATAGACTGATTCTTGAGGAGATCAAGAATCCGTGCACGAGGTACATTTCATACTCCCAAGGGAGGAAATAGAAGTTGATCACCATGGATATCATGAAACACGTCCCCATATGCAAGCAAATATGGCTTTCCGCGCCATTCCCTGTCTCCTTTTTCTCTCTTCAAAAACATGCCCTCCGTATTTAATTGCCGTAATAATGTTGCCTTCGGACCGATCATCGGAATTGTGGAGCCCCTAATCCATTCGATCCATTTTTCGTCACCAGGCCCGGCGCGATTTGCCGAGCAGTCGCCACCAAATCCCCTAAATCTCCTGGCAAAGCTTAGCCGTGCCTCTTAGGGCTGTAAGGCTGAGCTAGCGTAATAAACCGCTGGTCCCGCGCAAAATAGCTCCGCGAATACTCCGTACACAAGCAGGTATTGTGCGGCAGGGGGAGTAAAGCGAAGTGGGACCACGGCTGGTCGTCAGCCTGTGCTATTCTGAGATTTTCCGCCCTCTCCTCTCGCTTGATTATCTGATTGATTTTTCTCTTGATTGATCTGATTGATCTGATTGATTTGATTGATCTGATTGATAAAGTTGCCACCATTCCCATCGATCGTTTTTCTGGAATAGAGTTTCATTTTTCCCCTGCTGCCAAAATGTTCTTTGAGAGATGGGGCGTGAGCCCGATGTTGTTCTTTTCGACGACTTTGTTGGTTGTCTCGGCTTTCAACTATGGGTTCAGTGATCAAGCCTTTGCTTCGTGCCAGGCGATGGACTCGTTCAATCGTCAATTCGGTGTTTATGAAGAATCGACAGGAGAATGGGCAATAGAGCCTTTGTTCACGTCTCTATATAATAGTATTAAAGCTGGTGGTCAAATTATCGGTCAGTGCTCCAGTTCTCTTTTTCTTGCAGGCTTCTTGTCTCTGATCTAACTATCTTCCAGGTGTTTTTGTCGGTGGATGGGTGAGCAATACATATGGCCGTCGAATGTGTGTTTTTGTTATGAGCATCTATGCCCTGGGCAGTGCTTCTGTTGTAATCAGTTCTACGACACAAGCCCAGATCCAGGCTGGTCGAGCCTTGCACTGTAAATCTACAATTCATGACCCGACTAGCGGACCCAAGACTGACTCTCTTATCCTATAGACATCTATCTAGGCATGCAATTGGCCGTTATCCCAACAACTCTGTCTGAAATCGCTCCTGCCAGAAACCGTGGTGGAGTTAGTGTGTTATACTGGTTGGCCATCAAGGCCGGAGGTCTCATCGTGACGTCGATCACACGAGGAACCAAAACCATTGAATCAAACGCCGCCTGGAGAATTCCTTTTGGACTATTACTCGTCGTTCCATCCATTGTGATCTGTCTTGTGTGGTTCATCGCCGAGTCACCTCGCTGGCTACTTCTCCGTGACCGCGAGCCCGAGGCATTTGAGGCTCTCAGAAAGCTCAAGCCCAAGAATATGCCCGAGGAAGAACTTCGAGCTGAATTCGATCTCCTTTCCTTAAAGGTCTCAGAGCAACTGCAGAAGAAGAGCTTCAGCGATCTATTCACGAAACCCAATCGTCTGCGCACATTTGTCGTTGTGATGTCCAACTTTTTCCAGCAGGCCACCGGTCAAGCTTTTGCTTCGCAGTACGGAACCCTCTTCGTGAAGCAGCTGAAGTCAATCAACCCATTCAGTGTCACGCTTGGCACTAACGCTGTTGATATCGGTGCCATTATCATTTCAGCCTCTCTGATTGATGTTGTCGGCCGAAGGTACGATTAGTCCAACCATTTCCTTATTTTACTACACGGCATACTGACTCCGAATCTAGGGCCCTGTTCCACACAAGTTCCATCTTCCAGACTGGAGCTCTCATGACCATGGGTGGTCTCGGAACAGCAGATGCAAGCAACACATCCGCCAAACAAGGAATCGTGGCTATGCTTATGATCTTCAGCTTCAGCTGGTCTCTTGGCTGGGCACCTCTTACATATGTGATTGGCGCGGAGCTGCCTTCCTCGCCTTTGCGAGAAATGACCCTTCAGATTGCGTATTTTGTGAAATTGATCACCGAGTAAGCGGAACCCCCTTCCTTTTTGACTTCTCTTATTATTTGGGAGTCACGCTAACTAACCGCTGCAGATTCGCTGTGACTTTCACATACCCATACATGGAGACGGCTGATACCCCTGGCCATGTTTATCTGGGTGGAAAACTCGGTTTCATCTACGGGTCTCTTTCGGCTGTGGCATTCCTGTTCGGATATTTCTTCATGCCTGAAACATGCCGTATGGAGCTGGAAGAGATTGACGCTCAATTTGCCTCTACAGGTGACGAGGAGACCAAGGACTTTGATACTTTGGCAAGAGAAGAAGAGGCAACAACTGTGACCGAGATTTCGAAATAGACTCGAGTTCACAGACACACTTGAATCTTTGGACTTCTAAGCCCTGGGGATTTCCAGTGAAGTGATAGAGTTACTACTACTAGTACTTAATAGGTGGAACATCATTAAATAGAACCTAGAATATGTTCTTATTGAATGGTCTATGTAGCCAAATCAATCCGGCTAATCCGTATGATAACCGAAAATCATTCTAGATGATAATAAAAAAAATCCCAAATATGCCTAAACAACAATCCCGCGGCGTTTCCAGCCTCGCCAGGCAGCTAACCAAGCCGCAATAGCAATCCAAACACTGACTGTGCAACCCACCGCCCAGATTCCAAAGCAGCGCCAGCCATGACACTGTCCGTCGGCAGATCCGTTGCCACTATCTACAGCTTGCTGGTAGGCGGTCGAGTAGACGACGCCCCAAAGCGCCGCACCGAGGGCCGGCATCATGGCAACAATGCCCCAATTTGTGGCAAAGTTCTCCACGCCCCATACGGCTGAGATGAGAATTGGCGTGAGGGAGAATGCACTGCCGTATCCGAAACCGACAAAGGCGGTGGTTAGGTGGAATATGGATGGTTGCTCGAGAGGGAGTGGGGTAGCTAGTATGAGATAGCCGATTGAGAGGATGAGTGCCGATGGGAGGAGGAAGGTCATTCTCGATAGCGTTGTGCGCTTGTCGTCTGATGCAATTTCCGATCGATGACGATTGCCTTCTGGGATTGAAGGGAAGAGATGTAATGCGGGTGGTGCGAAGAAGTCAGACAGAGACCCAGTGAGGAGTCGAGCAATTGTTGAAGTTAGGGCGACTGTGCTGACATGTGTTGATGGAAGGCCAGCTGGTGGAGCGGCTTCCGGGGCGTAGGTTGGCGGAGTAAGCGTTGGGATGATAGTTCCGAGCTTTTTGATTTGGTCAGAATGAAATCCGGATGGATACTAGAGATCTCTATAGGTTTACTCACATTGTTAATGTAGGATTCTCCAGGGCCCGTGACCAGGAAGAACCCTGCAGCCAGCCACCACATGGTGGGATCCTGAAGAAAAGCGCGCGTCTCGTAATTAAGAAGCCAGTTCTTTTTGCGGCGCTCTTCTTCCTCGCGTTTTCTTTCCTCTCGTTCTTCCTCTGAAATTGTCATTGAGCCCGTCTCATCGGCATCTGAAGAGAATGTGCCGTATTCCGAAGCAGCCCTCACTTCATGACGAGGCCTGAAAAAGTCACTCTCCTCCAGTAGCCCACTCCGCTCCAGCTCTTCGACAGTCTCATCAATGTATCTTTCCTCCTCTTCATCAACAATACGTAGAAGGAAAGTTCCGATGAAACCGGTCACCAGGAGAAGAATTCCCAGGAAAAGGAAGTAGCGGAACACATCCACATCGCCATGACTGCCATCAGCATTGTGCTCATAGAGAATATAAGTACCAATCTGACTCTGCCACATTCCACTCAGTCCAAATGCTGCGATAGGAATAGCCAGCATTATTCCCTTATGCTTTCCACGACCATAGTTCTTTGCGCACGTCGCTACAGCAGAAAGATACATGCAACTTGTCCCCATGCCGATAAGAATGAAAGCCAAGAGCATGACCCAGAATGGCCACCCTGAGCCCCCGACATCAGGAGGGGGGCCTTTCTTGTAAGTGAATGCAGCAAGCAGGTATCCGACACCGAACATGATGCCCGAGCCCAAGGACAAGGGTGACGGGCTGTAGCGATCGCATAGGAACCCGAACAACGGGACGAGAAGGTACATCGCTACCTCAGCCGCGATGGAAACCGCATTAACCCGAAGTTGTGTGTAATGAAGTCGCGTGAGCAGTAGATGTCCGTAAAGAGAGAACGCGGTGATGCTTCCCGCGCCCAGACTAAATGCGTAAAGAGCAAAGGTAAGCAGCAAGCAACAGACGGAATGGGCTTCAGAAACAATAGCCTGTGGAGTACTGCATACCATGTCACGACTCCCCAAGCAAAGCTAACCACCCGCACAACCTCCCTGTGCATAATCCTACGGTCACGCTCGACAATACCCTCCACAACATCGTTCAAGAGCCCATCATCGCTATTGGCACTGTCACGCGAAAGTCGAGAGCGATGCGAGCCCGATCGCGAATGTCTGTATTGCGGACTCGGCTGTCCATGTTCACCCTCAGTTCCGTCTTGAAGCAGGGGCCGGTTCGCATCGAAGTCCCGCTTATCGATGGCCGAATCGGCCTGCCCTTCGGAGCTCGTCATCGTGTGTCAACCACAGCCGCAGCCCCCTCGGTGTGTGGGTTGTTTCGATGCCGATTATCAAAGATAGGGTGGGGGAAAGGATCTCAAAGCTTCGCGAATAGTTCTGGGGGGGGTTTAGATCGCGGCCTGACTCACGGCCTGGCGGGGTTCGTCAGGTCAAGCGCCTCGCGGAGGTCCCTCGGCAAGTGGTAGCTCCCCTGCGGAGAGCTCGAATGATAAGCAGCCGTGTCAGCTGAGTGGATCAGTTGCTGTGTTGTCCTGACTCCACCCTACGTCATGGAACTGGAGGCACGAAGTCTTGGGAATGGGGAATGGGGAATGTGAGTAGCGTGGGGAGTATCGTTGGATTCAGAGGAGTTGTTATGTGCAATAATGCTTGTGTTCAATAATTCCAAATGACGTGAAGTGGTCAAAGGCGTGATTCCGGCCTGAGGCTGGAGAGTCCCGATTAGGAAAGGTTCCATTTTAGTAAGCGGGCAAGTATTCTACAGTAGTGTACGAGTAATATCTATCAAAAAACAGGATGCAAAACATGCTCAGTAGCAGTCACTGATTTCAAGTAAAGATTCAAGATTTTGCGGTCTAGGGTACTATCTCCCCATCTCATTGGAATATCCACTCGGCTTTCAAATCTTCCTGGGTACTGAGACGAGTACCTAACCGAGCACCTTACTGGTAGCTTCTAAGATTCCTGATGTCGAGTTAACTTTGCAGTACTACCTCGGGTATCATTAGGCCGTATCTTTAATTTATTTGAAGATTCCTTCAAGGTTGATTGTAATAGTAGCATCATTGTCTATCGTATACTACAAACCATGCAAGTCTACAAGTAGACGGGATCTGCCCAGGCCTACTCGAAAGCCCTGGACAGGAACTTTGACAGAACGACGTACTAAGTCGGTAGCAAACAATTGCCATTTTCATGAAACTTTGAGTATTCTGTGATAGCTAACTACCTGATACAGCCGATAGTTATTGGTTTTCAAGCTACATACGCTTCAAGCTAAGGTGAGGCTAACATGGTTCAAACTACCGAAGCCATAGAGCGAGAATCTATAAGGGTGCTCCTCGCACATTCTCTTTGCTGGACGGCGGCGGAGGATGAATAGGAAGTGCGGTCAAAGGGGTTGATTGCAAGAGACTGTGAGTGGATACATGCGCGATAAACTTGTAAGCTGGATCATCTCTGGGAAGCATCGTACAGACCTCGACGGTGACAGTTAAAAGTATGTCATATCAGTGGAAAAAATGCCTCTGGGGGAGTTTTGGGTTAGCCATGTAGTCCACTGAGCACAGTCTTGTGGAACATCTCCCCGAAGTTTCACGCTGATCAAAACTCGGTAACTGTTTTGGATGGTACTTCTCATAATTATCTCAATCCCCATACTCTGACCAATTGTGACACTGCGAGAGCCGGTCTTGGGAATATGTATTGGACAGGCTCCAACCTGATTCTGCTGGGCGTAGCTGAATATTTGATTATAGATTGCGGCTAATGTCTGAGGCTGGCCATTCAGGCTGCGAAGGATATCGATCAAGATTTGCATGAATGAGAAGTCGGGATTAGCCGACGCATCTGTTCCCAAGCATAGGCCGCCATGAATTCCGGCCCATCGTATTGGATGAATGTCCCAGAACCTCCAAAGCAACAATCAAAAATGTAGCACGATTCACCAGAGTAATGCTCAATAGCATCTCGGATCGTCCACCAGTTGATCTTAGGACCCAGCAACATGCCAGAAGCAGGATCTGACCGGCCTCTATTATTTTCTAGTTATTATCAGAACAAAGAGGAAAATGATTGATAACTCACGCCAAGTTCCACTTTGTGACGTGTGAACCAACAACCTCCGCATGACCCGAGTAGATTCTGAGTACATCCGAGTCATCGCCTTTTTACTTTAAAGAGTATTGGGTGGCGGCACTCTATCCTTTCCTCACTGGCGGGCAGTCGAGCTCCGATGCAGCTTTATGTCAACTGCCACGGGAATTTTTGGAAGCATACACCAAGTAAGTCAACTTATGGGTCTTAATTCGGGACACGCTCCGGTGATCACTTGCTCAGAATCGATGGCCGTGTTTTGTAAGTGACGTCTCGACCGTGGCGGATGGGTACTCCATGACTGCCCTACTCGAACCTTCAAACTAATCAAAATTTGTAGATCCATTGCGGACCAGTTAAACAAACAGACTGATTAGAACGAACACATGCAGCAGGGATGGAGGCTATGGCTGAGCGGGCAGATGAGGTGACGACCCTCAGGGAGACGGTGGCCATGTTGGAAACCAGAGTCAATGAGATTTACCAGGTCAAAGAGGGTTTGGTCGAGCGCAAACCAGCTGGATGACCCAAGCGTTCGCAGTGAAGGCCCACTGTGGTGTCATGTCCGAGATGGGATGGGAAATGAAGGTAACTACAAGGGAGAGAGGGGGGTGAGGGGAGAGCGCGGAAACTCTGTGTCGTGCTACCTACCACCCGATAGTCCCGCTGCAAAGTCCATCAGTCGAAACATGGGTGGTAAGTTCCAAGGGTTGTTTGAAAATAGCTCTCGCAAATTTAATTCCATGCATTACTTTACAACTGGTGATTAAAGTTACTTTGCTACAAGCTACTGGGTAGCGAGGTGCTAGTCTCTATTTGAGTATAGGAAATTTTGTTCGATTCACATTCTAAGACAAGTATCTTTCTCAAATCGAACAACAGATTAACAGAGGGATCTGGCTCTGAGATCCTGAGATAGCCTTCTTCCTGAGCTTCACTCATATTCAGATAAGTCACGATGACAAACAAGCTTGACTGTAGAGTCACAATTGTTCGTATAAGGCGAGCTCACAGCCTCCTCATCATCACTACAGGGCAGACTGAAATTGTCACATTCGACGGTTTGACTGTCACTGTCATATTTGCAGTCCTCGAAATCTCCACCATCAATATCAAGATCTGGCGGACTGTCTCCAAAAGCGTTATCCGACCCAATAATCGTCAGATCACAGATGTCAGGATTGGAATATTCACTGCTGGTTACTTCATAACCAGGGTATCCACCTTCGGTAAGGCCGTCACCACTATTTGATACCTTGGAAATGAAAACGTAACTACTCGGAGTAGCTGCAGCGGCGGAGGCTGATGCTGCCGAGGCTGACGACGCTGAGGCCCTCGACGCACTCGCTTCCGAAGCACTAACGCTGGATCGTGATGCAGATGCTGCTGATTCGACAGAGGCAGTATATGCTGTATATATAGAGGTAATCTGGGTAATGGATTCCATCGAGGTCACGCAGGACTTGGCTTGTCCGACATAATTGTCAACGTAGCGAGAGTCGTCACAGGAGTAGACAATGCCATCATTTGCTGTACTAGTAAAAGAACCCTTATTTCCTGGCGTCCATGACAGATCTGAGTCTGAAGGCGGTCGGGACCAGGGGCATACTTTCCAGTCTTTCTGACCAGATGTTGAACTAGCAACACTATAGGTACCAGTATAGTCACTGCAATCGAAAACACAGTAATCCTCTGCGGCCCTATGATCAACAAGATGGATCATACTGCATGTGGGTCCCGTTGTGGTGGCGGGACTGTCAGAAGTTCCAGTTGTTTTAGTCGATTCTGTTGTCTTGGTTGATGATCCGGGAGGCGATGTCAAGGGAGCTGTTGACGTTGTTGCTGTAGAGCCACCAGCACCAGGGCTTGCGGTAGTAGTAGGGTCGGCAGTGAGAGTGTGTGAAATCCCGGAAGCAGTTTTTCTATAACGACGAGGAGAGCATGCAGCGTATGTGGATGTTGTCTCAAATGTAGTCGGGGTAGCGTCACAAGCAGTTCGTGTCGTACATGACTCAGTACTGGTAATCACACTAATTGTAGTAGTGTCCGAGTGGGGAACTTGACTGACAACTGTATCCCAGGTGCAATCGGAGTATGTTGTGCTTGAAGTACAAGTAGCTGTTGTAGATTCGGAAGTGGTCGACGAGTCAGATTGAGATTCCGATGTATGTTGATCGTCTTCTTCCTTCTCCTCCATGCTCTCCACAATACTACTGATCTCCACAAGATACTCCGTTCCTTTCTTGACTAGATCCTCAATTTCAGGATTTATATCATCAACATCGTCGGGGATCACTTTTGTAAGATCATCCACAATTGGTGCCACACAGCTAAGGGCAGAACTAGCGATATCCTTAGCAGTATCCACAGTGGCATCGACAGCTTGTTTTGCAATATTGGAAACAGCATCAAAAAGACCTCTCTTTGCCAAAGATCTCTTTTTGGAACTTGAGCAGGGGGATTTGCTTGTATCGAAATCCGTTTTTGAGAGATATTCGGATGTTTTATCGTCAATCTCCTCAATACGATCTTTATATTTTTTCGGATCCTTCTTGAGATCATCAATGTTGTTGTAAGGATTGCCCAAGAGAACTGCGATAGTGGTGGCACTATCAGAAGTAGTGGTCACTGCGCCTCCAGTTTGAGTGGTGGTCGGAATAGTGGCCCATTCTTCCTGAGACGGCGATGCTGTCGGCGCAAAAACGGCAATAGCAGTATTGCTCCCAGTGGCCTCTGCTATAGCAGATTCGAGATCAGTCTCGGATGCCAAATCTACCGAGGAAATCCGATCAGATGAATTCACGAACGGCATTGAACTGGAACGGCCTGTCGTGCTGGAGCCTGCGTCTTCACCTGAGGTTGTTGTCTGTTGACTAGAGGATGTTCCATCGGTTCTTGAAGTGTCATCCGATGTTGAGGTACCTGCGGTGGTCTTCGGGCTAGAGCTCGAGGTTGCAACTGTAGAGCCTGATGTTGTAGATCCAGTAGGGATGAGTGGCTTGGAACTTGAAGTGTCATCCGATGTTGAGGTACCTGCGGTGGTCTTCGGGCTAGAGCTCGAGGTTGTAGCTGTAGAGCCCGAGGTTGTAGATCCAGTAGGAATGAGTGGCTTGGAACTTGAAGTATCAGAGCCAGTTGAGCCCGGGCCATTAGGGCGAGAATTGGAAGACCCGTGTGATGAGTTCGACGTCGAAGTCCCGCCAGAGGATCCACCATGAGTGGAACCTGAGGTAGTCGAGTATAGGTCATCTGGCTTCGTGCTTGTGGGCCTAGCTGGGGAGTCCGATTTTGTAGTTCCGTGTGGAATGAGAGGCTTGGAGCTTGTATGTCCGGCTGTAGGGGAGCCGGCTGTATAAAATCCAGTTGAGTCCGAGCTAGTCGACGAAGTGACGGACTGGCCAGGATCAGCTCCAGTGTTGGTGGTCGAGGCGATAGAACTAAAGTGAACAGTGGGAATTTGGCCGTCAGGCACAGTGACAACGGAAGTAAGCTTCAGCTTATGACTCTTTGCATGGTCAAAGGGGGATAGTGATGAAGTCCGAGTTGATGAGAGAGGCGTTGAGCTTGGTGGCGGAGGTGTAACAAAATCAATGACAGGAGTAACGGAGTTGGGGACAATCAAAGTGGTATTGACGGTCGTGGTCCAATCCGCGTTAGCTCCATATAAAAAAGGAAGCACTAACAAGATAGTGCCCTTGATAGTAGCCATGTTCAGGAGAATTGAGTCACTGATGAGGCTTCATTAAATGGGGATTCCGGGGGACCAGGTTCAAATCATTTATACAAAGTCTCCTAGTTGGGGCCAAATCGTGAGGTCTGATGGATACTACCGGAAAAGAGTGACGCAAAATGGAATTACTACATCTACGGAGTACGAAAGATCATTTCGGCAACACATATCTCTTCGCCAAGTGCCAAGTGATGACTGCCAAGTTATGCCGAGATTGAAAGGGCCTCGCTACTGTAGATCTACTGCATACCCCTGTCATGGCCCCAAAATCTCCAGGGCTGCAATTGCGATGGCCCCAATCAGGCCCCTGGCCCCCAACTCTCCACTCTCAGGCGTCCCGAAGGGGCCAATTCTCAGGGGTTTTTTCCGGCCAGGTGAAGAATTGACGCACAATAGATCTTGCATCGCCTAGTGGAGAAGACCTTAAATCTGACATACATACATACCATGAGCTAGAATACATATCAACCCTCTCTGTACTCCGTACGGAGTAGCAAAATGGTTACGCACAGCGTACCCACAGCACCGAAACGGTAAATTGCGACGGACATCATAGGATCCCAAATTCTCCGATAAGTGACTGTCGGAGGATTATAACATACGGAATACAACTGGCTTTGTCCCTTAATCATCTACAAAATTCTAAGCTTGGATAGAGGCCTAGAGGAGTGGCAACCTAGAGTTTCAGACTCACAGCCCATTTGGGGGCGAAGGATTCATTGAAGACTTTCAGCCTTAGCCATCCGAGATATGGCCCGTAAGCTTAGATTGTTTAATTTAAACGATTCCGACAGAGGTGATATTCGAACGAGAAGGAAGCTGGGCCGATAAATTGCAGGAGGCGAGGCTGAGCGGTAGTCCCTGTTGATCTCATCCGGGCAGAGCCTTTTCGGCAGACTCCATAACTATGTAATTGATGATTGGTACGGAGTATATTTACATAGCTGGTGCGGGTATTGTTCCTGGGCCCAAGCTCTTGGGGATTGGAGGCCTAATAGTAAGATGCCCTGTCGATCTTTCACTGAATGGTAGCATTCATGCAGTTGGCCCCCACGGGATCAGTTTGCCAATGGCAGTTCATCTGGCCAAGGTAAAACCTACTACTAGGTAGCATATTGCTCCTACAATTAGTCCCAATTCACAAATATAAAAGAATCGGCTCTTCTTGGCCTAGTCAGTAGAGCCGCTAAAGCATTTTACTAATCCCCGAAGGCTTTGTATTCCCTCCCAAGCTTACATCGCCAAAATGAAGATTTCGAAGCTGGGCCTTGTTCTTTTGACGAGTACGTGCAGCCACGCGTTCATTCTCGACAAGTCTTGCGGCGATGCCAAAGGAAATCTCGCAATGCGTGTGAAAAAGTCCGTGAGAGAAGCGAAGCTGGCACTTGCAAATGCAGCTGAGGTTGCAGAACAATGCGAAGCCGATTGCAGTCTTCAGTCAGCGGTTGACGACCAAATTTTGGCAGAGGTAAAACAATGGTGTGGTGATGGTGGTGATATCGAACGACGGAAAGCCAGTAACAGCCTGCTTGTGAAATTCCTCGGGGATGAATCTGCGGATACTTGGAGCAAAGTCCACTGTGAGTCTTCTTCAGGCTCACTTCACTCATCTCTGGCTAGCCAACTGACAATTTTCAGCGGCCACGAGCAAGGCGAAAGAAGTCCTTAAAACCTCTTCAGACCAGTCCGACAATGCGAAAATCTATTGTGGCGACTCGTCATTCGTTAGGCAGGCCGGACTATGGAAGGACGAAGACTCAGAGTACGCGGACATTGCTTGGACTGCCGATAAAACTTCGCCTCAAAGGCCATGCGAAAAGGTCATCGGCCTTGGCCTTTACCAGACGGGAGCAACGCATAAAGGAATACTCCTCTGCAATTACAAGGACATGCTCGATACCAAGACCAGCCATACGGTTGCGGGAAACTACTTCAGCTATAGCAATCTGTTGGACAGCACCACCGACGTCCCTATCGCAGCTTTTGCGGACAAAATCAGCTCAGTATTAATTCACGAGATGATTCATTTGGGCGACATGCAGCAATGTAAGAGTTTTGAGAGTCCCACAAACGTCTATGCTGATATCCCATGATGAACTAACCATGACTCTTCAGTCCCGCTTATCATTGACCAAAAAACCAAGAAAACTGAACAATACGGTTATGATGAATGCGAGAAGCTAGCAGGCACGGATGCGAGCTGGCACAACTGTGATACATTCGCATTGATCACACAAGGTGGGCTTTTTTCTTTCTATTCGAATAGACAACAAAGGGCAATGACTAATATTGATTCACTTAGCAATGTATATGAACACCTACTACAGTGATGAGAATCTACTGAAGAAGCTTCCCAAGGATCAACAACCACCCGCGACTGAAGTCAATGGTCCCTACGGCCTGAAGGAGAAGAAAAACTAAACTTGAATACAAAAACTTGGGTACAAGTCTCAAGTGTTGGATTTTGGTTCTTCAATCATTTCTAGAGTTTGATTCTCTGTTTTCTCCCCAGAATATCTGTCACCGGAGGAAACTAAATGCTCATTTAATCTGACTTAATTTCTGTAAATTACTTACTTAAAAACATGAGGCTGGACGAGCGTTAGTATCCAATGGATGTATAAGGGTGAGATAGAAATTGGAACCAAGTAGTGAAGCCTTCTTCCGATGGTCTTGTACGGAGTACTCGCTGTGCATTGAATGAATAAGAAGAATAGACTCGAACTTTCTTGGGAAGGGGTATCCATCAAAAAAGATAGAAAAAACCCCTGAAAAAGAGGAATAGTTTGCTTACTCGCCCCCATTCATGGGCCTGGTCCCGCCCCCACTTGCTTGCCCCACCGTGACGGGAATAATTCAAGGCATCCACAGTCGCTCCTCTGTTTGAGTTTCGTTCACTTTCCCTCGTTCTCTTCTTTGAATCTCATTTATCCTAGGTTTCGCCCCGCGTTGCCTTTGTTCTCAGAACCTCTAAACCTAACTCTTACACTTTCCATTATGATTCTCCTCGGGAAACAGCTCAAAATAGTACTTGTCGGAGATGCACGGGTTGGCAAGGTAAGATCACATGTTCTGAGTTGTAGAATGATGGCTAACGATAGATTTTGCAGTCAAGCTGGCTATCACAACAGTTAGAGGGCTTTTATGAGCCTGAATATACCCCCACGAATGGCTACAATTCCGAGAGACTCGATTGTCAGACTGTGAGTTTTATTTGCCTCTTATTCGATGATCCCCAACAATCAATAAATTCTGATATGCTAATATGTCAGTCATAGAATATCGGGCTTGCCCAAACCATGATCTGGGATATCTCTGGGTCGAATAGTACAGCTCAGGATAGGGCCAAATGGATGGAAGATTGCGATGCCGCCATTATCATGGTTGATCTCGCAGACCGGGCGAGCATCGAAAATACAGTATCTTGGTATAGTATGTTCTCTCAAATCTCTTTACATCGGAATCTTTCAGTCAACTAATATCCGATTCGCTAGAAGAGATTATCTCTTCCCAGAAACAAACATTGCTTCCAGTAGTCATCTGTTCCTACAAGGCATACGAAAAGAGTGATAAGCGGGCAATAGACCCGGCAGAAATCTCTTGGTCTGATGAACTGGGCAACACGCCGTTCTTTTACAACATATCTCGAGATATTAATGTCAAGCCTAATAGGATGCTCTCTAACAAGGATATGATGAAGCCTATTGGGTGGATTTTGGAGCAATTGACGGGTGAGACCGATGTGGTATGTGCTTTGAATCTTCCACTCTTCACTGATTGCTCTTTCGCCATAACATATCATGATTTTGACCTTTTCCTTAGGATGCAAATTTTGGCTATGTTCCCTCCCGGGATGCATCCCCTTCTCGCCCTGTCTGGCCTGATGGATTTTCACATGAGCTAGTCGAGGCAGCCTCGAGAACTCTCGAGGACGACGACGAGGAGAACTTGTGATTAAACAAAGCCCTGGATCGCTTTCTGCCTTGTTTACCGGTTTGCAGAGTCTGTCTAATAGCAATGTAACTTAAGCTTTTATCTATCATAACTCCAATTTCTTATCCTTCCCATTCAGAGCTAGCAATGTCTAGCAAGGGGGCCTTAGATTAACTACCGACAGAATTACTCACTGTTGAGAACACTCCTCCATCAACGACTGCAACGGCCAAGCCAGGGATTCTAAAATGCTCGATGACCCATTCAAAAAACAACTATTTCGGCGCAGATCAAATTTTGAAAGATCTCAGGAACAAGCCCTTGCGGCAACATATACTAAACGGCAAGTTTTAAATAACTTCCCGCGCTACATTTTGAGCCTAGTTTTGTATAGGCTAGCTCAGAATGACGGTACCATGCGTGAATTTGGTGGTTTGTCAAAAGACAAATCCATACTCGCCTGGGCAGTTGCAATATTATAGTATTATAAAATGTTACGAGGTTTAAGGTAAAACAGCGACTTAACTATTGAAAGGTATAGATTTTGGTGTCTAGTCTGAAAAAGAAAATATCCATATACAACAAAAACACCAAGGGGCCATCGCATCGGCCACCCAACAAATTGAAGTAAAGAAACAGACCCGAACCTGAAAGAATCAACCCAGTTTGGGGATATTTTCAAATAAAACAAGGCCGAGAAGTGAACCGGGAGGGAATCAAAAGCTGGCTAATCTCATACACGCCGCGAGAAGGGTAATGGAATAGGAGAGGAATGAACACGAATTAAGCAAAAGAGCAGAGTCCGCCGGGTTCTAAATGCATCCAAGCGTTGATCAGGGTCATTGAAACATCCGTCGAGGTCGTTAGTCGTACCGTCCCTAAGTAAGGCAGGGAACAGCTCGGAGGGGGAAAGAAAATAAGAATGAGAATGAGAATGGAGGGGAAACAAGCACAGGGTAACTCCGGTGTGGGAGGGGTTATCTAGTTATCCCCAAACGCCATAACGTCGACCCTCAAGCCGAATGATGAAGAACACAGAAAGAAAAGAAGAAAATAGGAAAGAAAAGAAGAGAAGAAAAGAAAAGTAGGATCATCTCAAAAACTGACTTCGCCTGTATCGGTCTCCATCACACTCTCATCGTAGTATTGATCTGAGGGCGTTTCACGAACAGCAGGCTGAGAGCCAAGCGCGAGTGCTTCACCCTCTCCGCGTTCCACGAACTCGTCCTGTGCAGTCTCTTTCAGAATTCGTTGAAAGTACATTCGGAGTGTTCGAAGACCTCGCAGGTAGCCACGATCGATATCCATCGGGTGGTGTGGCGGACATGGTGTATCAGCAGGAAGTTCGTCTTCGCCGGTGACGCAGTTTGCAAAGTCCACGATCTTCAGTTGAACCTTGGGAGTGTTGTGGCCATCTTCAGAGGTCCGGCGTTGCAGCTTTGGTCGTTCGTTACTCTGGGGGTTGGCTTCCTGGGGAGAAGGGTCTGACTGTTCCCCATCATATAAGATCAAGAGACTGCTCGCGTATAGCCGGTATCGGTCCAACCTGCGAATCATATTCTCTAGCAAGGATAACTGCTCCAATATATTTGGGATCTTTTTTGCTACGCTATTGTAGCTGACCCCATCGTAGAGAAATCGTGTCAGAGCATCTTGGAACTCACGGCCGGATTTCAAGTCTCGACCAAAGTACTTGTCCTCAAAGATGTATTCCTGCTTTTTCACATTCCAAGCCTGCATACCGCATAGACGAACACCCAATTGCCGAGAGGTCGTTGACTGGCACTTGCGTCTCTGAGATTTCTTTTTCTTCTCATTCGCTTCGATGCCGTACTGTCGGGTGCCCATTTTAAGATCAAGGACACAAGGTTTGTTCATACCAGCTGTCAAATCTTCCAGGAGTAGGAAAAACTGAACGCGCTCGTCTTTTCTCAGCAGGGCATCCTTGGGGTTACTAGGCAATTGAGACTCGACACCATCCTTGGCTCCCATGGCAACTGCTGCCTCATGAAGTTTGCTCGGGGATGTGAAATGATTTGTGTGAGTGTCAAGCGGGATTCCTTTGGATGCAATCAAGGTTGATGGCAATGCTGTGGGTGGTGCATTTGAGAGCGCCGGGGCGTCCCCCTCCATGGAAAAGATTTCATCTTCCCTGTCTCCACCGTATCCCTCATCGTCGAAAAATACAAGTTCATTTTGGTTGCGTGAATTGATACTTCCTCGCCTTTGTAAGCCACTGCCTGAGTGTCTCCTCCGGGACTGTTGACCGCGGTTCAATGAAGTTGCTCGGTTGAGATCATCTTCGGCTTTGATTGTCTCGGCGCGGGTGCGCTTGTCTTCAAACGCGGTGGATGCTGATGATGAAAGGGCTGTGCCATCCTTGTTCGAGGGTGCAATATCCATATCCATAATCGGCGTTTCCAGAGTAGTGAGTCTCGTCATCGACAGTGCAGGTGGCAGGTTGCTCGATGTGTGGTCCTCTGACAGGTTTCCACGGTGATATGAGATATCTGAGGCTGCTCTTGGCAAATTGAGATGCCCCCGGGCATGCCGACGATGTTGATGAATTGCAGGAGGGCTGAAAACCTCTCGAAGGACTTGTTCTTGAAGTTTCCGATTTACCGTCGTAGCGCCCCATATTTTAGCTTTTCGTTGTCTGACAGACGACGGATCAGAACCGGCTGCGATGTTATCAAGACCATCAGCAGAGCGCGGTCGCGTTAGCGCCCTTTCAGCAACTCGTAGCCGTTGGGGCCGACCAAACAAATCGGCCGGTATAATATGACGGTTGTTTTCGAGAATGACCTTAGGAATTACGCCGGTAATCTGTTTTTGGCTCACAATTCGTTGCGGTTCGGGGGCTTCTATGACATGAGAATTCACACTTGATGCGCCATTTGCTTGATGTGCTTCCGGGGAAACGACGCCTTGCTCAGAGTGGCCTTTCGTACGCTTCGAGTTCTTGGAGAAGGTTACGTTAAGAACACCAATGTACCTGCACCGGCTTTGTTAGTAAATAGTTCGGGAAATATGTCGGACAAGAAGCGCCGAGGTGGCCAGTCCCTCTCAGCACTGCCATCCAGGAAGAAGACATACCTCGGCAAAAACTGCAACATATCAGGATGCCTTCGTTCGATACGCTCGTAGAATTCATTTTCACGATTGTTAAGCTGTTTGCAGACTGCACGTCTAGAAAAACGAAATACGGTGGTGTGGCCGCCCACCTGATGACGATAAGGCTTCAACTCCACTGCACCGAGGGGGGTGGACTTGCGCCTAGGAGCAATTTTTGGTCGTTGAGTTGGTGTCGCGGTGGGTGTATCAGCGTCATCGGTGAGGCTATCTGTGGTAGAATCATCATGGGTAGAGGAGTGTACACTTTCATCGGCAGATACAGATTCGGAGTCGGTAGTGGATTTGTCACCGTGATCGTAGCTGTGTTCAGAAATCGTACCCAGAGGATTTTCTGGTATGCCATCTGTCGGAGACCGAAGACCCGACAGATCGCCATGAAGGATCTTACTTTCATTTTTAGATCGAAAGGATATATCCACATGGCCGACCTCCTGCTGGGAAGATTTGCTACGCTCTTGAGGGACCAACATCAGCTCGTGGCCTGTCTCCGCAGCTGATATCTGAACTGTTTGCACACTATGGGAGTCTGCCTCTATCGGCTCTTTCCTCTGGTCATCTTCGGGTACAGCGACTCTTTCATGAGGAAAGTAGACTGCAGATGAGATTTGCTCATTTTCCTCCTCATCCTCGAATCGGGGCGAGTTTTGATCAGCCTCTTCATCAAGAGAGCTTAAAGACTCGTTGAAACGTTCAATGTGGGGTTCTGCTTGGAAATAATCCCGACTGCGTTCGGCATATTGTGTCGGGATACTTTTGGAGAATGAAGATCCGCGGCCTCCGCCAGGGGTGAGGTGGAAGTTTCGAATTTCCTCTAAGAGACTCAGATGCAATGTCGGTGGGTGGCGCTTGAAAGGAGCTTCATGATCTGCTTGACGAGGGGGGTCGACTGGAGTGGGCGGCTCAAAGATTTGCCCATCACTCAATGAGGGGAGCGAAATACTCTTGCGAAGCGACACATCCTCGTCTATCGACGGCGTCGAATTCTGCTGGTCGAAATCCATCCCGGAGTTCAGATCGACATGATTTTCGTGCAGCCGAGCTCGATCACGGTCCTCCCATCGTTTGCGGTCTGGGGAAGTGGTATTCTCCTTAAATAAACCCAAATAATGGCTAGATTTTCGACTGCGCACGTTGGAGGCTGGCTCCGCATTGGTGAGATTGGCCTCAATGGAATTATCCAGTCGTCCCCGACGACCTCGATTGGGGTCTGTGAGGGGAGGAAAAGGGACAGCTTCTCCCTCGGGCGATGGCCAGTTGTGGCTAGCTGAGGGTGTCAACGTGCCAGGAGAGTGAGAGACATCGTCTATAGCTGAAGGAAGTAGACTGCGCTCAGTGGACGTGTCTTCAAAAGCACTGGTATTCGTACCTGTTTCACCCGCAGGCACCGAGTGCACTGTAACACTCGCTTCCCCGTCTTGAGCCTTCAGCTGATCCGCGGATGAGATAGATGAGCGCAACAGAGATAAGCGGGGGAGCCGAGGGGTTGAGTAGTGAGAAGCAGGGCGCAATGGGTAATGTCTGCGGGCGTCAACTTCCATGTGGGAAGGCTCGACGCAAGAACGGAGGGGGGGAGACCTTGGAGGCAGGACTTGGAGATCCAGGCACATCATCGAGACCAGGAATCAAATTGACCTGATGGTCATTCTCCACGACTTTCTCGGGGGGGGAGTTGTGGGGTATTAGCGCCGCTTTCCGAGGGGAGATAGTGAGTCGCAAAGATACTGTCACGTTCGGACAATTGAGGGCTATGGAAAGTGTCGGGACGGGAGAGTGTCTCCAAGGGTAATGTATGGGTCCTTTTTAGGGCGGAGGCCGGGGTGGGCTGGGACCATTGACGGATGGTGGGGGATTCCGCGCGCGATGGGGACTGGGTCTCCTGCTGAGCCCCCTGGGACAACGAATGTTGGTCCTGCGACAAGTGGTGACGTGGGTTGACCGACGACAACTCGGCCTCCGAGCAATCATGTTGGGCGGGAGCAGCAGGTGTTACCAGGGGGTCAGGCAAGGAGTGTTCGGGAGCGGGAGGCGGGTTTGACATGGAGAGGACATTGGTCAGGCCTGCACAATCGGAAAGGTAGGGACAGCGACAGATGGCTATTGGAGGGACTGGGGAAACGGTTCAGAAATGAGGGGAAGACGTTTGCGACACGGCGACACGGCAGCACAAAGACCCAAAGGCGCGGCGAGACGGTTCGGGTACACAAGTCGAGGGAGAAGGAGCAGCAGTAGCAGCAGCAGCAGCAGCGAGACAGATGAGACTCTGGCGTCACGAAGAGTAGAAAAGACGAGTTAGTGGACAGCTTGAGAGAGGGTTGAAGCACGTTGAGCGAGGACGAGTTCTTACAGGTTGCGCTGACCGCAAAATGGGGTCGGAAGGCCGGGATTTCACAGACGACTTTCAGGTCTGAGCTTCAAGAGATAAAGGAATCAAGCTGCAGTTTGGAGCCAACGTAGGACAGTGACGCCGATCGTCCGTCACCGCCTTGAAGAACGAGTGGATCCGATCGGGGCTTTCTTTAGCGGGATTCTGGAGTTGGAGTCACTAGAGTCACTGGGGTCCAGAAGACTTCTAGATGAGATCGAGCCGGGTGCAGATAAAAAAAAAAGGGTTGGAAGGGGGAGGAGTGTGGATAGCGGTGGGTAGTTGGAGTTGGAAGAGGAAGACTCTTTTGGGGAACTTGGCGGGAAGAGAGGAAGTTGCCTCTTGCACATACTCTCTCTCTCACACACACACACACACACACACACACACACACACACACTCTCTCTCTTCTTCCTCACCCTCCCTCTCCCTCTCCCAGAATCACCCTCACCCTACATTTACTCTGCATCTGCGGCTTTATCTCCATTCCAGCGACCATATCTACAACTGGCTTCCCATAGGGGTGCAGATCGGCGATCTGCACGACCTATCGACTCTCACCCCCCCAAGGCCAAACATTATGATTCGCGGCATCCAAATCTCGCAAGGGCCAGGACCACCCTCCTGTCTTTGTGACGAACCTGAGAAACTCGCAGTATCAAGCACGGAATGGATCGTGGAATGTAACCACTACCCATGACTCGGTCTGTACCCAGTTGGCCCCCTAGGTGGGCAGAACAACTGGAGGCCGCTGTCCTTCCCCAGCTGGGATCCTTGGTCCGGCTCCCAACGGTAAGTCAACTTGTGGGGGCAAGGGATAACTGAGTTCTCGGGTCGATCAGTCGATTCTTGGAACGCTCTTCCGCATCACCATGCACCAATCACCGATCCTCTTGTACGGCGTGCGGCCATCGTGGTCAGCCATAGGTGTCAGCTCTTCATTTCTTTCGGGCAGCTTGATCCAGTGCTTGTAATTGGGTGTGTTTGATTTGACTTGGATTCGAGGCATGCTCTCATCCCGAAGGATCCGGGACTGTTGGCTTTTCTCCACAGAAGCAGCGGTCAAGTGTCAGGGGCAGCTGACCGAGCGCGATGCTTAATTTCCAGGTTGGTTTCAAGCACTGGGTGTGCACTGCCATCTGTGGCGTTGTTAGCAAAACTTACAGATCGGCATCACGAGGTTTGTTCGACTTGGAAGCTTTCAGGAATAACCTGTGTGGTTGTTGTAGGTTCCAAGTTGTAGGCAGAAAATACGGTGTTTGGCGATGAACTTGAAATATGTAGATGTGCAAGTTCATCTATACTCCCGAGATCGTATATCGGGCCTAACCTTCAAATTGAGAATGTTTTTTTGACCCGAAGGGCTATTATCGCGATACGACTCACAAGGGCGCCTTTCATACTTATTATATTCATGGGTTCCTGAGTGAATCAATCAATTTGAAGCAACTTGAACGCGAAAGGCATTCATTCATGCGCTTGGGCAGCAATCTTAATGGGGCCAAAAATTAGGACTGAAAAAGCAATAACGAAGATCGCCGATCATGATAGCTCTCAACTGTTGAACGAAGCACCGTGACCCAATATACTACTTACAGTAGGCCAGACTTGCTATACTAGTAGCTTGAATTGATTCTCTTAAGCTAAGTTTGATATATGTATATCCTTATCCTTATCTAAGTTATTTTTTGATTCCCCCACTGGCAAACAGTCACGGCTCGAGCTCGTCGATGGGGGCGCTGCTTAGGGCCGGGCCGCAGACGCCCCGATAGACACGGATGGAATTACTAGTCCGTACTTTCGCACTTTCGTAGGTAGCTCGAGGTGCTTTAATTGCAGTTGTGACGTAGCGGGCTGTTCTAGCGCTTCAATCACCGACAGGAATGGCACACGACTGTGACTCGATACCCCAGATATACAATAACTACCCTAAGATGAGAGTATTTCAAGTTCACAAATTCAATTCCCGTTTGTTTATTCTTCTTCTTTCTTTTCCATATTTACAAGTTGGAATACTTTATCTATTTAACCAAACTGCCATGTCCATTCGCTAAGAAGAAAGAACTCAGTTACACGCGAGTCACACTGGTGGGTTGGCTCGGCGTGTGATGAGGATGGCCCTAACGACTTAACGGGAGGTGCCGGGCGGGTCTCCAGCCCAACCAGCGGCTGGAACGATGTGAACAAGATGCATTAGGGCCATTAGGGTGCCAGCACCACCTTAGAAACCCAGGTTCGCCATAAACATGGAGCTTCTAGGCCAGTCATATCGTTCAGACCCCGCGGAGATCAGACTTGGCCCCCCTCAAACACATCGACATCTCCACTCCGTTCAACACGGCGGATATCCCCCATCACACGCAGCTCCAGCTCTCAACAATCTCAATGTTCTCTTCCATTTCCTGTCGTCGATCTGCCATCGCATGTCATTTTGCTGCGAACTGTCACCTGAGTTGTTAGCCGAGCTTGTATCGCATATTGATCTCCAGGGGAAAGCTCCTGAGATGCGGCGTCTGTCGCGATCACAAGTTCTACTTCTCCCTATTTCCTTAATTGCGGATCGCACGATCATCGACTGCGCATCCCCTGTGCCTACGGAATATTGAGCACAAGTGCACTTTTAGTCGGTTTCGAGGATCAAGTCTTGCAGCGGAGAGCTTCTCGCAATCGCTGCCGTCAACATGAATCGGCCACAGCCACTCCAGCTCAATACCCAAGTGGGACAGAGTCAAAGATACTCGTTCATTGAGACTCCACTGGAAATGAACGCCCGGACACAGAACTATGATCTAGAAAGTCCCCCTCCAATGCCAGCGAACCCAACGCCGGCCCATCGACAAGAGCAGCCCACACCCGAGCAACCGATCCAGCAACCTCAAACAGCGGTAGTGTACCAAGAACGCGAACAAGAGTCGCAGGTAGACGAAGGAAGCATTCCCACATACTCGCGATACCCACAGTTTGACCAACATCCTGTTCATTTCGCACCGGCGGCCGGTACTCCCCAGCCCCAACTGCTGCAGCACCAGATACATATGCAATCACCTCAGTATGCATACGGCCAGCCGCCTTGTTCGCCGGGACCCTTACCACCAAAAGTCAACGCTGAACCTCCCCGACGAGCAGACACCTTCACTATCACCCCCGATGCGAACCCTCTGCAGTCACCAAGATCGCCATTTTTCCCTCCTCCGCCCTCCTCGGCTCCCTCACAGACACCGGCGATAGATGACTTGGCCACATACCATCAGCCAGGGCAAATAATGCACCCAAATCAGGAAGTGATGGGAGGCGCATGGCACCACGGTCTATGCGAATGCTCGAATTTAGGAACATGCTGCTTGGGGCTGTTGTGCCCGTGTATCCTTTATGGGAAAACCCAGCACCGCCTCAGCTTGAAGTCAAGAAAAGAGGACCCCACAAACATGCTAGGCTATGAAACATGCAATGGGTCATGCACTGCGATGGCTCTATTATGTGGATGTCAATGTAAGTCCCGAGAGTTTGAGTTTTCTGCTGTCATGTGGCCAGGCAGTTCAGAAGCGTGATTTATTTTTTCTGTTATCCTGACACAATTCTAGGGCTTTTCGCAACTATACAACACACGAGGACAAGGAAGGCGTATGGGATCCAGGGAGGGATTGCTTCAGATTGTGTGCGAGCAACTTGCTGCACATGTTGCACGTTGATTCAGGATGAGAAGGAGATTCAGGAACGGGAGAAGCAGCGTGGACGCGCAGCTCTTGAGCGTGGTGCTAATTTGCTCTCGCCGTACACAGCCCCAGGGCCAATGGCGTATCCACCGCCGCCGAAGTGACGACAGAGTACCATCTCCAGCAATTTGGAATATGTATGAAATGCGCAGACTTGTACCTACAACGAAACGATGATGAATTATACATAATCAACCCTCAGGTACGAATTGATTGGTGTACAAGATAGGCCTTTCTCCGCACTCTATTGTCCAGTCGGAATTAACGAAATTGGTGGAGTTGGGTGATCTCCCCGCATAACTGATTCCATCAAGTAAAAAATCAGAAGATTAGAGGGCATATGTATATGCATCGCATATGTGCTGTATATTGTGGCAAAGTGAAAACTTGAAGAACGCAAGTTCTACGTGCATTGCCGATCTTCAGGTGAGGACCTGGTTGTTGGGAGTACTCGGACCTGTCAGATGGCCAGGCAACCCACACACCTATAAGGATGTCAAATCGGTTCCCTTTTCATACACTATTGCTGCTTTACAGGGGTGATAGAGCGATGATGACAAGGCCCACTATGTACAGTGATCACAGCCACACTGCATTTCCGGCTCAACATGCGGGTGATCGAGTTGCGCAGTGGGTATCACGGCAGCAAAAGAAAAACGTCCAATTCGCTCTCGCTCTCGCTCTTGAAAATCCGAAATGATGTCAATCCCTCAAATAAGCTTACAATGTGCGAGGATCATTGCAATATATGAACAGACTATTCTACAGGTAACGCTCCCTTCATAATTGACTCCCGTGGGCTTATGGTTCCAATAATCAAGCAGGGATGTCTGTTTGCCTTCGGGGGCAATTGAGGGCAATTGATTCTGACAGCGGATCGCCTTTTAGTTCACTGCATATTGCCTTTGAGATGTGTCAAGGCTCGCAGATCCAGAAGCCTCTGTGCGATCGTGCGATCGCGAAGATCTCGCGATCCCACGATCGGACGAACCAGATAGCCGGGTTGGATGAGATCATAACATCGGATAAGCATGTCAAGACGAAGATCCCGAAATTCTGCCAATACCCTGCACTCAGCGAAGACCCCCACAGCGCACTAGCCATGGAGGTATGCAAGGTCATTTCTGAAGAGCCGAGGGACAAACAAGACCTCACTAAGTTGCGGAGTGGATGTGCCGACTTTGGTGGCTGGTTGGGGATCAGTAGGGCGCGGACGAGACTCCCCAGAACTTAACGTTCAATTTTCAACACATTGCCCCGATTGAGTCTAAGGGATGTTCTGACTGCTCGACAGGGCTCTTGCAGACATTAAGCGCGATGAAGATCTCGGGCATGGACCGCTGGGCCAGACGTAAGGGCGCGATAGGTCTATTATCCCACTATAGGGTCGCATTGGCAGCACAGCAACACTGGAGAAGTCAATTCTTTGCCGTCACCATGGAGCAGAACATTGAATTTGAGACCTGTCTACCATGATCTAAACAGACTATCGGGTTTCTGCGTGGCTCCGAGGCTCTCCTGTTTTATATTTATTGATCGAGGCGCTATCCACGATATTCAACTTCCTTGGAAAACTTCTTTTATTTAAACATCTCCTAGGACATCAACCAAGGGATAACACTTGATTGTTGTTATACGCAGACGCACCTACATTTACCATGGCCGACTCAGCTTCGCAGACTGCAGCTGGCTATGACCACCACAATCTGCGCCATGTTGTTATCACATCGACCTGCTTCGCCTTCATCCTTTCTACGGTGGCGGTTGGATTTCGAGTCATCTCACGGAAATTGAATGGAACTGGTCTATACCTCGATGACTTCCTAATTATAGGAGCTCTGGTGAGCTTTTATGTAATCCTTTTGTTGCTTTCAATTGCTAACCAGGCAAGTTTTTCGAATATGGAATTTCTATCGCTGGAGTTGTTTGTAGGTTTCACACAGTCCTGACCGCGTGTATGGTCTACGATATTGACTTTTGCAGTACTCTATAATGGACTTGGAACACATATTGTTTACGTGAAGCCCGAACAGTTGGTTGTCTACTTGAAGGTACGTTGTATATTGTAATTTCACCAATCAGCGTATTTTCTGACTCCTACATAGACCCTCTTTACCGGCTCGATCCTCTACACCTGCTGCATTGGCTGCATCAAACTTTCAATTCTCATGCTCTATCGGCGATTATTCCCCGTTAAGAGTATGAAAATTATGGTCTGGATCGTCTCCGCTATCGTCGTCCTATGGGCCTTTGGTGGTATCCTGGTGGGCTGCTTCACCTGCATACCGACGGAGAAGCTGTGGCACCCTATGATACCCGGAGGTTGCTTAAACATGGGCAAATTTTATTATGGACTCCAGATCCCCAACATTGCGACGGATGCAATGATTTTATTCATGCCCATGCACACTGTCTGGAAACTACCTATCTCCCGTGCCCAGAAGGTTGGCCTGTCGGGTATCTTCGTCGTCGGATTATTGTAAGTCACCCATTCTGTAGAAAATTAGTTATGAAATCTAACAAGATATAGGACCCTTGTGTTTGATATCGTTCGTCTCGTTTCACTCATCGAACTTTCCGAGGCGGGCGATGATATTACCTACACTCAGGTCAACCCAAGTGTCTGGACATGCATTGAGCCGGCCGTCGGTATCGTCGCTGCCTGCTTGTCTAACATGCGACCCTTGTTCAAAGTCATGCACGAAAGAGTCTGGTCACGCTATGTCTCGACTAATGCTAGTAGCCGGGACGATTTCGTTGAGAAGAACAATGAAAAATCATCTTGGACTCGCGACACACCCAGTCCTAATGGTACAACTGTGCACACTGCTACTAGCACCACTCTCTCGAACGAGGAAACTCGTCACCCCGATAGCCCGGCATGAACTTGAATACCTAACGAAGCGGATACCCTCTAGCTGGTGTTTATAATACCTTGGAATCTCATCAATAGCTTGCTCGGTCTTGCATGTGTATTCTTACATTCAAGTTTCTATTTCATACACCTGGCACTGGTTATTCTGACCTATAATTTCCTAGCCACATATTTATCATACCTCTTTACAATGTCAATTATTTGATTCGAGAGTATAGCACGCAAACTCAATTCACTTGTCTAAAATACGCCCGAGTGCAGTACTAGTAGCTAACTCGGTAGCAACTCAACACCCCCTCCTCAAAATTTCGGTCCTCAATAGATGATCCTTCACCGTATTTCACATGAAGGACCGGGGCCGCTTCTGGCGGGGAAATAGCTCGAGAAAGTCTATTTTCCAGCGACATCCATTCCGGGCTCCTTACGTGTAGATAAAGAACGATCATACCTCGCGAAGGCAGGGAGTGTGACGCGCACAGAGAAGCCATTTGCGCAAGACGAAGCTATGGGCAAGCGTCGATCATGGAAAATCTATCAGCAAATCTCCAAATCAGAACTCCCATTGGCCGTGACAACGAGGCATCTGAGATGTCCCCCTCTCTGCCAAGCGGCACCAAATCCCAGCCCCTCCCGCCCCGACGCCCACCTGACTAGCAGCCATGCACAATGACGCGAGAAAATCTGTGCGAGAACTGATCCCGGAGAAAAATAAAGAGCCCCCCCATATACCACGGCAAGGTCACACAGCATCTAACTGTCAAAGATGCGTGGACTCGATGAAAGTACCGATGTGTTGATTCGCGTCGGACACACGGCAAGCGAAAAGGTCAAGGATGGCTTGGGCGCCTTTGTCAATTTTGCGGCGCGGGATAATGTTCTTGAAGTCGCGCTTGGTTTGATGTTAGATTGTTCCCCGAATCTAATCTAAGCAGGGATCTGATTTGCAGACTGACGTCCTCGAAACTACAGAATCGGTAATGCATTCACTAAAGTGGTGACCTCGTTCGTGACGGATGTCGTTCTGCCGATCGTCTCTCTTCTGCCGTTCTTGAATAAGAACATGGATCAGAAATTCGCGGTTCTGTCCAAAGGTCCCAGTTATATCCACGGTCAAGGCTACAATACGGTGAAGCAGGCCAGAGACGATGGGGCTCTCGTGCTCGCGTGGGGGTATGTTGGCAGCCCCTGAGGTCCCGGAATTGAATATCCATGCAAAACAAAAGCTGGACTGCTGTTCTGACTATCAAAACAGTCTTTTTGTTGAAACGATCCTCAACTTCATGGGGGTCAGCTTGACGTTATTTGCAGTCGCTCACTTATACATGGCCGTCTCACACAACAAAATCATTAAACCCACCGTGAGATGCAGGTACTGCAAAAAGTATATTAGCGTCGAGGTGCGACTACAGTCCCTCCCTACCTTCCTCAGTCTATTGGCTTACCACTCATCAGGCTAAACGTTGTCTTAACTGCTCAAGCTGGCAGGATGGAAGAGAAGACTTGCCTGGGGAGCAGGAGGACCAGGACGATGATAGTACTCTTACCGGCGATAGAGCGTAGTCACCTTCATTACCAAGGAGCAATCTCTAATTCAAGCTAGCTAGATTCCCAGAAGAAATTGATACATATTTGATTATCTACAAAAGTCCGATTATGACCGTGAAAAAACTAAATCTTGCTCAATCGACCTTCCACAGAGCGCCTCATCGACGCCTGGAGAACATCCTTGACATTCACAGCCCCAGACAAAGCCATGGTACGAGAAAGCTCTCGCTCTAATATATTCATCACCGTTTCGACACCATTCCGACCATTATATGCGAGCCCCCACAACGCCGGTCGGCCAACGAGCACAAAATCAGCCCCGAGTGCCAGCGCTTTGAAGACATCGCTTCCATGGCGTATTCCTCCGTCTAGAATGACTGGAATTCGCCCTCTCACAGCTGCAACAATTTCAGGCAATGCTTGAATAGTTGACGGAGCACAATCTAATTGGCGACCGCCATGGTTAGAGACAACAATGGCATCAACGCCGTGCTCAATAGCAAGCTGGGCATCCTCCGGCGCCATGACTCCCTTCAGAATGATTTTCATCTTCGAATTCTGTCTTAAAAAGCTGATGGTTTCCTTCCATGTAAGAGAAGCGCTATTTGCCCCGTCTCCAATCGCTCGACGGATCTCGCGTGCGTGCTTTGCCGAACGCGCATCCATTAAGGTGCGATTTGAAGTTGGCTTGTCTGCCTTTTCTCCATAATCATTTCCAATATTGGCCAGGTGGAGACCTTTTGGAAGAACCAGTGGAGTCTGTCGCTCATTGACACGGTTACCAAGAATCGGCGTGTCAACCGTGAGAACGAGCGCTTCGTACCCCGCAGCTGCGCGAGAATTAGCTCCAAATCCTGAATACCGAGGTAAATGGACCGGGTTGAAACAAACCTTCTGCTCTTTTGATAAGAGGTACGCTGAGATCGAGCTTAGTTGCTAGATATAGCTGGAACCAGAATGGTGTTGTGGATCCCATTTCGCGATTGATAGACATCACATCTTCCAAAGATGTGGTGGAGTTGGAGCATAGAGTGAGGTTCAAGCCCATAGAGGCAGCTGTACGGGCTACATCCATCTCTCCTTCACCTCCTGCTAGTCTTTGCATTGCGCTGGGAGCGATTCCAATGGGGAGAGGATATGTGTGGCCTAGCAACTCCGTCGATATATCCACTTCAGCGACATCACGAAGGACACGGGGTAGAACAAATAGTCTGTTCAGTTTGGTTAGCATTCGAATTCGATAGCAGAAGAAAGCCGAGAGAATACCGATCAAAATCAGTTCGATTTCTCTCCACCGCTGTCTGGTCATCCGCACCACAGGAGTAATAATTGTAAACATTTGCTGGAAGCTTTCTTCTAGCAATGGCTTCCACTTGATCGATGGTAATGGGATCTTCTTCAGCCATATTGTTCGTGCTCTAATATGTGAGAGTCGAATTAATGAAAATGATAGCAGAAGAGGGGAAATTTACATTTTGGTTGTCAAATTTCGACCGGAAATTAATCCGGTAGAAGCCCCGAATATTGCCGTCGACTGACCACCTCGGCAGCATTGCAGACTTGGCCAACACCGAAAATGCGCGAAAGACCAAAGATAAATGATTGCCTTGCTGGGGTGAGATAAAAACAAGCTCTGTAAAACTGTATGAGCTTTATGGTGGTTAATGAACTACTAGAAGCTCGAAACCGTCATAAACTATAAATTCGAAGGTTTATAAGAACTATATTATACCGTACTACTACGGTATAGTAGCAACTAGTAGTTCCTACTACTACTGTAGAAGTATATAACTACTGTAGAAGTATATAACTACGTAAAACCCAAACAGACTGTAAAGGTGGAAGGGGTCGACTACTAGTATATACTAGTAATACTATAGTAGCTTCTACCTCGATCTAAATATTCCGAACTCTTATTCTTCTATAGTACTACTACCATTCTACTGCTAATTATCTAGCTTGTCAGGTAAATCTATCCGAATAGACGAATTCTCTTTATTATCTAACTTGCCCTTACTAACCCCAGTTAAGGTCAAGACCAAAATCAAAGAAAGGTTTGGCGGAATAGGGTACAGTTTAGCGACCTTACAAATCAACATAAAAAGTTTCTAGACATGTTAGCTAAGCACTGGCAGAGTAGTAGCAATAGAGGTAAGTAATCGTAATGGTACTAGACAAATAGTAGGTAAAATGATAAAACTTAGTAGCTTTTTTTTCTCCGACGGCGATGTTAAATAACTCAATAAAAATTCGATATAACTGGTGTCTCTGTTTGCTTGACACAAACCCCCAAGAACATCGGGGGCACATTAGATTTGGCGAAGATGTATCCAAATTTTGCATGGTAGAAACATATTAATCTAGGGTTAGAAGATGCCATTGTCCAATAAGCAAAAATATTCGTCGTTTTAGCAACGGTCTGCAAAATTATGCGCTCCAGGTTCATGAACCGGGAAGCAAGATCGTTGGTCCGGTCCTAGTTCGAAAAGTTGGAATCTGGGACCCGTATGGTCCGACTCTAGATTCCGGCTTGCAGAACCAGAACCGCACCATTTCGAGGTCAAAGTCGCGCAAACAATATAACGGTTAATATCAATAGACTGTGTCAAATTGCGGAGAACTTCTGAAGAGCGCGGCTCATACCTTCCTTCGCTATAATTGCTTAGATAAGCCACTACGTCAAATCAGGCACATACAAATACTGCAAATCTCCAATGCTATAGGGCCGGAGTCGCCGAAACATACCCCAATTTCAGCCTCCAAGCTCTTCGTCTCGGGCACTCTATCTCCACTTCTTTATTCCAAATATCATACCGCTGATCTATCTTTTTCCCGGCCAGGTCACAACTGGAAATCTATCTACTAAGGATCTGCCGGCCGAAATACACCCTTCATTTTCTCTGTAAACTCTGCCTTTTGTTCTTGAACACTTCCTGCTTGGGCTGATGCCTTAATGAAGCTTGACTTGCATTTCAATGAGCATTGAAGCTTATGATAGAGCACAACTTATCGCAAAAGCCTCCCCAGGTTCCCGATTGGCTTGTCCTATGTCCGGATCGCTTGAAGAAAAGTAAAAGTCGGTAATAGTTGAGATCATCGTTCTCCACGTTATGAACAGATTGAATATTGATATTCCATTGAGATGACTATTACGGATCTGACATTGGGGGCCAGTTTCACTGCAAGAACCTTAATTAGTAGGTTGGGCCAGTAAACACCAATCACTGCAGATGTTGATTGCCAATGATTAGTCTGCCAAGGCCAGGGTCAACCCGTGCCAAGGCCAACCCGCAAAGTTCTAACACGAAATAGTTGGGGGCAGCCTTGGCACGGCTACGGCTTTTTTATATTCTTCACGGACAAAGTACTACTATCTCTGATGTCATCTTACCCGACTAGGTATGGAAGGGGTGCATGACCAAATTAGGGGACTGATAAGTATATAAAGAATCTCTTCCCCGCGGGTAATAGCTCAAGAACCACACAATCTACCAATTCAGCTATACATTCAACCCCCAAAACATCATGGCTCCTCTCCGCAACACTCTTATCTGCCTGATGGCCGCATCAACCGTCTATGCCGAGCACCTCAGAGTCGTCTGGTCATCTGGTCACTTCTCATCAATCTCCGGCCCCATCGGCGGCAGCCAGAATGGCGGATACAGCGGCTTCGCAATCCTCAATGACGCAGGCGATGCTGTCTACGATCAGGCCAACCCTGATGACCATGCACCCTGCTACCTTGGCTCCGGCCGCGAGTTCACCATTGAGGGCGACTGCTGGGCCACCCCACGCAAATTTCAATGTTCGGCTGACTTCGGAGGCCAGCCTCAAAGCTGTGCGGTCAAGGATGGCGACGGTAATGTCTTGGCCGAGGCCGACGCACAGAAGGATACTACTTTCATTGGTATCGCTATTGGTATCGACTCTAGCTGTGTTATCGAATTCGATTCTGACAGCGATGGCTGCCCTATTGATGATGGCAACGGTCCCCTTCACGTTACCTCCGGATAGATTGTGTTGCGAAATTGCAATGCTTGAAGGATAAAAGCAAATTTTGCAACTCGTTCCTGTATTATGTTGAGAAATGCCAAGGTATCGAATGTGAGGGAAGACTGAGGTTGAATTTGGTAAATAGTTTCTTTGTGGCTTTCTCTTCCCTTTTCTCTCTGTCTCTGCTAGTTCACCAAAACAATACCATATGTCTTTCTTATTTTTCGCTCTTGTTAGTATCTCACGGATTCAACGCTGTTCCAGACATACAGGGATGGGTAGATGGATGATTTTATTTATTCTGACCCCTCAGAATTGAAACTTCTAAAGTTGAAGCGATATGCAGGATACAACAACTATGTACATATATCCAAGTGTCTAGATTGAGTATCATGTAATCTTGTAGGGGCTATTATCGTAATCTTTAGTTGCAAGCTATATGTACGAAAGTGAAAACAAGGAGTCCGGCATGTGTTCAAACACACTTAGCAACTTAAACAGAAGCCAGGAGATCCATTTCTACGTAATACTCTCAAAAATTCAAGTTTTCTTTTTGCTTTCTATGTCTGTATTATACTGTCAACATTGTTGTTTGATATAGGCAATATAGTACATGCCCCACTCTATGATAGAGCACTTCACATTGATTCACATTGAGTCTATGTCCAAAGCAGGGCCATTCAATAGTTTCGGAAACGTCATGACTGATTCAAAGTTATTTGGTTATTGATCATGCATATCATCAAATGGATTTAATGCCTTTAAAAAGGGGATATTTGTACGTCAAACTGTACTATGAGGTGGTAATTCCACTAACTTCGTTACGTAACCTTCAACATACCCCGCCTGCCCGCAGTCTCAACCCCGACTACCTTCAAACACAAACACTTCTGCCTCGCGTGATACATTTCCCAAGTAGCTTTGTTCCGTGGCTGTACAGCAAACTCTAGGCAGCACCATGTCGATCACTCACGTTGTTCTCTTCCAATTCAAATCCGGCCTCGATGCCCAAGTAATCAAGGACGTATGTTTGGCAAATCTCGTGGCTGTGTTGTGATGCATAACTCGATTGACATTTCCAAAGGTCTGTACGCGCATGCTCGGTCTAAAAGATAACTGCGTGCATCCATCATCCCAGAGGCCATACATTAAAGCATCATCGGGGGGGTATGGACAATTCACCCGAGGGTATTCAGGTGAGTCTACCAAGCAAAAGGCCCTTTTTGTGAATGAACTTTCTGCTATATTCCATGTATATGAACTCAACCGGATCGATTACCTCTAGGGCGGTATCACTCATGCCTTTGTTGTTGAGTTTGAGAACGCGGCAGACCGAGACTATTATTGCAAGGAAGATCCCGTGCACCAAGAATTCGTTCAGAGCCTAGGTGGAATCATCGAGAAAGCCCAGGCAATTGACTATACACCTGGTGTCTACTAGCACCTGTTCGGAGTTGTTACTGGGAACTTGAAGTGGAGGTAAAAGATATCCCGGGTTTGGCTTCAATAAATGACGTCATTGGGTTATGCACGCATTTGCGCCAGTCTTGAGCCCATGTCTTCTATCCAGCATTACTAGGTGTAAATTACTAGTTTCCAATATTCAAACTGGGCCCTGTACAGGCATCTGAAACTCTGCTATTTATAAATGCATAACTTGTGGAGTGTGAGTGCAGTTGCCTGGGACGATCATCTCTACTACCAGTGCGGGAGTCGGGAATTGATAGTGTGCCGACAAATGCAGGGATGTGTCAAAGGCGGAGTATTCCGAAAGGGACCTGGTTTTGAATTTATAAAGACCCCTTCACCCAACTTGAACGTCTAACAGACAGAAAAATACATTTTCTATTCTATGAGAACTTGATTTCTACAATACAACCGCTGGATTATCTCGTGTCCAAGATTTTGATCTTCTCTACTTCACCATGCGCACTTCATCTTTGCTCTATATCTTTGCTTTCACATCCTATGTGGTGGCTGGAGATGTAGATGCCAACGATCTTCCATCCCAGTGCCAGGACGTCTGCGCCCCCGTCGTCAGCTTGACCTCATCCTGTGACAAGAAGACCAACGACGATGATACCGCCGAGCTGAACTGTATCTGCAAGGACTCTCGAGCAGCAAAGAGCCTACCTGAATGTGATACCTGTATCTCAAAGTACAGCAAGGACGGAAGAGACAATGGTATGTATGCTTTCTGGCATGATACATTGCCGACAACGCCAATTAACCATAACTAGATGCAAATGACCTTGTTCGGTCCTGCTCATTCACTACCACTGAGTACACTGCTATGACCACTTCTGGCTCGGGAAACTCCACCACCTCCGCAACCATGGCTACAGGAACTGGCTCAAGTGGTAGCAGCATCGTGACTGGAACTGCGTCCTCTTCGGGTGGCTCAACTGCCTCCAATGCCAATGCTGCTGCCACAACGTCCAACGCCGCAGTCAGCCACTCTGATTCAAATAACAACATCATGGGTGCAGTATTCTTTGGTTTAATGGCTTTCGTTGCTTAAAAAGAGGTCGAATATTATCTCAGAGATATTTAGTACTGTATTTGTTTTTGGGGAATCTGGGTTCCTTTCTCCACTTTCATGCCATCAACGATTTGTGTCCGATTCTTGAATTTAACGTCTTCTATGAAAAGAGTCAGAGCACTCAGGTATACTCAATAACACGATTACAAACGCGAAGAACGTGATGTAGAAGACCACCCAGTTCCAGTAGATTCAGTCAACCCCCCCATCAATAGCCAGATTCTGACCAATAATATAACGAGCAGAATGGCTCGCAAGAAACGCCACACAATTAGCCACATCAAAAGCATCTCCCATGCTTCCTTGAGGAATATTATGATCTGTGATTTTCTTGTGTATCTCGCGATCCTCTGCCGATTTGCTATTGCCTAGCATTTCCAACAACGGCGTATAAACCATCCCCGGAGCAATTGAATTAACCCGAATTCCCTTTGAAGCGTACATTATACCAGTCACTTTGGAAAAATGGATAACGGCTGCCTTAGCCGATGCATATGCGACTTGGGGTTTGCCGAGATATCTCATGCCTGCAATAGAAGCATTATTGATCACAGCGCCGCTGCCCTGTTTTTCCATAATGGGTAGAACAGCATTGCAGCTTAGGAACACTGATTTCAGATTCAGCTGAATCTGCGCATCCCATGCTTCCTCTGGCATCGTGGCTGGGTCTCCTGTTTTTGTTCCGCCGACGTTATTCACGAGGATGTCGATGCGGCCATACTTGGATGCTACCTCGGTGACGAGTCTTCGAATATCAGTTTGAGAGGTCGCATCGGCTTGCACGGCTTCGCAGTAATGCCCATTTTCCTTGATGTGTGATGCGGTGCGCTGTGCTGCTTCTAGGTTCAAATCACAGGCGATTACTCTTGCGCCTGATGCGCTGAGAACTTTCGCGATGGCAGCCCCGTTACCCCAGTATTTCGATGTTGGGTCGCCGGATTGGCCTGCTCCTACGACCAAAGCGACTTTATCTTTGAGGTCTGGGTAAATAGCGAATTGTTCCCTGTATTGGAATTTCAAACTTAGCAATGGCGCTCATTTTCGGTGGAGTGGGGGCTATGATATCACCTGTGAGCCATATTGCGCAAGTTTCTATGGGGCAAAAGCAACTGAAGAGCAGAAGAAAGTCCCGTCCATGGGTTTGAGAAACAAATTCGCGCGGAGGATGATAGTGTCCTTAAATAGCTGAGCCAGAGCTTCGGGGCGTAGCCGGTGGGAGACCCCCACACAGCTAGTACGTTTCGCTGCACTCTCCGATGATTGCGGATAAACGGTAAATGATATGATTGATTGGCCTCAGAAACTTCCTGCAGCACTCGTGTCGAGCCTAGTCAATTTTGAAAGTCTCATCCAGCACTTCCCCGCTCGGGAACATGCCGGCTACATAGCTAGTGGTCGTGGGGCCAACAATACGTCTCATCGCCCTCTGCAATGGAAAGAAAAAGATAATTGAAAATATGAAGTAAAAGAGAATACTTACAATATTGCGTTGTTATGTCTTTAGTCATTGAAATCAAAGATTCATCACTCATTTGCTTGAAAATAGATACCCAGCAACAGCCAAGACTATCAATTTGTCGGGAGTTGTCTTTCTCCGCATTTCCCCAGATTGATATTCTCTACTAGTAGGACTGACTGCATGCCACATACTCCGCTAATCCGGAGAGAAAAGCGATAAATAAATGGGGAATTTTCTTACCCTCCAAGGCCGCCCCCCTCAATGCAATTTTCTCAAAGGAGCATCTCACCATGTCGCAAGTTATCAATGATCTCAAAGTAGAGGCCTCTCACGATGAACACGCCATCGATATCGACCCTGCCGCCGAAAAACGGCTCGTTCGAAAGATTGATATGTATCTAATGCCTTCAGCCTTTGTTCTTTACCTATTCTCATACGTTGTACGTGGTGGAAAATAATATCATACTGAGAAGCACTCCCTTACTGATTGATCTTACTTAGGATCGATCCAATATCGGCCTTGCCAAAATTGCGGGAATGGAAGATGACCTCAACCTGAGCTCGGATCAATATTACATTGCGGTTGTCATATGGGTGATAGGATATACCATAGGTGCGGTGCCTTCTAAGTATGGACTTCCAACATTTTCTCCGAGTCCTTCAGCATGAATAATAACCGAGTTCCTCATCCACAGTATGATTTTGGCACGCACCCGTCCATCTATTTTTATTCCTGTTATTACCTTTGGATGGGGTTCCATGGCAGCTTTGATAGGTATTGTGCAGAATCAGAGCCAGCTGATTGCCCTACGATTCTTTCTGGGAATATTTGAGGCTGGTTTCAGCGTAAGATCACCCCCCGATGCTCATTGAAGTCGAATTCGAAGTCGAATGAGGTAGCAATTGCTCACTCCATTCCATAACAGCCCGCAGTCATCTTCCTCATTTCTACCTGGTACCGGAAAGGAGAGCAGTAAGTCACTATGAAACCAGCGATAGCGAGTTCAATCGGCTAACCATATCCCAGATCCAAGAGATTCATCATATTCCTCACAGCCGGGATTCTCTCCGGGGCATTTGGAAGTGTCGTTGCCGGCGCAATCACATCAACTTTAGACGGTGTACACGGTATACGAGGGTGGCGGTGGCTTTTCATCGTCGAGGGCGTCGCAACAGCAGGAATCAGCCTAATCGTTCATTGGACGTTGCTTGATTACCCACACGCCAGTCGCGGCTTGACAACAGAAGAGCAAGACCTGGCGCAGAAACGGATGGTCCAAGATGGCGGAGCCGAATACGTCGAGGACTCGGGTCAATCCATTCTTAGCGCTTTTCTAAAAGCATCCTGCGACTGGCGCACCTGGCTTCTCGTTCCGGCGTATATGTCGATTCTCGGAGCCTTGGCTATCTCATACTTTTATCCGACTCTGGTCGATGGTATGGGGTACGATTCAACGGCAGCACAGTACATGACTGCGCCCATATACCTCGTATCGCTGGGGGTCGCTCTACCGGTTTGTTATTTCGCTGACCAAAAGCCTCATCTCCGGGGTAAATTTCTGGTAGCGAATTTATTGGTGGGTATGGTATTTTTTGCTCTCACGGCGGGTATTCAGAATTATAAGGCGAGGTATGTTTTCCTTTGCTTTATCAATATGACTATTTGGACTGGGAATGCATTGGGCCTTTCCTTTTCGACGACGGCGTTGGCGTCGGTTGATAGGGATGTTCGAGCTATCATGTTGGCTATGATGAATGGTCTCGCGGCCCTGGCGCAATTATATGGGAGTGCTTTGTTTCCGGCTGAAGATGCCCCGGAGTATTTGGTTGCCTTTTCGGTTTTTGCGGGTACATTTGCTGTCGGGGCGGTTTTTTATGCGTTGGCTGATTTTCTCTTCAAACGATATCCTTATGAAGGCCGTCGGGGGTGATTTTGTGCGCTTAGTGTGGGGTGGTCACTTGAAGTTTCATCACAGTATTATTTCTCTTAATGTGGTGTCAATTGGTTATACCAAGGCTGCCAGGCGGATGAAAACCCAATCATCAGAAATCCAGATAGAAACACAGCCTGCAAGAAATTGCCTTCGCCTTAAATGTCCAATGACCCGTGATCTATTAACCAGCCAAATTTACATGCATTCTTTCCGCCAAGCAAAACAAAAGCACACTCTTCTATCAAAACAGTCAAAAAGAAATAGATGGTATAATATCGAAGCTGCACCGTGGCACACTGAAGCTTTTCCGTGCAAGTTCAGTGGAGGCCAGGCCGTTGGTCACAGCTTGGCTTGTCGAAGCTTCCTTAGTTGGTGACCTTGGCGGAGGAGGGAGCGCCAGTGTACAGGACAAGCAGGATGATGGACAGAGTAGCACCGGCCATGATACCCTTAGCCTTGGCAGGGTTGGCGCGGCGGTACTCGCCAACTTGCAGGCGAACATCAGTGGTGAGAGAGTTGATCTTCTCAGCACCGAGCTTGTAGTAGACGAGACCAGCCAGGGCGATGGAGTAACCGAAGAACTGCTGGGGGGTGACGGGGTCACGGAAGATCATCATGGAGGCGCAGACCAGGAGGATATCCTTCAGGATACCGGCCATGGTGAGGACAACAGCGGAGGTCTTGCCAATCTGTGGAGGAGTTAGCGATTTTTTGTCTTGGGAATCAGTTGGTTGCTAGTGAAGGGGAATGTTTCTTACCAGGAGAACGACGGAAGCGTTGAGCAGGAAAGCAACGAGAGCGTTGGCGATAAGAGTCATGATACCGAGGCCGTAAATGTCGTTCATAGTCATGCGGGGGACGTCGGAGAAAAGAGCGATGACACCGTTGGTGACGGCGCAGGCGGGAGCGTAGTAGTACAGGGAGACAAGAGGGTCCATCTTGAACTCAGCGGAGCTCAGCAGACGCTGGACCATGACCAGGCGAAGAGCCTCGAAGATGATACCACCGACCTGGATGAGGAAACCAATCATGTCAAACTGGATCTCACCGAAGGAGGCGATAACAACACCGACGACGATGATACCGACGTTGCCAAGGGTCTTGAAGTTGGCGGGAGCAATTCCAAAGGCCCAGGTGGCGAACAGGGTAACGACGGCGTTGGTGGCCTTGAGCATCTGGATGAAGGAGACACTCAGGTAGAGGTAGGCCAGGTTACCACAGATCAGACTCAGAGAGAACATGATACCGATGGGGACAATGGCACGACTGGATCCAGCGATTAGCGGCTGAGCTACATTACATGCACCTGTATGGCAGCCACAAAGCTTATTGAGAGGGGACTCACGTGTAGGTGGCAGGGTTCATCGGGACCTTGTGGCGAGAGTCAAGAATGGTGGTGCAGCGAGCCAGGATCTGGGTCATCAGGGTCGCGAAGGCCATGTGCCAGGTGGTCAAGAACAGGGCTATAGAGGGTGTTAGAATTGGGTATTCAATTCGAGGGGAGTTGTATCGTCAATTGGTGATCTGATTTTCGGTGGACTCACGGAAGTCTAAAGAGGAAATTCGGGTTAGTTGTCATGTTCACACAGGATTTGTTGCAACTGGCCCTAGTGAAGGGCTCCAGGGAGAGGATTCTCAACTTACTGAACTTGGCACTGTGCAGGACCCATTTGTTGAACAGAATGACGCTGGAACTCAGGGCAATCCACAGACTGGGAGGAGTAGGTTAGCAACTTGGGAACTATTGGCAATTGCTTGGGCCAGGGGTGAGCAAGAGAACGCACGCAATGTAGAAGGCGGGGTGGATGCCATCGCTCTTGGAAGCAGGAGCACCGTTCTCAAGCTTGCGTTCATCCTTGTTGTTGGCCATGGCGAAGAGTCGTGATAGCTCGTAAAAGAGTGACTGAGGTGAGTAAGTGAAGAGTGTAGATTGTAGATGGGAAAAATGCCATTGAAGGGGGTCATGCTGAATTTAGGGGCAAACGAAAGATCGGCGTGGGGCGGTGACCCCATTTGGTGGGATATGATTGGTCCACAGCCAAATTGGTACACGTCGACGCGTGGGCCCTCCGTTTCGGTTTCAGGTTTTTATCTGGCCTTTTTTTTTCTTTTTTCTTTTTTCTGTTGGTTTTGGCTTCAGGGTCTAGTGCCACACTCTGTCTGGACTCCAATGCCCCTTTTCTCAAGGCTTACTTTCTTTCGCCTATCGCCTCCTGACGATCCACCTCTACGCCATAAGAGTACTCCGCTACTCTCGCCCCCATCCTCTTTATCAAGCAATCTGTACTCTATATTCGTATCCAAATCTTCAATTGATTCATTTATCTACCTCTACCATACCGGAGACGCCTGTCACATTAACTAGTGACCCCCTCAATCCTTGGCACGATGTCTCCAGTTTCATATAATGTGCGTCATCCGCTACCTAGTTCGCCCGCAAAATCTCAATCCACAAACTCCACCTACTTAACCGCTTAAGCGTCTTGCTGCTGAATCTCCACCAAGTTCCCATCAGGGTCTTCCAGAACCAAAAATGTCTCAAACCCAATAATACTCTGCGCCTTGACAAGAGCCTCCTTAGCCGCAAAATGCTCACCCGCAAACTCACCAATCCCAAATGCGTTCTGCATCCGGCCCGTATGCGCCGTAATAGGAACCCCCGTTTTCTTAATGATCGTAGCCCCCTTCTCTTCGAAATATTTTTCCGCCTTTTTAATGTCTGGCACAATGAGTCCGACATGACCAAAGGTGTTGGTGCGTTGGGTCGACGCCTGTGGATTATCATCCGACACGTTGAATTGTACGAGCTCAATGAGGCCGGCCAGGTTGTTCTTGTCGCGTAGAAGTTCTGCTCCGGTCTGGTATCCAGTGCCGTTTCGTCCGCCTTGAGCGAACCCCATATAGGTCACGGTGAACTCGGGCGTCACGTGGGCATCGAAGAGAAGTCGCATCCCCATAATGTCTCCGTAGAAATGTTTCATCCCAGTGAGGTTCTTTGTTACAAGACCAATATGGTTGATGGCAAAGCCAAGAGTCGCTGCAGGTGCTGGGCCGTCATTGCCAATAGTAAACGGACCGTTGGTGTTGTCAATGTCCCGGGGAACGCAGGCGTAGGCTAATGAGCCTAGCAGCAATGCAATGCAGTATCGAAGTAACATGGTCAAATGCATCAAATAAAAATAAAGAAAAAGGTAGGGTATTTAGGAATGGACTGTATATCAAAGAGGAGCGGGCTTGATGCTTTTGAGTTGTATATTCCCAATGATGATATCTCGAGGAATCTAAGATCCTTTTATATTTTTTCAACTCATACTCATTTATCAAGTCGGGGCCACGGACTATTAGGCGTACCGCCAGGCTGACATCCTTTTGCTACTATATTGGCAGTGGCAATGGCGTTTTTATGCAAACCTGCTATGAATATGACATCTGCCTTCGTTGCTCACCTCTTGGCCGAGACACGGCGGGGTGCTTGGAACTTCATATGGCGAATCATGGTGCGGTATTGTAGATCAGATCCTGGATTAAGAAGCAATGCTAAAATGGCCCCCATAACTCTAAATTTGCATGCTTTTGTGAGAACCCTTGAAGAGACAGTTTGATTGAAGGTGAAAGAACACAAATCTACGCAGAAAATACATCTTGAGGGCTCTTCTGTATACGCCGGACGATTGCATATTCAGCTAAAGAGGCTCGCAATAGTTCTCAAAATATTTCGCTACGATGATCTGTCTTGACTGAGGCTGTACCTACTCCTGCAGGGCTGACGTCTATTGCCAAGCGCTGGGTCGGACTCCAAGCAGAAACAAATGCGCTCCAATCAGCTCAAAGCAAGAGTGCTAATCTCACCGCTCCGCCCTTACTACATCTTATCTAGTTCCAAGTTGGTTATCTCCTCTTTAGACTTTTACTGTCTTTTATTTTTCTAAATCGGGGCTTGATGGCTTGGTATAATGGAAGTGAATAATATTTTTGTTAGCACGTTGTGGGGGCGATAGGTCTACCCAGCTGGTACTAGCACTTTGGGAAAGAACCCAGCACCTCGAATGCCTTGCCTTGGTCAAAAGTATTTCAAGCCGTGTAACGTGACATTGTTCATGGCCCTAGTTCAAGAGATAACTCCCTATCGAAGCCACTGAGGTGGGCGGTCTACGAGAGAGAAGAGGAGTGAGGAGTTTATCACCCCGCATCACTCCGGCCCCCATTCCAGATCACCTTGCAAGAACATAACTTCTTTGCCTCCAACACTCCGTGAATAATTATGGACATAAACCTAGTGGATGAAGACAAAGCATCGAACTGCGACCACATCCCCATCATCGACTTATCGAACATAGATAGCCCAGATGTCGAGAAACGCCAAGAACTTGCTCGAGCAGTCTACGATGCATGTACCCGTGTTGGTTTCTTTTATATCAAGGTATGTGGGTTACCTTGTTTGATAAACATCGCATCTTTGGCTCTAAAATGAATGGTTTGATAACAGAACCACGGCATACCCGAGCACTTGATCAGCGAAATCCATGATGTAGCAGAGAGATTCTTCAGTCTTCCAAGTAAGGAGAAGATGAAGGTCTATATCGGAAACTCAAAGGTTAATCTACTCCAATGAAAATAAGTGATATACAAGAGGGGAGAAAACTCAAAATCTCGTTTGTTTGCAGAAATACCGCGGGTATAGTCCTATCGGTGCTGAACGGACCACAGGCACAGATGATAACCCCATCCCAGAGGAAGAAGCAGCTGGTGTCCTTTCCGAGGCCTTCGTGATCGGCTATGAAAACGCGCTTGATTTTCGAAAATCCGAGAATGATCAGTTGCCTCTTGATACTTATGAGCTATATGGCGACAACCAATGGCCTCATGGTGAGACCATCCCTGGTTTCTCCGCAACCTACATTCAATATTGTGCCACAGTTCTTGAGCTCTGCCGGAGAATGGTTCGGATTTTTGCACTTGCGCTAGAAGTTCCGGAAGATTATTTCGACTCAAAGATTAGCAATCCTGGCGTCATCTCTAGAATGATGCATTATCCTGCTCAGCCAGTGGGAGACCCACGTGAAGGGCTTGGGGCCCATACAGTGAGAATTTCCTTCCGCTCCTATCAACTTCGTTACTGACGAAAGGAAAAATCTAAGGACTTCGAGTGCTTCACTATACTTTCTCAGGATGCGGTTCCTGGGTTGCAAGTCTTGAATCACAACGGCGAGTGGATTCTAGCGCCACCTATTCCAGGTACATTAGTTGTGAATATTGCCGACTGTTTATCGACTTGGTAAGTTCAACATATCACACTTTTAAAACGAATCATTCTGACACGGAATTATACTAGGACAAATAAGAAGTTCAAATCTACGATTCATCGAGTAGCAAATCTCTCGGGCGAAGAACGCTACTCAATCCCTTTTTTCTTCGGAGTCGACTACGACGCCACTGTGTCTGTTCTAGAAAACCACACATCAAAGGAGAATCCACCGTGTAGAGAGCCTTTCAAGGCTGGCGATGTGAGTTCTTCATGATAAAAATATTGGATGTGGCGCACGGAAACTAATCCGCCCTCTAGTGGGTCCGCGAGAAACTATCCAAGGCATATCTGCCCTACGAAGGGTGATATTATTATGAACTTGAATATGACCACTATAGGCTATTTATATAATCCTCACTTCCAACGCAGAAACAATATCAGCCGGAATCAACAATTTTTTTATATCATTCTTATAATAAAGTTGCCACAGAGAGCCGCAGCTTCTGCCGAATGGTCTTAAAAATGCTCAATGTAGCGTCTGCAGCTTCATGATGACGTGCCCAGGGCTCTGTCATTTCTATAACCATGCCAATTAGCTCGTCAAAATCCGGCACGAGTGAGGTGAGTGATGGTGTTGTTTTTGCCATTGAAACCACGAAGACAGCAGCCAGAAGGCTATAATAATGATTATTAGTATTGAAGTGTATGCCGTTTTATAGGCGGGATGGAAAACTTACGCCTGTAGTCTCAGCCAAGTTGAATGTGTTCTTCGCCCAAGAAGTGGGACTGATGCGTGTAGCAGCTTTCGACAACTGTCTACACAGGTCTCGCAATTTGCCTTGACATATTCCGATAAATGATCTTTACGAGAAACTGCCGCGAAGACAAGACATGGACGAGAAATGATATGTTTTGCCGCATGATATCTTGTACGTAGTTGAGTGTCTTGAAGATCTCGCGAAGTCGGGCTTTGGAGATCTGGCTTGATGGATTCGGGCAGAGAGTCGAACCACGCTTGGAGTTGCCGACTTAGCTCGATATTGACTCCCTCAAGCGATGCGATTGAAGGCTCGTAGCTTAGTCGAGACCCATTGGTGAAGTTTCCTCGGTAGGATGATTTGTCTGGATTGAGTGTCTCGGCGGAGTACATTGTGTTATGGATGCGATTTAAAAGTTTCCGGATAGAGCACATGGCGAGAAACATGAGGTTATTTCGCTCATTTGGATCTGTAAATTCGGGGAATGATAATCTATCGACAAGAACTTCGATTCCACTGCGAGGGAAGTGAAACTCCGCGAGATCGTCGCTGTGATGTTTCCGATATTTAGCTATTGATGCATTGATACCGAAATTATGCTCACCATTCAAGAACATAACAGCCCCAAGCAATTCGGTTCAGTAACGCATGCTTATTCGAGGGAACACTCTTCTCATTCAGACTGAAACCATTAGCACATAATCCTATACAAAACGGAAGGACTGGATATCTACTATGAGTAAGTCAGTTGGACAACGGTAGAGGCTGTATGTATCAATCGCCATGCTTGAAGTGGTCTTCCGCTGTATCGAAAGTATAAGGACGCATAGAAGAATGTCAGCGGGACAGTCTGATCTCTTGAAAAGAGTGTGGTTTGCCCGGCCATCAAAATTTGATATGCATGGGCAAAATATTCTGCGCCGATTCCGGTCAAAGATGATTCCATATCAAACAAATCGTTATGTCTTGAGAACGTCTCCCCCAGTGCTAACACTGTGAGACATAGGGCAGCACCAATCTCACCGATCTGGTCATTAGCTAAGAACTGCTCGAGCAACTGTAAAAATGGCTCCTTTTCCAGAATAGGAAACTGAGAGTGTACATGCGTAAAGAAATTTGAAATAATCAAATTCGTTGCGGGTATATCTAGATTCAGCCGCTCAATAATCGTAGACATTGCAGTTCGCGGTGTGAGAAAGGGTATCTTGCGCTCAGACTCGAGCAACAAAAAGAAATCTTGCGAATAGTGACCAATAAGTTTTCTAATTGGATCAAGTCCTAAAAGATTTCCAGTTGGTGTTTGGTGACCTAATGGAATAAGAATTGGATCGTTTTCCATGTATGCTTGCCCGATACCGGGGGTCATCAACACAGGGCCATCGGCGTGAAGAGAACCGGGTATAGATTGAAGGCTTTGTCTTCGTGTCTGTGAGAATACCACGGAAGGACTAGCAAGCGAAAAATTCACCGTATCCCGATTGGAATAATCCGATAACACGCGATCGGATAGCGTAGTGATCACTGCAGTCTGCTTCTGGACAAGACTCTCCAACCGATCTAAACGAAGCAAGAGTTCTGCTGATATATCACTCTCAGACCTCCGCATATTGTCAGCGGTTGTTGCTATCTTTCAACTTAACTTTGAATTACCTTTCGCTCGTATTCTCTTGGTATTCGCACTGAGCGCCTGCATTGGCGCAAAACCCACAAGCGGGCTTCTCGCCGTCACATTTTCTTTTTCTAAAAAGAGTCAATGGGCTAGGTCTAGGCTCGCAAGACCAGCTTATGGATTCTTGCTTACCGATGCCTGCAGAAGGTACATGCAATCGCGGCGCGTTTTCGAGGGAAGTCCATCTGGCTGCAAGGATTCTTAAAGGGAAGGGAGGATCGGATCTGGGGAAAAGGTGGGGCAACTTGTTTGGCGGAGATTGTTAGTATTACTACGAGTAATATATTAGTTACTAGTACATTCTAGTACAAGTAACGCCTTATTAATCATCTTCTGCATAGTACAGTAATGCCGAGTTCCCTTCATTTTCGTCAACTTTATTCAATCTCAAATTTCACATAAGAAACTAAGCTGTATTCCATCAAATAGTTAGAACTTGTCCTACTTCTGCATTACCAGACTGGTCAACACCTCTGCCTTGCCCAGACTCTCAGTAAGATTTGAGACCCGCCAATTGGAGCAAGCGATCGGAATACTCAGGCTCCTCAAGAGGCTTGGATCTATTGCGAGGATCCACGCTCCCATCGTCGAAACAAGCTTCTCTCTCACGAATGACAACATTATCATGTGCCCAGTGAGTGGTTGCCAGGAATGAATCAAATGCCTCTCTCTTCCGCTCAAGGGTCTCTCGAGTAGCCAACTTCGCCGGTGAATATGACGCGTAAATAACCGTTCTAATAGTGTCGCTATCGGCCGTGGGCTCACCACCCCAGTGCACTGTGCGTGAGTCCCAGACAATCAAGTCACCAGGCTCGGCAAGTACTTTGATGGGCTTCATACCGCGAGACTCAAACCAAGCCATTTCATCCTCACTGATGAAGCGAATATCCCTTTTCTCCCACGTATCTGCTTCTGTTTCCGTGTCAAGGAAGTTTTCCATCACGGTATTCGATCTCGGAAGCACAATGAGCGATCCATCCTCCGGACCGGCATGGCTCAGGTTGATAATTCCCTGAACGCAGTGCAGACCTCGACGCAGGGGCGACTGATCCACATGGGGCCAGGGCTTGAGGGCAGACTTATCCTCCCTATTGGGTAAAGTCACATTCAAGGCATCGAACGATACTAGTAATTCATCGGTACCCCAGATCTTAGAAAAGGCGTCCAAGATCTTAGGCTCCATGCGAGCCTCCCACATGAACTTCTCATGGACCACCGAGTAATGCTTGAAGGTGTTCACTTTGCTTTGTATGGGTAGGTTTTCTGTTGTCCAGGTGGAGCGGTCTTGAAGGTCGAGTGGAGTGCCGAAGGATTGTAGCCAATCTAACGCCTTTTGTTGGTAATATTGCGCCTTTTCAGGGTCAATCGCGTTCTTGATCACGGCGTATCCTTGCGACTGAAGGTCATCTCGCCAGTCCCCGTATGGGCCTGTGAGGCTGATAAATGGTAAGTACCTGCACTAGTAGATGTAAGACAAGCCCAGAAGCCTCACCTGAACGAAGACTTATTGAGTGTACTGGTGGTAGTAGTACTAGTTGAAGACATTATGGCTGGAGTTCTGGTAACCGTTGGAACTTGGTTTTGGCTGAGAACAAAATCCCATATTTATGTTGTTGAAAAATTTACACATCTCCTTCATGGGTCCTGTGCAAATTACCGGCCACGTAATTAGCACATCAAAAAGCACAATACTCCTCGAAATGCTGAACCCCGCGGCGGGTAAACGGGCCGCCGACCCCTTCGTGCGAATTTAACTGGTTGTTGAAAAAGGTGGGCCAGTCAGCAACAATTGGCATGCTCCAATGTCTAGATCATGGTATGTGATTAGTTATTACTAGTAGAGGGACAAGACGGGACATCTTATGCCAGAGATCCCGATACTTAATAGTCAAGACAAAATCGCAATATCATGAGTTAAATGGTCATGATAGTATTCCATGGTTAATACCAGTACTGACTCGGACCTTGGAAGACATCCACCATATGAAGGTACTACTAGAGATAAATATACATGAAAAAGAGTCAATTTCCATAGACCATATTATTGAATGCTCTGCCGAGCTTCAGCAAAACACATAGGGATAAAAAAAAGAGTCGGATATGAATATCGATTCCCTCACTCTAGTACCACAAAGCCTCATTCCAGTAGAGACTCTTCGCATTAGCGAGGTCATCTTCTTGGGTATACATAGTAGTGTTGAAGACCAGCTCAGTAGCATTGCTACCATACTTCGGCCAGTAGGTCTTGTCGCTGGCCCACTTCTTGTTCGGGTTTCCAGTCAAGACAAAGGAGAGGAGGTATTTCTGCATTTTGCGCTGTATAGATGATCGTCGTTAGCATGAGTCCAGAGATGAGCGAAAGTTTCAGGATTGGGATAACATACAGCAACCACAGAGCTCACGGAGGAGCTACCGCTGATAGCGACTCCGGCCCCGGCAGCAGCAGCGCCGGAGCTGGAGCTGGAGCTTGAAAGAGAGTAGGTGCTATACCCTGTTCCCGCGAGATATTAGCCTAAATTCAAATCAAAAGATTGCATGACGTGAATGGCTTCTTACAGTAGTAACTCTGATCAGTACCGTGAGTAGCCTGCCCGAGGGCAACCATCGCATTCCATGTGTTGTTGTTAAGAGCGCGGGTCACGGCATAGTCGTGAGCAGTAAGGTCGAAGGATTGTCTCATATCCGCGAATCTGTACCCGGGACTCGAGTAATCAGAAGCAGGGTATAGATCCATGATCTCCTTGACGACATCATCAGTGATACTGGGGAAGAAGGCGCGAAGTTCACTCTCCACATCTGCGGTGGTGTTAACGCCAGAAGTGGGCGAGCCGTTGTTCTCGTGCTGCTCGTGTGTAATGACCAGTGGACCAGTCCAGTTGAAACGACCCTGGTAAAGCTGCGACTCGTAGGTATCAGCCACAAAGTCGCCGTCGACACGGGGCTGGAATTGGTAGCCGTAATCATCGTAGACATCGGTCGCGGCATCGGTCAAGTTGGTGAAGGAAACACTGCGCATGCAAGCCAGATCACCACCATTGCATCCGACGGCCGTGGAAACGTTCTGCCAGAAAACTTCGCCCTGGTGATGCCCGGCACCGGGAACGAAGCCGGGGGAAGTCACGTAGGCTTTATGGAAGAGCTGCTCATTGTGGCCTCCATAGCGAGTCATCATGAAAAGAGGCATACTTCCACCAGCGGAAAAGCCGAAAGAAGTGACATCGTCCGGGTTACCGCCGAAGTTGCTAATGTACTTCTGAACCCACTTGAAAGCATGTTCGACGTCGTATAGAGCGACATTATCAGTGGCGCCCTGGTGAGTAGCAGTCACCGAGTTCGCGATTCCAGTAATTCCAAGACGATAGTTGAAAGAGACGAAGATGAATTCCTTCGACAGGTCGAAAAGACCTTCCGGTGTGTTCTCTGATTTGGAGCCACCGGTAAAGCCACCACCATATGTCCAAACCATCACGGGTAACTTCTTGTCCTTTGCATTGGCTGGTGCCCACACATCCATGTAGAGGCAGTCCTCCTCGGACGAGCAGTCAACATCGGCAGTGGCGTATGTTGTGCCATTGTTGATGTCCATTTCGGTCGAAGGCCACTGAGGCTTTGCGAAGCGCAATTTGCCAGTCGGGGCCTCGGCAAATCGAATGTTCTGGTATTTGTAGTATCCCAAGGTACTGTTTCCAGCGGCGGCCTGGAGAGTGGTATAGTCAAGAGCGACGGTAGGCTTGCTCGTCGATGCGCTGGAAGTTGGGACCGCTGCAGCCAGGGGGGCTGCAATCGGCAGTAAGAACGTGGAGAAATGCATTGTATGCTGAGCTTAACCCACAGGGCCGGGCAGGTGAGTTGATGAAATTGTGTTGCAGATGTTCCATGACTCTGTTCGTCTTATGTAGTATCCCATATCCTTGTCTACCCAGGATATCTTCGTCACGGTCATGACGCGGCAATTCGCGCCACTCCAGGCAAACTAGCATGAGAAAACAATATCAAGGCATTTAGCCCACATTTCAAGCTGTGTTAGCAAAGGCCAAGAGACGGGAGATCCAGATAAATGACCGAAGTACTCCCGCTAGGGAGTGCGGAGCACATTAGACTTGATCGAGACACGAGGCAGCTGCAGATTATCCACAAATACCATTCTAGATCTTATGTTTACCGAAGTCTGAAGACCCCATTGCTTGGTTCGCCCGGATTTTCGAGATAATCTAACCAAAACCAGCAGAATGGTCCGTATACTTACGATGATCGGTGGGCTTGAACGAGGCGGCTCGAGAATATCCGAGTGGCTCAGACCGTAGGGGGTTCTTTCAACGACCCACACGAGAGATTTTTTATAGCAGTGATGACGAAGATCTCAGGCTGTCTTTCTCCGATCTGCATTCAAGGTTTTGGAGGAGAATCAATTGCAGGATTGCCTTCCCAAGAGATTGTGGGGATGGTAACTATTCTAGGGCTGAGCGGGTGAATTCATTCCCGGCCACCAAAAATAACATTGGAATCGTCGTGTGAAGAATCTTGATAGAAAGGAAGGACTGTATTCTGAAGACTGAACTAAGGTAGTATGATAGACCAAAGTGTCACCTCCCAGGGAGAAGTTTGTAAAACTATTCATGGATTTGAACACAAATCAACAACTCACATCGTAAGCTGCCATGGCATTGCTAGTCCTTTTTGTAAGATGGCAGTCTCCACAAATTTTCCACAAGAATCTAATCAAATTAGGGGTTGAAACGTTTCCACAATCTCAATGGACCAATAATTGGTTGTCAAAGGGCACTTGTAGAAGAGAAGATGTTCTTGTCTTGATCATTGTATGTACTTATTGTGTAGACCTAGCCGAGCCGAGCACCGCGGCCTCCACGATGACCCAGAGAGAGAGAGAGAGAGAGAGAGAGAGAGGGAGAGAGACAGGGAAAAAGAAGCCACGACCCAACACCTATATAACCTATTTCCCTGCTTTATTAGAGACGCACAATCCCACTTAAATGAAGAAAAATATCTCCGAAAGACCAACCAACACCAACTATCCCACAAAACTCCCAGGTATGTCGCTGTAATATGTAAAACATTCTAGTTTTGGGCGGAAAGCAAGAGACTCAAATTTCTTGCGCGTCCAGTGCCCAAATCTCCCAGTGTTGTAACACCTCCCATCCAACTCGTCTCATGCGTCGCCGGCTAACTTGTCCGTCATTTGTTAGGACGGGAGGAAAGCAACCCGTCTTTACGAAACCGGGGTGAGTGCTCTCGGATGATTCGCGGGTAGTAGTATGATAAAGGGACATCCGGCTTCTGCTTTCGCTTTCGTCGTCATCATCCCGATTACGCTTGCCTAATGTTGACGCAGGGATATTTGTGGCAGGGGTGGAAGTTGTGTCGGCGCCGGATTGTCCGTTGGTATCGTGACCACCACTTTCTTCTGACGTTGCTTCGTGCTGGTCGGAGGTAGGGTCGGGCGACTGGGATTCAGAATCATCGTAAACCGGTAAGGGCGCCTTATAGAAATCGCGTAGCTCGAATGACTTCCATCCCATACCGACGACCTTGACATTTCCATAGACATTCTTGTCAGCCAGATCATAGCTCATCATCTCCATGAGCATGTCATCGTCCAGATCAACGATGTCTGCCAGGCTACGGGCGTTTTCGAGCTCCCGCTCGATCTCTTTGGTAAATTTATGCGGTTGCTGTTGTTCTGAGAATGTAAGACTTTTGGCAAGCTTTGGGAATTTTGCGGCGCTATCGCCACTGAGTGTATGGGATGTGGCTGAATTCGGGGCAGTGCCATTCATACCGCCTTGCGGTGATGCGGAGCCCGCGGGTATCAACAAGCGAAGGGCTACCAGTTTGCGAAGGAAGGGTACCAGCATCCCCAGTGACTCCATACTTGAAAATTCCGTGGCGAGAGCGAGTTGCTCCAAGTTCGGACAGGAGTGGACAAGTCTTGCAATCATGGCTGTTGAAAGAGGCCATTTGGAACACAGAAGTAAATGGCGTAGACTGGCGCCGTGGTTTGTGGTAATGTGGGATAGATAGCTATCACGAACGCTGGTGGCCAGGTTCAGCTGACTAGCCGGCGATGCTGCGGCGGGCGAATTTCCCATGACGCCATTTGGAATTTCATGCACTGGGGGTGTGAGTGCTGATGAGGCAGGCCCGAATCCCGGGCGAGGAGAATTGAGGTAGTCGCTTGAATCTGCAGTCACGTTCACGAAGTATAGTCGCTCGAGTCCTCTGAAATTGCCCAGGAATTCCGAGTTGCGCTTGGAGACCGCATCCACACGAATGGATTTGATCTGCAGTTTTTTATGGGGCATCATCGTTGGCCAACTATTCTCGATAAATGTGTTGACGAAGCCTGTATTATCCGTGCCGCTCAGGAAGGTGACATCCTCGACAGTGGTCGGATCAAATGCGACATTGAATTCCTCGGTGTGGAAAGCATACATATTCTGGAAGGAAAGCTTCTTGACGGGTATGGGGTGTTTTGCTGCGATGCATTTGCGGAAATATTCGTGCAGGGACACGCTGGGCTCTTGCGCGATGCGCATACGAGGAGACCAATGGAGCTTGAGTTCGCGTAGCTTTTTGCTCTTGAGGAGCATTGTCGCTATGTCATCGGGGTAGCAGAGCGGGTCGATATCAGTGATTTTGAGAGATCGCAAATGCGGCATGCCCGGAAGCACGAATGTGGGTTGAGGGTGGCGAGTAGAGGGGAAGCGGATCGTTAATGTCGTGAGTCGAGGAAGCTGCGTAAGTCCATGATATACAGTGTCCAGCATTTTGGTATTGAGTTCCCAGTGGAAGCTCTCGAGGTTGGTCATGCGATCTACTGCCGCCCGCACCGCGATGTTCAGCAACATCGACGAGTCGGGCACGCGGCCAACCTGGGAATGCTCCTCCAGTTCTCTTTCCTTCCAGTCTCCCCGGAGTGTTATCGATCGAACGAGCGTCGCATATGGTCGGGTGATGATTGCATTCAGACCCATCGTGAAGGGACTGGCGCTTCCGATTCCTTCTGGTTGTTCATTGCGATAACGGATTTTACCGTAGGAATTGAGGGTCAGGCTGCGATAAAGCTGTGGCAGGGCCATGTAGTTGAGAACGCGACATGTGCGGCATAGCCGGGCAAGATCGCCAGTATCGTCGACCTATATAATATATCATGTCAGTTCAGTTTTGGTTGACGCGACCTATGAGGGGAGAGCTGACATGCGAGACGATTTGCACGATCAGATTCAGTGGCAGCCTCATTAACAAGCCACCACCGGGCCGATCGGTGGTGATACTGGCACCAAACATATTTTGATTGACGGCCGCCATGATGCGACATGCGACATCTGGTCTGTCAAGGCATGGGGGGATGGGGGGAACCTGTGGAAGTGAAAGGGAGGAGGAATATGGGGTAGGCTCGTTCGGAGCAAAAAGTTCCCGATCGCGCAAACGATCCACTTGGACCAGTCAGCGCTCGCCCCAATGTAATTCATAACTTTGACCCAAGGATAATCCAAGTGTGCTGGGCACGTTTTCTCTTTCCGAGGTTTCCATGTGCATGAGCTGACCATCGTCGGATGACGCAAGGGAGTGTGGAGGCTGTCAGGCACGAAATGACACTGCGAGAGAGAACTCGGTACGAAACTGGGGAATTCCTGCTGACAAGCCAAGATTGTATATGATCAGCAGGAAAGTACTAGTAGTAAGTGGTTGATATTAACAAGTATGTAGTATTATATGTATAGTCCTAGGGTATCTTCTTTTTACATAGTTCGGATCCATATCCATCGAACCATGTCCTAAATCCTTAACCCAAATCCATATATTCAAATAAATCACCCAAATAAAAACGCCATGAAATGTCGGTCAAAGGCCGAAGTCGCATCGCAACCAAACAGCCCTAATACGCCTGCGCACATGCATGCAATCGCCCCGCAACGGAACAGGTACAACAAAAGTTCACAGAATCAAGGAGACTCGTGCCTACGAGTCGGCTGGTGTGAGCCAGAGCCACCATGTTCGGAAAGAGCGTCGTCTCTATCCTCTGAAACTGTTGTCTCGGTCCAGCTGGCTTGGTCGGCGATGACGGTATGTTCTTCGGGTTGAGAGCCCACATCTTCATCGATCAGCGCCGCTGCTTCAGGGTCATATCGTAGAGTGTAGTCCCCATCCCCATTTTCAAGATCCGCATCGCTCCAGGGGGCGGAAGCCTGTGGCTGGGAGGGGATCACTCTCACGGGAAGATCCGGACGGGTAGATCGGGGTTCGTGACTGGTTTGGCTAACTTGGCTAGCTCTCGATTGATGTGCGCTGCTTGAGTCAAGCAGTCGATTTTGTGGAGACCATGTATGATGTTGTCCCCTTCGACGAGCAGGGATGACAGTAACCGACAGTGGCGTATCCGAGGCTTGTCCCGAGCCCAAAAGTCCCTTGCGAGAGAAAAGGGGTTTCACTTTGGCCTGCGAATTGGGTTGCGTGTCTGGTTCCTGCCCATCAGGCTCATCATCGTCATATAACTCAGATTCGTCTTGGCCCACAGGCTCTCCACCGGCTTGTGCGGAAGCAACTTCCCGTGGGAGGGATGCACGTCTCCGCCTGAAAGGATTGAGAATAGCTCGCCAGCGGGGGTCCTGGACAATCTGAGGGGACTGTTCTCTGGCCTCTGCTTGGGGTGGGGTTTGATCGGTTCCATTATGATCTTGTCTGTCTTCGATCTCGGGTTCCTTTGCTTCCTCCATTTCCTCTTCTTCCACCATATGCGGCATCGTCACTGGTGGTGTAGGACTAGAAACCGGATGGTATCGAACATTATATACTGTGCTTGCCGCACTAGTAGTATCAGCCCGGCTGACTGGGGTCACAGCAGCCGGTGGTGGAGTAGGACGGGTGCTGTTCTGCGGGAAAGTGGCATTGTTCGTGTTCGGCAACAATCCTCCCATGTTGCGATTGCGATTACCACGAGGGATTCCCACTCGAGTTCGAAGAGGACGATGGCCCAGACCCATCACTCCACCCCATCCGGACGATGCACCATGCCCGCCTCCTTTGTCGCCATGCCCCGTATAGCGTGGCCAATCAACCTCTTCCGAAGGAGTGACTTCGAGCATTTCATCACCATCGAAAACTTCTCTTCCGAGAATTCCGTCTTTCGTCTCGTCTCGTTCGAGTGCTTCTATGCGTTCCACCCACTCCCAGACTACCACACTCGCGGCAGCAGATCCAACCCATCTGATGTAGGTACCCCATCCGGCGATCTCCGGCCGTGCGATATCCAGAACAAAAAAGACGACCGGTATCAAAATCGCGCAGTAAGACAAGAGCGCAACCAAGGCGATATTGCGCATCTTCGGGTGAAAGAATGCGAAACGATGTTTCGAGATCGAGTAAAAGATCACCCATGCGGCATATAGTAGGTTGAGAGCCAGTTCGAACAGATAGCTGAGTGCGGGAATCGCATCTTCGTATAATCTCGGATGTGTCGAGGTATTCCTGAACCAAAAGTTCTCCAAAATGCTAAATGTGGTATCCAAGACGATCAGCGCAAACCCAGCCCACTTGATCATGACTTTCTCCTTATGTCGTGGGAACAGTCGAATCAAGGTTTGGACTTGCGCCAACCACAAGAATGTACTCGAGATGACGCGAACGATCCGAATCTCCAACCCATCGATCACCTCTTCAGAAAGTGCCTCCGCGTCGGAATATCCATAGTCATATTGGCGCTCCGCGACTCGGAAAGAATCAACTGTGGCAATCGTCAAGGATATAGCAACGAGAATCGCGGCCACCTTTTGCAGCCAGGGGCGACCTCCGACTCCGACGACTGAGGAATTTCCACTATACGAGCCGCTGATCATCCCATGGCGTCCGAGGAAATTCGCGCCACCCCCAGGTCCTCCAACGTAGAATGTTCGCGGTGTGATGAGAAGTATTATAACCAGGACGTAACTGACGACCGTTGCGCATCCGATGGCATAGAGTTGTGGTGTGACTGAGGAATAGAATGGATCGCGGGTATCAAGGACGGCAGAGACATGAGTATAATCCTCGGGTTGGCCTGTACAAACAGGTTCGTAGACGGCGTTTTTATCGAGGGTCACAGTATAGGAATTGTTAACGTGTAGAATGCCTGTGGCGGGGTGTCGCAAAGGCAGCAGAATTAGTATTGAGTCCAAGTCCAACAGGGGAGCGAGTTCAGGCGAAAGTAATGCGCGCACATACCATCGCTGGGTAGAAGAATTGGAGTACAGCCGGACGCATATGTCTTGGTCGACGTGGTGGTCGGGTTCGCCCAAATCTGGCGGGGAGTCACACGGGGTGCCTCATCTCCCATGGTCGAGTCGATTCAGGCGGTTTCTAGGCTCGACTCGGCCACTGCAGATCATGCAGTCCAACAATTTCCGCCGGATCGCCTCTCGATGTTCAACGCAGAATATAGTATCGGTAGCTAGTCTGCTAGACGGCCATTCTCGAAGGGAGGCCGCGCGTGCAGGACCAGATGCGGTGCGAAAGGGAGGCGAATAAAAGCGCAGTCGGGAATCGGGTTACCGGTCGGCGAAGGGGTGAGGGAGAACGAAGAATATATAGCGGTAGAATACAACGCGGTCAGGGATGAGACCTGATCAGGAAGCGGGGGAGATCGGTAGGTGAGAACAAGTCAAGTCAAGGAGAGAACTTGAAGAGTCTGGAGTCTCTCCTGGGGTTGAAGGTCGAGATGATCCGCCACTCTGGTCCACTTGGCGTTCGTTCTCCACTCTTTTTTTCTTACGCCTACTACTATTTAGCAAGGAAAAGATCACTTTCTCTAGAAGGCCTTGATTCATTTCGAGTACACTTGTCGCATTGAAATTACACTCTAAAGAACCCCATCCGGGGAAAATCGTCACGAGAAAATGAAGGCGAGGAAGACGAGGAAGGCGATGACATATAGGGGGGCCAGAGAAAGGTCCCTCCAAAAAAAGGCATGTCCAGATGCTGCCCAGGCACTGGTATCTCTCTCTCAACAATTCAAATCGGCAAACACAAATGCCAGTGTAGAACGTAGAACATGGAATTTTCCGAACTCCAGAGGAGACGGACAAGACGTGCAGAACGTCCAAAGCAAAACGCCAGAGCAATAGAAGGTCAAGGTGAAGATTAAGGTATGGTAGGGGCTGTCCAAAACTCAAAATCAAGGAATCATAAGAAGATTTTGTTAGAATAAGGACCAATCCCACTCCGGGGCATGCCATTGGAGGGGTGATCGCCAGAGGATGATCCCAAGACGCTGGTTGGAGAATTGCTGAGTGTTGCTGGATGCCCATGAATGGGTACATGGGTTATAGATCGAGGGGAGGCTGCGCCATCACCTGTTGCGATGTCGGGAATTGTGCTCTTTGGGTCATAACGCAATCTGCTCCGCCAAAATAATCGACTGCTTTCAAGTTGTCACAGTGAACTTTTCACAAGTCGGCAAAGGAACAAGGTGAAACGGACAGAATACCATTCCAGCATGTCATCTCAGTCTCTCGATGTGCAGGGAGGCTGCCATTTCGACCTTCTTTAAAAAGCCGTCCCGAGTAGAGTACGCCGGCGAATTTGGCTCTAATTAATCGCTGGGTTGGAGCAGGGGTCATAGTGAGTTCTGCCCCCCTTGAGCCCTTGAGTTTCTTCCTGTGATAGAAGTCAGTACACATCCTTTGCTATGCCAGGAAAGGTGGTGGTAGAATGATTTACAAGTCATTAGAGACAGCGCTCTAGCAGCAGGAGGTGGATTCTCTCAAGGTGAGATAATAGACTGACGGGTCACTATAATAAGGAAAGTGTATAGACTGTGTCCGATCACGATTCTTGCAAAGCAAGCATGTTGTCCGAGTTGTTGCTGCAAAAAAGCCCGTACTCCTGCATCTTCATATAGACATGTGGAGTCCGTGGTCTCTAAGTAAACCGGTCTGAGTAGAGTCCATGTATATCGTTTCGATTGTGAATAGGTAAAATACAAAAGGATCATGTCTTAGTGAAAGGTTGACGGAGAAGATGTGTTCATGAGAGACAGAGGGATGAGAAGGAAGTTAAGCCTTCCTTGGGGGGAGATCGCGATTTATAAGTAAACAGTCAACAGGAAACAATGGAAGGAGGAAGGTGCAAGGCAGGCAAAGAAAAGTGGAAATTGGGAGTTGTGGAAGGTGCTACCAAGGGAAGGTACAAACAAGGTAGAATACTAGTAGTAGTAGTATAGGTACTATTAGTACTAGTGGTTATCCATTTATAACTCTTGAAGAAGGCAGTCTACCGAAGATCAATCTCAGTCAAATGCGTAGTTTATATTATGTGCTGCACGCATTCAAATTTATAGTAGACACCATGTACAAGCCAAGCCGCGTCAAGACTTAGGCGCAAGGTCACCAATTGTCACATAGATCATCTCATCTCAACATCCTCCGAACAAAGCTAGCCTGCTAGCCAGCCAGCCGACAAAGAACAAAAACGAATGGTTTCATTTTCCACACACACACCCAGCAAGCGGAAGGGGGGAAAAGTACTCAGGCTCATTAACAGTTTGATTTGGATTTCACGGATTAGGCTTATGCCTGGGCAGCGAAGCCGAGGCGAGGTCCGTTGGAGTCGAACACAGTGTACTGGCTCTTCAGGAAGATGTCACCGAAGATGGAGAAGCCGAGACCGGAGTTGCTCTGAATACCGCCGAAGCAGGTGGAGCTGCCGTCAGTGACGGGGGAGAAGTTGATCAGATCACCGGAGACAACGGCGTCATAGCCGCCAATGGTGACAGTGAAGTCGGGGAGCTTGGAAGAGCAGGCGAAGGTGTAACCACCGGCGGACTGGTCCTCCTTGGCACCGTCAACCTGCTTGTAGTAGGCGGAGACAACATCGTCGGGGAGCATCAGGAGGGTGGTACCAGTGTCTAGGGATTTTCGTGAGCTTTGGAACACTTGTTAAGTCTAATTGAGAAAGGATTTCACTTACCAGCAATGCCCTTGATAGAACCACCGGACTGGCTGCCAACCTTGTAGCTGTCGGCAGTGAACATCCAGAAGCCCTGGGAGCTGTCGACATCAGTGTAGGCAAGCTCGCCGGTGTACTTGGACTTGTCGATGTAACCGAAATCATAAGAGCCGGGCTTGTTGTGCTTCAGGGTGACAGCGAACAGAGGCTTGTCAAGCTGGCTCTTGACAGTGTCGAAGAAGGTCTTCTGGGACTGGGGCTTAACAGTGTTGATGGAGCTGAAAGCCAAGCCAAGCAGACCATCGTTGTTCTTGTCCTGCACGAACTGCTGGCTGATCTGCTTAGCAGCCTCAACGGCCTGACCAGAGGCCTTGACGCCACCAACAACGACGGTGTCCTTGTAGACATCACCGCTTGCAGAGCTCTGGTCACCATAGGAGATGGACCAGGAGGCGCCGGACAGCTTGGTACCGTTGCTGGGCTTGTAGATGGAGTGGCCAGTCTGCTCAGAGGCGGGCAACTCTCCGGAGAAGACCCAACTATATAAAAAAGATTAGTTTCTGCCATTGAGATCTAATCAACCAGTGTACTGTAAACTTACAGATCGGCCGAACCAGTGTCGAAGTCCAGGTTCAGGGTTGTACCACCGACGTTGACGGGGGTCAGATACTCGACATCATTGGCCTCGGGGGTAGTGGTAGCGGAGCCGCTCTCAGCAGCAGCCTTAACACCCGAGGGGATGGAGGCGCCGTACTTGGAGAGGGCATTGGCGTACATGCCGGGCAAGTTGATAGTCCGGGTCTTGGTGACAGGGCGAACCGACTGGTTAACAGTGAACTTGCTCTTTCCACCCATCGGCACAGCCGAGGAGACGGAGGCAATACCGGCCAGAACGGCGGTGACTTTGCTGAAGACAACCATAGTGAATGGATATAAAAAAAGAACGATACTCTAAAAAGAATGGAGAGTGACCGAAGGATGTTGAGAGGATTGGATGATGGATCTATTCAAATGGGCTGGAGGTCAGGCCTCCTTTATAGGATGGCAGACGTTTCGCCATTGCAAGCTTCTTTTGACAAACAGGTCCCGGGGTGGCACCTATCTCAGGGTCCAGGAGAAGGAGAACTTGCTCTTCCGGGAAGCCCACGGTGCCGATCCAGTACTCCAGGGACCCGAAACCTCAAACTTCAAGATCGACGCGGAGTCCATCGGCCAGCCAGATTAACACGACGGAGTCCGCCAAGAGGGGCACGGGGAGGAGGGCGACCAAAGAGAAGATGAGACAGCATCTCGTGAGTGTTGGTAGTCCAGGCTGCTGCACCAGATAGCGTTCAGGGAGGCACGGCGGGGATGACGCCTTGAATGCGACAGAAACGAGAAACGGAGGCTTGGTCACGACAAGCTACACTGCCAAACACTGGTGCCAGAACGGGGAAGTCCGGCCAAGACCAACACGAGTATGTAGGAAGCTTCATATCCATTCGGTAGAGCCCTGACGATCTCCATTCGCTGCCATCTTCAGGGTTCAGGTGGGGCGAGACTCCAGAGCCAAGCGATAGACTGTACGGAGTATGTGGAGTGGAGATGGAAAGTGATCAGGGACCACGCTAAGACCAAGAGCAGTCCAATCCATCATGGTTGTCAAATCGAACTCCAATATCAAAGTCGAGGGGATCGAGAGTTGGCCCTGGCGATCATCGCCTGTTATCTCCATGAGCAGCCAATCACCTGCCCAACATGGCTAGCCACAGACTTTCCCCTCCAATCGAGGTCACATCGCGCCCGCGGCAGCCTTCGCCAGCCGGGAGTTTCATGGATGTGGGCAAAGGTAATTGGAGGGCTCTATCCACTGGTGAAGCAGTCGCTTGGAACCTTCGATATGAGCCCACTCCAGTCCACTTGACCCCAGAAGGACTAGATGCAGATCTGGACATAGCAGCGCACTCTGGCATTGGATACATGGCAAGCAGCCTAAAGCAGGGGATAGCACGAGCCTCGGGGAATAATGTGAACCCGTCGTCGAATAACAGGCACTGCCAGGCAGTAATATCGGTCGGCCGGAGTCCGTGGCGCAATCCTCCCTGCACTAACGTTGAACCCATGCCGCGCGAGCTTGGCGCAGACAAGCAACCACGCCCAGAGATGCCCAGAGTATCGATATAGTGGAAATGATCGGCCAAGACGATGTGACCCTTGACGGAGGGTAAGCCATGAAAGCCTTCTAGATGCTCTAATGCATGCAGCAGCCCAGTCCTGTTGCGAGATAGTTCAGTGCAGCGAACGCCCTCGATGTGGCTTCCGCAATAGCCAAACGAAGTGTAGGATCGGCCGAGCTGGATCGACAAGATAGTAGAAAGTCAAAACTAGTAGACAAACCGCGATCACATCTGCGTGGTTGGAGGGACATGATAGGTGCAGTTGGGAGGGGTTGGAAGTGCAGGTACTACGAGTCATGTTGCCCTACACCACATTCCTCCTACGGAAAGTGAGGCTTCGGACTCGCCGATTTACAGACGGAGTTGCATACACATGAGTTGTATGTACTTATGTCCATTTGCAAGAGACAATCATTCCAAGCTACTAGAAAATGTAATGGGTATTTCCATTCAATACCTAATTTCCAATGCAAGCTGATGGTTCTTACCCTCCCTTTTACTCCGTATATCAACTTCCCCCCCCCCCCTGTTCTCTAGGATAAAATATCTATCTCTAGGCCAAGCCACCCGGTAACCTATTCTACAAGGCTGAAAGATTCAAAGCTAAAGATTAAGCATGTGAAGATCCGCCATCACGCGATGAAACCGATGAAACTAGGGCCCCGCAATCTTGAGACCGACGGAGACCGCATAGTGACCTTTAATCTCGATCTTCAATACTCCGTCGGTGATCCAATTAATATAAAAAAAAATGCTTGAGAAAGGGGAAGGCAGCAAGGCGTACGTATTACGGAGTAGAGAGAAAATAAGAATGATCTAGATGACAGGTACGAAGAAGGCAGGAGAAAATGTAGGAGAAAAAGGTCATGTTTCAACCAAATTGCTACGTCGACCAATCACGGCCCAAAAAATGCTAACAAAAAGCACCAGGCGGGGGTTTTTCGTAAGGGGGGGTATATATCGTCAAACGGGGAAAGGGGCACAATGCAAGAGAAAATAAAGTACGTGTCTCATCGAGTTCGAAGCGGAGTTCGAGGCAGACCCTCAGCCGGAATTAACGGCTGCCGGGGCTGTCAGAGAGCTGTCAAGGCAAAAACTGAGACGCAAGCGCCCCACCCCCAGACTCGCCCTCACCGTTGGCATTTCCGCCGTCATAGCCCTCATTCAGGAGCACTTCTAGCATATCGAATTCGCCTAGCATTGGACCAGTCCCACCCAAACCTTGATCAACAACACCGGTGGAGCTGTTGAAGAATTGGTCCAGTGGCAGGGCAAACCAATCTAGCGTGCCTGACGTACTCGTCGCTCCATTTGTGTCCCCAACAGCCTGCGATGAAACAGCATGGTTTGGTGAATTTATATCGTTGGTAGGCATCGTCGAGTTCGAGTCGTAGTAATTGTAGTACACGGATGGCGGAGGCGGCATGAATGACACGTTCAGGCTGGAAGAGTTGATGGATTGTGAAGGAATATTCGCCAGTGGATCATGACCCGATCCGATCGGGTGTCCGCCGGCGCCGTTACTATCCACATATCCCAATCCAGTTCCGCTCGGAGTTGCATCTTGGCCGTGAGATGATGACCAAGGGGTTTGCGGGCCGTCACGGCGACCAGATACGGCCTCGCGTGGTGGAGAATGAGCTCGTGAAACCGGCGCTGAGCCGCGGTCGTGTGCGTCGCCATCTCCTCCGCGATCGTGCGGCGCAAATCGCAAAAAGCGTGTACGAATGCTACTAGTCAGAAGCTCCAGTAATCGAGCAACGGTGTTACTGATGTGAACATCATCCACGACAAACGTTCGCAGTGCCTCGACTGTCCGATCCTGGAGATCCAAGGAGACTCGTACATCGTCTTCTCGGGCACCTAATGTGAAAGTCTAAATGGCGGGTTTTGTGAGTCGATATTCTTTTTTTGATTAACAAAGAAGAGAACTTACTTTCAAAATAAATATCATGCCAGACAAAATGCGGAAAAAAGTCCGAATAGGAGCATGCTTAAGGCGGCCGCCGGGGACCAGTCCTTCCAAAACAGTCTGCAGTATCCGACGCGAGGCATCTACAACTTCCTGGATGTATTGCTCATTGACGCGATATTGCTCCATCAAGGTCCGGAACCAGCCAGTGCTACCGGCAGACGGTCCCATTCCAGACCGAGCAGGCTGGGTCTGGCCGGACTCGTTGGACATAGTCGTCCAGCGATCAACGACCGCTTGTAAAGCCAACGAATTCACGTAGAGTCCTGTGCCATGTCAGTGGGTACTATTCACTGATATAAAGAGGCTGGATATCATAACTCACGTGTATACTCATATTCAATAATCAAAACACTTCGCATGGCCGGAGACACTATTCCTTGTTAACCATTTGAGACAGAGTAATTATCAACGAAGAACTCACTGTTAACACGGTCGAGATGACTTCGAAACTCTCGTAGTTGAGGTTGGAACCAATCGATTCGTTCCCGATATCTCCCAGTCCGGATCAGTTCTGATGTCTGCTCAGTCGAAGCAAAGAGTTGGTGGTTGGCTTGATACACAATCTTAGATATTCCCATCCAACAATCTTGCATCCGATCCAGATCTGAATCGCCTTCTTTCATATCAGCTGTCGTTGAAGCCGGGTCTTGACCCCACTCGGGCAATGGAAGCATGGAAGGAATCCCAAGCCGTCCACTGCTGTGTGTTATGAAAACCAGAATCAGCCGCCGCAGTCGGAGCTTCCGCGAGTGTTCTACTTGTGTTTCAGGGGCAGCTTTTGAGTCACTCTTGTGGTCGAAAACACCAAGCTCAAAGGCCAAGGCTTGAGCGGTGCTGAGCAGCATCCAGGACATCCGATCTGACCGCCAAGCAGGTTCCAGCCATTTTTGAAAGGCGAGACGTCCTTCTGGCGAGGTAGCCGGTCCCTTGGCATGTTCGCCATCATTGTCCAAGTCCTTGTCACGACTGTATGACTGAGCGTCCATGTCCAAGAGGGTATTTTCATCATCGCCAGGTGGGAAATGAAGGTTGCGTGGGTGCCAGTCCGTGAGGATCAGTAACGCTTCTACGGTTCCCAGTGCTCTCAAATTACCCTTGGCATTCGGTCGTCCAGATGTTGGCGCTAAGTCAAGACCTCGAGGCCCACGAATGCCCGGTCCGTTAGCGTCAAATTTCTCTTGACCCCAAAATAGTCGTTCAATCATGCCGCGAAGATAGGACCAGAGACGGTCATGGATGTAGAATGCCCGAGTGCTTGCTCCATCGCCCTGGGGTTTCAAGTGTCGAGATGAAATTGTGAGAATGGTCACTGCTAGCACGGGTTCTTCCGTGAGTAATGTTCGATGTGTCGAGGGTTGTGTGTAGTCTGGCGTTACCACAGGACTCATTGGAGCAAGGTTCTCATAATAGTAAGCCACGTAGTTCATGCCTTCTTCTACAGTCATCCATCCGGCACGAACAAAGCGTAGCCGTGACCATGCTCGAACCGCATCGATGTATCCGGGATCTTGAGTATCTGTGGAGCTCTCCTCCTGGTGGTCGGCGGCATCCGAGGTCTGGGGATCTGCGACCCCAGTACCGCCACCCTGAAAGTAGCCATTGTTACCACTGGAGGACAAACCGGATCGCGGGGTTCGAGAAAAAGACCCGGGCGAGTTGCCATGTGCCAGCGGCGAAGGGCCGGAATTAAAGGATGAGACTGACTGCCTCGCATTGAAACGATTCTCGAGGCTTTGGCGGTTCAGATCCTCTGTCCTGCCGGCCGCCTCTGAAAGTAGATGTAAGGCATCATGGGTATTGGTGATGGCTGGCGACAAGAGCTCCACCGCAGTCCGATTCATCATGGGCTGTCCACCATATACCGGTACCGAGTTCAAGTTACGGTCTCCGGTAGCATACTGCGATAGGCGCGAAGCTCTGGAATCGGCAAAAGGTCTTGACGAGGAAGATATGGGAGCGCTGGGGGTATATCGTTGGGCAGCGGCCGCAGCTGCCGGGGCTGGGGCTGGGGCTGGGGCTGGTTCTGCCCATCGTTGGCGCGCGCGAAAGCCCTCTACGTCGAATGAGGGCTCAGGTGCGGGGAATGGAGAGCCTTCTGTGGGTGCTTCTTTCACAGAGACTTCACCGATCATCATTCGCTTGTCCCGTTGAAGGACGGGCCCGGGGTCGGGAGTTTCTTCTTCATCTTCTTCGGCATCGGAGAGCTTGCGCTTGCGACGAGTGGCTGAGAATTCGCATCGTTTACTCTCACGACGACACCGAACACAGGGCGGGGGACGAGGATTATCGACACCTGATACATAATTTTTTTAGATTAGCCAGCCGGTGACAAGCGGGGGAGGAATTGCTGATCGTACTGCCCAAGTCACACTTCACCTTGCGCTTGCGACACGGATCGCAAGCCTGATAGCCGCGCCTATGCTGCGGGGCAACGGAGGGCGACGGTGACTTGCCGACATCCGCGTCGAGTCCCATGTTGTCTGTTGCAGCAGGGTGGGTTTAGCGGATTGGCGAAGCTGGGGAAAGCCGATGCAAAGCGAAGATAAGCTGGAAGGCGGTCTGGAATGGACCGAGGAGGGGAGGCAGATTTATATATGCGACAATTGATTGGATGCCGCCATTGGAGACTGGAGACTGGAGACTGGAGACTGGAGACTGGGGGGACTGGGGGGGGAGGGTTCAAGTTTCGGAGATTGATTCAAGAAGAAAATTGGTCAAAGGGGTTTTTTTTTCTCTTCTTTTTTTCACAAAGCAAATTCTAGGCTCTGCACTATCCGCAGTCCACGTCGCCGGCCAGCCACCGATTTCCATTGTATAATAGAATAGCTCTGCGGGGTAGCAAAAAGTGTAAGAGTTACATCGCCAAACCCTTAAGTGGATTGGACGGGTTCGCTTCTCCTCGTGGGCACCAATGAGCCTATACCGACCGGAATTTAGGTCATATAAACACGGGCGATCTCGACATTAGATCGCCATGACGTCCGATCTGAGACAAATATGGCCAAATTGTACAGGGAACTACTTTCGTAGATACACACGGACCGTGGTGGCAATCATTCCCATTCGCTAAATGCAACCCGCTCGAATATACCGTACGCCTCTAAGTACCGAAAATATAATGTACAGAAAAGAAATGTATCCGTCCCAGTATGTTGCTAAACATCGACTGAAAGATAGAAGAAACCCAATGCAGCTTTTGCCTAAGCTATTCGGGGCGACACAGACGGGCCAGCAACAGAAGCAACAGACTTGGGCGCGTCCTTCATGCTGAGCTCGCTCATACGAGAGACCCCGTCCAAAGCTCTGCGCGGCGGGACAAACTCCCCAGAGACCGCGCTATCTGTGCTGTTGCGACGAGACAAGTTCGGGGTATACCGCCCAGTGAAGAGACCTCGAATACCACCAGACTTCCGGGCCGGTATGTCTTGCGTCACCGCAGTCAGTATGTAGAAAAGATATTTGAGATTTGGAAGAGTTTGGCGAATATCTAGAACGCGGACACCTTGCCGATTGAGCAGGAACTCGATGTCTTTGTTTAGAAGAAACACGCCGTAGCCGAATTTGTAATCTCCGCCGACCGGGTATAGAGGGAAAGTTCGTTGCGAGAGGTCCTTGGATACGGGATCCCGAACCAATGAAGCCGAGCTGTTCGGAGTAATCGGGTATGGAATCACCACGGACAAATAGAAGGAAAGAAGGTGTACCAAGTGGGCTGCATAGCCCAGACCGGCGGCCAGAATTTTGGGATCAGCGTCTCCAAACCCGTCAGAGCTTGAGTTGGGTAGCTCCAGTCCCCGAATGGTAAATCCCAGCGTTTGGTCTGGAATGGATTCAATCGGATAAATGTTCATTAAATCCTCCGCGATTCGGCGGATCTGGCCTTTAGTCTCTTCATGCGCCTGGTTGAGTAGTTGATCACTGTGGGACAATTTGTCTTTGGCATCGGGAAGATGAGTTCGTTCCTTGTCCATGGTGGCTCGGCCATCCTCCATTGCCTTGCGACGATATGCGAGGCTGGCTTTCAGATCATCTTTGCGCTTCGTCGTTCTCTGCACCGTCTTCCGTTGGGCATCTACAAGCCCCTTGGTTGAATCGCATCGTTCCTTTGCACCCGCAGCCTTGCTAACGAGCTCGAACTGATTCTCATTTTTCGTAACAGTGTCGCCAATTTGTGACTCGATAGTTCTCGTTGTTGCGAGCGTGTCTTGAAGAACCAAATCCAAATTAACCATTTTCATCAACTGATCATAAGAAGACGTGGTAAGAACATTCCCGTCGCCGACAGCTCGGCGATTGGCGCCATCAAATGGCTTTTCCACCGGAGGAATGTCAGTTAAATTAGCATATACACCATCTGTGAGGTGAAAAACTAGGCAATTGGTAGGTAGCGGTTGGTGGAAGCTGTCCAAACTCTTCCCCAGGAATTGCAAGTACCGTAGATTCTGCTTCAACTCGACCAAAAGTATGAACTCAGACATGGCCTCCGTTTGAACCCATAGTTTGATTTTTATTGTATCAAGTCGACACACTAACGGCCACGACGCATTTAAGTCGAAGAACTGAAAGCTGGGGTTGGTCGTCCTCCTGAGGGTTTCACTGATATACAAAGGCTCTTCAATGCCATCGGAGTGAATCGAAAAGAATGTGTCTGCCATGCGATTCTTCACAATTCCAGCGAGTTTCTCCTGCCGTGATCTAGGGTTGGGGTCGTTCCAGGCAGAGTACTGCGGCGGCGTAACGGGCCCAGCTCAGGCTTCTTCTGCTTCTTGTTTTCAAGCTGTTGATCTTGTCCCCCAGGCGACTTCAAGTCTGAAAATGATCGGGAGGTGTGCAGCGACTGGGTAGCTTTCTGCGCGAGGAATTTTGAGGGAGATTTCAGGCTATTGGGGATATCGTCGTCGTCAATGGTTTTGCCGCGGCCTCGAGATGCGGGTGGAGTCACGTCCAGGTTGCGCACCCAAATACCAATTACATTGCGTAGTCGGCGATTCTGCGACATGTTAATATTACCAAAAACGATCATTCGGCGCTCAACATACCCATGGGTAAAGGAACGGCCCTCCCCTGCGCGCGCCGGCGTCATGCCCCGGAGCTGCATCCATGGCGCCCGTACCCTCCATTCGTGGAGGCTAGGGTCGACCAGGGGGGGACACGGTACTCAGTAGGTATTCAGTAAAGAATAATAAGTATGCATGCTTCACCAACACGAGCGGAATCGTGCAACTCGACGCGTGAGAAACAATGGGGGGGATTGAAGTAGAAGCGATAAGGCGATGCGGAGACCTGCAGACAGGCCGCCAAGACCACGGCTGCCCCGTCAAAAAATCCACCTCCGTCCTCACCTCCCGCCGACACCGAACACCCTCGCCTCCCAAACCCCAATCACTCCGATCTCTGCGACAGATTGACCAGTGTCGCCCTCACAATCTTCTGTTTCGAGCGACTGAACACAAACTCCGGCCGCAATGGCCTCCACAAACTCGGCCACGAAGCCGATCAAGAAGATCCTGGACGCAACCAAGATCTCTTCCTTGACCTCGAAACTCGTCCGCAGACCCCTCGACCCCAAGGCTCGCGTCCCCATTCAAGGACGTCCCCGAGAGGGTAACTCGAATGCATTCAAGGAGGCTTCCACCCGCGAGAGCGTGCGGTTGCAGAAGGCCTTGAATGCGGTCGCTCACGGCAAGCACATCTTTGTCTACCACAATGTTCGGACGAAGCAAGTCGTGTACTCCCTGACTCGATACCTGGAGGTAAGTTTTCATCACAGGCTTTAATGCCTAAGATCCTGTATCTTCAATCATTATCATTGCCATTGATTGAATTGATCAATCATCGTGACCCTCTGCTCTATCCTCCATCCAAGCAAAAGCCACGACCGGCTAATCTAACCAACTTTATCATACAGAAAACCAACCTCCTCCGCCAAATGGTCTACCACGGCAAGAAGACCGTCCCCGCTGAACTCCGCCGCGACATGTGGGTTCCTTACTACTCCGTCCACTTCGGTGATGCACGACTCGGTCTGCGCGCCTATCAACTTCTCCGCGAATTCTCCCTGCAACGACAGCTCGCCCCGCCAGCGGAGATGATCACCGTGACAAAAGAATTTCTGAACTCAAAGCGGCCGAAGGACCCCCCTAGCTGCGGAGGAATTCGACAAGATCAACCTGAAGCGAATCGGGCAGACGATGGAGAAAAGAGAACGTGCACGTGTTCTGATGAACCAAAAGGCTACCTCAGTTGCCGATATCGCCGCGGCCCTGAATATCCAGGATAAGGCAATTGCGAACGGACTTTTGGACGAGGCATCCAAGCGCGGATATCTGACCCGCAAAGCGCGCCAACGCCGCCGCGCAGCCCTGGAGCGCATGGCGAAACACCAGGAGTGGAATCAGGAACACATCGCCGCGTTGGAGCAACGCTTTGCCGACCTTTCCGGCGAGGAAGTGGAGATCGGCGAGGCGGATGGTGAATATCCCGAAAATGCCAAGGACGTAAAGATCCTCTGGCGTGATGTGCACGACGCTTACTTTGCCGAGAGCTGGCCTGCTGATGTGCAGCACGGCGAGCTGGAGCTCAAGCGTACTCACATCATTGGAGCTGAGCTTCGCCCCGAGGGCTCGGATGAGGTCGTTACTGAGCACCAGTTCAACGAGAGAAAGGAGGACCAATAAGCAGTCGGTTTCGGTTTCTCCGCCGATGACCGCTTCTTGCTTGATAATTCGTTGCCCTTTTTGTTTAGTTGGTCTGGACCGCATTGAGCGATACTCTACACTGTTGATATCATTTTTTCCATCTCTTTTTGGGGATTGGGCCCAGGCGAGATGGGTGATGCCTTTTGTATTTCACCTTGTGTTTTCCCCATGTGTTCTACTCAGCTGTGAGGACTCTTTACTGCATAAATTGTATTTTTAGACAATTCAATATCACGTTTGTGACAACTATTGACAGTGGATTAAGAACGTAATCTGGGGCACTTTGTACTGGTCCCGGGTAAACTTCAAGTTTCACTATAAAAATAGACTTCCCGCTTAGGGGAGTGGTGGGAAAGTGGCCATATCACTGCAACTGCTATGGGCGATTTATCTTACAGAATTTGTCAGCGAAGATTTTGATGGCGCAAGGTTGGGAACAATCTACCCGACCAACTGCACGGAATCCTTTGACAATATGGATGATTTGGAGGCAGCAACTGGCATCGACGACTACTGCATGAACATTTATCTTATCCAGGCCTTGTCAGGAAACCTTACTGCGTCCCTCAGCAAGTATCAAGACCTTTTGGACGACGATTACGACCAGAAGTTTGGCTGGTATGAGGAGGCGGTTAGAAAATCTGCCCCCGACAATCTGCAGTCCTTTTTGAAGGCAAATGACACCCTATATTTCGATTGCATTCAAAGTGGAGATGTAGATAGCTTCAAGAACCACACAGACAAAGGTTGTGTTCATGACAAGGGGCTCGGCGATTCAGTCAACGTGTACTGGAGCGTCTATAATAAAACACAATTCGAAAATGATCTCGCGGCAAAAACAGGAATTTCATCAATGACTCCAGTGAGATATGGATGATGAAGTATACCTAACCCTTGGACTGGAGACTAGACCTGTGCATCTGGGACCCATGGGAGTAAGAACCGATTCGCATCCCATTTGCCAAGATCCCATGGGACTAATTATTTTCCCATCCCATCCCATCCCATCCCATGAGAGTCTTGGCAGGTCCCATGGGTCCCATATAATTCCCATGAATTAATGAAATATTATGAATTTTTGCCAAAACTTATTCAATTCTTATAATTTTTTAAAAAAAAAATGATTATAGTTTGGAAGAAAATAAGTTGATTTATATCATAAAAAAGTTTGAGTAAAATACATATAGAAGTAGTGGCGTAGGAACCTTATACGCAGATATATATTTCTACAAGAGTTATACAAAATATAAAAAGTTACTTATTTAGGTTAGATAAATATTAGTATACGCTAGCTGTATATAGTTAGCGTACTCCTCCGGGAATCCCATGGGCATAACCTTCAGTCCTATCCCATGCACAGGTCTACTGAAGACTATGGATCGACTACCAATTACGGCAAGCCATGAATTAGAGACGATTTCACAATTGACATTCCCAAGGGCATGATTTCGAAACAATTACCAAACATCACTGCATTCCATGAAAACCTGGATTTCACAGCCACCCTTGCCAACTTGAGCATATATGCAGGAGAGACAAGTGATGTTGTGGATAGCGCGGCAATGCTTGCGTTCATGATGTCATCATCCGTGTCGAGTATGGCCCAAGTTGAGGATGTTGGAGAGGACTACGAGGAGCAGAAGATCATAAACATCATTTTGTGGTTTGCGACGGGTATTCTTTTCCTGATTCCCTGTCTTGAAGGGGGAGCCGAGGCCCTGGAGTTGGCGGATGTGGCTCCTACTCTGAGACTGAATGGCACCGCTGGTGATGTTGGAATAGGTGTATATTATGTGGTCAGCATCAAGGAGAATGGTCCATCTGCTGTACTCGGCATACTTCTGAGTGGAGCAGGGGCTTTTTCCATGCTCAAGGCCCCCGCAGGATTTGCTTCGGCGGCGAAAGCCCGAAGAGCGATCTCTGCGGCACACATTGATGCATTGTGGTAGAGGGAAAAGCCCTCAGAGCAATAGCTACTACTATATACTACTACTACAAATGATAAACGCAATATGAAAGCCACAAAGACCATAAAGCAGTGTGGGATGACAAAGCCGCAGCTGAGGCCCCAGGGCCTCAGTAGATGTGTTAGACAGTGAAAAATAGGTAGACATAAAGTAAACTCCAGCCCTGGAGGTCTACAATGCAAGATTTATCTGAGAAAATCTTAAACCAGTGTGTAGAAGTGTAACGACCGGACCTTGATTTACGTGCGATAAGATAGCCATACATACAGACATCCTAATAGGATCACAACAAAAGTGAAAAGATATCAGAAGAAACAAGTTTGAAGAAAGGCATTGAAAAAAGTCTTAATCTCATAAAGCCCAGGTTGAGGGCAAAGGGTCCAACAAATTGGAAATATGCCAAGAACAGGACACTATGAGAGAGTCCTTGATGGCAACAACAACGAAAAGGCAAGTTTGGTAGGGTTGGTGTGTGTGGAGGTCATGAATCGGGCGCCGATTTGCAGCGTGTGTAAATCAGAAAATGAATAGAAAAAGAACAGCGGGGTGGTGGGGGGGAAGTAAACAACAGAAACAACTCCATGTTTCACTGGCAGGCTCAGTCACAGTCACTCAGGAAAGTATGAGATCCAAAATTCATAAAATGAAGACAAGGAAAACGTATGTGCGCATTCTATCTGTTTGCTGTGCCCCTCTGGAAGAAGATCTTCCGACAACTTATTTGCTTTGCTGAGGAGCGTTACTAGAACTGAGAATATCCACAGAGGGGAGTTGGCGATTGTCTGTGATATTGAGTTCGGGCCCCGGTTCTTTATCATCGTTGCTGTGGGCCATTTTCTCCAGGATTTCTTCATGGACCTGCTCTGCAATCTCGGGGTTATCGGCAATGCCCGCACTCGCCATGCTTCTTCGGGCACCTTCCACAATCTTGTCGGCTTCGCTCACACCCCCAGGCACATTGGCTGATGGGTCACCGTCCACTCCAATGGGATCTGCTTTATTGTTCACGACGTCCTTCACCCGGTTGGAATCGAGACGAATTACCATACAAGACAGATTGTCTGTACTAAAGCGCGCAAGGGCGTGATCCACAAGGATCTTCGAAGCGTGTTGAGCATCCTGCACATTGCGGATGAGATCGACAGCCTCTTGGTCACTACATACATCCCATAGCTAGATTTGAAAAGTTAGTTATGTTCTCAAAGTCAAGGGGGATTCAGAACGGAAACATACCCCGTCGCAAGCCAGAATGATAAACTCGTCAGCATCTGGCTGTATCACGGTTTCAGTGGTGTAGGGATGTCCAGTAACTAGATCTTTGAGATAGGTATCGCCCAAGGCACGGGTGACGGCCAGAACACCATTGACACGATTGTTGAGAATTAATCCGCCAGCGTTGGTAATTCTCTTTCCTTCGTTCTCGTCACTTCCCTTGTGATCATAAGATAAACGCAGTGCTTTGCCATTGCGACACAGTACAATGCGAGCATCACCAACGTTGGCGGTATACAGCACTCGTTGACGAATAGCCTTATCTTGCAACTTGGGAATGGACCCTCCCGAGGGGGCATCTTGAGCCGGTGTCTCCGCGGCCTCCGAGTTGGCGCTAACCGCTGCAGTGGCAGGGGCAAGAGCAGCAGACCCGGTAGCGGAACTTGAGCTAGGGACACGATCTTCCCAGCGGAGGACCGCGGTCACTGCAGTACAGCCACTGTTTTTGAGAGGCAGCTTCTCTAGCTGCTGGTCTACGCTGGTAAACGTTTGATCGAGAAGTTCGGGTACCGGGGTCGTCGGACTCCTGCGCATGACCTCCTCTAGGATCAGATGGAGCTTCTTGCCACACCACTCCGCCGCGAAAGTACCCGCATGCCCGTCGAAGATGGCGAAATAACCATTGTCTGTTTCTACCGCGTTCAGGGAATCGTTGGATGTCTGAGACTCGTTCGCGCTTGTCAGAGAGTCGTTGCCGTTGGTACTAGATGAGCCTGCCGGGGCCGGGGTACCCAGAAAGTTGTACAGGTAGGCATGTGTATCTTCCATCGTCCGGCGGCATTTTCGATTGCGATCTTCTGTTACGCCAACGCGGAAAGATGAGCGTGCAGTCGGTACCGATTCTCCAGCGGAGTTATTGAAGGACCCTTGCGGGACAACCAGAGCGGGATCCATTTTTCCTAGCTTAGAGAGAGGACTCTCCGAGACGCTCGGACTGGTGCTGAAGGAGGAACCTTCGCGCGTACCGTTCAGGGAGAGGCTGTTTTTGGCGGTGCTGAAGAAGTTAGCCGCCTTGGTGACGGTGCTGCTTCTGCGCTTCTTTTCGCCGGCGGGACCCTGATCTTCGCTCTGTCGACGGAAGAAGCCAGCGCCAGGCGGGGAGAATCGCTTGTCGCGGGGGCTGGCGTTTTCGGGCTGGAGGCTCAGGGAACTCGTGTCGATTCCAGGTATGGTGGTGGCTTCGGTCTTATCTTTGGGTGGGCTCGAGGAGCCGCTGAACATTCTGTTCAGCAACCCACCCTGAGAAGAAAAGCTACGGCGCTTATTTCCTGCCAGCTTGATTGTATCCCTCGAAAAGGATGGCGGGGGAGGTTTCGATGAGGTTGGACTTGGCGCGGGGCGAGAATGGAGGGCGTTGAGGGACTGAGGTAGGAGCAACAGTCGACCAGTCAGGGGAGAGGAGGGGAATGAAGCTTTTAGGTCTGAAGGAGTTAACGGGTGATCACTTCTTGAGAAAGACCAGCGATGGCAAGCTGAAAGAAAGAGAATATGGGGGGTGAGGGTGTTCAGAGGAGAAGTAGTAGGTGGATGGATTGTGGGGGGGGGGACCACGGGAGGGCAAAGAGAGGCGACTTGACTGGAGTCGAGATTGGCAAAGGAAGTTGGAGAAAGTTGGATCAGGAGGACGATTGAACAGAGGGAATGTTCGTGGGAAGAGCGCAGGGCCATGCAAGATGTACTCGACCAAGCATCGCCGATGCGGCCAGCGCGCGTATATTGCACTCCTCATGCTCATGCTCCATGCTGGCCTAACCCCGCCCTACCGGAAGACCCGGGCAAGTGTCTCTTCAGGGAAAAGAAGGAAAGTTGAACATACCGTATGCGTAGAGTTAAGTACGTAGGATTGTGGTTGAGAATGGAGAATGGAGAAGGGGAAGAAGTAAAGTAAAGAGTGATGCGACCCGAAGCGATCTGAACTCCGCCCCGTCGCGGCACTGGGCGGAGGTGCAGCCAAGAACGGAGGAAGTGGAGCTACTATTGGGAGGAGAGGGAGAGGGAGAGCGAGAACGAGAGCAGGGAGGAGGAGATGAGCATAGAGTATTCTGTCAAAGTAAACTAACTAGTGGGTTCCAAGGTTATTTTCATAAAGGGGGACACAATCCCTGCACATCGCTTGGCTGCTACTGAGTCCTCGTACTGACACCTGATGACGAGCATCACATCATATCATCATACCGCGTATACTGGGTAAACTGGTACCTGCACTCAATACTACTAGTAACTAGTACATCATTTCTATCGACACCTGGCAGAAAACTCTGTACTTTTACCAGCCACTAACTCAGTTGTATAGTAATACTACTAGTTATACTAGTTATAATAGTCATGGAATACTGGAGTATCTCACGATGCCCCAATGCGGCATAGATGGCAGATAGCTCATATTTTATGCGGTGATCCAACAATGCCCCTGAACTCCACCTCATACTGCCCCTAACAGTCAAAATCTCCACGAAAGGAGCAAGAATACTAACCATAATACCTAATAGTAAAAAAAAATAACCTCAAATGTACAGGAATACTCCGTAGAGCCAACACGCCACTCATCTACCATGAACTAAAATCTCCAAACCCTCCTGTCCCCTTCGCCTTCTTACGCGCAGGCTCAGGCTCAGGCTCCTCGTCCACAAACTCCACAATTTCGTCATCATCTCCACCACGATCGGCCAGCGCAGCTTTCAGATACTTGCCAACGCCAGTCGAACCGCTTTCACTAGCTCCCTCGCCAGATCCGCGGACGCGCTTACCCGTCCAGGTGACTCGATCGTCGTCCACGCGACGAGAACTCTCGTCATCTTGTTCTGTGTCACCGGCCCCGGCCCCGGCGGCGCCTGTCTGGCCCTCGGAGCGTTTCTGGCGAAGGAAATCCTCAAAGGGGTCCACGAAAATGGTGACTTCTTTGATGCGGACTTCTGGCGTGGGTCGGTTGGTAGATGACTCCACGGGATGAGTCTCGAGCGAGTTCAATGTAGCAGATGAAGGGGTTGGATCATCGATCACTCGGCCGAAGATAGTGTGTTTGCGGTCGAGATGCGGTAAAGCTCGATATGCGAAGAAACTGGTTGATGGGGGGGGGGTTAGCTGAGCTCATACGCAGTACATCGCAGTCTCCTACTCACAATTGACTACTATTGGTATTTTTGCCCTTGTTGGCCATACTCAGAGTCCCACGTCCATCATGCTTCAGTGGTCCCTCAAATTCGTCCGCAAAGTACTTGCCCCAGATACTCTCCCCGCCACGTCCAGTCCCAGTAGGATCACCACCCTGGAGCATAAATCCCTTGATATTGCGGTGGAAGGTGACATCCTTGTAATAGCCCTTCTTGGCCAGCTGAATGAAGTTCCACACGGCCTTGGGCGCATATTCGGGGTACAGTTCCAAATTCAAGTGGCCGGCAGTTGTATCCAGTCGCGCATAACCCTTGGCCTTGATCCGGCCCCGTTTCAACATGTACTCCTCCTCAGAGAGAAGGGCCAACTCGCCCGAGGTGTGAGGCGTCAGCCCTGTACTAGTAAAAGACGCTGCAGCCTTGCCGGTCGTGAAACGCGCAGCGTTGTACGGCGTGGGCTTCCCTGACTGAGACGCAGACGATTTGGAGGCATTGGCGCCCGTAGCTCCGGTTTTGGAAATCGCTTTCGAAGCCGTGGAGCCACTCTGCTGTTGCGCGCGTTCAGCGCGCGCCTTGGCCACCGCTTCCTTCGCCTTCAAGATCTTGGCCGAACTGCCCAATGCATTGGCATTCACGCTCCCGGCTGCCTTCTGCTCGTCCAGGATATCTGTTTCTCCGTCTTTGAGATAGTTGAATGAGCTCAGGTTGCGCGACTCGACATTTTGCGGGTCCTGCAATGTAATAATATCCTTCCGACTAAACTCCTGATCCGTAACAAGATCACGCCAAAGTTTGCCCTTAATATTCAATCGCTCGACCGTATCCCAGGCAAAAACATTGCCCGTATTCCGCAGCGCCACGATGTGCGTGTTGTCCGTTAAAACCTTGTATGTCACCGGGTCGACGTACTCGTTCTCCTCATTTTTCGCGATCGTAAGTTTGATCAGTTCTGAGCTTTTCAGTGGTGATCCGTCGACGGGGTTTGTCCCGTGTTTCTTGATCCAGGGTAAGATGTTGGTGAGGTCGAAGATCGTGCCTACGGGCGTGCAGACTGGATGCGCGAATGGCTGCAGGGAGAGCGAGCAGAAGTTGAAGGGCAGGCGCTTGAATGGCGCATGGCCACCTCCGCGTCTAGCTTTGCTGACGCCAGCGCCAGCGCTGGCTGAGAAGGCATCCTCCGATGCCCACTCGGAATGTGTAATCTATATCGAACGATTGTCAGCGAGGGTTCGAAAATGCGACGGCGGGGAGTTTTATAAAGGAGATGTGGCAGATCGCGTACATAAAGCTTGTCCGTTCCTAGAGCGCGAGTATGTTAGTGAAATGTCCTTGGCAAACTCAGGAGGGTTGACATACCTTTTCCCATAGTGTATGAAGCTCAAGCATTGGCAACAGCTCGGCTTCACTTTCGACTCGGAGACGGCGAGAATGACGCAGGAAGTACTAGCCTAATCGGGATTAGCGTGTATATTGACACCTGATATTTGTGGCGTCAACAAGAACTAACGATGTAGACCTATAAGCCGGGAAGTACGATAGAGATCATATTGCAGTAGTAAAGATCAAAGGTCGATAAAATAACACAAGGAAGCAAATGAGTACAAGTAACGATCATAGCGTTAAGGTAACAATAGAGATCAAACTTCATCCTGATAAACTCCGCTTAAGATTTGTGATATTCAAGAAGATACAGCTCCAGACCGCAGAGAAAGCAAGTATCGACTTCGGCATCCTTTGCGAAGAAAAGCATACAGCTTATACACCCTTTGGCGTGGTGATATTCGCCAATCTTCGGGACTCGAGAGTGCATCTCTGGTAAACTCGACGATGTCGAGCTTGTGGTGGGCCTCGTTCTTCATAAGCTCGCCAAGATGAACTGAGGCCGCATTTACCATGTTAGATTCCTGTTGTTGGCTGTTGTTGGGTTGTGTCGACACCGCCAGTGCGAAGATACCGGTTCACCCCTCCGCGGTTTTAAGGGCTCATATCGACATTCTCCGGTAAGAGCGGCGCACCATAGCCCACGCACACTCTGGAGAAATTTTCTCCAAGCTTTAAGAGTAAATCCTTGGTAAACTCGATATTACCAACCTCTTAGAAGGCCTGTTTGGTCGTAAGCTCCTCAAGATAAGGGTCAGCGGCGTCAACCACCAGGTCCCGAAGTCCGCGATCGCTCTTTGGTATGCTTTCGTAAACAAGTGGTATGACACTGAGGAAATCATCGGAGTCCCAATTCTCATTCAACATGGATCTGAATCTCTGTAGGGAGTCTTTCTTCAGTTGTGGGACGAGGTATTTATCCGCAACTTGGTAGACAGCAGCGAGGAATCCGAGTGGACTAGGGAAGTCGTCCTTGGAGAAGTATTCTCTGCGATAGAAGAACTTCATCAACGCAATCATGGCCTGCGGATCGTCTTCCGTGAATGGAGTGATTTTTCCCTTGCTTTCCTGCGAGACATGTTAGATAGGCCTGGAAAATGTAAGATATGAGATGCCATACTTTCCAGTTATCATGGAGCCACATCCCATTTTCCGAAAGTAAGCAGATTGGCAGATAAGAATCACTCTGTGGACTGGAAGAGTCCCGTTATCTGCAAACTTGAGTGTGGCATCACTCAAACTATCCGTCCCCCAGAGGCTGTTGTCTTTGATCAATATAGGAGCGGACTCTGAAAGGAATCAATGACTTACTACTTTCCTATTCCCGCTTGCAAAGAATCAGGATCATCATCGCTGCCAAAAGGGCCAATAGGGCCAGGAAACTTGAGAGCAGGGTGTTGGTTTGGAGAACGAGGCATAATGATCTGTTACAGAGATGTACTAGCATGAACGAGATGGTGCTTTGTCATTGTCGCGTGGTGCCAGGTGTGATGGTATTGGAATGGGGGAAGGTCAGGAACGTCGTAGAGTGGGAGTTTAGGGAGGACTCGAGCAGTTGCTTGCCTACTCGTAGCACGCGGCCGTCGCACCTGCCTATTCTGGCAACTACCCAATTCACCTCAGCAACAGTTGGAGTGCACTCCAGGGCTAGCAGAGTGCTCTTCTTACTATCCTACGTGGAATTACATCACTGTGAGAGACTCTCGCTCTGTATCCATGGATAGGTATAAAAGTTAGTGCAGCAAATGGAGGCTGAGGAAGATTTGACATTTGAAATTGTAGACTGCTCGCTAATGATACATTTACAAAGACCTCCAGGCCTTCAAAGAAATCTCAACCAGGAGAGAAAAACACCGCTTGCGCCATTATATCTTCCCACTATTTTCCTAACCTCATTAAAAGCGCCGCTAATAGTTTTTGTTCATAATCAGTCCCATCGTGGCAAGCTGACTTACTGGGCGGAGGATTGGTACTGCAGTGGAACCACCCATCGATTGCCAAAGTCAATGCCGTGTCGACGTCGAGTGCCATACTTGCGCCACACGATCTGCGGGATGCCAATGTCGGCAACAGTGAGGTTCCAGCCGAAAGCAAGCCCGGAGACGAGGGCGTTGAGAACGCCGGTCTTCGGTGCGCCGAGGCATACAACCGAGGATGCGGAAATGCAGAGTGGGTTGCCCTCTACCATTGTCACTTCTCCTGTTGACGAGATTAGTAAAGTTATTGGGCAATATGAGGCCTATGCAAGCCTAGGGTACGGGCACTTACCATTGGAAGCTGACATCCCCGAAGGAATATCGACCGACAAAACATCGATTTTGCTCCGGTTCACCCACGTAATCATCTCAAACGCTACAGCCTGGTCCTCGGTGCGAAGTTCATCAAAGGCCAAGTGCATGCCGAATAGAGCATCGATCACCAAGTCAGGGACCAGCTCAGCCGAGGATAGACGAGTAGACAGATCTTCCCACTTAAGAACCCGACCTCCAATCTTGCGGAAGATATCGAGTTGCTTGCGGCAGTTCTCCAGCAGTTCAGCCTCGTGTTCCAGTCCCAGTACACAGACAGAAACACGATGGCCGCGGTTTCGCAAGTGGCGAGCCGCGGCGAAAGCCCGAGCCCCAGTTCTGTGATTGCCAGTAATTATCAGCATCGTTGGGGCAGCAGCATCACTGGCAAGATTGGCAACTGCTGCCTCAGCAATGCCCCGACCGGCATTCTCCGTCATGATATCTTCGGTGAGGCCGAATTCAGCAACGGCGATTTGCTCAACCTCGAGTGTTTGCAGTGGACTAACAGTCGGGCAGCTCCGGCTAGTGGTGGTAAGCCGTAGCGACGCCCCAGAGACACTAGGGCCAACCATGGGGGACACGGACGATCGGCCGGGGCGAGGACTTGTGGTGCGAGAAATGTTGAGTTGGCTACGACCAAGAGCACTAATCTGCTGCACCATTGGCTGCGCCAGAATTCCGCTACTCTTGCGGGATTGCATGCGTCCGGCGGCTCGTGATCGGTCTCGTCCAGAGATGTTCTCGCTGCTATGTCTAGCATCGCTGATGACGTCGGCATCGTCGCCAGTGTCGCTATTCTGCGGGCTATCAAGCACGTTCTCTGTCCAGTGAAGGTTCTTTCCGCCGTTGGTTCCTGGCTTTGGCTTCCGGTTGAAGCTTACTAGGCGAGCTTCATCCGCAGTTGTGTCATCATTTCGAATTTGCTCAAACACGGTCCGTTTGTCGAACTTTGACAAGTTGCTTTGGAAATCAAATTCGGGCAGCTCCTGGATATCGGTTGCATCCTCCGTGGCCCAGCCGCTGGCGTCCTCAGCGTAGGCGCGGCGTGTCTTCTTCTTGCGCAGCTTCATGCCAGGCTGAGGAAGGTTCTCGGGCGACACCTCGGTTTGTTCTGTAGTCGGTTCCACGAATGCTGTTTGGCGCCAGCCCTTGCTTTTCGGGTTGGTACTTGCAGCTGCGCCATGCTTTCGTGCAGGAACATCGTTATTGCCGCGATCTTTGCGCCGTGTGGTTTGCTTGGCCGAAGTCACGCTCTGTAAAACCTGAAATCCCTTCGCTTGTGAGCCCCTTTGAGTATTACCAGTGCCCACATTCAGTTCAAGGTCACTGAATGGCTCGGTGAGAGATGCTGCGACTGTTGGAGGCACCTCGTTGGCGACCGGCGCCGGGTGGTGGGCTTGAGTGGGCAGTATGGCGGGCTTAGCGTAGCTCAGGATTGCGGGATCCACAAACGATGGCTTGACAGAGGGCTTAGGCTTGGGTTTCGGAGCTCCCATAGGAATGTTTTGAGCATATTGGGGCTGTGAAGAGCCCATACCGGTCGATTCCAGAGAAAGGTCGGTGATGGAGGATGCATCGATAGCATACTGAGCGAGTCGTTGGCCATTCCAAAGAAGGGTAACTTCAGAGAGAACTATTAGCTATGGCCCAGATCACAAAGTCATAGAATCCTTTGGCTTACCATCTCGAAGCATCAAGTTTTGTCCGATCACATCAGCAACCTGGCCTTGAAGCTTCCCACCCGGGGGAGTCTGCAAGCTCACGAGCACATTGTAACCAATGAACTCGGCCGCCATGATTACTATGTTCCACGGTGAGTTTCAAATGGCCACTTGAACACGGATGGGAACAATTGGGGAGGGGATTGGTGTGCTGGGGATAAACTGCGGGCAAGGCCTCGGGCAGCTTTGAAGGAAGGAATGGTCACGTGCTGATAACAGGGTGTGGGGGAAATTTATTGAGGCGTCATACTAGGTACTACCCTGCAGCTGCAGCTTAACTTGGGCACTAGAGCAGCGGCACCTGGGCAACCTTAAAGAGCCCTGGAGGACAACTTAAAGCTTGAACTACTATGTAGTGTGATTTAAATCCCATGTAGTAGTAAGCTATCCACTACTATCGTACCAGTACTTACCACTAGCAGTCTACATATACATATTCGGGACAGGTAGAATTTTGTTTGCAGATATTCTGGGTATATCACTATGCTTGCCCAGGTGATGGGTAGATATATAGGCAATTCAAACTCCACCAAAATCATTACCGATGGATCTTCATACATCTTCATTATCTATACTAGAGAAAATCGAAGGCAGAATCTCCCTCAAAATCATCATCGATACTGGTATCTTTGGCCTTCCCAGGGTTGTTGATCTTGTCAATGGATACCAGTTTGTTGTAGAAGTCAACCACCCTCGGGTGCACCATCACCTTTCGCGGCTCGAAGCGGGTGACTTGCAGCCCAGCCGCAGATGTAGCTCGACTCAGGGCCACATAGGCCTGTCCCTTCTCAAAGACTTTCCCCAGGTCAACCTTCACTCGCTGCAAGGTCTGGCCTTGGGCCTTGTGAATGGAGAGAGCCCAAGCGAGAATCAGTGGAACTTGTTGGCGCTGAGCTTGGACCTCGCCATTTGGAAGCTCAATCTTCCAGGTCTCGGGTTGACAGAGCAGGTGTCTCTCAGTACCGTCTGGTTGCATAAAGCATACGAGTGGCCATTTTCGCGTCATAGCGATGCCCCCTTCTTTGTGAGCCATTGGCTTCAGCTTCTTGCGTGCACGGAGAGCAGCGTCGTCTTCATCATCAGGATTGGCATCACCACCCGCAAAATCTGCTTCATTATTTCGATAATGATCGAAAGCGCCCTCGTCCATGAAGGCTACCACTCGGCCAATGGACCCGTTCACGAGAGAATCTTCCATATTCTTGATAAGCATCACTTGAGCTCCCTTCTTGAGGTTGATCATCGGCGGAGCCATGCAATTAGACAGCAGCTTTTCACGATACTTGGGATCTGTAATGGTTCCTCCGTCTACTGCATTGAATGTCATCACTTCGCCAGATAACCTGGTCATCCGTGCAGAGTTAGCACCCTCTACTTCAGCGCGGGTGGGAAATCTAGAAATGTTAGTCTACGTAACTTCGAGTATCAGGGGGGATGCTTACAATTCCGTAGCCTCCAGGGCATCATGGAAATCCAGTGGGCGGGAAAGTGCTCGGAACGCAGCAATAGTCTGCGGAGTAATCTTGCCCAGTCTCATTTCGTTCAGCATGTTCGCAAATTCAGGGTCACGCTGACGGAAAACGTGCGTCAATAAAATAGTGTGTTGTATCGTAGTATTCCAAGTCGCCGCAGCGAAAGCAAACTTGGCTTCACGATTGCTACCTTCCGGGACTGGAGGTAGCTGGAAGAAGTCACCGGTGATTACAAGTTGTATGCCTCCAAAGGGGCGAGCGTTGTTCCGAATACGGCGAGCGATCTCTTCGAGTTTGTCGTATAGATCACCATCCACCATTGACACCTCATCAACGACCAGAACCTTTGTGCGCAACCAACGATTCCTGGCCTTCTGGTTCTTCTTGATCTGCTGGCTGTCAGCTCCATTGCGTTTACATGTCCGTCATTTTGCAATTGCTTACCTTCTTGACCAATTCTGGTACAGGTTCTTTGCCCAGCCCAATGCCAGCAAAGCTGTGAAGGGTGACACCTTCGATGTTACAAGCCGCGAGACCTGTTGATGCGGTCACTGCAATACGATCTGGTTCACGTTTGTACTTGATGCGCAGCTTCTTGATAATCTCTCTCATCAAAACAGATTTTCCGGTACCCGCAGATCCGGTGAAAAAGATACTTTTCCCGCGATCCACGACAGCCTCCACGACGGCTCTTTGTTCGTCGCTCAGGAAAACACCCGCGACTTTGGGGGTGATCTTTTCTTTTGCCGCAGCATCATTGTATTGGGGTTTCTTGGATTCCCGTCTGAGTTCCTTCTGCTCATCCTTAATGGCACTGGCACTCTTATTCCAAAACTCAGCTGGTTTCTGACGTTTAGGGGTCGCAAGGCTCTTCTTGGGCTGCTCTCGGTATTCTTCCTTGGTCTCCTTCAGCCATGGCAGGTTTCGTGGTTTGGGCGGAGGTTGGAAATGGGCCGGAGGCGACGAGGACCATGGCAGTGGCATACTGCTAGGGGGTGCTGCATTTTCTTGGGAATTCGGGGGCAATTCGGGATAGTTGACATCTGACGGTGATGCTTTGCGCGCGATAAAGGTTGGTTTGCTAGGTTTCGTTGGAAGAATCTCAAGATCGGGGTACGCAACCGACTCCGGCTTCGAGCTAGTTGTAGTGGACGGTGCGATGTAGGGCAATGGCTCATCGATATCGAAATCAATGTCATCGTCAAAGTCGTTTTCATCGAAATAGACCGCACTGTGGAGGGAGCCCAGGGTTGAGGAGCCTGTATTGGTGGTCATGTCGATTTTTCGCTTGACGCCGGTGGGCTGAAGAGGTTGTGGCTTGGAAGAGACGAGAGAGTTGGCGCGGAGGAGATTGGACTGCAGCGGTTTGGTCGACGTCGATGCTCCGACTCCGACTCCCGCTCCCACTGCCGGGTGGTCCTTGACGGCCTTTTTGAACATCACGACTTCTTCAGGAACAAGCCGTGGCACGGAGGAATATGGTCTCTTGGGACAATTCGATGACAATGACGGAAAATTTTTTCGCCAGAGTTCAATAGCTCGTGCCCCAACTCGGGCAGCATGCATAAACAAAGCGGTAAGAAAGGAAGGGAGAACAAAAACACCGATTGCTGTTGAGGTTGATTTCGTGATAAACACGCGCAGCCAGACGCGTGACGGGCTAATGAAGGACGTGAGTGGTTCCCCACCGCTCTTTAAAGGCCCCGCATTGACTTGTTGACGGGCATAAGACCGCTGTCGATCTTATCTTACACGTAAGCAAGTGTGGCCGAGTGGTTAAGGCGGTGGATTCAAGTCCCACTGACGAAAGTCGCGCGAGTTCGAGTCTCGTCGCTTGCATATCTTTTTTTTTTGATTCATTCTGATACAAATCAGAACTGTAACTGCGGATAGCAGAGATCTTCCTACCTTTGGATATCCAATGGATTGGGAAGCTATGATATTTACTCTCTCAGCCCAACCAATTGGAGAGGATACATTACCACACCGCCCGCAGCTGGATTGCTTATCACCACGTGATATCTTCTCCATGAGGGCGTCGCGAACCATCCCAGCCATGGATCCCTCTGAACGCGCACTTGTCAATTTACACCTTGACAGAAAATCGGAGCACGAGGACCAAAGGACACTGAATTGTGTTTTGCCAGCTCCGGGGCCATGAAGGATGACAGGGCCAACAGTCGTGGGTTAGTTGAAAAACAGCCCTTTCCAGAGCGCGTATGGACTTCACAGCTAACCCGCAAAACCATAGACAAAGAGCACCCGCTCATGGGTGCCGTCATTTGCTTCACATCGGTACCGCCAGAGCGTAGGGTGCGTTCTCAACAACTCTCTGCTTTTCTCGAAGACCCAATGTACTAACGTGCAACTTCAATCCTCAGACACAACTCGCGGACTTTGCGAAAGAAATGGGCGCAATTGAACAGCCAGACCTTACCTCGGATGTTACACATCTCCTCGTCGGAGCAACCGATTCACCAAAATATAAGTTTGTTGCGCGCGAACGGAACGATGTGCTCGTCTTAAAACCAGAATGGATCGAGGCTGTACGGGAACTGTGGATGCAGGACGAGGATACCGATACTCAGGCACTCGAGGAACAGTATAAATTGCCTGCCTTCTTTGGTCTGACAATTTGTATTACTGGTTTCTCAGACAGTGAGTGGCATTGACATGCCTTACGTTATATTCCGAATTACCTGAAGGCTGACAAGATTGTGTGCAGTGGCTTTTCGCAATCAGATGAACGACTTGGCCATGGAAAATGGCGCGGAATTCCGGAAGGACCTAACGAAAAGCGTCACCCATTTGATCGCGCGCAATTCTGAGGGTGAAAAATACAAGTTCGCAACGCAATGGAATATCAAGGTTGTTACTGTGAAATGGTTCCATGATTGTGTTGAGCGCGGAATGATCTTGGATGAGGAGAAATACCATCCCATGCTATCATTGGAAGAACAAGGTGTCGGAGCATGGAACCGGTCGCTACCCGCAGTCAAGCAAAAGACAGGGAAAGAGCATGCAGGCGATGATAGTATTGCCAATCCACGACCAAGGAAAAAGCTTCGCAGGACTGCAAGTCAGAAGCTAGTTGGCCAGAATGAGAATATATGGGGCGATATCATCGGCATGGGCTTCGGAAGTGCGGAGCCAACGGAACAAAAGCACGATCAATGGGAAGAGGACGATTTCGAAAAACCCAGGCCGCCTGTCATTCAAGCGGCCAAATCCTTTGCGAGCGAGACGACATTCTCCGAGACAACACAGAATCGTCAGCAATCAGAAAGCATATCTAAAAACGGTGGCTTTCTTGACGGGTCTTATATTCTTGTCCTTGGCTTTTCTCCTAAGCAGGTAAGAATTAAATCTCCTGGTGTCTCGCATTGACAACTGACACCTTCTAGATGACGATCTTGAAAGAACATCTCGGGTACAATGGGGCCCAATGTGTGAAGTCACTGAGCGAGTTTTCTAGTCCCAGTATCCCTAAGACTGGGCACGGGCTTTACATCATGGTGCCATATAACACCCCTAGGTCAAATATTCCCTCAACGGACGACATGGCCTTCGAATGTGAGGTTGTGACGGACATGTGGTTAGAGAGATGTCTTGACGCCAGGGCCTTGGTCCCACCAGAAACCCATGTTGCGAGCACCCCGTTTCCTAAATTTCCTTTACCAGGTAAGATTCTCACCACGGGCTTATAGTGGTTTCATTCTGAACATATTAGGGTTTTCGGGCATGCGGATATGCTCCACGGGCTTTGCGCGTATCGACCTCCTACATCTCTCTAAACTTGTTACTCTTATGGGTGCCACGTACGAAGAGTATTTGACACATCGAGCTTCAGTTCTCATCTGCAATGACCCACAAACAGCGAGTCGTGACAAACTTCGCCACACGAGCGAATGGGGAGTTCCAGCCGTATCTGGTGATTGGTTTTGGATATCCGTGCAATCTGGCCAGAAGAAGTCATTTGAGCCATACCTCGTCCAAAGACAACTAACACAACAGCACGGAAGCATGGAAAAGCCTGGCGACGGATTCACAAGCGAGAACAGCTCAGATAAAACCAGCGGCCAGGGACGAAAAAGGCCGTCAAGTCTTTCTGCTCAACCATTAGAAAGAACGGAAAGGTCTGTGCCAAACAAGACGGGAAAACCACAAATATTACCTATTGTTGGCGATGGCTTCTCAAAAGAAGAGGCTGATGTCCCACCCAAACCAACAATACCGGAATCACGGTCCGGATCACCCGCTCAAGGATCAGATAATCCCGACCCAAACGAATTTTTTACCAAAAACCCCGAACAAGATCAATCGGCCGCACCAGCCGGGCCCTCTGCACTAGATTCTGCACTGAAGGGACTTCTTCAGCAAGCCCAAGCGGCCAAATCACGCCAACAGAGCGAGAGCTCAGCGACAAACGATGATGGCAGCTATCCCGCTCGACGAAAACGCAAGCCTCTCCTAGGCCGCGCCCCATCGCATTCGTCCAATCGTAAACTCGAAACCACGCGCCCAGTCTCCCGGGCTAGTTCGATTGACACATTGAACGACGACGGACTCGGCAGTGCAATCGAGAGCGGAGATCCAACTCGAGAAAACTCTCTATCCCGCACGACTAGCCGTGTCGAGCAGAATACAGGAAGTCTGTCATTGATTTTCAGCGGAGGCAAGTTTGACTTCACTGCAGAGAAGACGCTCGCACCTATCGACAATGAAGATGAAGAGAATCAAGCGCCCCAGATGACGCAGCTAGACTACGAAGACCCAGATGCTGCGGCTATGAGAGCGGAGTTCTTGCGCGATGCAGGAAAACTTGTTGAGAAGGCGAAGAAACCCGACCCTGTGGCTATCGGTGAGATCAGAGAGCTGGAAGATACTGGGTGGGGATCTGGACGCAGGACGAGAAAACAGCCTGCTAGAAAGGATGATGACTGATGGTTTTTGTTTTTATCTGGCGTTTGCATTGGATTTGGGCTGGATTCGTAAAATCAAGGCATATGGATGGCATTGCATCGCGACTGGCGTCTTTCAAATCCTATGGAATTTGCATTTTTTTCTTCTACTACTCATTTCCACGATTAGATTGAGATAAACCCCTTCATTGATGACTCGTATACATAGTACCATTCGAATCTGGAAAAAAGTTCACTTAAAGAAACACATCATGCCCAGGTGTGAACGAAGCCAATCGTGTGGACTCGGAGTTCCTCGTACTTTCCTGGGCTATTTATACCAGTACATGAAGTTAAAATATATGAGCCGTGGAAGATTACCGTAGATATGGGGGTTATAGACTAAAAATGAGCGTCCCAAGTAACTTAATTTTGGGTACATCGATCAGGGATTCATTGATCTCAGTGTCAGTCAAATTGGATGGGAATCTTAGGCTAAAACTTGGAATGACCACCGATGCACGCCGAACCACGCCTTGAGAGAGGAGGAGTAATGCATGCCAACAAACCAGCGATCCCCATGGAGGAGGCAGTGCCGGCATCAATGTTGGCAATACAATACAGGAAAGGGGATATCAGAACGGAAAGAAAGAAAGCATGAAAAATGTACACGTCTCGAATGTTTGGAGAGAATGGTGGGGATGAAAAGGTCGAAATCGGGAAACGGAGAGAATATGTAGGCTTGGAATTGAAGCCGGGAATGTTGGTACAAGGGACGACTTTTATGCTTCATATGCGCCCATGCCAGCAGGGAGCGGGCCATCAAGGTCAAGGTCATCCACAGAACGGCGGTTCTCGCCACTCTCGCGGAAAAGGTTTCCAAAGTACTTGAGAGCAACGTCGCTCTCTTGCTTGACCTTGCCCACCTCTTGCTTGCGTCGAGCGATGTCTTCAATATCTTGAGACAGGCTAGCCTGCAAGTTGTTTGCAGGCAGACGGAGGATACGTCTGACCTCGGATGAAATCCGGCTGGAGTTGGAGTGGACGTAGTCCATGTTGGCAAGGGTTGCAGCAATCTTGCGAGACAAACGCGGCGGTAGGGTTGTCGGGATTGAGGACAGCACGTAAGCCGTGGTCAGAACAGCTATTTAACTATTAGCAAAAGCACTTCCTGTAAATGGATACAATAGGAGACTTACCCGCCGCAAGTACACTAGGGAGGAAGAGGCGGCGCAGGTTGTTCGGGCCCAAGACCTTGACAGCACTGAGTGCACTGTCAACCCAGCTAAAGCCACTAAAGACTCGACCACCAAGCACAGTAACGGCTGTCATTGCAACACCTGTACCTGCCAGCTTCTCCTGGCGTTCCCAGAGGCCAGCAACATCGAAGAAATCCCAAAGATCGACCTCGGCGTTGACTTGTCTGCCAAGGGCGTGGCGGCGACCCTTGCGGAACATCATGTCCGCACGGAAGTTAAGAGCAGAGAACTTGTCTTCTCCTACGTGCAAAAGTCCGATGTTTTGGATAAAGCCAACGCCCTGCACGGTTTTATCTCTGGCATAATCCTCGCAGCCGGTGACGGCGGCAGAAATTTGATCGAGCATGGCGAGTTTCAAGTCCTCGGCATACTGGAAGACCGAAAATAGACCAGGGTATTCAACACCAAGATCAGCATCGGAAACTCGAGCGATGGTACTCGACAGATAAGATCGTGTGTGGTTGTATACATCATCGCAAGAGTCGTCGATGGCCTTGTCTACCCCGTCAGCCAACTCACTCTTCCTTTTCTTACCATTCTCATAAGCGGGCTCCAGCTCTGCCAGCTCCTCGGTCACTCGCTTAAGCTCCGATTCGGCAACATCACGATTGACCGTGGCGAGCGAGTTCAGATCGGCAAGAAGGTTCAGGAGATAAGTCCGTGCGGGAGCGAGCTTAGATCGAGACCGTTTCTCTAGGACAAAGCGTCTGAGAGCCCCTTCCAGATTTTCGAAGTCCTGAAGCTTCTCCTTCTCCTTGCCCTTGCCCTTATCCTTGCCGGAATCGGCCTTGTCATCATCATCATCGCCGTCATCATGAGGATCAGAGCCACCATCGCCGTCGCCGCCGGAGCCAGACTGAGACACGGCCACAGGAGGTGCAACTGGAATCGCGTTGCTCGAAACAAAATGAACCAATTCAGCAGATTCTTTATAGGTGCGAGGGCTAAGCTTGGCGACTTGGTCCAGGATCATGCGCTCACATCTTTGCTTGTCCCGAATCTGATCGAATCCGTTTACAACCATGAAGATGTAAGCCTTTTCGTGGGCAGCGTTGAGAATAAATTCCTTTGCGGAGAGGGTGAAATGGTTAGCGGCAGAGACCACGAACACAACGACGTCAATCTCTTCTTGCCGGGCAAAGACGGCGGTTGTCTTGAGTGAATCAGAGTTGAGACCAGGAGCATCAATCAGTGCGATATCAACCACGCCATTGTTGAGCAGGGACTCGTCGATCGATCGAACGTCCTTGACGTAGACCTTGCATTGCATGTATTTGGTGTTGTCTACAACAATGTTTTCGAGCTCGCTCATTGCATAGACGTCGTATGTGCTTTCGTCGTTGCGACTATACTGGACATCCTTGTGGACAGCATGAACTTCTTCAACACCACTGTTCTCTCGGGCGTCCAGAACTTCACAGAAAATGCTGGTACAGGGCTGTTGGTCTTCGGGGAGAACTTTCTTGCGCAGCAAGGCATTGCAAAATGTGGATTTTCCAGCGTTGAGATCTCCCGTAATAAGCACTTTGCTCGCAGTATCCTCAATTCGGTCTCGGAGGGAGAGAAGGTGTTTGATGCTCTGGTTAATTTTCCCATCTAACAAAGAGGCGATTGAAGCCTTCTCCAGCGAATGCACCAGCTCGGCCTGCGATAGAGCGCCCAGCTTCAAGTCTAGCTTTAGAATGGAGAATTCCTGCGCAATCTGAGGAGTGATCAATCTAGGCTCGGGTTGTGCGCGGCGCTCAGCAGATGCACTGGACTCTTCCAAGTCATCTCCTCCCATAGTAGTTGCTGCACGCTTGAGTTGTCCTGGGCGAGGCGGCGTTGATGGCTGGTTGTCATTTGCACTGAAATACGAATGCGAATGTTGTAATTGAGGCCGTTGCGAAGGGGAAGAAGGGTTGCTTTGGGAGCTTTGCACAGAGGGATAATGGGCAGGCCACTGGCGATTCATATCCTGGAGTTCTTTCAAGGTTTCGATGGTTCTGGAGATCGCACGGCCTAACTTGGTCCGGTTCGAGTTGCTAGAGACACAAACATGAGTATTTCGGAGGGTTTGACGGAAATCTGGAGGAATCCCAACATACTATAGAAGTTGATGGACATGGTTTGCGACAACTTGTCTTTCGTGTTCCACTATAGCATATGATGTCAGTTCAAAGAGTCCGGGGTAGAATGACTGCTGTTCTATCCGTTCGAGCAACTTACTTGCAGGATTCCACTCGCCGGGGCGCGTCGGAGTATGCGCGGGAGTTGGCCTGTCTTGCCTCAACTCCGCACGCCAAGCCGCATTCGCATCGGCTTCCATGGTGCTGTCGCCTGCGATGCTACCTCCATATCCCGAATCGTTGTTCAGGGAACTCATCAAAGCCGTGGCGCTGTCTGACGTCGAACCGTTGCCCACAGTCATATATGCTGGCGGGGGTTGGAAAGGACTCCTCTCCTCTTCCTCGCCCCCAAATCGAGACGAACCGGCTCTCGAAGAGCCCTCGCCGGGGTTATATTCCTGACTCATGACGGATATATGCAGCGCTGGTGTGCCATCGACGGTGTCAAGGTGTTTGTTTGTTGGATGGGCAGTTTTCCATGGAAGGTCACTTTCGGCTTGAAGGGGTTTAGCCGGGCCATGTGACTTGTAACTTACCGGTGCCGTCATGCCGATCGCTTTTAACACTCCCTGGCTTTTTGACTCGAACTTGTTTGTTAATTTATATTCTTGTATTAAATTTACTGTCAAGAATATAATGAGATTAAGAATGAGATTCATTCGTGAATATGTAAAATCTTCCAGTTTTTAAAAGTGAATGCATGGTCCTGCACTATCCACGTCTACATCTGTATGGTTACCGCCCACGGTACCGTGCCGTAATGCGGCGGTCCCGCCTTGATGTCACTGCCCAGAGGTGCCTTGGGGGCAATTAAACCTCTCCGATCCCCCCTCTTTCTCCCCATTCCCCCTCCTCCAGATTATCATGAACGTGAGTGGTTTCAGTTCTCTAATTCGCTCAACCGCTGCTAATCTGAATCCCTCCAGGTCATTGAATGGGCCTTCGGTAAGCGCATGACGCCCGCCGAGCGTCTGCGCAAACACCAGCGAGCCCTTGATCGGACCCAGCGCGAACTAGACCGTGAGCGGACGAAGCTAGAGAATCAAGAAAAGAAACTGGTGCAAGACATTAAGAAGAGCGCCAAAAATGGCCAGATCGGAGCTTGCAAGATTCAGGCCAAGGACTTGGTGCGGACACGAAGGTGCGTGGTATACGAACTCCTCGGCGCTGCCTCTTGACAAAGACGACTGACGAAATATCGCACAATAGATATATTCAGAAGTTCTACCAGATGCGTACACAGCTACAGGCCATTTCACTCCGTATCCAGGTAGGAGCCGACTCACGACTGATGTTCGTTCCGACGCTTACTATTGTTTACCACAGACCGTCCGAAGCAATGAGCAGATGATGCAGTCTATGAAAGGCGCGACGAAACTTCTGGGCGGCATGAACCGACAAATGAACCTCCCGGGTCTCCAGCGCATTGCAATGGAATTCGAGCGCGAGAACGAAATAATGGATGAACGACAAGAAATGATGGATGATGCGATCGATGAAGCTACCGGCATGGAAGGAGAGGAGGAGGAAGGGGAAGACATCATCAAGGAAGTTTTGGACGGAATTGGTGTCGATCTGGGACAGCAAGTACGTTTGCACGACCGAGCACGAGGACCTACTTGCGTGGATGCTGACCATTTTCATTACAGCTGGGCGAAACCCCCTCAGATATTCAAAAAGCACCCGCAGAAGAAACTCGAGTTGCGCAGGCTATAGGTGGCGGGGCACATACTGACGATGATGATCTTCAGGCTAGACTGGACAGTCTTCGACGATGACGATGACGACGACATGTTTATTTTTGCTTTCGTATTCTCCGCTGTCGATGAGCAGGGCCTGGAAATGGGCTGGTTCTTGGCGCAAGCCTCTTTGATTGATACTGCCATCCTTTGCTAAGCGTATTCCTCGTCGATTTACATGCAATACCTTGCCACTCTATTGTTGCCTATGCTCCGTAATACCCCATTTAGCCTTGGAAGTGGCGAAGTCCCACCGGGAACACCACTATACCTTGGCAATGCCCACAATGTTCAGCTATATACTAAAATAGCCAGATAATTAGGAATTTTCAATCTCCGAAATAGCCATTTGCTTCTCAGGGTGAAAGTAAAATCGTCTGAGGCGCCCGGGGTACCGTCTTATGATAACATGCCACGTTCCGGTTTTGAATGCGAGATTGCCCCACGGATTAGGTTTGTGTTGAAAATGTTGGAATTAATCATTATCAAAACGATAGAACCAAATAATTACTATATTTCATGGAAATAGCGTAAATGACAACTTGACCATGCCCGAGTTCCGGAACAGTTCAACTTGAAATTTTTGGGAAATCTTCATCTGAATATATATAGTACTAGTTATGAGTATCTAGTAGTAGGTACTACTATTCTATGAGATTAAGATAGATTATTTAAAAGAATGATGATGGAATTTCCTGGAGAAAGGCCGTCTCCAAACACGATTTACATATGTCCACTGCAAGAACCAAGGATAGCAATTTGCTAGCCGCCGCAGGGACGGTCGATCTTCCGGATTTCTTGCCAACACGGCACGGAGTACATCTTTACAGTCCTGACTGAGGCTCTCATTCAATAGTAGTGGATCGTTCATAATTCTTGCTCGTCTTTCCATGACTCTTGGAATCTGAGTCTCGGAGGAACCAAAATCGAGTAGGTTGTCATGCCCTTCTTGTTGATCATCCCATGGCCAGTAGCCATGCAGAATGCCGAATAAGATAACACCAAATTTCCAAATGATGACCTGACGCATATCGTGTTTGTCATCGGGATACGTTTTAAGCCAGCCTTGGACTGACAAAACCCTGGCTAGCTCGGGTGACATTAGGTGTTCCTGGAAAGTCAAGTAAGCACGTCTGTTATTAAGAAAGTCAGCCTCCTTCAGCCCAAATTTGACATCTCCCAGATCAATAATCGTAACCTATAATCAAAAAAAGTTAGTGCCAAGTTTTAAAGTATGGATTTAGTATCACTTACATTAAGTTCCTGATCAACAACAAAATTGTTGACCGAGAAATCATTATGCCAGAGATTCAAATCAGCAAGTTCCAAAAACCCTTCCAAGATCTGAGACGCAACTTTGCAAGCTTCCATCTCATCTAAAAGTGGGTTTCCATTTGATTTCATTAGATACCTGCCTGTGAAAGGTTTAAATACACGACGGAATCCTCCTTCTGAAAGGGGATGAAGGTCGGGGGCGTAGTCGACACAAGGAGACATGACAATTGCCTGAAAACGATCGTGAAGATAAACGGGATCTAGCTTGGGAAACCTATTACTTGTGGTTAATAAGAGCATAACAAAGGCTTCTGTGGGGATATATCGAAGATCTTTTGATTTCTCTAAAGTCATAACCATGGGGGGAGAGTAGTATGCTGCCAAAAAATGTGAAAGCATGGTTTGATGCTTTTCCACCTTGATAGCAAAGTGTTTCGAAGAACGCGGGTCAACTCCTTTGCTATCCTTCTCGCGTGCAAGATAAACTGTACCAAAAGCTGTGATTTATTAGCATGTTCAACAAAATAGTGAAGGGGAATTGGTACTAGTAACTTACTTCCTGTGCCAGCGAGACCATACAATTCCATTCGGTTGGTCAAATTAGCGCAAAGAGATGTTGCTCGAGTCTCAGATGTGTCTAAAACTGGATCTATCCTATTGATCAGTCCGGTGTCTTCGTTTTCTTGGAAACGGAGTGCATCACTTCGGCCGGCCTCATATCCATCGAAAATTGTGTGTGTGCACCGCGAGAGAGGTTGATCTCCCCGTGCAACAAATGCCCCTTCTAGGCGAGAGCGTAAATTATGATGAAGATGGGGATGTTCTTTGGCTAGATGGCTCTCGGGGTTTAGTAAATCGTTAACAATGACGGGGAATGACTTTGCCCACTGATCCTCAACTGATACCGACATGGCGAAGGCTTGATAGTCTACAAGATACATAGAGCCTTGTATGACCGGGAGGTTATGATAAGAGCTTGAATTAGAATGTTCTTAATATCTTTATAATTACAACTTTCGAGGAAGCTATCTACTATAAGAGGGAACGAGAGGACTAGCCGAAGACAATGATCATTGTGCGTCTTAAAGTTAGCATAAATTAAAGAAACCCTTGAAAACAAACAATTAGGTACTTCTTTCAAAATAATGATAGCTCTTCAGTGACAATGGTTGACTGGTCTTTGGCACCGGTTTTGACAAAGGAGATTTTATTTTTATTTCGAAAAATGACCTGTGCAATATCTACAGTATGTTGACAAAGGAAATCAAAAAGGAAAATACTAAGTAAATAACAACAGGTTCGAAGGGGATGGCGGATGCAAACACTGACCAGAGGCTGAGAGAGAAAAACGCAAGACCCAGAATGAGATATCAACAAGGCAGCCTCACTCTGGGTCTAAATGCTAAACCCTTGCCTAACAGTTGGGTCCAGCATGAGAAACAAAGGTTTAGTACCCATATTCATCGTATTCAAGTTGGGTCATGCGGCTCAAAGCTCAAATGGGGGCCGAAAATATCTCACCCTGGGGTAGATCTACGGCGCCCGAGCTGTGGTATATTACATACCAAAGTGAGTAACGTATTAATCAATTACAGTGCGGCTCAGGCTATCCGCATGCTGGGGTAACCCATTGAGAGAAATTTTTTTTAAAAAAAAGAAGAGTCAAAAAATCACGAATAGTAACCATCTGTTGTAACTTACTGGCCCAGATGTCAGTCGATGTCACCCGGGTTCAAGTTTGCTGTGGGGGCGCGCGAAAGCCTTGAAAGTTAATATGCGGCTCTGCGAAAATGCAATCGCTTACATACGCCGGGCGTTTTGCCCGGGTAATGCAGCTTCAACAACATCACGAGAACATGATTATTTCATATAAATAAAGGGCGCGATCGCATACAATCTATAGAAAGCTCAGCATTACCTTCAATCTCTCTGAGAACAAACAATCGATTTATGTGCCGTGCGGTTCTATCTTCCCTTATACCAGAACCATGACTACTTCTTATATCGACAATGAGACCCCAAGAGAGTGCAGCAAAGACAATTGCGGCTCCTCGGGAATCCCAACCCCTCAAATCTCACCTCAAATACGACCAAACGTTCAAATCGATTCTGGGAATGAGCCGCTGCAAGCCCAAAGTTCGGGGGCACCGGATTCCAATGTCAATACCGTAGGGTATGAGGGATTTCAATTTTTCAAAGCAGACCCCATGCCTGGACAGAAGGCAACATGGAGCCGGGTGGAGCGCACTCACATGCACCTTAGCCAGAGTGAATTCTATAAGATGGTTCACAAGCGTGCGAATAAGGTCTCAGCCGCGCAGCAGTATCAAAACCTGTCGGATACTCGACGTGCTCATGTGAATCAATTGATCCACGAGCAACGTCGAAACGACCCGTCCAATGAGTGGAGCTGTGTCTATGCTAAAGAGTGTGACAGAGCATCTAAGCCACGCAACGCTCATCGCGACGACTACGAGACTGTCTCCATGGATGTCATTCTCATGAAAAGACCCTTGAAGACCAAAGTCTATCCGAGAACACCCATGGGAGATTTGGTTGATCTTGGGGTAACTTTTACTAGACAGGATTCTAACAGACCATCTGCAATTCTGATGCCTCCTGGCTACCAGACAGCACCGCCGTTTGTGCCAGGTCAAATCATTGGCCCAGGCTATGTGGTTCAAGGACCACTGCAGCGGCCGGTGTCCGTTACTTCACCCTTTACTAGACTTGATTTGGGACGCCCTGCTACAGAAGATAAATATAGGGCTACACATGGACATACTGTACCCGAAAAGTAAGCAACAAGTCCTAGCCAGCAACCTTGAATTGCCGGATAATACACAACAAGCATGGATATTGAAGGAGTAATAGGGAAAAACGAAATATCGACAATCAGTCAATCTGGTCCTCCGAGGAAGTGACCAGTGACGATGACGACGAGTCTATGATATTTGATGAATCTCAATCCGATGTTAGCTCCGACACGGAGCACCCCGATGGCATGGATTGTGAGTTCCAAGAGTCACCATCAAACCAAGATCAGGCTACTCCTCGGCAGCGCTCTTGTAGCCCTGGTCATCGCGAGGCCCCAGTTGGCTTTGGGCCCCAACATCGTCGCCGATCAATCAGCCGTAACAGGGAACGGAAATTGGATAGATATCATCCTTTGCGCTATTATAATTTAGACATGATGGCAGCAAAGAACAGCCTACCCATTAAGAGGGCCAGGGGCTCCTCGGGATTGGGAACGGACGCTAATAAAATATGGGAAAAGAAATATCGAATCCAAAGGATCGATGATGAAGAACTACGAAGTCGTCTGCTTGATTGTGAAGCTCGAATTGAGCAGTGGGAGAGGGCTTTTGAGAACCAGACTCGAGTACTGCAGAAAACTATGAAGGATTCTCGTCAGTTACAGCGCCGGAGATCTTTCTGGGATTTCTCCTCGATGCGCCACTGCGGGTGTGATTGCCCAAATACTGGTGGGGTCGGGAATAATCAATAATGTTTAGTTAACTGTGCCTAGGTGATATTTGTTCTGTTGTGAATTTGTGTGTTTGCTTTTCGGTTACTGTCATTCATTATCTCCGCATATTATTCAAATCGTGATCTTTATCCCTTTATCCATGCATGTAGCCATTCGGCTTCCCAGGAAAAAGAGAAAGATATACGTGAGATACAAAGATAGGAGAAAAGGGCATGAATAATGGGATATGTCTAGTGAGGAGGAGAGGAGGGAAACTATGCAGACATACTGACTAACAAAAGATCTACTCTTGGCGGAAGAAGTAGGACATAGGTAATTTGAGAGTTCAGTTGGTGTTCATCTCATATATTCTGCTGGCTATAGTTAATATGTGCGCTAAATGCTTTAGGATACTAGTATTTACTGGTACTTTGTTTTTGATAGTACGTACCTCGGAAGTATCGCCATACACTTTTTCAGCCGCATGAATCGACTAGTAAGCGACAGAGAATACCCTTGGTGACCTGCAGCTGATCAATGCAGCCTGCTGTGATTCATGCATATAGTACATATCGACCATGCCTGAGGGTTAAGCTTAAAGCGCGCATCTTCCATAGATCTTGATAGCTGGTTATGTCATAGTTGATGCCTTACAATTTAGGCGTCCGCCGATCTTCGGGTTGTCTGCCCCTCCATTTATTTCCCTTCTTTGGCCCGCCCAACTCTCCTCCTCAACCTATTTCCCTTCAGCTTTTTCCTTCTCAATTACCAAATACCCCCTCAATAATCATTTATCATGCCTCGCACTTTCTTCGTCGGCGGTAACTTCAAGATGTAAGTTACTTTCTCTCTCTCTATACTACCCCGCGTTCAACTCATTGCCCCTCCTCCATGCTCCTCCGCGAACGCGTATCCAGCTTCCCAGAGCATGAACCTGACCAATTTCCAGGAACGGTGTTGCCAAGAGCATCACCGACATCGTCAAGAACCTCAACGAGGCCAAGCTCGATGCCTCTACTGAGGTTGTCATCTCTCCTCCCGCCCTCTACCTCACCCTCACCCGCGAGCTGGCCAACAAGCAGATCGGTGTTGCTGCCCAGAACGTCTTCGACAAGCCCAACGGTGCTTTCACTGGTGAGATCAGTGTCGAGCAGCTGAAGGACACCAGCATCGACTGGGTTGTCATCGGCCACAGCGAGCGCCGTGTCATCCTGAAGGAGTCCGACGAGGTATGCACTCTACAAGCTCTATACTCACACCGGCGGCCCGAAACGGCAGCCGGAGTAGAGGGGGGGTGGCTTTAAGCTAACGCATAAAACAACAGTTCATTGCCCGCAAGACCAAGTCCGCCATCGACGGTGGTCTCTCTGTTATCTTCTGCATTGGTGAGACTCTTGAGGTACGTCATTTAGCATTCGCTCGGTTACCCGTTTTTCGTCCCGGTCCCGGTGTGGGTCATCGGGATGGGACCTGCATGAAATACCATCCGCTAACACCCGACTTTTTTGTCATAACAACAGGAGCGTGAGGCCAACAAGACCATTGAGGTCGTCACTCGTCAACTCAACGCTGCTGCTAAGGAGCTGAGCAAGGAGCAGTGGGCTAAGGTTGTCATCGCCTACGAGCCCGTCTGGTAAGAACACATCTTCTTCGAAGATACTTCCTTCCCTATTGCATATAGTTTCTGACTCTTCATTCCAGGGCCATTGGTACCGGCAAGGTCGCTACCACCGAGCAGGCCCAGGCGGTCCACGCCGAGATCCGCAAGTGGCTCGGTGCTACCATCTCTAAGGAGGCCCAGGACTCCGTCCGTATCATCTACGGTGGCTCCGTCAGCGAGAAGAACTGCCGCGAGCTCGCTACCCAGCCCGATGTTGACGGTTTCCTTGTTGGCGGTGCTAGCTTGAAGCCTGCTTGTAAGTTACAATTGATTCCCCTGACATACTCTATACCTATACTAATTCTACCTCCAGTCGTCGACATCATCAACGCCCGCATTTAAAGGGGTTATAATACCAGACAGTTTGGCTAAAACATTTAAACGTGATATGTTGTCATGAGAATCTATGTACAATGTTGAGTCGCGAATATTTCCGGTTTGCGGCATATTCTTTTTAAAAAAAAAACCCTTCCATCCAATAAGTAATTCGTAGATGTTGGTAAACCAACTTCTAAATTGTTCGAACAATATTAAATGCCTCAAAGAGAATGCACCGATAGATCCATCAATGTTCTATCATGATGAATACATCACTGAAACTCCAACCCCGCGCCAGTATGAAGGAGCGCCACCTCCACTCTGCGTTGACCCACTCCCCGGAGCGCCGGAGGAAACATTTGGTGACAGGGAGAATGAACCCGGGCCCAGCCCGACGCCCGCACTCACCAGGAGCTCCTTGACTCGGCCTTCCCACAGCAGACGCAGATTCCAGGATTGATCAATGCGAAGCTTAATCACTGAATCAGTGGCCACGCTATTGTCACTCTCTGAGCTGGATGCGGGCTCGGGATGAACCGGGTCGGAGAGTAGTGGGGATGCTGGCGGTGACCCAGGCAGCGAGGCGGAGAAATCATGCAGGCGCATTTTGCGACGAGCCCATTCAAGATCGTCATCTGCGCGGGCGAAGTTCTTAGTATTGCGCCAGAGTTCAATGCCAGCAACCATCTCGCTTTCCCAACTATAAACATTAAAGCCGAATCGAGAACTGAAGGCGATATTCGGTGAGGCGCGGAGGGAGTATGTTGTGGACAAAGAACCAGTGATGGGTGTGAGGGTGAGTGTCAATGTGTATGGGAATGTGGATATTGGCGTTGGGGGATTGGATGAAGATGAAGGCGAAGGTGTTTCAGTTGCTGCGGGAAGAGTGCTGAACCGCAAGCCCGTTGACATTCCAATGAGAGAGGAGACCGGGGAGTAATATGCCTCTGCACCAGCAGAGAGAAGTGACAATCGAGGCGGAGCATCGTCGGGAGTGTAGCGAGGGTCAGGGCCGAAGTTCCAAAGACCACGCCAGCCGAAGAGAGCATTGTCTGTACTGAATAGATACTCATTGCAGTATTTTCCCGTATCGTGGGATAATTGAGCCAGCATGGAGGCTTGCGGTGCCGACTTTGATAGTGGTGGCCCCTGGGTCGAGCAGACTGCTAGAGACAATTGCATGGTTGGAGACATTCTCCGCAGGAACAGAGCATAAAGGGTAGTTGGCGAAGGAAGCTGTAAAGAAGCATGCAAGAGAGTTGCCTTTCGCAGTGCTACCTCTTCAGGCGTTTGATCATCCTTCCGGCGTGATGGAGATCCGTCCTTGAAGCCGGGAATGCTGACTTTGTCTAGAATTGTATCCCAATCCCACGTGTGTATAGGGGCCACTGGCGCGTATACCTGGCGATAACCCGGAGAAATCTTGCGGAGAGGAACTAGTGCGCTCCGGCTGGGAGTGTTGTGCAGGGGGACTGTGCTGAAGAGGTATGAGACGGATCCATCGAGCATGCCCCCTGTGCCCAGGGTATAACTGGTCGCGAAATGCGGAGTTGAGAGCGAAGAAGCACGGACACGGAGTCGTTCCGGGGTAGAAAAGTCGAGGAGCGCTGTGGTTGACACGTTAATATTCGAGTTCATGGCGCATCCCTGAACCCTTGGAAATCGGGATAGTCACTTACATTGCGCGGTTGTTGTGAGGGACAGATAGGAATTGTCGCGATTCCAGTTGGTGGCCTCCGCGAAGGCGAGCTGGATGTAGTCCATGAAATCCAGCATTGTGCCTTGTCGGCCCTCACCCTGGTCGTCTCGCAATTGTAAAGAGAAAGGCGAGCGGAAGTGTAGAGGATGGGATGCGCTGCAGCTGGTTACCCCATCGGGGCTAGTGGGGTCGGATAAGCGCGGCACAATTGTTGATCCGGTTATCAGAAAAAAAATGGCCATGGCATTTTGAATGCCACAGGCCCTCCTCCGCAAACTACAAACCACACTTCAACTCCACCAATTTCACAATGCCTCGTTCAAAGCGCGCGCGCGTCGTCCATGAGTCCAAGACGACCAAGAAGGACCACAAGGAGCAGACCCGCCGTCTGTATGCCAACATTCGGGAATGTGTCGAGGAATATGATCATCTGTTCCTCTTTGCGGTGGACAACATGCGGAACACCTACCTGAAGGATGTGCGCGCTGAGTTCTCAGACAGCCGGTATGTGTCTCGAAATATAGTGGGGCAATATTGCAGATTTGATTATGCTGCCGCACGGCGCAATCATCCTGTTATATATGCCAATTCATCTCTTCAATTTTACTAACATAATATCTCCAGTCTTTTCTTCGGCAAGACCAAGGTCATGTCCAAGGCTCTGGGAACCACCCCCGAGAATGAGGCTGCTCCCAACCTGCACAAGCTTACTCCCTTCCTCACCGGCGCTGTCGGTCTCCTGTTCACCTCCCGCCCCGTCAAGTCAGTCACCGACTATTTCGAGAATTTCCGCCCCCAGGATTTCGCCCGTGCCGGCACCGAGGCCACTCGCTCTTTCTCTATCCCCAACGGCCTGGTCTGCGCTCGGGCTGGCGAGATCCCTGAACATGACGACGAGCCCATGAGCCACACCATTGAGCCTGCGCTGCGCAAGCTCGGTGTCCCCACCCGCTTGATTAAGGGCAAGGTTATGCTCGAGCTGACCGAGGGTCAAGAGAGTTTCCCCGTGTGCCGCAAGGGTGACACATTGGACTCCCGCCAGACTACTCTTATGAAGATGTTTGGTGTCACTTCCTCCGAGTTCAAGGTCGACCTGAAGGCGCAATGGGAGCGCGAATCCAACGAGGTGAAGATCCTCGAGCAAGGTGATATGGAGGTGGATGCATAGATGCCGATGCTTTCAGTTGATTTGTCTCTCTCTCTGTCTTCTTCGGCCTCTGTATGGTCGACTAAAAAAAGATTCTCTGTGGGCATCTTACGGAGTTTTTGGGTTGGCGCTTTCCTTCTCCTTTGAAATATATTGAATATTTTTTTCTTACACAAATTTCTCCTGGAAGATTGTGATCTCTTCCAATTGATGTGCCTATGACTAGTATGGATACCAAATTGGATAAAAATTCTCTACATAGAGTCTGTGATCCAACGTATGAAACTCTTGATACTACTAGTATATTCATCTTCGCTTTTTCAACTAGTGCCTAGTAGCAAGATGTCTGCTTTTCAGTCATTGCAACGGACCTTACCTGGTCTTACCTGAGCTTCATTGAAATCCACCATTTGAAGAAAAATTGGTTCGACTAAAGTACATACTTACCCCCGCGGAGAGGCACAAAGACCCAACTGGACCATGAAAAAAAAAGACTGGAACAAACGTATGAGAAATCCAAAGTCCCAAGGGGCCTCAGAACAGATAGGAAACGGGGAATACAGAAACACTTCGTGGGACCACAAGGGTTTGAGACCGACTCCGGCTAATGTGCGCCTCGGAGCAAGGTAAGGAAGGCCCCTGGTAATCAAAATAAGAGCAGAGGCGGTTTTCTTCGCGGGTTGGGAACATCCGACATTCTGTCTGCACTGAACATCTCGAACCCAATTCCCAATGCATCGTTTAACTTCTCGCCTTACCCCTTTGACCTTGTAAAGAGAGACGCACGACAGAGAAATCGGGGATACCCACCAGCATATCGGGGCTGAGAAGGGGAAAGAATAGCTTCTGTGGGAACAAGGAGCTAGGGCATTTAATCGTATCGCCTCCTAGATCGCGGGTCGTCGCGTTCATCATCCTCACGGTGTCGCTTCCGTCCGTAATCCTCTCGGCCGCCATACCTGTCACGCTCACGATCACGGTCCCTGTAGCGGTCTCCGCCACGATCGCCGCCACGATCGCCGCCACGGTCTCCGCCGCGGTCTCCATTGCGGTCTGACATGCGGTCACGGTCCCTGTAGCGGTCACCGTCGCGGTCACGACGGTCACGGTCAGCGTAGCTATCTCGGGGCCTGACAGGCTCTCGGTTGCTGCCAGTACCGCCACGGTCGAATCTGTCTCCTCCTCCTCGACCCCCACCACCGAAGCCGCCTCCGAACCCACCGCGTCCACCACCACCTGGGCCAGAGGGAGCATTTGGAGGAGGCTGTCCACCGAAGCCATTGCGGCCTCCTTGGTAACCGATTCCACCGCGAGGTCCAAAACGATCTCCACGGTCACCACCGCGGTCACCGCGGAAACCTCCTCCACGGAAGCCTCTTCCACCAAAGCCACCTCGGAATCCACCGCCAAACCCACCGGGGCCTGATGGCGCATTGAATCCCATGGGTCGTGCGGGCATAGCTTTCGTGTATCCACGTCCACCGAGGCCACCACCGAAGCGGCGAGGCTTCCAGCCTTTGATTGTGCGGCCACGTTCCACATCCACTAGGACTCGTCGATCCTTGATCCGAATTCCATCTGTTTCCTTATAGGCGGCTGATAACGTGGGCGAACTGTGTTAGCATTGAGCTTTTCTTACCACAGACTGGAAAATCATGCTGCGAGTGTAGAGTATATCTGATAGTATTACCTTTCATGTCCTTTTCACGCTCGTAAACGATGAATGCATAGCCCCTGGCGGGTCTTTTTGCGGCCTTTGGCGAGACGGTGTCCTTTACTATGCGAATCTTGAGAGTAAAATGTCAGTAATCGCAAATTGGCTAGTCGGGGTTCGGGGATAATCACTCGTTCAATGGGACCGAAGCGGCCGAATTCTCGTTCCAAGTCTGCTTCTTTCACGTCGAAACTGAGTCGCGCAAGGAAAAGGGTCCTGTATGGGTCACCTCGAGCTTGAGGGTCATTTTCGGGGTTGACTATTTCACAGAAATGGCAATTAGCATATGGGTAGAATCTTAGATAGGGAAACATTGAGCAGCGCATACAGGTCTTCAGGCCCTCGGTCAGCTGATTGGCAAGCTGCTCCTTTTTCTCAAGCTTCTGGCGCCATTTGCGCTGGATCCAACACTCCGTAGCATTGTAGGGTACCTCTTCTTCGAACTGCTTGGCCTCGGCAAGGTACTGTGCCACGCCGGAAATGGTGCTTTTCTGGCAGTCCTCAGGCGCGCGATCGGACGGAGGGATGAATCGAAGAGGCGGCCGCGGCTGGAAGAGGGCCAGCAACGGCGGGGGAAGTTTGTCTGTCATCGAGAAATGCGACTCGTTGTCACTATCGCTGTGATGTGAAGATGAAGTCTGGAACCTGACAAAGGCGTCAGGAGGGTCGCGTCCTGCGGTAGCAAGGAAGTTATGCGCCATAGACGCCATAGACGATTCTGGCGCGGGTGGATCTCACCGCCCACGTGATATCTGAAAATGTTCCCGGGCAGTTTCCCTGTCGGCGTGCGCAAGCCGTGAAGTGGGTGAATCTCAAGAACACTTCACTTACAACGATGCCGGTAAAAGCAATCAAGACGATCTCGTCGGCCAGGGTATGTTTACGGATGGATGGAGGGGATGCAAGCTGGATCTTTGTTGTATGTGAACTGACTGGACCGTGTTCAGAATGGCGTCGGTGCCTTCATCTTGCAATGCAAGCGCCTTGACTTCCACTATTGCAACTTTGGCGGAAGCTCCCGGGGCATGCTGTAAGTGAGAGTAATTTAATTGAAGTGATACATGTTACTAACAAGACGGAAAACACTACAGTTCCTTCCTAACAAAGGATCTTGCTGCCTTTGCCCGTGAACACCCCCAGATCGAAATCCGTGTCTCCCCACGACCAGCAAAGCACCCTGTTATCAAGGGTCACTACATCAATGGCCACGAGAAGGCCATCTGCGTACGAAACCTTGAGCCCAGCGAAATTATGAAGAAGACCAACATCCTCAAGGAGGCCAACGGCGAGAAGTTGAAGCGCACCAAGAAGCCCGTGACAAGTCTGAACGAGAGTGTGCGTGGTATCTGGTCGCCTTACCACGGTGATCTGCGCGGCGTATGAGCTATCTAGCAGGGCGTTTTTCGAGGACTTCATCTCTGGGAGGTGATGATTGTGGTCACCCGGTCTTGACCCTTTCCCACTGCCTTCTACTACTGTATTATTGAACCGGATCCAGTTTCTTTCTTTGTTCATTTGTCACTCCTACCTCTTTGTTATTTTATGGTGGCTGAACAACACCATTTTGTTTTTGCATCGCCAAGCCAGCCACTATACCAAGTGAAATCAATCTCGAATCTACATTCATAAGGTTTAAATACAGCCCTTAGATCTCAATCAAATATAGTATACTTGGGGACAACCTGCACGGTAAGCATGAAGCTTTGGCGGCCAAACCTCGGGGATTTGCATAAAAGCACTGCCGAGGCAGTGGTTCCAACTTCATATTCCAAGTTGGTTTATAATTTAGTGTCCACTGGTAAAAACCTTGAATATATTGTGTCTCACCTGGGCATGTCAGCCACTGTCAGTGGCAGCTAATGCCGGGCCTCCACTGCAGTCATCAGAATACCATACTGACGAGTTCAAGTTGAGACAATATTGGTATTGACTGAGCGGTTAGTTATAGATGCTCGCTACTTTTACTGCAAAAGAATCCAACAAGGCCGTAAAACCGCCTAATTTGAAACAGACAAGATCAACCCTGTAGATCATCGACATCCCGGGACAAAGGGCCGGACTACTAGTGGGTTGGAATTAAATGAACCGGCTGTTTTAAAGTGCGACCTGCCAATTGCAGATCTCGGGGCAACTACCGAATGACGATAACTAGGCCATTGCCATTCTATCTTGAAAGCACTGTTTCGACCCTGTTGTTCCGACTCGTGGAAAATGCCCCCTGTGTCAAACCACCCATTGAATGAAGGGCCGGATTTACCTCCACTAAGCCACTATGCTGGAAGTGGACATCTTTTGGAAAGAGGTATAAAGAATACGGATTCTCGGCGACACTCAAAGCTTTAACAGCCCATTCAATTTGAATCCTGATTATATCTGTCACAATGCCTTCCTCTGCTCAGATCGCTTCTGTTCTTGCTGTCCTGGCCTTCGGCTCTGTTGAAGCTGCCATGGGCCCTGCCTTTAGCACAGGACCTGTCTCGGATAACTCCTGGATTCGCGAGGCTACCTCTACTCTGGTTCTTCCCCAGGCCCCGAGCAATAACCAGGGGGATGCCTCCCTTTGGGTTGGAATGGGAACCTCAAATGGCGACTTGATCCAGGCTATCGCCGACAACTGGCAGTCTGATGCCTGGAGCGTCTATGCCTACACTCTTACCAGTACTAGCGGTTCGTTCTGCGACTACTCTCTTCTCTCCCTTAATAGTACTAAATTTGTTTATAGACAACACTCAGATGCCCGTTCAGGGACCCGCCGAGGATGCTACTGCTGGTCAGCGGGTGACGATGCACTGTATGAATACACTCGAGATGCAAGACGGTATACAAGCCAGCTAACAAGTTCCAATAGACAAGTATGACGACGCGAGTGGAAACTACACTCAGACCGCCCAGATCAACAATAGGACCGTTTCCACTCTTTCCACCAGCTCCGGCCATGCTCAGGGCTGGGGAAGCTCCGTTGAGTGCGCTGAAGAAAACTGCGGCACTGTCGGCGCCCACTGTAAGTTATAAAACCAACATGCCTATACGTAATTCTGGCTAATACATTCATTTCTAGCGTGGATCAACACCAAGATTATCCTCGACACTGCCGACCCGGACTACATCAACACTATGGGCAAGGGTGAGGGAGTCACTGGCGATATGAAGACCAATGATGGTGGCAAGACCTGGACTGTCAGCCGTATTGACATTCCCGAGTACAGCTTCTAAAGCGTATACCTCTACGGACATGAAGTATCCAGGATAGATATATTGAGTACCTGAAGCGCCATTTACCTGAGGTACCATTTTATACTTCTAACCGTATACAATGACTCTGAAGCTGGAATTCAAGACCCCTATAATTGAAGGGTATATCTCACTGATTGAGAGTGCTATTGGCTCCTTGAGTAGATAGATACTCCCGAACCTGACCATGTGCAAGACCTTATTAAACCGAAGTAAAAACTTATTCAAATACCAACTTGAAGAAGTTCTTCACAAGGAACACCTGGAGAATGGTCAAACATGTTACTAAGTAGTACTACCGTACATTTCTATTTCTATATTGATAGTATACTAGTAGTGTATTCCAAGGTTACTGCGTGCCTTCTAAATTTTGATCTATTGAAACCGTCAAAATAAAAATGAATATTCCCAAGTAAGTTTCTATTCTGTCTTTTGTACTCTGATTTTGAAGCCCTTCAAGGTTGACTTCATAAGCCTCGATAGAGATGAGACACTTACAGCCATGGGATGCTACCCACGATAAAGAAGCCGGGGCCAAAAATGTGAAAGGGATTGTACGAAGCATGATCACTGATTCGAATTCAAAAAGCCCGACCAAGTATTATGCGCACACAGAGAGGAAATTCCGGCATGAAAAAAAAATTATATAGAAGAAAGAAAAAAAGGCAAAACGCCATCCATTTCCATGCATAGTGGGTATCGACGTGAGAGAGAATGAAACTAAACTTGAGAAATGGTAACCGAGGGAACAACTCCGACATGCAAGAGAGCGATGCAAGACATCACAAGAGAGATTTAGAGGTAAATGTGGACCATTGAAGTCGGCGCGCTGACAGATTTGCCGCAGTCGAGAACCTGGCACTTGGAGAACGGTTTTGTCTTTGGAGAGCCTTGTGCCTTTTTAGCTTTTGATAAAGATCGGTTGTCAGTGCATTCTCCACAATAGACCTGTAAAAGAAGTGTCAGCATGAGAATCGTCTGTAAGATGAGAGGCCAACATACATGTCCACACTGTTTTGCAACCCAAATCTCTTGCTTCTTGCCTTCTCCGGTACCTAATTCCCAGTAGCAGTTGGGGCAAACAGCGACGTCCTCTTCGCCAAGTGTCCGCGTAAAACCTTCCGGCGCGGGGCTCGGTGGCTTGTATTCATTCCGTCGACTTGGGGGTGCTTGCGGCGTTGAACTTCCCATGGGGAATGAAGACATGGCATAGTTGAGTTGACCTAGGTCATCGAGAGATTCAGGGAGTAATTCCGAGCCAAATATTAGAGACTCAACATCCGGAGGCGGGAATCTGGCCAAACTTCTTCGTCCAAGTAGACTTGGAACCGAGGAAAAGATTGATGAAAGCATACTGTCGTCCATACTGGTGTGCACGGGACGACGTCTGGGATTTGGTGGGGCGAGGTTCGACCTTTGCACGGAGAAAGGGTCTAATCCCCGGGATGGAAGGGGGTGGCGGCGAGTTGTGGAACCGACGAACTGGACTTCCGGGCTGCTGGATGTCCCTCCAGTGGGATTGCTGGTAGGCTCTTCTTCATCCGCCTCAAGATCAACTATGTTCTCCAAGATATCCCTCCCGAATCGCGGGAGTCTCCCGGGGTTTGAGCTTCGGCTTTCCGAGCCACGAGTCAGGATACGTTGGGGGGGGTGTTTCGGGCTCCTCCGTAAGATCAATGACGGCTTCTTGCGGCGCTGGCCTATGGACAGGGCTCCGAAGGTCATATCCATCGCGCGAGGTTCGGATGTGTGGCAATCGAGAAGGGCGAGCAGTGGTGATTTCGGGTCTGGGACGAAAATGATCAAACCAGGATCTTGATGATCCTTCGCTTGGTTCGTGCGACATTTCCTGATGTGTTCGCTGTGATCAGGAAACACGCGACACAGTTAGAAGATTGCTTTCTTTATCAGTTGCGTTGCCCCGCGCTTTTATGGCTCACCTTATACCTGGCGCCCACGATCTGGACGCCAGTCTCGTCGTTCATATCAAAGCCAAAGCGCACAGACAAAGAATGGGCCGATCAGCTTGGAACAAAGTGTGGAATGGCCATGGAGAGATCAAAGGAGGAGTAAGATCAACGCCCGGCGGCACATCGTCACCAGGTCGAGTCTCCCGGGCGGTAGATATTTTGCCACTTACCAAAGGGCGGTGACAGCGGAGGCGGTAAGTGAGGACTCACGTGCTCTAGATCACAGCACAAGGAAGATAAAGAACATAATCTGTGAACTAGTTATACTGCAGCAACAAAGGTTAATTCTCACTGCCAAAAAGCTAGCTTTAAGGAACATCGTTTAATACGAATCCAAAGAGGCTCGAGCATCTACGGACACACCAGTAAAGAAAGCATTGAGGCTTTTTCTTGCATTGAGAGCTGTTGTGAACGCAAACACCTTATAGAAATTCAGATATCCAGCTCTAAAATTACACATTTTCAAACAAATGATCATGACTGTGCGAGCACTGTAATCGCACCACTTTCGTTCAATGCCACAATGCTCTGAGCGTTGGCTCCCCAGGCCACAGCAACTGCGGGAACCGCGCTGCGCAAGGGCTCTGACCAACTCTTCGACGACTTGGTGAATTGCTGGACAGTCAATCCACTTGGGCCACCAGTCAACAGGAATTGACCACTGTAGTCCCAGAAGATTGAGTTGACCAGGCTGCCGGTGTCCAGCACCTTGGTTTCCGAAGAGCTGCGCAGGTCCCAGATTGAGACAGTGGTAGATTGCGCAGCGACCGCCGCGAGGAAGGTACCATTCTCGGAGAAGAAGAGAGACTTGACGGGGCCAGACATGGCGAAGTCCGCAGCAGCGGCACCAGTCTTGACATCAAATATCTTGATCTGGTTATCAGACCCACCTGCGGCGATGAGGTGGCCATCGGGGTGGAATTGGACGGACAGCAAAGCTGGCAAAGTGTGGTTAGCTCTTTTCTTTATATCGAATGACTGCAAAAGGGGGTCGGCGAGTACTCACCTGCATCAGTGAAAATCTGGGTAATGACGGAGTTCGTAGACAGATCGTAGAGCACGTAGCTCTTATCAACACCAACAGAGGCAATAATATCTCCAGTAGGGTGGACATCAATAGCAGTCACCTCACCAGCGTGGGAGGCAAAGCTTGCGACTTCGCTTCCGTTCTCAAACACCTTGACGGAACCAGTAGAAGAGGCAACGACCGCCTTATCACCGGCCCATGTGCCACCAGTAACCGGGCCATCTGCCTTCAGAGTCTGCAGGACATTCTTCTGGGCAATGGAGTAGACACCAACCACGCCATCAGCACCGCCAACCAGGGCCAATTCGCCAGTGGGGTTCACGGCCAAGACACGGCCACCGGGGTACAGAGGCTCAGATGCCTCGGTGGGCTTATAGGCAGAGATACCATCGCTGGTAGCCCAGTTATCGGGAATAGGGCGCTTGCGGCGTGTCTTGGAAAGACTATGAAATGAAACCGGTTAGTGAGACTCGACAAGAACCGTGAACCAATTGTCAACGTACGCAGCTTGTGTGTTCTCAACCCGCTCTAAAACAGCCTGAGGAAGACCAGCAGAGTCCACTTGCATGGCCTCGCCACCCGCCGCGGAACGAGTAGCACCAACAGTGACCTTTGAAAGGGCATCGCGGGCCTCATCCCGCTCCTTCGTCACCCGCGCGATCACTCGCACGGCAGCATCGTGCTGGTAAAGCGCCGCGCTCAGCTCACGGCGTGTTTGTGCCAAGTTCTGCTGCAGGGTATATGTTTCGAGGGCAAGCGCATCCCACTCTTCTTGGAAGACGCTAAGAAGAGAAGGAATGGAAGTGAGAGTGGGAGGTCGGGGCCGAACGACGCGCTGCGAGTGGATATCGATGAGATCTTCGGTGGTAAGCTCCTCGCCGTTCACTGGGTCCTTTCCATGCTCGGAAATGTAAGCCTCGACCAGGCGCTTCTCAAAAACACTGCCTATTAAGGAGTCAGGTGGATGTCAATTGCGCAATACGGGATTGAAAGACCTACCGCTCTTGGGGGAGAGGACAGGCACTTGAGGTGCCTCTCCAGAGACTGTGAAGAGATTGTCAGCGATCAACTCGTCAAGAAAATCACAAGTAGTCCGACTCCAGCAGAATACTCACTTGCGCAGAGCATGATTAATTGGGGTGTGGGTTGAGGGTGGGTGGATGGAGAGATCTTAACGCGCAGAGCGGCTCCTTGGGCGACTTTTCGATGTGTCCCGTTCTGGTTTAGCGTGGCAGGAGCTGTTCGCGGCGGCTTTCCTCACGCAGTGTGGAAGTTGACCTTTCTGACGCCTCACGATTTGACGATTCAATCTCCGCCCGGAATATGACCCAGCTGTGAAATTCTCCATGGCTGTTTCTCGATGATTCACTGCAATCGTTCCACTAGAGACTACAGTGTGAACCTAACTTGGCCTGACCTGACCTGATCGCAGTCATATCACAGAGCGCCGCGACCATGTCGAAGAACCCGAAGCTTGCCTACGGTACGCCACGATCGCATTTTTATATAGAGCCGTGCTCATTCATATCCTAGAGGCAAACGAGCCTGCTTTTCTCTCGAAGCTCCGAGGCCAATACGGAAGCAGCGAAGGTCGCCTGGAGCGACCTGCCATGCGACCTCGCAAAGCCAAGGATCCCAAAGATGAAGAGGAAGATGAGCCGGTCTACGTGGATGAGGAAAGCAACGAGGTGATATCTAAAGAGGAATACAAAGCTCTTGTCAAGGGCGATGACCCGACGGACGACACCTCAACGGCCGATAGCAAGGACAAATCAAAGGCTCACTCTGATACCGCGGCCTCAAAACAGAGCAATTTGACCGAGATTGGAGGTCAGAAAAAGCGAAAGCAAGCGAAGGTGGTGGGCGAGGACAACAAGCCAGAGCCCGAGGAGACACAACCGAAGGAGACACAAATCAAGACTGCAGCTGCGCGGAAACCCAAGAAGGCGAAGAAGATTAAACTCTCCTTTGATGAAGAGTGACTCAGTCGTCCCGGAAATACTATATGCAGTAATAGAAGGCTCGAAGTCCCCGTACCTACTCGAGAATCACAATGAATCACGATGAGTCAAAAGGTGGATTGGGACTGTACAGCGTCAACAAAGCCATGTCGTAAAAATACCACTTCATAGAAAAAAAAGAATAAAATGCCTAGAAAATATATTTATGCACCCACTATGACGTAGATTAGCAAATTCTAGTTTGCCATAGTGCAAGGGGATTTCTCAGAAGTATTTTGCACAAAGTTGTCGCATTGTCAACGGGCGAGAGGCGGCGGCCGGAACGTCTTTGTATTCTCCATTTCTCAGCAACTTTTTTTTTCTCCGAACCAAGTCGACTTTCCCCGCCACTTTACCCTTCACTGAAGCCACTGAACCCCCGGGCAGGCTCAGAACTGATCAAAATGCCCGTGGTTAACGTCGACGATCTAGTTCGCCTCCAGCGAAAGCCTGAGGACATTCGAAACGTGAGATTCTAAATTCTGCCCCTCCATCCCACTGTGATGTCAGTGCCCTCCGATTCCGATATACTAACTCGCGTGGCCAGATTTGCATTTTAGCACACGTCGTAAGTCGACAAATCATGATCAGCTCCCTCTCTGAGGCTCATTGATGGCAAGAGCAATATTGATTATTGATGTTCTTCTTTTTTCTTCTGAATTTTAGGACCATGGAAAAACTTCATTGACAGACAGTCTGATTGCCACAAATGGCATTATCTCGCCTAAGCTGGCGGGTAAGATCCGCTACCTGGACTCTCGTCCAGACGAGCAGTTGCGAGGTATTACTATGGAGTCTTCGGCCATCTCTCTTTTCTTCTCCATGCTCCGTCGCCCCAGCCCAGAGGCTGCGCCTGTACCAAAGGAGTACCTGATTAACCTGATCGACTCTCCGGGTCACATCGATTTCAGCAGTGAGGTATCTACGGCATCACGACTCTGTGATGGAGCCGTTGTTCTGGTTGATGCTGTTGAGGGAGTATGCAGTCAGACCGTGACGGTGTTGCGGCAGACTTGGGTCGAAAAGCTGAAACCGATCCTTGTTATTAATAAGATGGATCGATTGATCACGGAACTCATGATGAGCCCAAGCGAGGCCTACTCGCATCTCAGCAGACTATTGGAACAGATCAATGCCGTCATTGGTAGTTTCTACCAGGGTGAGCGTATGGAGGATGATCTCCAATGGAGAGAACGCATGGAAGACCGCGCCAATACTTCCTCTGCCAAGGAAAAATCCAAATCCAAAATTGTGGACGATGAGTTGGCCCAGAGTGTGAGCGAGTTCACCGATTTTGAGGAGCGTGACGATGAAGATCTCTATTTCGCCCCTGAGAAGAACAATGTCATCTTTTGCAGTGCAGTTGATGGCTGGGCTTTCACAATCAGGCAGTTTGCTGCGATCTACGAGAAGAAGCTTGGAATCAAACGCACAGTCTTGGAGAAGGTTCTATGGGGTGACTATTATCTGGACCCGAAGACTAAGCGTGTCCTGGGTCAAAAGCATCTGAAAGGCAGACCCCTGAAGCCTATGTTCGTACAGTTGGTACTCGACAGTGTCTGGGCCGCATACGCTGCCACGACTGGTGGTGATAAAGGGAAAGGGTAGGTTTTAATAAAACAACAGTGAAATTCTAGTACTAACTCGGTGATAGTGATCCGGTGTTGCTTGAAAAGATCACGAAATCTCTGAATATCAACATTCCACCATACGTTCTGCGCTCTCGTGATCCGAAAAATATCATGACCACCTTGTTTTCACAGTGGCTACCATTGTCAACAGCTGTTCTCGTGTCAGTGATTGAATACCTTCCGAGCCCACCTTCTGCGCAAGCTGCTAGGCTTCCGGATTTGATCGAATCATCCCCAGGATCAAAGTTTGTCTCAGAAGAGATCAAACAAGCTATGATCAAGTTCAAGACAGAACCTAAGGAGCCTGTCGTTGCATATGTCAGCAAGATGACCGCTATCCCGGAGAGTGAGCTATCCGCAAGCAACAAGCGTAGCGGTGGGACTATGACTGCAGACGAGGCCAGAGAAATTGCTCGACGTAAGCGAGAAGAGATTGCAAAAATGCAAGCAGAAGCTGGCGCAGGGCAAGGAGACGAATTCTCGCGAATGCATTCCGCTTTTGAGTCCACGACTCTGATAAGAGAAACCGAGGAACCTGAGCAGGCGGATGAAAAAGAAGATCCTGAACATCTTATCGGATTTGCGCGCTTGTTCTCGGGGACTTTGTCTGTGGGAGATGAGATCTATGTCCTTCCCCCCCAAGTTCTCACCCGCAAGCCCGCACGAGAGTCCAGAGCCGAGAAAGGTTACAGTCACCGACCTGTATCTGCTTATGGGCAGAAGTCTGGAACCTCTCAAGTCGGTTCCTGCAGGTGTTGTGTTCGGAATTGGTGGTCTTGCTGGCTACGTTCTCAAGACCGGAACCCTCTGCAGTCAGGTCGAGGGAAGCATCAACTTGGCTGGTATTTCATTGAGCACACCACCTATCGTTCGTGTTGCACTTGAGCCAGCAAACCCCGCAGACCTTGGAAAGATGGTGACCGGTCTGCGTATGCTTGAGCAGAGCGATCCTTGTGCACTGTACGAGGTGCTTCCCAGCGGTGAACATGTCATCGTTACTGCTGGTGAACTGCATTTAGAGCGCTGCGTCAAGGATCTCACTGAGCGCTTCGCTCGCTGTGAAATCCAAACTGGTGAGGCCATCGTCCCCTATCGGGAGACGATTGTGGAATCCCCAGAAATGGCTGCTCCCAAGGACCCCGAAATGGGCCGCGGAGGCGTTTGTATGGTATCCGGCTCCAAGCAAATGACCATTCGCTTGAGAGTCGTGCCTTTGCCAGAGGCTGTGACGGATTTCCTCACCAAACAGGTCGGCACTATCAAGAAGCTCCAATCCGACAAGCGATCTGCTACTGAAGGCGCAGCTGAAAATGGCCAGCCCACTGAGATTGTGGCTACTGACGCGGCTGATGAGGCTCGCGAAGGTAGCATTCTTTCATTGAATGAATTCCGAACGGAGTTGCAGAGGATATACAAAGAGGCAGGTGAGATCGAGAAGCTTGGACATGATCTTGTTGATAAAATCATTTCCTTTGGGCCTCGGAGAATCGGTCCCAACATTCTCATTGATGCCACATCAGTCAACACCTGCGATAAATTGTGAGTTACTCTAATCCTTTTCCAGAGAAGCAAATGACTAACATAACTTTCTAGCCTTGTCGACGAGCCTAAACACAATGCCAATGTGGCCAATGATCTGCAGGCTCACCTTGTTCGCGATCTCTGCGACAAGATCGCATATTCTTTCCAGCTGGCCACCGGCCAAGGACCACTCTGTCAGGAGCCGATTCAAGGCATTGCGGTTTTCCTGGAAGACATTACTGTGCAGGCCAATTCAAACGACGAGCTTGATATGGGTCGTCTAACTGGAGACGCAATCCGACTTGTCCGTGAAGGAATTTCGCAAGGCTTCCTAGACTGGAGCCCACGTATCATGCTTGCGATGTACAGTAGTGAGATTCAAGCAACGAGTAAGCTCTCTCTCCCCCTTCACCCTTGTCTATACCACTAGTTCTAACCAATGTACTCCAAAACAGCCGAAGTCTTGGGCCGTGTCTACGGTGTCATCACTCGTCGCCGTGGCCGTATAATTTCCGAGCTCATGAAAGAAGGCACCCCATTCTTCACAATCATGGCCCTTCTCCCTGTTGCCGAATCATTCGGTTTTGCCGAGGAGATTCGCAAGCGGACATCCGGTGCAGCACAGCCGCAATTGATCTTCGCAGGCTTTGAGGCTTTGGACGAAGATCCTTTCTGGGTCCCCGCCACCGAAGAAGAGCTAGAGGATCTGGGTGAACTGGCTGATAAAGAGAATGTTGCGAAGAGGTATATGGATGCAGTGCGCAGCCGGAAGGGTTTGGTTGTGCAGGGTCGGAAGTTGATTGATGCTGAGAAGCAGAAGACACTAAAGAAGTAAACCTTCGATTTCATGTTGCCTCTAGCGTGCTAACTTGAAATGTGCTCTATTTTTCTTCTTGCGCGGATATATAAAAGTCATACTAGTATATTTTTGGTTCATTTCTAGTTTGCTAGTAGTACTCAGGGCTACTACTACAGGAACAACGGCCGAAGCTTATAGGATAAATAAGAACGTAGCCAAACATAAGGATTAGGATAATTACGATTATATTCAATCTAAAATTTATCTTCATGTATATTTATCTATAATAAAGTATCTCGTTGTTAGGAAATTAATAATAAGACAGTTAGAAGCGATGAGAAATACTTAAATTTATATATCAAAAAACTATATTGCTTGCACCATCAATATCTATAAAATAAACTACTAGTATGGTCCAAGAGTAGGAATTGAATACTACGTTGGCTCAACGACGCCAGCAGGAAGAAATGAGAATCGATATTAACTTAATAGTATAACATCCCACTTGGTCCAAATCCATATTGATACTGCTTATAATCAACGTAATGTCTTTTAATTCTCTTTATCTCTATTTCTACCCTGCTGTACTTCTGCCCCACGTGATTGGCTGTAGATGAGGCTTAAAGATGACCCTAACGACCAACTAAACCCCGCATTATTTGGCCCACCATCACAACTTCAAATAAAAAACCCTGAACATTTGACAGTCCTAAAAAGTTACAGTGCTGCAACGGCTAGCATCATGTTGACGGCATGTCAGATCCGAGAAACTACACCATCGGCTGGATCTGCGCTACCGCTACCGAATATGTAGCCGCCCAATCCTTCCTAGACGACCGACATGAGGACCCAGATTATCTATCCCCGACTAACACGAACGACTACTCCCTCGGTCGAATCGGAAAGCACAATGTGATCATTTCAGTTCTACCGCTTGGCTCATACGGCTCTGCCTCTGCGGCGCAAGTCGCCGAGAACATGTTGCACAGCTTCCCCAACGTCCGAATTGGGCTGATGGTGGGTATCGGTGGAGGAGTGCCGCATCCGCATGACATTCGCCTTGGCGATGTTGTCGTCAGCATTCCTCTCAATGGGAGGAGCGGAGTTATCCAGTACGATCTCGGAAAAGCTGTGCAAGGACAGGGTTTCCAGCCTACGGGGTTTCTGAACCAGCCGCCTACGGTACTGCGTACGGCGGTGAGTGGATTGGATGCTAAGTATGAGATGGAGGGACATCGGCTGAAAGAAGCTGTTGAGACGGTGCTTGGGAAGATGCCTAGGCTGCGGAGAAGGTATAAGAGACCCTTACCGGAGAGTGATCGGCTGTATAAAAGTCATGTTGTCCATCCGTCGGAGGATGCGGAAGGAATCATCTGTGCTGATGCTGAGAATGGCGAAGGGTGCTTAATCTTGCGAACTCCACGTCCCGAAGAGGAAGATGACCCGGTCATACACTACGGATCAATCGCATCAGCGAATCGGCTCATGAATGATGCTCTGATACGGGATAAGTTTGCCAAGGACAAGGGCATTCTCTGCTTTGAGATGGAAGCAGCTGGCCTCATGAATAACTTCCCTTGCCTTGTCATACGCGGGGTATGTGATTATGCCGATTCCCACCAGGAAGAGTACAGTGAATGGCGAGGGTATGCAGCGATGATCGCAGCTGCGTATGCGAAGGACTTGCTCAATCGAATTTCCCCGCAACAAGTGGAAAGAGAACAGAAGATTCTAGATCTTGTCAAGAGTTCTATCGACCATATCGTTGAAAAAACGGACCATATTGCTGAGACTACGGACTGCCTCGCCCAAACAACAGACCGTATAGATCGGAACCTGGCTCTTGACAGATTACCCATTGCGCATGGGGCGGAGTACGATTCATACGCAGATCAATATGAAGTTGAATGTTTGGAGGGCACAAGAACAGACCTCCTAAGACAGATTCAGCAATGGGCATTCTCACAGGACGGAAAATGCCTCTTCTGGTTGAACGGCATGGCGGGAACCGGCAAGTCTACCATATCCCGCACGGTGGCACGGTCATTCAAGGAGAATCTCGGCGCTAGTTTCTTCTTCAAGAGAGGTGAGGAGGACCGAGGGAATGCTAAGAAGCTATTTCCGACTCTTGTGCAGCAGCTTGTGCTTCAATGTCCGGTGCTGGTTCCTAGCGTGCGCAAGGTACTAGAGACTGACCCGAATATCACCTCCAAGTCACTCGGGGAGCAGTTTAACCAACTGATTCTGAATCCTCTCTTCGAGTTGGATAATTCAGAGAAGTACAATCGTGCGGAAAATATCGTGATCGTGCTTGACGCCCTTGACGAGTGTGACCAAGACTGGGACATCCGAAGTGTGATTCGATTGCTGCCACAATTGCAGAAAGCTCGTTCTATTCGCATCCGGGTTTTCTTAACAAGTAGACCTGAGCTGCCAGTTCGTCTTGGCTTTAGAAATATAGAGGATCAGGATTACCAGAACTTGGTTCTTCATGATATTCCCGAAGAGGTCACCAGGCATGATATCTCTCTATATCTGAACCATCGATTCAGCAAGATCCGAGTGGAGAGAGATGTCCCTCTCAACTGGCCAAGTGACAGGACCATCCGAGAACTGATCACCATGTCCGTACCATTATTCATCTCCGCCGCGACTGTCTGCCGATACATCGAACATTCAAAATTAGAGCCCACAGCCCGACTCCGCGAACTACTGCGGGATCAAACGCGATACGCAACGAAAATGGAAAAGACATACATGCCAATCTTAACCCGTCTAGTGAACGACATAGAAAGCGAGGAAGAAGAGCAACAGCAAATTCTGCAGAGCTTTCAAAGCATCATCGGTGTCATCGTTCTCCTCGCCATTCCACTCTCCATCAACTCCCTTTCCAAATTGCTCAATATTGACCCACGATCAATCCACACGCATCTCGACTCATTCCAGTCCGTTCTAAGTGTTCCAACCCTCAAGGAAGAAGATAAACCTGTCCGCATTCTCCATCTTTCCTTCCGAGACTTCCTAGTCTCTTCCTCAGAAAACAAATTCCGCGTGGACGAGTCGATAAAGCATAAAGAGATCGCGGGATTCTGTTTCAGAATCATGAACCTTCATCTAAAGAAGAATATCTGCAACCTAGACAGTGCAGCTACAGAGCGCTCGAGTATTGATCCGCAATCTCTCCGGCTGCTTTTCCCTTCGGAACTTAGATACGCTTGTCGTTATTGGGTGACGCATTTTGAGAGTGGTGAGGTTTCTGAGAGGGAAGTCAATGGCCTTTTGACGTTTTTTAAAAAGCACTTTTTGCACTGGGTTGAGGCGATGAGTCTTTTGGGACATATTTTCGAGGTTGTTGGGGTGATCAGTCGTCTTCAGATTGCTATTTTGGTGAGTGCTGGATTCTATTGAGTCGTTGAATATCTGGTTCTCTTGATTGTTGAAAAAGCCTCCTTGATATATTTGCTGTCAAAAGATCACCCTAACGACTCACAGAACCGATCCTTCTCAGAGCTCTCGGCTTTCCTACACGACGCCGACCGTTTTGTATTTCGAATTCGACAAGTGGTCAAGGAGACACCTCTTCAAATCTATTGCTCAGGCTTGATCTTTGCTCCGAGGATGTCAATCGTCCGCAAAGAATTCGAAAGAGACATTCCACCTTGGATGTGCCAACTACCCCAAGTCGAAAACGGGTGGAACGGAGAATTACAGACTTTGAACGGCCACTTGGACTGGGTGAATTCGGTGGCATTCTCGCCGGATGGCCGACTGCTTGCCTCCAGCTCCGATGACGAGACAGTGCAAATCTGGGATGCGACAACTTGCGAAATCCAAGAGACTATTAAAGGCACCGGCTCAGCGGGCTTAGTGGCCTTCTCTCCTGATGGTCGCTTGCTGGCGTGCGCTTTCTCAGAGTCGTGCGCTTTCTCAGATAATGGCAAATATAATATCCGGCTGTTTGATCCGGTAACAGGCGAGTTGGAACGGAGCATTGAAAGTGAAAGCGAAATCCTTTCGTTAGCTTTCTCCCCTGAAGGTCGTCTATTGGCAGCTGGTGATGAGCACCAGACACGACTCTGGGACCTGGAAACGGGTCAGTTGCACCGGCAGTTTGAGGGAATAGGTAAGATCCAATCGGTTGCATTCTCGCCGAGTGGTGAAGTGATGGCTTTTGCGTCCAAAACTAGCAGCGGATTAGAGGTGCACATCTGGGACTTAGCAGCGGGTATGTTAAGGGAGACCATAAGGGAGAACATAAGGGAAAAAAGGACTAGATCTAGGATCTTCGTGGCCTTTTCACCCGACAGGTGCTTGTTAGCGTTTAACATATACCAAAATATCTATCTCTGGGATCTGGAGATGGGAGCTCCTCGACGAATACTCTCAGGTCCGGATGGACCAGTTGCTTCGCTAACATTTTCCTCGGATGGTTGCTTACTGGCTTCTTGTCATTCTGATTTCGACAGAGATGCATCAGTCGTCTGGGATGTGGAGAGTGGAAAGCTACTCCATTCTCTCGGAAGAAACGGTCTCGACAACCAGCCCATGGCATTTTTTCCTGGCAAGCGATTGATCGTGACTGGTCACTGGGATGGAACTGTACGCATCTGGGATGCTACGATAGATGGCGAGGAGGAGACGCTGGAAGGCCATGAAGAACGCATCTATTCGCTCGCATTCTCGCCTGATGGGAGAAGCCTTGCATCCGGCTCTTTTGATCACACGACACGGCTCTGGGACCCAGAAACAGGTTTGGTACGGCAAACGCTGGAACATGGTATCTATGAAAATGGCCCCTTATTCTTCTCGCCCGATGGTCAGAAGCTAGCAGTCGGAAGATCTGGGGTTGACCCGTGTGTCTTGGATTTGACAACTGGCGAAGTGGAGGAATATGATTGCAAAATGCAAAAAAGCACCTCTGGTGTACTCACGGTGGGCTTCACGTCGGATGGACGCTTGATGGGGTGTATCAGAAATGATTATACCAAGAAGTTCGAGCTGCTGGATATAAGGACGGGCGTGTTACAGGGTGTCGAGATTGCGGACTTTGAGGCTGCGACTAGTTTCGTGGCCATGGCGCTCTCGCCGGATTGTCGGTTACTGGCAGTTCACGCCGCGTATAATGGGGATATGCAACTCTGGGACACGGAAACCGGGGAAGAGATGCAGAGCTGGATTGTTAGAGCACCGAGGGCTCGGGGGTTAGTGTTCTCTCATGACGGTTCGTATTTGTGTACTGAGAAGGGTGAGGTTTTTCATCGCCAAGTTCCCTCATCTGTGACATCCCAAGAGGGTTCGGGGGTAATAGTGACTGTAGTTGAAGGGTGGTTGGAATGGAAGGGCGAACGAGTGCTGTGGCTTGGTAGTCAATCTGGCCTTGAAAAGTGGATTTCCAGAGGGAGCCTGCTTGCACTGGGGCACTCGACGGGGCGGGTTTCTTTCTTGAGGCTTCAGCCTCTTTCAGAAACAATTTCTGGATCACCGAGCTGGAGTATTTGATCATAATGGGCATGAAGCTATGCGGGAATAAACGCAGGGTATATATGGGGATAAAACAATATTGTACGGATCTCGTTTCTTTTGCCCTGAGTAGCCCTAGCTTGCTCAATGCCATGCATTTATTGATATAATACTAGATGGAAAAGTAAGAGTTGAAGGGGGACATCAAACTGTGAGGTTGATTATTATAAACCTTTTCTACACTTGGTTACCAACAAGGGCAATCCCACTAAACCAGATATAATTGAGGTGCAAAAGTAACAAAGTAAATTCTTCATACAATAGTAAAGGATATTCTGGAATGCAAACCCGAGCAAGCATTGACGCCAAATCATCGCGGTGCGCCCCCCCCCCACCCGGCGTAATACTGTGCCAGGCATTGACGACAAGCGCACGAAGAAAACGACAATTAAGACCATTCCAGGCATACTTACAGTACGACTCACCGGCCGAAAGATTTTCATAATTTAATTATTAAAATTTTCCCACATTAAATCTAATCGATCAATTCTGTCACGCATACTAGGATCATACAGCTTGTTGCAGAGGTGCAGGAGCACTCTGCAACAGAGCATGATGCAGCGTTCTCGAAGCCGGGACCCTGACTTTGCTGGCCTTATTGGCCCTTTTAGCGATGAACATGATCCTGATTCCTTCATTGCAGGGGCGGGGGAGTAGTAAGTCATTAAGTCTTCCCAGAATCCAATCGGTCCCTATATTAATCAAAGAAAACACTCTCCGGGGCGACGTCAGCTTGGCCGATGCTACCATCAAGCTCGCAGACGACAGCACCATTCCCATTCACAAAACAATCCTTGTCAGTCAGTGCCCCTTTTTCCGAGGTCTATGGCTAGGCGGTAGCTGGAAGGTAATACGTCTTATGTCCTGCAACCCTGGAGATTCCAAGCCCGCTAATATATCTCACAGGAAAGTGGAGACAAAATCATCTACCTAAAGGAAGACGACCCCAACGCCATGATGGCTATGATCAAGTTTCTCTACAGAAGAGAGTACTTTCCCGCCAAAGACGCACGCGACAGTCCCCTCGAATTTCTCGCCTGCGTCTACGAAGTTGCCGATAAGTACCTCGTCCACCAACTCAAAAAAGACTGTCTCACACACATTAAGTCAATTCTGAAAGAGACTCGGAACTGGAACGCAGACGAATTTCTCCGTGTTATCCCATTTGTCTACCAAAGCACCCCCCAGACAGACCGTGGACTCCGGGACCTCATGGTCCATGCAGCTTCTGATCATATTGAAGATCTTACCAAGAACGAGGCCTACCACAAGCTCGATACCTTCGAGTTCACCAAAGATGTGATCTTGAAAATTGGCGGATATCACCATGCCAAAGTGTGCGTGGACTGTGGGCTGTTCTTAAGAAAGGATATCCAAGTCAATACTTGCCATCAATGCGGTGGAGAACTGTATCTTATTGAAGTCCACAAAGCATAGGCGGAGTTTGTGTCCAGGGGAGAGTTCCGGGGTGAAGTTTCTTCTTTATTGTTAACTTAATGCTTTGATCTTTACTTGTACTCGTTTTGATTTCTCGTGTTGTTTTATCGACCTTTGATCTTAACTACTGCAATAAGATCTCTATCAAAATGCAAATTTGCAGTATATTACAATATAGCTAGTACGATTCTTCAATGCTCAAAGCCTCGGTATACTACTAGTATTTTAGCAACCATATGTTGCTAAATGCGGCATTTAGCAAACCATGTATGTCAAAAGGATACCGTCTAGATTCCGACTGCATGTTGAAACCCCTCTGATCTTGCATGGGACCACTACCAGCCAGGGCAGGACCTCAAGTATCCTTGAAAGAGAGAGATTGAAAAAGCACTTAGCAAGGTATGGCATAAAGGAAAGGCAAGTTAGGTTGAATACAAGTAGGATAAATGTGATATATTCAGAAAGAAAGAACGCCTATCTGATTTAAATGCCGACTCAACTCAACTTAACGAGTCAAGAACAGAAATTTACTGCCCCCATGACAGATATAGTCATGACATTGTTACTCGTTAGCAGGATTACAAGAATGTAACCCCCTTATCAATTACTCTCCAGCCAAAATTCAGACAGAGAACAGTAGGAGGGGGTACGCAAGGATGAGAGTCCCGCGCCGAAAACTTCAATCTTCCTCGCATGACAAACACAGCCCGACATTGAGTGTCTCGACCATGTATACTTAGGAGGTGTGGTTGTTGTAAAAGAAAAGCAAGGGGAAAAAGGCCAAGGGAAACCGGGAAGGGAGAAACGGGAAAAAAGAAAGGACTATGAAGAATTATGTGCATGCTGCGTTAGAAGAAGAAAGACGAAAATATTTTCATTCATCGTTTTATGGGTATCATAAAGGTGCAGGGATATTTCAATCCCCGCTGTTGTTAATAGATTCGCGATGTTCGTCAGCCGCGAGTCGTATCATTTCCGGTATAAAAGGTAATCGGGAAGAGCTCCAGATGCTTCCCGTGCGTGGTGTAGCACGGACGGGAGGCTAAAACATATCACCCGGGTGCGGGCGCGGGTGTGCGTTCAAATCCCGAGCTCGAGGCTCGGTGGGAACCCGAGTGTATGACGGTCCTCAGAAAACGGGTAGGATATCGGGCGTTGGTATCACGGCTGGGGCAGCTCAGCTCTCAGCTAGAGTCTGCATGTAATTCGGAAGAACCAAGGGTCCCCTCTTGCTCGAGCCCGTCGGAAGGATGAGCGTGCTGGCCAGACGCCGTAAAAGCGATAAGCAGTAAGGTAAGATACCTTTTCCTCAGTAGGGGCGAGCAACCTTTCTCTGCTCCCCAGCTCCAGTGACAGGATCCCTCATCTCCTTCCAGCTAACGGGGAACATCATGTTGCCAGCCTCGCTGCGAGCCATCACGACACCGAGGTCGTTGCGTGCGGTAGTGAGGTAGTAGGAAGTTTGATCACCGAGTGAGAGAACGCAGCCACGGACAACATCTCCGACGCGGAACATTTCTTCCATGACGACGCGGTCCTTCTCGACGGCTCGCACGTCCTCTTTGCGGATTATGGCTTGGAAGCGGAGCTCGTCGGTGCTGCTGTGGTTTTCAGGGTTCGCGGCTGAGGTAAGGATAGAGGGGATGTTGTCGTTATCTGAAGCTGCTTTGGTGAGGTCGGCATTGGGGGCGGATGTCTCGTCTAGGACGACGAGGATGGAGACGGCGGCTTGACGCTTTTGCACACGGGTGACCCGCGCAAGAACGATTGAATCGACCGCGGGGAGGGTGTTGTATCTGGGCTTTGATTTTGCGAGCGCGGCAGCTGGGGAAGATTGAGCTGCAGTAGAGAGTATCCGTGTAACTCGAAGAGTGGCTTTTGATTGTGTGTTGGGCTGGGCGGGATCCAGGATGACAGGGCCAGCGATGGAAGCGAAGATATTCGTTTGTTGGATGTGGGTGCCGGGGCCGGCGGCGTATGTGTTGGCAGAGCCCAGGCGTTGACCGGGGATGGCCAATGACGGAAGAGAAGTTGCCATTGTATTGGCTATTGGCCCTTCAGGGCAGGTCTTTTCAAGATGGTGGAGAGGTGAAGTGGAGGTTTCTTCCATGGATTTTTTTCGGGGAAGAGGGAAGCTCCCTCCGGAAGAAAGATTCTCCAGCACCGGAGTATGGAACAACAGCAAACGGATACATTGGGAAGGCACGATGGACTAGATAGAAAGGGCAACAACAAACGAAATAAAGGGAAGGAGGAAAACGAAAACGACCAAATGAATGCCCTGGCCTGGTTTTGACCCTTCGACCTGGAGAAAAAGCAAAAAGACAAGGCAGGCACGCATCGGACCCTGTGCGCCTCTTCAAAGCCTCCTCACTCTTTCCCCCAAATGATCAAGGCCAATACCATTAGACCATTCGGAGGCTTATTGCCCAGAGAGACTTGTTTAACATTCTTAACCGATGCTTTGCTCACTATTTGATTTATCCTCAGCCTACTCACCTTCCCCCTCTAGGCCAAAGCGAGAGCTCCTCACTGGCATTCTCCAAGAACACCAATGGAATGCGTCTAGAAGCTCGATTTTACAAGAATATCTCAATTGTACGAAATACCACGCCTGGGATGGATTAATTATGAAAAGCCCATATCTAGCATGAATACACGGTGTATGCGTAGAAACAAGACAGTGGCACCAGACCTATCCTTGGACCTGGGCGAAACAGGAGGAAACACAAAAAAAGAGGCCCTTGCCACTCCAAATGCCCGCTCGCAGTAACCGAAGTAAATTGAATGCCCATACTAACACCCAAAGGGTAAGAGAAGGAAAGAAGTGCGCGCGAGAGAGAAAGAGAAAGAATGGCCGGCCAAAATAGGGAAAGGACCGAAAGATGAATAGTCCGAGTCGTGCTTGCAATCGTCAAAAGGGGCCCTAAGCTTCCACTAGGGTCTGCTTAGGACCAGCCCCCAGTAGCTCCAGGCATCGCCGCGAGAGTGCAATAACCTCCCCCTCGCCACCGTCGTCACCCTCATCCTCGTCTGAGCCAGCTCCAATGTCTTTGTCCGAGATCGATTTCACCATTTGTACAATGTCGTCGGACTTGGAGATATAACCAATAAGTTTTTTGTCTTCGGATTCGAGTAGTTGCAGGAGTGTCCAGATGGCGATGTGCTGGAAAGTCGGGTCTCCGCTGGCGAGGAAGCGTTGGAGGTAGCCGTGGATACCTCCGTTTGGATCGGCCCAATCGCGTACGAAGATCGAGTAGTCACCAACTGCACTTGTTAGCTCGATGTTCGAATGAAAATGAACAAAGAAATGATATGAAAGGAAGGGGGAGCGGGAATGAGAATCGATCATACCTTTGGAGGACAGATTGCCCAAGGCTGCTGCACTGTTCCCTTGAACCTCAATACTTTCCGAGTTGGTGAGAGGTATCAAGACATCGAACACCCCGAGGCTGAGGAGATGGGGCTTCAGCTCATCACTAAGGGCGAGGACGGCGATCGCAGCAGTCATTTCAGACTGGACGGTCAGCGGAACCCGGAGAACCAGGTCCTTGCATTTCTGAACTGCGCCGGCCTGCAGGACAAGTTCTTTGTTGCGATCAGAGCTGGCGGCAAGATTGCGCAGCGTGGAGATAGCGTGGCATTGGATTTCTTCGTTGTCGGTAGAACCAAGCAGGTCCACCAAGGGCTTCAGGAAGCCTGCCTCAATGATGGGGGACTCATTGAGGGGGTGAATAGAGATGTTACGAATACAAGCCACGGCGGATAGTATCAACGGAAGGTAGGAGGACTGGAGAAGGCGCAGAAGTGGTGACAAGCCCTTGGCGCGAACAATTTCTAGTTGGTATTTTTCGTCGGACGCAAGGTTGCGCAGCGCGAGTGCTGCTTGGCACTGGACCTTCGGCGTGGATGAGTCCATCAGATGGACCAGCGATTGAACCAAGCGAGATTCGGTTTGGGCTAGGCGTTTGCGATTTGTTGAGTCAACGGCGATATTGCTAAGGGCGGTCGTACAGTAGTATTGGACGTCGACATCGGGGAGGGAAAGAAGATGAACGAGGACAGGAATAGCTCCAGCGTTGACAAGTTGCTGCCGGTTATCATCTAACAGCTTGATTAGCCCCTAACGCTCCGTTCCAACCATCATCGCGAAAGTTCCTTACCGGAATGTGTCATGTTCAGCAAAGCGCCCGTGGCATTGCGCTGAACGCGCATGTCCTTCGACTTGGCTAAGCGGATGAGAGGACCCAGCGCGCCTGAGCGAGCGATCTTGGCCTTGTTTTCTTCGTGTGTAGCCAAATTCGTGATACATCCCACCGCGTTGCACTGTACCTCCACGTTGGGCGACATCATTTGACGGATAAGAGGGGCCAGCCCTCCCAACGAGACAACCAGGACCTTGTTATCAGCTGTAGCAAGTTAGCGACTGAGAGCAAATATAAGGAGAGCTGAGAGATTGGGAGGCAGACCATTGACGGCAAGATTGCCCAGCGCCGCGCTGGCAGCTCGTTGGACCTCGATATCAGAGCTTTGAAGGAGGAATAAAATGGGCTCTAGGGTGTCTCGGTCGACTTCACGGACATCTGCAGAAAGGGAAGGGTGTTAGTTGCATCCGATCGGGTCACCATCTCGGCCACCGTACGCACCTCGCTCCGTGATCTCCGCGAAGGTCAAACTCGCACTGCGTTGTAAATCGACATTATCGGAGTATACCAAAGTACTCAGCGCTCGCAGAGGCTCTCCGGTGAAAAAATCAGTTTCGTTGCGCTGTGAATATACAGGTATAGGTCAGTAATGACGGGTTTGGCAGATATGACGACGCTCCTATCGGACGACGACGGAAGGACATAAAAGCGATGCGACGTACGTTCTCTAGATAGCCCAGCAGGTCGGAGACGGCTTCACGTTCGTTATCGGCGAGAGTTGTTTCATAGATGCCATCTCGCGATCGACCTCCACCCAGGCAGGCGGTGATATGACACCATTGGTCGACGGCCGACAGGCACGACAGACAAGTGGTTACGATTCCACTCATGCCTCCTCAACAGGCCCGCATCAGGGCACTAGCAACAAACAGGCGATGGTTCAGGGGGGAAAGAATCGTCGGGGACAAGACAATCTTGAAATCTCCGCGGGGAGGCGGGACGGGGTCGAGGGAGGCTGGGGCTACTGCATGCACCGGTGTCAAGCTTTGGAAAGGGAACACGGAAAGCGAGCGCGTGATGGCGGGAAGGGTAGAGACGAAGAATTCGGTAAGAAGGTGGGTGATCCAAATGAGGAGAGAAAAAAAATACGGGTGGAGGAGAGCGAAATAGGGACGGGGGAGAGACGAGAGGGGGGGTAGGAGAGAGAGAGAGAGAGGAAGAGGTTGCAGGAGCTCACTAGTTTCCCCTCGGGACGGGCACGTCAGTCACCTACAGAGTGGCCCAGTGGTAGATTTAACTCTAGATTGTAGAAAGCATATGAAGATGGATATGAAGATGAATATTGAATATTCATCTTCATATGAAAATGACCCTGAATGTAATTCTTGTTCTAACTTCTATAGTAATTAATTAGCTACAGCCTACTGTATGGACTAAGGATGAGATAACGCAGGAGAGCTCCCGTCCCGCGCATAACATCATCCCGAGCGGCCAATCCGATCCGGGGGGTTGCCTCTTCCATCTTCCCCCCATCTCAACTGGGTGTCTGCTTCTATGGTGACCATGATCACGGTTGTAACTTGTGACTATGAGGATACTGATCCATTCGACTAGTATGTGCATACTCTGCTCATTTTCCATCCATCTTGATCTTCTCTTCCTTTCTCTCCTGGTGACAGCTCTGGATCACCTGCGGCACTGGGTCTATGATCTATGTGGTATCCTGGAAGGATCTCATACTCCACAATCCTCTCTCTCCTTGGAAAGAGAACAAGGAAGAATCTCGTTTCCCTTGCAAACCGTTTCGAGGTCCGTGCAGGTCCTACTGATCCAATGCGCCCTTGTGATGCGCAATATCGCAGCTGATCATCCGTCCGGTGATCAGCTCAGCTCAGCTCAGGGCAAGAGGCAAGAGGCAAGAGGCAAGACGAGAGGAGCTAGCAGAGACACTTTCTACCAAGTGAACTAACCCACTTATTGCCTCTGCTTCTGCAGAGTGACATCGCGATCGGCATTCCGCCCTCCGGTATACCGTGGTAGACCATGGTAGATACTCGGGGAGGCGCCGAGGCATCCATGATTGAAACGAGTCTTCGTACGGAGTACTTAAAAGGGATTTACACGGGACGGTGGCAAGTCATTGTAGAAGCACCAAGGGGCGTCGGCTAAAGAAGACGACCCTAAAAAAAAGTCCCGAATAGGGCTGCTTCCCCGCAAAAATCGTGCCACTTGGAGTAGTAATCATACTGTCAGTACGGAATCGGAGTAGGAGAGTACTTAGTAACTAAGTTGTAACTCACCCTGTAGCCGTAAAAGTACAGTCAAGAACTAAACTACCCGAAATTCGGCTAGTCTATGTGAATTCCCTTGGTCCAGCCTTTGGTCTCCTGGTTCAACTGGGTTTGGCTCGTCCCGCAAAGTCGCCAACGGTAACATCATACCAAGCCCCCCTCCCCCATTCCCTTTCTCCCATTCTCATCTCTTCTCTTCTTGATTCTTCCTTTACCTTCGCCCCTTGGCTTTGCTGCTCTCTCTCCGAAATTGCGTTTATACTTTTTACTTTTGTACCTTTCTTTGTCACTCCTCACCTCAGACCACCCTCCCCAAGATGCATCACTAGAATCCTCTTCCCCTGTCGCATTGATCGCATTGACCGAATCTGGAATCGCATCAAAGAGCCTCCCCGCTCCCCTCATTCGCAATTGCATTGAGCGCCTGGACGCCCGACCCGAGTCGCGTGGTCCGATCTACAGAGACAGAGAGAGTGAGATAAAAGTGAGAAAGTACTGCTGGTCTCCCCCCCCCCATGTCGGCCTCAACAATGGAGACCGCCACCGCCTCCACCTCCTTCCCCGATTCTTCTTCTCCTCGTTCCAGCCGCCTTCGTCGCTTCAGCCAGCTGCGTACCTACACCCAAAATATCTCGTCCGGTCATCGCTCCCGTAATAGTATCAGCAGCCGAGTCCCTTGGTTGTCACCCTCGCCTGGCACCGATTCCACAGTGACGCAGGTGGGGAACTCCACTGCTCCATGCCCCGAATCTGACCAACCCGCCCTCTCTCGCTACACTTCAGCGCCCCCCCTCGAGCTCCCACGGCCTCAGTGTTGACCAGGTCTCTTCTACCGACTCTTCGCACTCGACCCCTCCGAACGAGTCGCCCCAGTCGTCTCGGACATCCAATGTCATGGCGCGGCTGAGAAGTGCCTCCGCTGTTCAAGGTCGCCCTCCCCGAATGCTGGGCCAAATTACCACCTCAGATGCTCCCACTTCGTCGCCAGAGCCCGCTGCCGCTACACACGAGCCTCCGGAGCCGATAGATACACCTCCTAATGATGCACAAGAGGGAGACTCGAATCAGCCGAAGCAGAAAGCCACCATTCGATTTTTTCCCTACCAAGACACCTATCAGAGCTCCCGACCCTCCCTACCATTCGTCCCAGTCACTCGCACTCTTCCGTCCGAAAGCTGCGTCGTTCGAGTCGGTCGGTATTCAGAGCGTGATGGTATTCCCATTCCCAACCCCGCCGAGCCCTCGGACGCCCCCGTCGGCTTCAAGTCAAAGGTCGTCAGCCGAAAACACTGCGAGTTCATGTTCATCAATGGACAGTGGCATGTCAAAGATGTTGGGAGTTCCTCGGGAACATTTTTGAACCATATGCGTCTCAGCCAGCCAAATATGGTCTCTCGTTTGTATTCCATCAAAGACGGCGATATTGTGCAGCTCGGTATCGATTTCCGGGGAGGAGAAGAAATGATCTTTCGCTGTGTGCGGATTCGCATCGAATGCAATAGATCCTGGCAACAGCAGCCAAACGAGTTCAAGTATGAACCACCCCGTCAGCTGCCTGTCGGGCTTTCCCCTCCTATCGGTTCTCCAGCTAACATGGTGATAGCAAAAACACCGAAAACCTCATCCAAAACCTCGGTAAAGGAGATAACGTGGACTACGCTGGCTGTCGTGAATGCTCTATCTGCCTTGGCTCCGTTTTACGGCCATACCAGTGTTTGTTCATGGCAGCTTGTGCTCACGTGTGGCATTACAAATGCATTAGTCGCCTTCTTCACTCTCCCGATTATCCCATGTTCCAATGCCCCAACTGTCGGGCTTTTACAGACCTGAGTGCCGAGGTAGACGACTCGAATGATCAAGACGTTGAAGCAAAAAGGGCCGCATCTGCATCTGCCAATGTATCAGAGGCAGCCCGCTCCGAAACCCAGACCCCAGCAGATGTACCAGCCCCAAACAACGATGGGCAACAGCCACCCGCGCAAGAAATGGGCCGCCCTGAAGAAAGTGAACTAGTCACCGATGTTGAAAATCTACACCTGCAGGAGGGTCAGCTGCTGAGCGCAGATACCGATAGTCGAGGCTCAAACTCGCCTGCTCCAGATAGTAGCAGTAACGACTTGGCCCGTAGCGCGACAATCAATATCCCTGGCTTTCAGCCCACACAGCCCCTTAATGTTCCGCCCGGTCGATCGTCACATCTCCGCGCGGATACCCCAGTTCGATCGGAAACATCAGATGACAACCCGTTGACCCCACGAAATGACTCCGGCCCTCTGGCATTTGATGGTCGTGCCACTATGCAATAACGGCTCCCGAAATGCACACAAACTCGACAAGACGACTTGATGAGTTATTTCTATCAGACAACCTTGCATCCGTGCATTTTCCACCTCATGCATCGAATCATGCCCAAGTCCCTATCGTAACAGACCTTGGTCATGATCGCGCATACCCGATGGTCTCGTCAATCAGCACCCAACTTTTTGCATACCACTTCCCGTGTCGCGCAATTAAGTGCGCATACACACTAGTTACAGACCATTGATCGGGTTTATCAACGCCGATCAGTTGCATTTCTCTTTTTGTTGAATAGCGTTCACCTCCTTGTTCTTGTTAAATTCCATTGTGTATGGAACCTTGGCGTTTCGTCGTTTCTTCCTGCATCCCACCCTTTCCATCGTTCGATATACCCATTTGAGCAGCCTGGGCTGTTGTTGGTGATTATTGGTGATATCAAGGCGAACTAGGAACCTTCTTTTCGGGCTGGCCTTGGTCTATGTCCTTTTTCACTGTTCATACTAGTACCCCTGGGTCTGGAGTTCTAGATTCAAGAAGTCATTTCTCCGGCCCGGCAATCCACATAAATTTACTACTATTCCCATCAACATAAATGTAGGCTAAGAATAACAAAACAGCGAATTGGCAACTACTAGTACTACTAGTACGAGAGAAAAAATCCATGGATGTTGACTAGGCCGAACCGGGCCAGACAAAATAGGCAGTGATCGTCTCGCTTAAGCTACGGGCAAACTCAGACCCACCACCCGTCCTCACCGCCCAGCACACCTCAGTATAAAATGCCGTCGCCCTCCGAACCTTCTTCTCTTTTTCAAGCGACTCTACGTTAGTGATCCCCCCCCCTACAGTGTTCACAACAGAACACCCTTCTCCCCAGAACTCCTTTTACTAACAACCTCACAGTTCAAAGAATCACTTTAGAGTAGACGTCCTCTTCTAAGCTCTTTATAAGAGCCACAGAATCTCCACCCTTGCTGATGACTACATGTCCTCGATGCCCTAAAGTGAAGCCTTTTGACTCCCGCCTCGACTGCTACGCGTTCCTCACGGTTCTGCGTTAATGTCCAGGGAGTGGTGATGATCTTGACCTGGTCTCGGCGTCTGACTTCGGTCGGCTGGGCCTGGTGGGTGTTGAGGAGGTCTGAAAGGTTTTGATTATGTTACTTCTTCCCCATCATTGATTCGGCAGTGCCGGATGTCTGGAGGGGGGTTAAGACATAGATTAGCGTGTGAAGGCCTGTAATAGAAAAGCAATAGAACAACCTTGAATTTAAGATAATTATGTGCATGTAGTATTTGCGATTGCGCTTGCGCGAACATGAGAGCGTGGTTAGCGGTCTCAGCACTACGAGTAGTCCTGAATCAGGCCAACTACCGGCCAATTCCAGTAAAACTCTGATGTGAATGAAGCCTCGATCACACCATTACCACAACTTCTCCCACATCCGCCGCGCCCAATTCATCTGTGCTAATTCGACTTTCCGCCTCTCCTCCCACTCCCCATCCTCCCAAATCTTACACTCCTCATCGACCTCCGCTTTTCCCGAGACCAAGTCCGCATCAACCGGACTAACAAACTTCGTCCTGTGAAACACCTTCCAAAAGATAAACATCACCGCCCAAAAAGCCAATCCGAAATACGCAGTAACGAATCCTTCAATCGTGAACGGCTTGAATACCGAGAACCCGTTGAGTAACGCAGTCAGGCAGCCGATGACAATAGCGACGATAGCCATGTATGGCTGGCATGGAGCCGCCCAAGGGACGAACGCCTTGCGATCGATACCCTGCGCCTTTAAGGCCCGGTACCAGGCGATGAATACGCAAAGCATGCCCGTGTAGGTTAGGACGAAGGCGATGGTTGTGAGGTCGACGAACCAGAAAAACACCGTTACGGACGATGTATCCGCAACGAGGAAGGTAATACACGAGAGCAGCGTGACAGTCAAGACGCAGTTGATAGGGATACCCGACTTAGTGCATTTGAGCAGGAATTTGGGAGCTTGGCCATCGCGAGCAAGAGAATATAGCGTTCGACTCGAACTGTAAAGGTACGCATTACCGCACGACCAGCCAGATAATAGGATCAGGAGATTTATCAAGTCGGGAAGACCTTTGATATCGAGGTTCTGGATGCCAATTACCCAAGGTGAAGCGGCGGATCCGGCAGCAGCGTCGTCAATGGCGGATATAAGGCGAGGATCTTGTGGACTGCAGATGGTTCCGACGGCCAGGACGCCAATGACGTAGAAACCGACGATGCGCCAGAAAGTCGCCTTAACGACGCGTGGGATTGTATAGCGCGGGTTCTGGATTTCGCCTGCGGCGAGAGCTGGGATGTCTGGACCAGCGACGGAGAAAGCTGCGTAGACCATTACGGAGAAGAAGCCGAGGAATCGACCCGTCACGCCGTCGGTATAGTATTCGAACATTACTCCGTGGGTCCAGTTCCGGAAGCCATAGACATCATGTTTGGGGTTCCCGCCTACCATTGTGATGAAAGTGAGCATGACCAGTCCAATGAGTAATAATATCTTTGTGGAAGCCATGATGAATTCTGCTTCGCCGTAGTATTTGACGGCGACGAGATTGAGACACGTGCAGACGACTAGGGCCATGGCTACCCAGACCGCGGGATTGACGCTGGTATTCCAGTATTGCATTACGGTAGCGACGGCGGCATATTCAGTACAGACTAGCATAACGCCACCGTAGAAGTAGACCCATCCCCTACAGATAGAAATCAACAATGAGAATGTGGATCACTTGTGTGAAATGCGGGGAAGCCCGAGAGGGATGATCCATGTGGAGAACTTGACTTACATGGCGAAGCCGAAAGCTGGGTCAATGAATCGTGCAGCGAGTTCAAAGATCGATCCTCGAATGGGTAGATAGGCACACATTTCCCCGACGCTCAGATTCACGGGTAAGATGAATAGACAGCCCCAGATCAGATAGCCCAGGAATAATGATAGCGGGCCTGCATCGCGCAGGTATGAACCAATTCCGACGAAGAGCCCCGTGCCAATTGAACCCCCAATAGCCATCAATTGCACATGGCGTGAGGCGAGACCGCGCTGGGTCTCCCGGTAGGGGAGAACGGTGCCGGCGTTGGCATCTTCTTTGGAAAGGGGGATATCCTCTACTGAAGCCTTCTTCTCCATGTTGATCGTACTCGTATGCCGAGGAGCTATGAGGGGAATGGATCCAGATCAGAGAGCGGGGGACAATGCCGCTTTATAGCTGAACGCGCACCGACGTTCTATTTGAGGGAAATAGTATGCTCGGACCATTGTGCGAGTGCGGAGTCGTGAGCGCTGTCATGTTGATAGGCATCTCGTGTGTCTTTGAGGGGTTATCGTTCAAGGTATACTGCGCGACGCTCTGGTTGGCTTGTAAAGTGTATAGCACCATGTTTGCAGGTTGAAGAAGCTTCGTCAAACTGCCAAGTACAGATAAAGGAGAGACTAGAGGCGCGCGTTATCAGCGGCACAACTACCCCAACCCCTGAAGGGGAGGAGATGGCGATGCCAAGTGATAAGCCTATCGCGGATTGGATGGGGGCCGGCGGGCGTGACTTACCCCAGTTATGCTAGGTTATGCTAGGTTACTACTAGTACTAGTATGCTTTGCCGGTCCCCGGGCCGGCTATGACTGACTTTAATTCGTGAGGGGTTGGCCTTGGCCTCGGGCAGATTTCAGAGGGGTTAGCAGGAAATATTAGCCTCATTAGATTTGGTTATGAGGACAGACATTCTCGTTCACGGGTTGTATCAATAAGAAAATAGAGTACTCATTCTGTTCATGAAAATTTCCAGTGACACAATAAAAGTAAAACAGATCTATTGTCTATTTGATAACTTAAAGTGTATAGACTACTATATTGCATACTTCTCTAAGAGTCGTTCTTGACCTTGACAGAGAAGGTATCGTGGAGTTTCAGATCCCTCGAACTGGCACCGATGTAAACCTTGTAAGTGCCAGGAGTGACGGCCCACTGCTGTGCCTTCACGTCCCAGTAAGAGATATCGCGACGACGAAGTTCAAACTCTACATCGGCCTTGTGTCCGGATTTGATGTCCACGTTCTCAAACCCACGCAACTGGCGCAGAGGCTGCTGGGCAGCCTTGGGGTAGCTGATATACAGCTGAGGGACATCCGCACCGTCAACGGATCCAGTGTTGTGGACGGTGGCGCTGATCTTAGAAACCACATTCCACAGATCCTCGTAGCCGCCGACGGAGAGCTTGCCGGTAGGATATTTAGAAATCTGAAGTGACTTGGGCGAATCAATCTTGAGATCGGTGTAGGTGAAGTTGGTGTAGGAAAGACCGTATCCAAACTCGTAGCGCGGAGTGACATTGTACGCATCAAAGTAGCGGTAGTCGATGAAATTGCCCTCGGTAAAGTTGCAGTTGTGCGTCTCACAGATTCCGACGTTATAATCAGACTCATTCTTGGCAATCGTGTAGATCAATCTTCCGCTGGGGTTGACGTCGCCGTAGAGAACGTCAATGATCGAGTTTCCAGACTCCTGGCCTAACAAACTGCCATACACAAGGGCAGTCACATTGCCATGCTCAATCCATTGGTCGACAAGACGAGCACCGACTGTGTTGATAACCACCACGGTATTCGCGCAGTTGTCGGCAACTTCGTTGACCAAAGCGTCCTGGTCATCATTGTACAATTCAGTTCGGTCAGCACCTTCACCTGCAAGTGCGTTGATAAAGACAAGGCAGACATCCATGTTCTCGGCATAGTTGCTGATAGACGGTGAGACGGAAGTGGTATCAGATCCCTTTACAACAAGACTAGAGCCAGTGGAAGCAGAGTAGGTATCATTCGCAACCCAACGGAGCATAGTTCCGTCCTGACTCGCCTTGATTGTCAAGGCAATCTCAGGAGTGATGAGATAGGGCAGCGATCCCTGTCCAGATCCAGAATCAGTAGCAAGATGGCCATCATAAGTAGGGCCGGATCCCTGAACACTGAATTCCTGGTTAGGGCCAGCGATGACAGCGCGGGCATTGGAACCAAAGATAGCCATTGTGTGGGGCTTCTTGAGAGGCAGAGCATTTTCCATGTTCTTAAGGAGAGCCAGAGACTTAGCGCCATTAGAACGAATCAGCTTAGCATGGTTACCTCGAACGTCAACGTAGGCATCCTCCTCGGCGGTCACAGGCATGGTGCCATTATCCAGATTGACATAGTAGTACCCAATGAGGTTGCGAACCGCCATATCATTCAAACGGGCTTCAGTCATGTTGTGCTTCTTGAGATAACCCTCAATTGTCAATGTGCTCCAAAGACTGGAAGAACCATAGTCCAGACCGTTGTTTGCCGATAACAGAGCGTGCTGCTGGCCATTGGTATCGGGGAAGACGAAGCCTGGGAAACCAAGCTCAGTCTTGAGAAGATCCATCAAGAGCGAAGAGGATTCGCATGAAAGTGTGTTGTTAACCTTTGTCATAGCACACATGACACCACCAGCGCCGGAGTGGACGGCATCGTAGAAAGACCAGAGATAAGTCTCATGAAGAGTCTTCGAATCGACATTGGAAGAGTAGGGGGCTCCCGAGGATGAGGAAGACGATGAAGAGGAGGAAGATGACATCCCTCCTATGCTCGATGCACCGGAAGAAGATGAAGGCTGAGCTGCTGCAGAGCTCGAGGAGGAGCCCATACCAGGGGCAGCAGCACCACCACCTCCTCCTCCTCCCATACTTCCAGTACGGTTGGTCTCCTGCTCGTTCAGAATGAAATGCTAAGAAATGCAGTGTTAGCGGGAACCGCCTGGGGAGATGCAACCGGATTGCATACCTTGATTCCACCAATGACACCAGTATCCTTGTATGCCTTTGCACCCAAGCCTGTTGCAATCCCGTTTAAGTAGGGGTCCGGTCCAAAGGTTTCAACAAGTCGACCACCCCATGGAGTGCGACCAAGCGGTTGCGAAGTTGGTCCATCAAGAACTTGGATTCCTTTGAGATAGAACTCAGTAGCAATGGCCTTTGACTGGGCATAGATGGCATCCTTATCCCAGGTCATAGCCAATGCAGATGCCTGGCTGAAGGCCGATACATAGTAATAGTCCTGGAGACCCATGGAACCATCCAAGAATTTGAGTGCGGTAAAGGACTGACTTCCATCTGTGGTGTTAACGCTGCTTCCGGTGATGAGGTTGATTTTCTCGGTGGTGTTCAGTTTAGAGACGAATTTGGTAGCTTTCTCGTAGGCGGCTTGCCACTCGTCACTCAGGGTAACTTTGAAGGTATCAAGTTAGTCAAGGCAATTCCAACACATGGGCTTCTGGTGGCTTACCCTCGCCATTTGAGAGAAGACCCTTGTTTGCGTTGCTAGACAATGCAGAGGCAGAACCCAAGAGGGCTGCAAGAAGGGCTGAAGAGTGGAGCTTCATAGCTCAAGTGTGAGATAAACGGGTCCAGAAATGAAAGTTCCAGATGAAAAGGAAGAAGCAGATCAAGAGAGATATAAACTCATTTTAAGCTTATACAGATCGAGGAATCCAGCCTTATTAGTATTCATCCAAACCGGTATTTGCACCGATGAAAAGTCACGTAAAACACCCGAGACGCGTACTGCGTCAGGCTCCAAGAGAGCCGACATCAGGACTGTCGATCAGGACATGAAACAAGTAGAAATCGGCAACTAGTTCGTCCCTTGTCCTGGATCTGGGAGCCCTATCGTTGAATTATGGGGACCATTACGTGGATGCAGGGGGCCATTACGCGGATGGCGGAGGTCCCGGGACTGAAGAGGGTCTTGCAAAACGTGCTGCTCGGAAAACCCGAGATTTAGAGCCATTTAGGGTTCCCGTACTGCAGAGTCGGCAACCCGACACCATCAGGATCCCTGTTTGCCCCGGTAATTGAGAAAGAAGCGTTTGGTTTAAATAAAGTGAGTACGTAGTGTTCCGATGGATCGTCTAGTTTATCTCCAACTTTGATCAAACCAAGATGCCCTTAGGGTGATTGTTTCAAACATCGATTTGCTCCTATAGGTTGGGACTATTGTAGATGACCAAAGAAGTTACGGTAAAGGTCCTCTGCCAGGGGATTAAATTTGGATGCCTAAACAGTGCATTAGGAAAATAAGCACGTCGTCACTGTTGAGGAACGGCACTCCCTGCTCTTCCGATATCCAGGGCCCACTTTGTAAGAACTGAACATCCGGCTCGTCTTAAGGGGCGACAACGATGCGAAAATCGAGACTGTATTGTAACAAAACATCTTTTCATTATCGACGACATCGCTTATTTTTCTTCAATAACATCGCCAGGACCCTGTCCAGAATTTCTCGGGTGCTTGTTAGATCTCTGTCCTTTGTAAGTATGCGTGAAACTGAAACAGCCAGAATGATGGAATTTAAACCCACTCGCAAATTTTTCGCTCACGGGAGACGGAATATCGATCGGATTCAGATTGCTAAAAATGAAGGAAGCAAAGTAAGCAGAAATTTGGTAGACTTGGGGAAATAAAGATGGTTCTTAATACAGCGTACCATGATACCAGACCTGGCTGTAGCTCTGCTACTTATCTATACTCGGGCACGTCAAACACAATGGTGGTTCGGCAGTACCATTCCATGGCGAGGTCTTGATGGCTGAGACATCGGGACCTGCAGAGATCACTGGTGAGAGAGATAGAATGAGAACTTGAAGAAGCAATAAGCCAGCTGCCACTGACCATAGGGAATAGGAGGGAAGAGACACTGAAGTTGTGATGGGATGGAAGAGAGAGAGCAAAGCTATTGATGGAAGGAAGGAACTCTACCTACTAGTAGTACCTATAGTACAAATTGCTTGATCCGAACAATTCAGGATCCTGAGTACATAACTGGGTAGGATACCATATACTACGAATATGATCTTCATCTCTATAATACTGGCTTTCTACTAGACAAATGACATATGTATAGTGAACACTAGTAATTTTGGGAGGCTGCCCAAGAAACACTGGATTGCAGCTAAGGGAGGAAGGTAGTCACCCTCCCGACGGATTGCAGAAAAGGGACCTTCGCTAATGAGATATATCATACTATCCTCCAGGGCTACCTAGCTACCTAGAGTGAACCTGCATGACGTGCAGACTAGCCACGCCTCTCACAACTAGTGAGCACGGCCTTGTCCAATGACTCGTTACTATAATTGTTTGCGAGCCAGCCCCCAGTCGACATTTACTTGCATAGTATAATTTAACATCTAATATAGCCATGGTATCCGAATATTAAACCCAACATCCAAGAAGAATCCCCAGTCTAAGATACCAGGTACGTAGACGTCAAGGCCATATGTCATGGACGCCGATCCTTACGGCTTCCCCACCTTTTGTCCGCCCACGCTTTGTTGACATCGCCGAATCTCGACCCACCCCTATTGATTGACCGCCAGACTGTCTCTGATCGACGAGGCTGTGTCCGGCCCTGTTCCATTACCTTGTCGATAACAGAGGAGATCCTTGACCCAGGAGGCATATCTGCGTCAACTCTATCACAGCCAAAGAGTTATCTCGATGTCCATCGAACGGGTTCGGCAGAGCGGGCCGCGCTTGAACTTCAGCGAGCCGCCCACCCCGACCATGAGTCGTCAGAATACCTCACTATATGAGAGACATCATAAGCGACGTACCACACATCCGCACTTACTATCGTCTCGCAGGAAGCCGAGAAGGTGAGTTGAGTTGAAATGCGCTTTCAGTCCCGACAATCCAATAAAACTAACATCCCGCGCAGATGGCCACTCGTCTTCCGCTTTATCAAGGGTGCAATCCATGCCGAGATCATTCTACCCGTTGTTCTGCACGCACTATTCACAGCATTCGTGGTATATCTCGATACATATGTCTTTGACTCGGTCGGATTACCCGCTAGCATTGTTAGTCCCCCACACCCCCTCATATGGCAGGATACCATAACTCCAAGTTGTCAACTAACTATCATTCCAGATCCCATCCCTCTCCATCGTCGTGGGTCTAATCCTCGTCTTCCGCAACCAAACCTCCTACAACCGATTCTGGGATGGCCGCAACGGCATGAGCACACTGAACACCTGCGTCCGCAATCTATCGCGAACAATAGTAACAAACAGCTACAACACTAAGCGCGGTCCACCAACTCCATCCGAGCGCGAAGATATAGAGCGCACAATTCGCATCCTAGTCGCCATCCCATTCGCTACGAAGAATCATCTTCGCGCGGAATGGGGCGCGGCATGGGCTGGTGGTGGATTTCTCGGAAACGACGTGGACGAGCATGGCACTGCGGCGTATAATCCCGAATACGCGGGTTTACTTCCAGCTGGACTGGAGGGACATGAAGATGAGGGACTGGGATTACCGTATCAACTGACTTTCTTTGTGGATGGTTTTATCAAGCGTGGTGAGGATAGGGGTTGGTTTAGTGCGCCCAGTGCGAGCCAGATGCAAGCGCAGTTGAATACGCTTCTTGAGGCGTATGGGCGGATGGAGACGATTAAACTTACTCCGATCCCTGTGGCACATCTGTAAGCTTACACGATTGATTTATTCGAAGCACTGCCAGTGGAAGAAAGAGAAAGGGACCCAGTGTACTGACATGACTATACAGGATTCATCAGAAACAAGTCCTCGCCCTGTTCGGGTGCGTACTTCCTTTTGCGATGGTGGATGAGATGGGCTGGTGGGCTATTCCCATTGTGAGTTTGGTGATTTTCACTCTTTATGGAATCGAGGGAATTGGGTCTCAGCTTGAGGACCCCTTTGGTTATGACAGGAATGATATCAATATGGATGCTCTGGTCGGCGATACCAAGACAGAGATTGACGTTGTTCTGAGCGAGTGGCGTCAACATTCCAAAATGATGGATGGTAGTATGAACTTGAATACACGAGAGGGAGAGACACATGGAAAGCAGTGCTTGGACGCGGGCAATAATGGCAACGGAACCACTTTGAATGGAGAACGGGATAAGGCAAAGTATTTACCGACTGATCTGTTTCTCAAGTCGAGACCCCGGACAGCAACTTGAACTAGAAGTTGTATACTATTTTAAGACTATTTTATTCAAGAGTACCTCATAGCACATGCGTTTCAAGATGGTGAGAGTTCAAATAGCCTCCTTGCGGGTATGTATGATTGCGATAGGCTTTGCGCTAGAATTACATTTCCAAAAATACAAATAAAGACATAGTCCCCTGTAAACGCCCCACATGAAATATATACTCGGGTATCACGATGATGCAGAAGCCGACTGGACGGCGGTGTCGTTGACGAAAGAAGCAGCAGAGTATTGGAAAGGAAGGAGGATCAGGTCGCGCTGATGATAGATGGGGAGCCAAGTGAATCAGGGGTGTTCTGGACATTCACATCCGCCACCTCTGCTCCTTCCGAAGGTGGCGTCGAAGGCTTGATAGTCTCAGCAGACAAGTGCTGATCCGGGGTGGAAACACTAGTCGCACGCGAGGTGCTAGAATCTGCATCCGTGATTGTGGATTTCGTGGACATGTCTTCAGACATAGTGAAATTGGAGAGCGACTCTGCCAGGTCGTACTGGACAGTTTTTGGATCAACTGCCTCTTCGGAGCATTCGGGGACGTTGTCCTTGATCGCTTCGTAGAAAAGCATGAAAGCACCACCTTGCGACATCACATGCCCTTCGCTCACCATTTGCACATCGTCATCACTGAGCCGGTACCAGCGCTCCAGTTTCTCCTTGTCGCCTTCGGCCTGCAGAACTTCGTCTGGGACAGGTGCCGGAAAAACTGCTGTGGGGTACTTGCGGTAGCAGATGTAATGCCCATTTTCATGCCGACCATAATGTGTGATGATGGCTCTGAGCTGGTATCGTCTGCTCGGGATATCAATTGCTTCACCCGCGCGAGGAAGCATAGACTGAGAGGGGTCGGTAATCCATTTCTCACGAGAATCCCCAGATTCTTCGGTTGGCCGAATGCCAAGACACCACTGGTTGAGATCCATGATCCTGGGGAAATTGACACCGGCATAATTCTTCTTGAGCATGTAGGTCGTCTCGTCAAACAGACTTCGATTGATATGTACAACGAGAGACTCTGGCGCTCGAGCAATGACCGCTTGCCGAGATTTTGTCGAAGTAACCCGGTTCTTTGAGGGAATATGGCATTTTTCTGTGAGCGTTTTCTCGGCGAAATCGTCTGCCTCCAGGGCGGCATTTACGGCCTCGAGTCTCGTTTGTGCGGAGATTCTGACAGCGTCTGACAAGCCAGACGATGTGGACTTGTCCGCGAACTTATCAACTTCGGAACAATCGCCCAAGAGGTTATTCAGTTGTTGTTGAGCACGCAGGAGCGTACACTTGGCGCACTCCACGCCTTCGATTTCCTCTAATGCGGTGTAGTGATCCAGGCATTCGTCCACATCGTATTCATACTTACTCCCTAGCGGTACCGTTAGGCAGTTGAATGGGATAAGAGAGAGTCCCTCTGTCCAACCACACTTGGTACAGCCGACTCGTTGAGCAAGTAGGCCTTCGAGTGGATTGCGACCCAAGGCCGCTTCATTTGTTGAAGCCGCAATAGAACTGTCGTCACCGGTCGTTGACTCAGGGCTGTGGCCACCAAGAATGTTCTCCTCCGGACCGGCCATCTTAAGACCCATATTCCTTGTTTGTCCCTTTGAAGCCTGTCGGATTTCGATGTCGATTTGGTCCACCAATTTCGAAAAGTATTCTTGGGCGTCTTGCTGTTGCCAACTGCTCATTGACTTGAGCTCCGATGGGATCCATAACTTGTTTCCGGAGTTTGATGCACTATTCAAAAGTTCGATAATACTCTGCAGTGCTTGGTGCGTTGAGAGCGGACTCTTCTCAGCCACTTCATCGACATTTCGCCTCAGAAAGTTCGAGAGAGATTTCAAGGAGGCCAGCCCTTGAATGGTGCTATTTTGATAACAGGAGTTGTCCCAGTTTCCCAGCCCCGAGGGAGTCGTATCCCTGCTGTTGCCCAAGAAAACGCTGCCGATGCCGGAGAGCGACCGCGGACGAGGAAAGGAAGGGAAGGAGGTGTTGTCAAGACCGAGAATCCGTTGCATCGATTCACTTTTGGCGTGGAAGGTCATTTGCGAGGGGTTGGAGGGGTCGGAATCGGACGGTGACATTCGGGAGTCTAATGCGACAAGGATGCGCGAGGGCGTTATGTAGACGAGAACGTTCCAAAGAAACTGGATGAGGGACACCGGAGCGAAGCCAAAGTGGTCCGCAATTAGATAAAGAGATGCGAGGCCAACAAGCGTGTATGCTAGAGTCTGGTGGTTCTGTAGGGCTGTAGCAGATGTCGCATCGTGGCTGCTCGAGCTTGCGTAATAGATGGGGCCGTTCGAGATGTCAGCTCTCCCTTGAGCATTCATGGCGGAAAGGGTCTGTTGAGAGAGCTGCTGTAGTACAGATGCGTGTCAGGCATGGACTAGCAGTATGTGGTTGACCAGCCCAACAAAGGGTAAAGGGAGGCTTTGTAGGAAGGTGGAGGGGAGAAACGAAGTTGAGTTAAATGCTTTGTACGGAGTATGCCAAGATTGTCAATGTATATTTTGGTCCCGGGCTGCGCTTCGGGTTCATCGCGCCCTCCGTAAACTTTTTTTTTATCGATAGCGGTTCTCCACACACATTTTCAGTACCCTAAAGTGGGAGAGACTTGATCTTTTCAAAACACAACCCATCATGGCGAAAAGCAGACGTGAGTCGCATACATTTCCTCTCCCCTCTCTTTGTAACATGTTTCTAACACTCCTCTAGCTGCTGGTCAAAATACCCGCGCGGCGAGGCGCGCTGCCACCCCCGAGGACAAATCCATAGCCGCTTTACCACGAGCTGATTCCCCCACTACTTCGCGACCTTCCCTCATGGCCGATCGTGCAAATATTGGCGTTTCCAAAAAGAAGAAAAACAACAGCAAGATTACAAGGGCACAGCGTTTGAGACAGCAGAAGGGACTGGAGAGAGCCGAGGCCGTCTCTGACCAGTTGCAAATCAAGAAATCCAAAAGCCTTGTTCGAGCTAAGGCCATCAAAACAAGAAGTGTATGATTCTCCTATTATTGACACACTATTCCATCAAAGTTCCGCGGCGACTGACAGAATATTCTAGGCTGAGTGGGAGGACACCAACCGCACTGCATCCGCATTTGCAGCTCTCCAGCAAGACGACGAAGACGAAGAAGACGAAGAAGACGACGAGGACGCTGCCATGGCCGAGGACAAGCCGCAGCAAAAGCCTAGGGCAAATGTCTTTGCAACCCCAACGGAGCTGGAGGATGCGGACCCTGCCCCGGTTGACGAAGATGATGAAATCACTTGAACATGATATGCCGCCCCAAATAATGTCGACGCTCTTACCCATTACTTCCTTGGCTTGAGTTGGTTGATCATACGTTCGATCTCTGCGGACGCCGGCCCAGACGCTTTGGTTCGAAGGGCTTCAAGGGTACCCAGGTCCTTGGCTTTTTGTGCCTCTTCTCCTGCCTTGATGATCATGCCACACTTCACCCACATTTCAATCCGCTCAGCAGGTTTTAGAGTTGTGCATTTCGGGACAAACGCGGATGCCAACTTCGTGTTTCCTGCACCGAGAACCTCGTTATAAAAGGGCTGCCGTTTCCATATTAGTACAGAGTCAAATAGCCACGACTTGCATGCCAATGATATCTTACCTCCCATCCAATTGGGGACTTCTTCGCCTTTGCGATTTCTTCCAATTCGCCCCAGTCCCTTTTTGCGACCAGCGCTCTTAATCGTAGCCACCAGTAAGTCTTCTCTGGCATCTTGAATTCCGATTGCATCTTATGCGCTCGTTTCCCGTAGCCCGCTCGGAATAGTCTATATATCGTCTCATTCAGACTGAGACCGAGGAACTCAGCGCGGTCTGCAAGGTCCTTGTCCAAAGCTTCTTGAGCCTTTAGAAGTTGTGAGGCCTCCGAAACAAGTTTCTGCTGTAGTACCACCGTTGGATCCTTTGAGTCGGATAGTAAACGTGCCGCCAGGTGAAGTTTCTCGGTTTTGCGCTCTGGTTCAATTTCTCGTAGAGCTTCCGACAGCAAGACATTCGAGCCATCGACAGGTCGATCATCTTGATAGAATAGATCCTTGAGAAGTTCCGTATCTTCACCTCGGGCAGCAGTTTCAACCAATGCAGATGCCATAGGGCGGCTGTTGATCGTGCGGAAAAAGCTGGCGAGAGGTAGCTTACTCTTCAAGTGCAAAAGAACGTAGTTTACCAGGTCGTCGTCGCCACTTTCAATCGCCTTATCCAGTGCCACCTCATCCTCTTCCATGTTCAATAGCAGAGGCACCTGCTTGCCAGCACGAGGTTCGTGGTCAAGCAGCTTAGTAGCCAAGTGTGTTCGTCCTTCGTCGTAGGCGGTTTGTGCGATTGTTTCGAAAGAGATACCCGGCTTTCCTTCCAGTCTTTGGACAATGAGTTTGCATACGGCCTCGTCATCTACCGTGGAGACCCGGACCTTTTGACTCGCCCAGTGAACATAGATTCGATCTGCGGGTATTTCGAGATATTCGGAGACACGAATTGCTAGCATGTACTCATGGCGACTTATGAGTCGTTCGATGAGGCCTTCGGGGGTCAAGCGTAAATATTGCTCGTATGAGAGTGGTAAGCCGACTTTGAAATCCCGGACGGCGAATAGAACTCGAAGCTTTTCGGTCATCGCAACAAATTCGTCACTGTTGTAAAGCACGAGATCTGACTTCCCAAACGAAGCAGCCTTTAAGAGACGTTTCTGCCAATGTACATCAAACTCATGGCCAGCTGCCTTGATGCAGGTATCTACTGCATCAGGGAGGTCTGATTTGATGCCCTGTATGTGTTCATCGGCCTTTGGTGACATCTTCTCTAGTTGCTCCACAGAATCAAGAAGCACTGATGCTGGGGTAGAAGAGCCTAGCTTGAAGATCTTCTCCGTCACATCTGTGACTTTTTGTAAGAATTCACACGTGTCGTTCGTTATTAAGCGAACACCATCGAATTCCGGTATGACATGGACCCGGGCATCATAATAGAACCTAATGGCCGTTAATAATGTACTAGAAGATCGAGGGTACGTTCACTGACTTGGATGCGGCTCCACTGGGGCCAACCAAATGGATCTCATCTTCCCAGGCAAGAACCACGGCATCATCTCCACACCAATTCATAGAGCTGGGAACAACTCGGGACTTGGAGTCGTACTCGCAGAGTTTGTTCTGGAAGTCGACGCTGACGACCCACAGTTTCCCTTCGCCAGTGAAAAGTGCCACAAAACGTCCTGACGGAGAGACGCTGAGGTGCTTGAATGGCCCGTCCTGCAGGATCTTATCTTCTGCTTCATTCGAATCGACAAGATAGACTGTTTTATCAACGGCCAGCAGAACCTCGACTGAGCGCGAAAGCGTATGCGCGGGTGGGCTTAGCGCCCAAGAAGAGACCTCGCCTTCCGGACAGGCGGCGAGAAGTCGCGGGCGTGGTTCGTCGTATTTTGAGACAGAGATTAGCTGATTATTAGACAGCAAAGCCACTAGACCGGAGGCCCAAAATTGGCAGCTCCGCACCCCGTATTCCTCTGCGCCCTGCATACCGTCAGCGATTTGCAATTAGGGGTATCATCTTTGGAAATGGACCCACGTTGCCAAGCGAGAAAGATGTGAACTCGCCATCTAACCCAAAGTAACGACGGACCGTGCCATCTTCAGCAACAACGAGGAGTTCCTCTTTGTCGGACCATCCAAGGCCTCGAATGGTTGTTTGGTCCCACTGAGAAGCAATTAGTTTCCGATATGCTTTGGAATACATAAATAATAGACACAAGTACATTAATTTGATTGATAAGTTTGCCTGAGCATGAGTAAATGTCGATACCCGACCGCAATGCTTGCGAGTCGCGTAACCTGAAAGGTTTGTTATCATCACGATAGAGCGCTGGGACAAAATCATCATTAGCTTGCACCACCACTGATCATGAGACCTGCTTGAGTCGTACCTATCGCTCCTCCATACGGAGCGCCCGCAACGATGTAGTTCTCTAGTTCGACCTCTTCATCGAACACGGCATCGTAAATCGGAATTTTGCGATAGAAACTGTCGCCGAGTTTTTCCCAGTTGGCTAGGGGATTTGGAGGAGCCATTTCTGGCCGATATGTATCACAGATGATGGCCTTTGAACAGACCGTCAATCCATGTCCCCCGTGTTGACGTTGGCGACGGAGGGCCAGGCGGAACTCGGCCAAGGCGGTTGGATACGCTAGTCCAAAAGGGGTAGCTGTTTGTGGCCCCTAAAGTCAGGTGTCGAGGCAGCAAGGCCAACGTCAACTGTCCGTCTGTTCCCCTCCACTCATCATTGCCGTCATCACATTTCCCCAAGGGCATCCAGTACCTTCATGGAGTTGGAAAATGGATGATCACAACCTGGAAGAGATTGCCCGACAGCTCTCTGATCTGGAAGTGGCGCTGTTTCTGTGCCTAGCGAGTCGCGAGCATTGCCTGATTGAGACCACGGGGAATTGTCTCAACGATCTTGCAAAAGAGTTGGTTTTAGTACATCTCTCACTCCCTGCTTCATCGATTTCTTGATATCCTTTTAGGACCAACGACTGACGTACTCTTCAGATAGCTTCCAACACATTTGAACTGTCATCCTGCATTGTTGACTGTACCCCCACAACCTCCATTGGGGAGCTTCACGATGATATTCTCACCTCAGAGGCGCGCAGGAATCAAGAGAGACCATCATACTTTCGAATGAAAACAGAATCGGTGTGCTTCCCACGAATCTTTTTCCGGACTTTGTGTATAGCTTTGGGCTAACGTGTCACAGTCCAGTAATCTCTCGTCATATATGGGCCGTCGGGATCGAAGCAAATCCCCGATCCCAAATACTCCCTTGGATGAAACAAATGTGGTCAATGTGGTCATCGCAAAAAACTTCAATGTGGTGGAGGATGATGTTCAGGTTCAGGCATTGCAGGTAACACTCCCTCGTCCTAAAATGACAACGGGGCCATGCTGATGGAATCTACAGTTGATGCGGACAAGGAAGTTAGTCACCGAGATGGGAACTCTCAGTGCACCAGAAAGCTTCCTCTTCATACCACTGGTAGTCCGAGAATCTGATCAGCTCAAACCTGCTCTACAGACACATCTCGTGAGCTTTCTCTCCAGCGAGCCAATTTCCTAGTCTCGTTCTAATTTGAGAACACAGGCCGAACATCTCTTGGTATCACATTTCCATGCCCCTGAAGATGGATTTGTGTTTCTGGAAGAAAGTGAATGGTTTTCAGACGGCCAACTCTCTGCGTCTTCTGTTGTTCACAATACCAAATTGGCCAAAAGGAAATGTGCCAAAATCGATACTACAGTAATAATTACTCCCTGTTTCGTTTTATGTTACTAACGACTTGAAGCAAATCGAGTGTCTCCGAGACGCGAGTGAATCGATAACCACAAGCGCGGAGGTAGTTCGATATATCCAGGATATCGTTGTCTTTCTGCGTCTCAGCCGTGCTGTTGCCGGCGGCGTCTCTGCGAAAGCAAATAATCAATTTGCTCGGTTCGCACAGTAAGTCATGTCTGCCATTTCATCTGGGATATTTCTTGTTGACTGTAGAACTCAGATTTCTGGCTCCAGTCCACGGTATTGATTACCTTACGCCATCAATTGTGGCACTGGCCGCGAGAAAGGTCTTCCGCCACCGAATCATTGTTGCAAACCCAGATGACGACCGCAGTCTCCAATACGGAAGTGATCTGGGGGCGGTCTCTCATGTCCTGATGGATGTGACTCCAGACTCCATCTTGGATGGCGTCCTGGCCTTAGAGCCGCCGATATGACCATTGCGTTGTGAATTTCTATACCCCACTGGCGAGTCAATTGTAAAAATATCCCAGTTTGTCAGTCCAGAAATGTCTTCCGTTCATGTAATCCATGGATTCATAGCCTGAATTTACTTCAATCGTTTATATCCATCTTCCAAAGTCACACTTTCCTCTGCACACTCCTCTACTCACTCCTCTACTCACTCCTCTACTCACTCCTCTACTCACTCTGCCACTCGCCCTTCTACTCGCCCTTCTACTTATTCCTCTACCTACTCCTCTACTCGCTCCTCTACTTCTTTACTCCATTTTCTCCCTCCTCTATTCTTTCTTCTTTTTATTCTCTACTGTTTCCTTCACCTACCTCTTCCTCACTACTTCTCTCTTACTATCTGTCCCTCTCCCCCTCTCTCTTGGCTCTTGCTAGCTAGTGCTGTGTTCCTGGGTAGCACAATCTACCTTATTAGTATGTCCTTTCTCCAATCTCCTTATTATTTCTAACACCGACAAATCTCTCCATCGCTCTATTTATCTGCCCATATACTACCTCTTCTCGCCTTCCATCTCTCCATCTCTCCATCTATCACCCCTTCCTATCTTTTCATCTTCCCATCTACAACACTTTTCATCTTCTCAACTCCTTCATCAACCGAAAAGTTTGTTCTCACAGCCCATATCTCATCAGACATATTAATCTCAATACTGATCCTAAACTAACCAGATTGCCTCTCTGACTAGCAGGATTTCCATCGAAGCCTTCATTATACCTTACTTTCCACATTATCTTCCATGGCCTCTCATCGGATTCTGACTCTGGTCTTCCAGTTGTGTCAACAGCATGTCGATAAATGTTTACTTGGGATGAATACGGAAAACAATCTTGGGGCAGAATCGCACCTTCCGGTTAGGAGTATGCTGAGACAAGGTCGACAGCTCATTCAGCAGGCGTCCAATTGCCTAGAAGCAGGTCCGTTGATGAGTTCAGCGATCGTCAAAAAATGACGGAACAGTCGTCCAAGATCAAATCACGTCGAAACACCCACGCAGATTATCTCAGCCCCCCCGAAAGTCCACCCGCCAAAGGCCTACCCGCCAAAAGTCTGCTCCCGAAAGTTTACCCCCAGAAAACGAAATCAATCGGTCATTTTCGCTGGCTGAAGATCTCCACACTCAACATTCTCCGAGTCCATGGAACATTCAAATTTCTGATGATGAATCTCAATTCAAAGAGAGTTCCAGTGAAAAAACAGCCAGTAGCCACAGGTAAGTATGCCCAGGATTAATTCGATGTGATTATTTTGATGTCCAGATCTAACATCTTATAGTCCCAAGAGTTCTGAGATACCATTTGAATTCCCCGAGTTCCTCTCAGCAGAGGACCAAGTTCAAGTTCTGAGAGCCCAGAATGAAAAACAAAAACGCCAAATGCCACTTCAAGGCAGTTCTTCCAGTGATATCGATACGGTTTTGGAAGACTTTGAGGAGCATGAGCATGATGCCCATAGCCATGACTATGAACTTGAAGACTATAACACTCAGAACGATTCCGACGACGACGACAATTTACTGTTCTGCAAACTGACAGAATTTGCCGAGGAGTTACTTGATCGCGACATCGAGAAGGACGAACCGATAGCTCAAGAGCTCGGACTTGAAGACACTGACATTCACCAGGGAGCTGTTTCAGGAAACGTCCAAGAAGCGACTGTCCAAGAGTCGGCCTCCAAATCGAAAAAGAAATCACCGAAACGAGTAAGCTCCAAACTCTAACGGAAGGAACAGGAGACCGCAAAGGCAATAGGACGTCTCAGGATTTCTACAGACAAAAAGGTGAAGTCGGATGGCGTCAAATTCGACACCGGATCTACCCAGACAGGGCGACAGTCTCAGACAAAGACCACCAGACTCTCGGATCAAGAGCTTCGGAGTCTTTTTGTCTATAGTGACATTGTCAAAATTTCTGAGATAAACTCAGAGTTACCTGCAGTGGAGTCCGAAAGGTTGCCATTGAAGAAATGGTCGCGAGTATCCCTACTTAACAACAAGCCGAAGCTCGATCAGACAAACAGAGAAAAAACGAGGCGATCAAACAGTTCGATCACAAGCCAAAAAGTGACCAGCAGGGACTCTGGAAGCTTAAAGGCCTGAACACAAGCCTCTTCCACCACCAGGTATGAAAGTCTAGTTCATGATCATTTCAGTACATTGAAGCTAACTCTAAATATTAGGTTCTGGCTGTGGGTTGGATGTTAGTTTTTGATCTTCGTAACTCCCTATTTATCAATCACTAATATCTTTGCTATCCAATCTAGCGTGATCGAGAAAGATCAACTACGCCGCCATATGGTGGCTTGCTCTGTGATGTAATGGGGTTGGGCAAGAACAGTCACGGCACTTGCTAATATCCTGGACGGCCGACGCCGGGATGAAGATGAGCGAAGGCCTCCCACCCTGATCATTGTTCCCTCACAGCTTGTTGATCACTGGTAAGAGCTTCCATGGATAATTCAATTACATATACTGACACTGTCCAGGATGCAACAAATGAAACTCCTTTTCGATCCTGGTGTTTTTGGTACCGTCTTCAAGTGGGACAATCAATCAATCTCTGCCTTTGAATTTAATCTCGACAGCATTCTTATCTTTGATGTGTTGTAAGATCTGGTCCACAGCTCGATTTATAAGACTTTACTAACTCTATCCTAGACTCGCCACATTTGAGAAAATCCGGATATCGTATCCAAATTCGAAGGTACCGATTGAACATCAATCGGACGAGGTTATCGATAAATGTAGGTCTGAATTTACGACCGCGGGCAAGGCGTATTTTACAAGATCGAATGGTATAGAATCGTGCTTGACGGTAGGTGTGCCTTTCCTGGAGAAGCTCACACAAAAGGCTGTACCCTAACTAACCTCTACAGAGGAACATGTCATCAAAAACCGAGACTTGCAAACATCCATGGCTGTGCGAGCTCTAGGCAGACATTTCAAGTGGATTCTCAGCTGGACTCCTCTACACAAGTAAGCTTGGTTCATCACATGATCTTGACGCAAGATAACTACTAACCACACCTTCCTTTCGAGCAGTTTTCTTCTTCCTTCCAAATTCTTCATTCACCTTCAGCCCTCTCATTTTTCCTTCGGCCTCTTCCCTCTTTCTCACTTTCCCTTTACTTCCTCCTCACCATGTCTCTCACTCCCAATCCCCTTTCTGAGTTTCTCATCACAGAGTCCGCAAGCAAGTTCAAAAGCGCAAACGATTTTGCTGAACATGTGTATTCTCTCATTTCAGAAGTGAAAGAGCATCGCGTCTTTCTGTTTACCGAAGTGCCCGAGTCGTGGGGTAGAGCCGCTTTCGAGGCAGTCGATGAATCCTTTCCTTGCCGGTATGTTAACAGAGCTATATGATCTTCGGTGGCCTTTTATTGATTTATTCTTCCAGGCAAACTCTTGATCCATTTACTCATACCTTACGAGTCAAGGCAATGCTGGAATATATTCATGAGATCGCTGATCAGTGGATGCCTCTTATGGTAGAGAAATGGCGCTATCAAGACAACCTTCTGACACAACATGAGCGCCTCCTGCTGTCGTATGTGGGCAATACAAGTAAGTCATCTCATCATCTCCAACTGAAAAGAATCTCTGGACTAATATAGAATAGCGCTGCGATTTACCTCTGGGCCATGTCGCGGCTGGACCAAATCTCCCGACTTTACCATTCAGGTTGAGGGTCAGAGCTTCCCAAGTATTGTGGTCGAAAGCGGTTGGAGTGAAGGTTATAACAAATTGTTTGAAGATATCAATCGGCTCATCATCGGGGGAGACGGAGAAACTAACATCGCCATCCTCATGAATTGGCGACAGAGAGTCAACGGTGTTACTGGCATTATTGAGGTATATCGACGCGATAACACAAATATTCCTCAACTCCTACACAGAGAAGTATGTTCAAGACAACTTGAAGCTATTTAATTAATAGGTTGTATACTAATTCCTTAACTTTCCAGGATATTTTTCCACGCCCGGACCCCCCTACTGTTTCCATGATTCCGATCCGTCGGGTTGACTTGTTCGGACGATCTCTACTGACCGGAAGTAATCCAAATGATGTACTGAATCTCGACCTTGAGATTCTTCGAAACGTGGCAACTCTTGGTCTTCATCGTATGGGCCTTTCTCCTTTCTAGTTCAAAACAAGGTCATCGGGAATCGCGTAGTACTTCTCACTCTTACATAGCTTAAGTATCGCTTAAAGGTCTTGAATTCATCCGATCGGGGGTTTTTACCTGGATAATAATGAACTTGAATATGTGGAAGAGCACAGCTTTTTATTCTATCAGAATCTGAAGGTAGTATTTTCGAGAGTAAAGTTTATTATCATTATCATAAAGGTCATCATCGTCATAATCACACTTGGATGTGCTCACTAGATCGACATCACATATTCAAACATAAGGGCAATTATAGAGCCTCCATCGCTTTCATCGAGAGCAGTCCTTTATCGGGGGCTACCCACCTCAGCAAAACGACGACGACGGTTCTGGTGCCGCCGAGAATGAGCGGTACGTCGAGCCTCAAGGAAGAGTCTTGTTTGCCTCTGTACATTGTGATCACGTACGGGAGAACCTCGCCCGTATTGCCATCTCTGCTCCGCAGCCCGGTTAGTTGTGTCGCTCACTCGGGCAAGTTCCTCGGCCTCGTGCGGCGATGGGCCATCATTCCACTCAATGTCCATTTCATCCCCCTCGCGCAGTGCAACTTGCATTGTGGGTCGAGTATTGTTATCAACACGAGTCGGCTGGGCAGAAGGCGTGGCATCGGGGCTCAGAGAATGCTGCGAGAGAGTAGGTCCAAAGATGGAATTGATAGGCATGCCGAAGACGTCGCGAGGACCGGCTCGCAGCCTGATCTCGTCCGCGCCAACTGCCTGACTTTCTGGTTCGGGATCTGTCTCGTAGTCCATGACGGTGGCATACACATTTTCTTTGTCGTCACTTCTGATGGATTCGAAAACATGGCCAGGTAGGCAAACCTGCGAGGCTCTTTCGGGGGAATCTTCCCAGATGGCGAATCTTGGTGGAGAATTAAGCTCCCATGCACGGAATCTGCTGCGACTTGGGGTAGAGGATAGGTTCATGCGCGGGTGACGAGCCGCTGGACTAGGACTGTTTGCATTTGGGGGAGGAGCTGAGGCGTCGGGCTCTGGGGTCACTGGAGTTGCGTGTGGTGTCATTGTCTGTTCTCCACCTGCATGAGGAGATAAAGAGCGTGAGTTTGTGCACAAGGATCCTCCAACTTATTTGAATCGCCATAAATGGCTCAGTGTCAGTGTACTTACATCCTGGAACTATGTTATGGATAGAAGGAGTGGGGAGGTCCACATCAGTGCTGGATTCAGGCGAGGGAGCAGGTGTGAGACTAGCTCGAGTATGGGAACGCAAGGTCATGGAATGTAGCGAACGAGGAGATCCGGGCCCATTAACGGAGCTCTGTGGGCTCGATGTAGGGCGCGAATGAGAGTTCACTCGCTGTAATACCTCCACACTGGGTGATTCCTCTCGGTGAGTCCGGACCAGTCTGATGTGTGCTGCCTGTTGGAAAGTCAGTGGAGCTCAGAAAGGTATACAATATGGACTGGGCTCCGAACTTACTCCGTTTTCAACAGAAAACGACATCTGCATACCGGCAAGATCCATGGTTACTGGGTGTTGACAGAGAAGTGAAATAGAGAGGGCAGCAGTATGGAAGAAGTTAGGATGGTTTGCACACGTCTTCGCCTTCCCGCACAACAACAACACGCAGTTTGCAAACAATTCACCATAATAGCGGATAGTTCTGCCCTAATATCACTGCTCAGTTATTTCACAGTTCTGCTCGCAGGGAGCATGTTGCCCCGTCTAGGTTGAATGTGATCATTTGAGGTGACCCATATGATCGTGCTACTGTCATAGAGATGTACCCAGTGTATTTTGTTGTTCATAGCCGCTGTAGAGCGTAAACAAGTAGCTTTGCTTTGTCAATTTGCTGTTTCGACTTCGCTTAAAAAATCGAAAGTTCTTCCCCTGCCAGTGATGAGGTGCGGTCATGATTAACTTCATTATCATTTCTGTACGTTCTTGGGTCATGTAGTAGGTATAGCCCGAATAATCAACCACCCGCGCTGGCAGCTTGACAATATGGATACTGACCTCTTTTTGATATGGTCATATAACTTATACAGGGGAAAGAGTACCTTTGATCACAAAATCCCGAAAATTCACTACGGAGTATACGGCATACAAAAGATACTCCATACTCCGTCTGGGTCTCCACCCCAAGCAGATACAGGGAACGATAGACATCACGGGGCCGGATGCCTGATTTTTAAGCACGAGCGGTCAGGATTACGGAACCTGGGAATGGGCATGTCGTCCGGAGGAAATCCATAGTATTTTCTATCTATTTAACTCCCCCCTATGACAGCGAGCTGGAGTTAAAACTATATGTAGGGTACGTGGTAACTTATTAGCCATTTTACCTAACTAGTAGCACTACTACCTAATTATTAGCTACTATTACTAGTATATTCTAAAAGCACGAGGATCAAAACTTTGGGGGTAGAACCTTAAAACGAATATGTAGTAGTACGTCAAAGTGATGCATGTAGTATGCATTCGTACTACTAATCTACCTGGATCTCAGATAGATCTTTACTTCCATCTTCCATGCATTCTCTACCCTCTGGACCTTCTATATCGTCATCTACACCTTCCACTATGGAACTTAAATACTCACGGTACGTCGAGAACGAAATATACACCATGACTAGGGCTTCTGCTACTCAGTTCAGCAGCTATGATGAATTCATAGATTACCTTACTTCTCTTCTATATCAAGTCAAAGAACATTTGACACACGATTACCACTTCATTTTCACTGATGTGCCTCCCTCATGGGGAGCGGCTGCTTGGGACAGAATTGAAGAGTTGGACATAGTGCAAACTCGGTGAGTTAAAGTCCTTCTGATCTTCCAAGGTTGGGAGTCTTACTTCTGTGTCAGAAAAACCCACGATCCATATGGTAAAACATTTCAGATCAAAACTTTGCTTAATCATGATGAGATACATGATTGCTACTAGTTTTAAAGATGGATGTGGGAACTGCTGCATCCCCTCGCCCTTGATGGACAGACAATTAACGGCCTCTGATTTGCTGTTGGGATCTCTTTGGTTCAGCTTTCTTAGCTAACCGAAATAGAAATAACATCCTACTACTGGTATATTCAGATTTCGAGAGCCTACGATACGCTGCTAAGGCTATACGTCATATGAACCTTGCTTCTGCCTAGCCTGCAAATGATTGCTAGTTACCAATCATAATAACAGTTGATTTACCGAGCACAAGAAAGCTTCAAGTTCCTAACCGTAAAATAAAATCAATCAAGTCATACAGAATAAAAACATAAAATACACCGATTGTCGTGGACAGCATACAGGTACATTTACGCGTGGGTTCCATAACGAGCACTAAATTTCAGGCACCGGGCCGGCGACATTTTATCGTTCACCGTAAGCATGGGAGGCCACTCACGAGGTTGATCATGAATAGATGTCTAGAGCCACACTAACTTTCACTAACGTTCACAAGGTCAATAAAAGAAACAACCTTCAAAAGCACTCCAATACAAGGACCAAGCTCGTTATATAGTAAATTAATAGCATTTTCTATACACTTACGTAGGTCACTATACGTACCTGATTTTTCATTTCGGATATCAAAGTGTATCATAAATTGTACAGAAAGTGGTAATGGTCTACGAAGCTGTTTGATGATAATCTAAACTTCCTAAGTCCGGACGCTATAATTACGTGATCCTTGGTATCTTCCCTTCCTTCCATTCCTCTAATACCGCAAGAACTTTCTTTATTTTTATTTGTTCTCCCCAGCTGAAAGCGTCTATGCCGTTAAAGCGGTGATATGGATCTGCTCCTCGCTCAAGCAACAAGCAAGTGATCAGGTTCCCTCCAGAAATGTCAGGCCTGATACCACAGAGAATAGGCACTCCCTACCTACGAGGGGCATCATGGTTGACATCCTATCCTAGATCATCCAGAAAGTATCGGACTAGTCCTATTGTATCTTCCAGATAGTTTATAGACGTACGCGGGGCAGCGATAACGAGATCATACGGTCCTTGTTGAGCCCCAAGGCTTTGTAAAAACTTGTATACCTCAACGTTTCTGTATTTAGCCGCAGATTTAAGGTTACATGGATGAGCCCAATAATCAATCTTACCATCGTCTATTTTCGCCCTATAGTCGAGATACCAGCGTACCAGATCTAGGTCTTTACAGGCTAGGTCGAGGAATCGTAACTTTTTGTGGCTAAATACTGAGCCACGCTGATCGATGTCCCACCCTTGCTCTATCGCCTATAACCAAAGAGTTTTGGACTTCATGTCAAAAAACCTTAGGGTATTTAACGCGCCCACAGGCGCATTTTCTTCGACTAGGAGGTTCAGGAGAATTTCTTCTGCTTCGTGCCGGAGAGAACCCTGAACTGCATTTCCAAGTGGTTTCTTCAGCCCATCGGAGACCACGACGAACGTCATCAAGGCAGTGGGTAACGCAGCCGACGCCCACAAGACCAACTGGGGTTTTGCGCCGGTGTGCCCGAGACCTTTGTGTTTGAGCCTCTTCTGAAGTCTTCATTGAAAGCTATGGTAAAATAAGCCGTATGAGTCTGTATTTTTTAAAAGATCGTTGTGAGCTTAGTGGAAGATATGTAGAGGCCTCGGAAGCACTCAGGGAGCTGATGAAGTTGAGCTTTGAGCTTCGTGGATGCGTTGATGCGTTGAGGGTGTTATGCCTCAGGCATCAGGACCGTCGTTGCTGCCGCAGCCCACGGGCCAATCAGCGACCGCAAAATTTCGATGGCGTCCGAACCTCGCAGCGACCAAGAAAAAAATAACACCAACACTCTTGTCACCGCAAGAATGTCGCGCATCACAGAGCATCCACTACGGGCCAAGAGGAGAAAGCTGGATGATGATTCACATCCAGTTCCAGAGGTGAATTTTACATCGCCAGCCCAGTTGCGCGAGTTGCTAGTCTTTCAGCAAAATCCCGCGACCGCCAAGCAAGGTCAGTCTATCGTTGCATCGCATACCTGAGGATTGCGGTCGCTAATCTGAGAATATAGGCCTTGTTCATTTCAAAGAGTTTCTGTCTTCTATCCATAACCCGGAAAAAGAAAAAGACAAGGCCCAGAAGCTGAAGGTTCTGAAGGGCTATTGTGATAAGCAAATCTCGCCGGGCAAGGAAGAAGGCGACTCCATTTGCTTTCCAGACATCATCCAGTCCTGGAGCTTTGCGGACGCTAACAACAATGAGCCGCTTCTGACTACTGTTCCTTCGGTTCTTGCCATCTTCTTGAAGACCATCTCCCGAGAGATTGATTTCCGCGACTTTGGCCTTGCCCTGTGCAAGCATCTGTTACAGAAGGACCAACTGAGACTTTTCAATCGTGGTCTGACTGCCGCAAAAGCGAAAGAGCATCTTATCTCTCCCTGTCTCCGCCTTTTGACCGAAATCGTCACATATGATGGCGGTGCGGTTGCCCGGCAATTATACAACCGCCGCTATATCGTCTTTAAGCGTCTTGAGATCTTTTTAACTCCCAACAAGGTTAATCCTGATGCGGGTCCGGAGGAGGTATCAAAATCGACACTTCGCCGAAATGCCCAACGCTATCTACTCGCCAATCTGAGGGTGCAACATACACTCGAGAAGAGCGATATCATTGAGCAGTTCAAACTCACCAGAGCATTCCTCGAGCCTCTCCGCAAAGATCCTCGGGAAATCACCTTGGAAGTGATCAAGGCGATTGAGAGAGATATCATCCAGGATGCTTCTATCCCACGCAAGACCAAGAGTAAGTTTTTCAACCGTGGAAATATGGAGAAGTTGGTCACACTTTATGGCTACGACCGGGAATCCGATGAGCCCAACCCCGAGGGAATCTCAATCGCCAATGAGATCCACCGCATCTTGTTGAACCTCTGCAAAACCGCCGATCTTGGCGTACTTCTTCCTGAGTCGGGATGGTATCCGGTCGGAGTTGACCCGGAGAGGCTTCCTGTGGACGACGATGAGTGTATCGAGCTGGGCCTCGATTCGCCGATTTATGTCGACAAATTCCGGGAGTTGGTTCCTGTTCGCAACGGCACGTTGTCATACCTTATTCAATGTCTACGCCCCGATGTCGATAGTCTCCAGATTGAACTGCTCGTGACAATCTTCAAGGTTGCACCAGAGCTGATTGCCGACTACTTCACCAAGAAGACAATGTTCACAGCCGACCCTAAAGCAACACCCTCCTGGATGGCCGAGTCCGCATTCCTATTTTCGACGGTACAACTTCCCGTTCCTACGAATTGTGGCTGGAAAGACAAACAACCAATCCTGCCGCCACCAGTCTCAATCGTCATTGAGAACATTCTTCCGCGCCCTTTGAGCCAGAAGATTATGTCTCGCTGTTTGAACCAGAATGCAGAGATCATTACCCTGTTTTCTGTGCGAATCTTGTCTCTTGCATTTACAAAATTGCGGGCAGTTCTCAAGATCTTCCGGGAGGACCATGGCCAAGGACAACTGTTTTGGAACCAAGCCTCATCTAGGCTGCTCGCTGAGTTCTCTCGCCGGTGCCCCGCTCTCAAGGATGTTATCCTCCTGTTCCGGCGAACCGCCAAGGAAGATCTTCAACAGCAGCAGGCCGTGGCGGAGCTATTGACCTTCTATTATGATGTGATGCCCGACATCGCCTTAGAAGAGAATTTCGATGTGTCACTGGTCCTAGTAGAGGTTCTCAAGCGACTGGAGGAGTCGGAGCTTAGTGCGGACGATTCCGAGATGCTCTTAAGCCAGCTTCAGAGTGTTCTCCAGATCGCGCAGCAATCTACATCGATGCGTTGGTGGCAGAAACCAGCCTCTATGCAATACTCGCCGTTCACCTCGGTTCTCAAAGTCCTTGTCGGAACCTCGGACAAAGTCTCTTCGCGACGAATCTCTGTTCTGTTAAGGACTGTCCTTGTGGATAACTCTGTCTTCCAAAGTTCTCCGCTGTCATTCAATGCGCTCTTGACAAGTCTTGAGGATGCTGAATCGGAAACTTTGCACAAGCAGCTGGTTTTCATCGAAAATTGCATTTCTCGCGTGGCTAAGAAACCTGTTCATTACCTCGACCTCATCAACTCTCTCTCCAAGGATGCGGCTACTACTACAAGTTCGTTTGTGGCTGCTATCGTCGAGCAGTGGCCCTTTGTGGTGAAGGCAGGCGACGTAAGCACCGAAGTTGCTGTGGGCACATGGATTGCCAAGCTATTCGGCCAACTCAAACAAGCCGGAGAGAACACAGGTGCTCTGAAGGCCGCGCGTGATGCCCTGACTGAAACCACCGAAGCCAAAAAGGTCCGCTCTGCGCTGAAAAAATGTCTTAAGGGAGTCGAAGATGTTGAATCGGAAGATAAAATGGAGATCGACTCTGGCCCAACCCAGCCAAGTTCATCCATCATGCCCGCGGAGGTGGATCTAGATGAAATATTTGGCTTCCTTCCCACTGAAGGCACGACTCACAACGCCCTGAACCGATGGGAGAGAGAGAGGAACTCGAAGCAGCTGTGGAGCAAGGCCAGATTGCCGAGCTGATGCTCTGCTTGTGCTCTGAGCACGAGGAAGTGCGGAGGCAAGCATTCGCCAATGTCGCACGCTTCATGGCCCAATTGAAGGAATCCAAATATGCTGAATGGCGCTCTGTTTACACCCTGACTGGTGAATTACTCGAGACCGTCAATGCGCTTGGTATCAGTGCGGGTGAGCCCATCCCTTGGATTGTTGGTGAATGCGCGGCCAACTGCCTTGCGGTCATCACGAGCCCCTTGCACAAGGTATATGGCAAGGTGAACAAATTCTTGCAAAAGGGACCAGCGTGGGAAGTTGAGAAGATCCCGTCTTACTGGATCGACAAGATCTTCTTACACGAGCCTGAGCTGGATGATGGATTCTTCGACGAGATTGATTGGCTCTTGGGATTGTTCGTGAAGGGTCTTCGCAGCAAAGCGGTAAGTCTACAAAATAAACCCTATTGAAAACTCTCTGCATAGAAACTGTGGCTAATAGGTTGGTTTTCTAGGATATGGAAATCTACCGTCGTGCGAATGTCTTCGAGCGCATCCTCTCGCTATATCAGTCTTCAAGCATTGGCACCGAGGCTCGCAAAAAGATCTTGCATATCATCTTCCGTGCAGCTCAGGTCGGTGGCAGCACGACGCTCATCACTCGGGCTGCCATCATCAGCTGGATTGAGGTCCAGATCACTGTGGCCAATGCTAAGGAGGCGGCTCTCCTCTCGGCTCTCGCGCGGAAGCTATACGAAATGTCTGATCGCGAACGAGTTGATGCTTGGAGTGCGGGCACGATTGAGCAGGCGCTCAAGCAGATTGAACAGGCATAGAAGGGGTGATGAATAGATAGATGTATTACAAGATTTCGTTTTTTACATAATTGGACGGGGCGAAATCTGGGACTCTGGAGATATTATCGTAAATTACCAAACAACTAGGCTAGGTAGCCAGTACCTACTCGAAACAGAAAATATTCACACTGTGGTCCTTTGTTTGGTTGAAATATTTCCTTACTAGATTGTGATTCTACCAGAATAATACTACTAGGTAAAAGTCAGGCAGTCTATTGTTCATACATCCCTACCCTAGGGTAGCAGCCTGTATATAGACGATTGTGAATAGGCAAGGAGGATACTCAACCTCACTAATACTAGTAATAATTGAATGTCTATTGAGAAGTGACCTGGTGGACAATCAGAATCAATTTGCATACCGACTCAGAGTACATCTTTACCCTTACACTTTACACTTTACACACTTCCCCTCTTCGAGGCTGTCTCTTTTGACCGCGTGATAAGCTCAACACCATTAGCAACCCATGAAATCGTCTTTTTCTTCCGTTTTTTTCCCTGTCCAGATTCAAAGTTGAGTACTATATCAGCTTATTTATCATTTACAATTGTTGACTACCGAGTCAGTCTTATCGGGGGGAGTGTTCTAGCATTCCAACTCACATCATTTGTACTCTGAAGGAGCTGCCCCTTTCGGCTCTGACGACCCCTCGGCAACTTCAATTTCGACTTTCAACCTCACCTTCTCCCACTTCTCCCTCTGCTCCCACTCTACGTCCTATATTCGACCACCCTGCTACCCCTGCCGCCGAGAAATCCTCTCAAATCCCTTTGATCCTTATTTTTCTTTTTTTTTTTGCCTTGTGGGAGTATCTCCTTGCTGGAATCTCCTGTCACCGCCGACTCCGCCTTGAGCTTCGCCACAAGTGGCTTGTCCGCTTCTCCTCACCCCGACCTCTTTCGATCTCGTTTTCTGGATTAAACCTTCCAACCCCCCCACGATTTTTCCCTGTGACGACCTCATTCCATACGCCTCTCTGGCCTCCTCCCCGAATACTCCTGTGAATTGCCGAATACCACCCCCGTCGACCAATGAGGGGATCATAATCCTTTGTCGATAAAGACCGCACACACTCTCCCAGACACCGCCGTCATGGCGCGACGGTACGAGATCGACGAGCTAATATGGCTGCGCGATTCTCCTCTTGTCGCCAAACCTCCAGGCCTTCCCCCAATTGATGAATGGATGTATGTTCAGCTCTTTCTATCTTTCTGATCAACGTGCCGCATCGTTTCAGGCCAAGACTAACCATCTACCTCTCTGTGCAATAGGCCTCAACCCGACCCAACGACCCAACGCAAGCAACCAACAACCCGCGATCCCAATAGCCCATCCGAAACAACTACAAATAGAAGACCGAGCTTTTTCGAAGCTCGTCATATCTCGCGGGGCTCCAATTCAGGTATCGCCCATCATCCTTCATTTATACCGTCCCTCCCCTAACATTGACTGACTCTATTTTTTGAACTGGGTGTAGATGAAATCGTGCTCGGACCTCCAAAGACCAACTTTGCCTCATCCCGCATAGGAGGTAAAGGCTCCTTTGACCTGACTGAACGACCGGCCCGTCCAACTGAGACGGATGAGAAGAATGACCGTTTCAACTTCCGAGATCGCATCTTCAAAGAAAAAGACACCACCCAGGAGAGAGACTATGACCGGCGAGACGCACGACCCGCTGCTTTGAACGGCCGACGTGGAGAGAAGGAAGACTGGAATGCTGGGCGCCCGCGTCGGACATTTCCTGCAGAAGAACAAGACCGCAAGCCCCGACGCACCGGGGAATTCGATCGATGGGAGAACCGCGAGGCACCTCGAGATCCCCTCAACAGCGAACGTGGAGTCCGGGATCGGGATGGCCGCTTCCCTGTACGAAAGGAGGGTCAGCCGACGACACGAACAAAATACGATGGAAGCTGGTTCCGTGAAGAGAACGGCAATGAAGCAATCGAAGCAGATGATGACAAGCCAGCGCTTCGCAACCGAGAATGGCGGCGCGACCGCCATGGCGCAGATCGCGACTGGGCTCGTGGTGCTGCTAAACTCGAATCAGAACCCGAATGGTTGGATGCGAACGATCGTGACGAGCCCCGACGGGCACACACACAGGAAGACTTTGAGCGCTGGAAGGAGCGCATGAAGGCTGGCTCAGGCGCTGCTCAACCCCCTCCATCGCAAGTGGAGAGGAAGGAAGAATATATCGAATCGGATATCCCTGCCCAGAAGTCCGAGACGCACCGTACAGACGGCGAGATTTTTAGCTCCGGCGCTCAGTTCATGGGAGATACCTCTATGGACCGGTTTTTCGGTATGCTTGGAGAACCGAAGCCACCAGTACCCGAGGCCGTCGCATCACCTGTCCAGGTCCAGTCGACCCCGCAGAAGGACAACTCTTATGCCGCAAAGTCTGGAAAGTCATCTCGATTTGCTGGACTTTTCAGCCCTCCACCTGATAGCCCGTTCAGAGCTCCAGAGTCACCCGCCCTTCCTAAATCTTCCGCTGGAAGCACCCCTGCCAACCATCAAGAAGCAGACCAAGAGGGATTCCAACGAATTCTGGCGATGCTTGGCGGCCCCGGTGCTGCTGGTCCTGGACACGGCCCACCACACGGTACACCTCACCAAAACGAACATTCTCGGCCGTCACCGATGGTCCACCCAGATCATTCTCGTGCGGCCATGAACATGTCTTCCCCTGTCAGAGAGCACATGGGTCGTCCGGACTTTGCGAGTCCATCTCAAGAGATTCCCTTGGCCCAGATGGCCGGGAAGGAACCCCACCCTGGCGAGCGTGATCATCTCCTTCGATTGATGCAGCAGGTTCAAATTGGGCCCGGACCCCAAGGTGGTGTTTCTCAGCGGTCCCCAAATGCCGGACCAGCTCCTCCTCCTGGCTTGATGCCGGAGATGATGCCCCGTCCTCCCCCTGGGCTGACTGGCCAGAAGACTCCAAACTTCTTCGACGACCCTGCTATTGCCAATATGCAACGGCCTGACAACGAGCAGCTCCGGCGTCGGGCCCCCAACGGTCCGCCTATGGGCTACTTTGATGACATTCCTTTCCCTCAAGGCGGCCAGGGCCCTATGACTCCCGGTGGTTCACGCCCACCAAATCAACCTCCGATGCCACTGCAGCGACCTCCTGGCTTGGAACACCTGCCTCCTCCCGGATGGACCGGTCCACCTCCCCCACAACAAGGCAACGGACCAAGCCCGATGGGCCCCCACCCTGGAATGCCCACTCCAACTCGTGGTCCTCTCAATTTCCCCCCCAGGCATGATGCCGATGCCCGGGAACGGACCTCCCCTCGGCGAGCGACAAGGCTTCCCTCCTCGTGGGCCCCCGGGCCTTCCTCCTGGCATGATGCCACCGCCCGGATACATGGGTGGCCCTCCTCCCGGCTTTCCTCCCATGCCCCCGAACCCAGAGGCTATGATGGGACTTGGCCCTGGCGGCCAAGGTCCTTTCGGACCTGGAAATCCTGGTCCTCAAGGCCCCCCTCCTTCATCGCGACACCTGCTTGAAATGTTTGGCCAGTCCGGCGGCGGCGAAATTCGTGGCGGCATGGTCGGGCCCGGCCCGTACAGGTAAACGGCCGAAATTTCGAGCTTTTCCATCTTATCTGACATTTACTTGCTCCATTTGATATGTGACTATTCTGGGCAAAGATGCGATGGAAGACTCTATGCGGCGCAAGAGTTTCGGTCTTCTGTTTTAGCCCGGCCTGGTTACACGGCAACGTTGCATCATCCTCTTGAGAGAGATCCAAAGCATCCCCAACTTCTTCTTCTTCCTCATTTTCTTTTCTATTTCAAATTTCACTTTCATTTCTTTCTTATTTCCATGTTGTATTTGTTCATTCCCATTTTCGGTACCCTGGCGAGGGGATGCCCTTCTTCCTGCTGCCCAGCTTCTGTCTAGCAAGCAACCCATTCTCAGCCTTGACTTTATTCGTCCTTGGCTCTTTTCCATGTTATTGCTGTATCCAATGACCGAGGGGATTGCTTTTTTTTCTCTCTCTCTCTTTTCTCTTTCTTCTCTTTGCTTTTGCTTCTCAAGGGGAATGCCTTTACCGAGTCACCGGTGCCGACCGAGTTCAGTCGAATTGTCTTGCAAGGAGGATGATCTAGGGATGTGATGTGGTTTTGACCGATCTAGTGATGGAGTGGTGGAGTGGTGGATTGCCGTAAATCTATGCTCGGCGGACAGGCACTAACGTGGGTTTTGCTTTTCGTCAGTGGATACAAATTATTCATAGATATCGACAGGTACAGATTTGCAATCAATCTATCAATCGCTTGGTCGATCGAATAACTATTTATCTTTCTTTTTCTCCTAGCTTCTTACTAGCGTGTCGGTAGACAGATAGGACCGATGCCCGAAGCGTCGACGTGGCTGACGTACTAGTATGCAGTACTAGTAGTTCGATTGGGCCACGCATGGGAGTGATTAAGAGAACAGAAAACTTGGAAGAAAAGGAGAAACTAAATCATGAAACAGATATTGCAATGGGCTCAATAACGCTTTAAATTAAGTTTATCAGATTTGTACACCATTAGTGCGTGAGCGAGATGGAAGTGGGGAAGCGTGCCAGTACGGAGACCCTGTTCCTCTCCCCCACAATCCAATCTCAGTCTGCGCCTATATACTCGTAACCATAGGCGAGAAATGTTAACCGTATTGATACCGAATTATCTCCCTCGAGAGCGTCATGCACTATTAAGCAGAGAGGGCCTGGCGAGCGTCACGAATGGACTTGTAGATCGCCTTGTTGTCCTCCTGGATGATGTCCAGGCAGTACGGAACGGCGGTCTTGGCGACATTTTTGACGAAGTCCTATATATCCAGACGAAGTCTCAGATTAGCCGGATGTCTCGGGTGTGATAAGTGAATTATTGATTTTGATGGGGTGGGATATGATGGGGGGGTTTTGGGATTCGACACTCACGCTAGTCTCCTCGGTGACCTTGTTCAGGGAGTGCTGCAGATCGTGGCGCTGGGTCTGGTTGAAGTAGTTGGCGCTGAAGGTGAAGTCGGCGTTCAGATCTAGGCCAGTCAGAGCAAGCTGTAACAGAAAGTTGTTAGGGAATTTGGTTGCAATTGGATTGATTCATTCTTCTGGGGGTGGATTGTACCGAGTGGAAGGACTGGCAGATAACCATCTGCTGGGAGTCCCCCAGAGCCTTCCAAGGCTGGGGCATCATCATGTCGGTCGCCTCACGGGCAACGACCTCTCTGTAGGCGACAACGATGTCCTGAGCAGGTAGAGTTAGTTATTTGACGTTGTGCGAGAGATAGGAGGGTCTCGTGGACGTACGTCGGCGGTGATTCCACCGATGTTGTTCTTCAACTTGTTCAGCAGCACATCGGTCTGCTTGAAACCGAGATCAAGCTGGGCGATGCGGCCCTGGACGCTGGGAGCAATATCACTGCCATTATTGGCGGCGATGGCACCCATTGCCATGAGGGAGGTGACGAGAAGGCTCTTGAACTGCATTATGAATGGTATAAATAAATGTATAATGTAGATCGAAATCTAGTAGAAAGTTATGAATGATGAATGTATAGGGTTGGTGAATTTAAAAGGAGTGAATGAAAGAATGACTGGATGTAAGTACTCGAGAACTAGAACTAGAAGAAGAACGCCAGGAGGAACGTGCTCTCCTTTATATAAACTTTCTAACGGACGGTCGACTCTTCCCCCGGGTCTGTAAGTAATCCATACCGGGCGTACTGCATAGGCAATGCTCTACTCCGCAGTACTCCGTACTCCGTAGTATGATTTGGAATCCCAATTGAGCTTTTTTGGCCCAAATCCCTGCAGCATTCCTGTGCGGTCCACTCGGGGTGTCTGGGTACTAAAAGTACTCGTACTAAAAAGAGGCCAAGAGGGCTAGCGGCACCGATTAACGTGTCTGGTTGGTAGTGTGTACGGTTCATGCGCCGTCCGTGGAGATCCGATCGACACCCTCAATCCGGATCTGATCGAGTAGGGTTCAGAAAGCTGGGAACGGGAATGGCAGATCTGGAGGGGTTAGTGTCTGCCGGACCCAAAAGTTATTGAACGTGTGCATGAAGTGGAGACCAACATGGGGTTAGACCAGCTGTTGATCAGAGCGAGGCCCCACTGGAGCTCTATAGCCCACCAATCTAGCCATGTTTCGGCGGGAATTGGGATCGCCGTAGCGCAGTTGAGGTGATCAAAAGAGACCCAAAAGGACCCAAAACTGAGACCTGGTTACCCGCGTCTATCTCCACTAAGCTAAGGCGGCCGGAGAGCTTATTCCAGCAGTAGACTACTCGTAGCCGCGGAGTACGGTGACTGGGATAGATCTAATCAGCAGTGAAGCTAGGGGCGAAGGATTCAAGCCGCAGGTTCCGGGTGGCCCAATGTCCACTTTATCAACGCCAATCGTCAGGGGATCGACCCGAGGATGGCTTCATTTGTCATGTCTTGATCTCCTTTTCGCAACCTGGGGGAATTCAAAGGAGGCGCAATATTGCTCATGTCAGGATGATAGCTAGAAACTGGTTGAAGACATCGAGGTAGGAAGTAAGTAAGGCGAGCAACTCCGAAGATGCTCGGTATCTCAATCTACTCGATCCGAAGATCGACCATCTCCAGCCTCGAAACCCTAATTATCAATATCAATTGGCCGCTTTTCTTCACATGCCTGCATGGTACAGCACTAGCTCGGCTCCTCGACCGAAACCTCTTCTGTGGTCTGCCCAATCTCCCGAATATTATCGTTTTCACGATTTACCCGCTCTGTTCTCCGGAATATCCAGCTAAACGGCCGGAACCCCTTTCTAGAGTTCCGCACCGTACCCGCACCGTGCCGACCCGGATCCTCGTGGACGAGCTTGGTCCTCGTTTTCGAGTGCTCTATTTCTTTTTTCGAGCTTGAGAAAGCCAGCGTGGTTCTAGACCTCCATTCATGATCAACCCCGTGGGTGGCCTCCTTACGGCGAATGATAGACGCCATCGGGCCGATGCTTGATTTTTAGTACTCGTTATGCTGGCAAGGTACGGAGTAATAGTTTTTGTTTATAGTAGATGGCCAGCTATCTAGAAAGCTGGCCAACCTAGTAACTACTACTCGACACCTAGTCATAACATAAGTGCTCAACCTTTTTGCTATTCTCCACTCCCCTCAGTCTCCACCCTTGGAAGCTCGTTCCTATAAATGTGGCAGACAGTAGTGATCACATGAAAAGGTAATGCCCTCTACTATCTCACGAACTGTTCCTTATGTGACTTGAACAAAGTACTGCTATCTAGAATCTCCCCAGTCGTAGACTTGATAAAGTCAACCTGCAAATGCTGTTCATCCAACAATTTCACCGTAACATAACTCCAATCGTCGGCGTAGTTGAACTCATTCTCCGGAGGTACAGGCCCAACAGGTGTCAATCCTTCGATATTACCCGCACCACCAGCAATAATATACATAGGGCCTGTTGGATCGGTCAGATTATTTGGATCAACCTTTCCTTGATACATGGGGAGGAATCGCTGAGAGTTGTGAACGTGTCCGAAGATTCCCAGATCTACACCATAGGTATAGAAGGTATCCTCGAAGGCCTCCTAGCACTCTATGCAGGTGTGCTTGGAACCATCACAGCTGTAGTATGGACGGTGACCAGCGACAATCACCCAAGGCGTGACGCTTCGGTCAACGCTAGCAAGATCGGCGTTCAGGAACTCTAGCTGCTGATTGCGTTTGCCGAAATTGCCTTGGTTAATCCCCGTGGAGCCGCCAGATCCTTCGGGTGCATCTTTGAAATCTGTTTCGGTATTGATCATCACGACGTGTGACATGCCATGTTCAAATGAGTACCAGAATGGAGGTAGTACCGCGCTTCGTGCCTTTTTAGCTAGTACTTTGGCGGTGGTGTTCTTGGAGAATGATGGGTACACGTTTGGCATGGTTCCATCAAAGTGATGCATGAAGTCTGTAAAATTCATTTGACCTTGTGGGCAGAAGTCTTTGAAAGGAATGGCTAACTCCTTGCCATAATATGCGAAGGGGATCGTTGTACTGCTCGGAAAACAACTCGCTTCGTGGTTACGGGGCTAGCCATGTAAGGCTTGCGGCCGGCAATTGGAGCTAGTTGGCCATAGAATCGTTCCAAGATAGACTGGTAAACCTCTGTGGCGGCGTAGAGATTTGTTTCAAAGTGATTGTCCACATTCGCTCCGGGTAAAAACCGACTATCGACCCACCAGTCATCGGCATAAGCGAAATCACCGGGATAAATGACGATCTCATAGTCATCGACAGTTTGGGCGAGGCGACCGATGGTGCTGTGGTTCAGCTCTGGTTGAATCTCAGGTATTGTGTCTTTCTTGTCGACCAAAGTCAAGATGTGGCCTTTGGTGAAGCCATTCTCGCCGTAAACACCGAGGCCAATAACCACGTCTAGCGCGAAAGGGGTCTTGTCACCTGGGATTCGAGGGCTCAAAAAGTGCTCCACGCTGTAGTTTGTCGAATCGATTGTGATAGTAATAGGTCGTGGAGGAATTTAGGCTAGGCAGGACTACCGCCTGGGACCATGTTCGCGAGGTTTGATAGGTAGTTGACGGCGTAGTCGAACAAGCGCGACGATCCAGCTTTCCATTGGAGGTACCAAAGAACACACAAGGATGTTCTATGGGATGAGATATCGCCATTACTCCACCTCAATTACTTGTTTGAGGTAATTGTGTGAAACAATGTGTTCGCAAAGGTTCAATGATACACAGGCCTCTCTTTATTGATACAATCTTTAGGTAAAGGTCCTTGCGATGGGGTTAATTTAATAGCTACCCACTTAAATGTTGTATATAATTAGTATAATGTGCCGTGGTAGCAATTTGTTTCTGGGATGAGCTCATTCCACAAGGTAGAGCCCCGTTGGGCTGTGTTTGACACATCCCTTGTCGAGTCTTGATGACGAAAGCAACCTTGGAAGGAGATAATGAAAGGTGTAGGTTTATGGTAGCAAAGGAGGGAGGCTGGTAGTAGTATAGGCGATCTGGAGTTGCCCGAGGCATCGCCTCAACAAGGCTCACCCTCGCTTCTTCTCCATGGCTTGGAATTATATCGTGGTGCCAGAAAACCTTCCACAGGCGTTGCAGGAGAGGTGGGAGGCCAAACAGCATTGGTACTCCATTTAAAGCTTCACTACCCGTTAATATGTAGTACTAGTAGTAGTCACCGCTCCATTGGAGCATACAATTGATTCATTTCAAGATCAAGCTATAATTATCTATTACTACCTAGGTACTCAGTAGTAGGTATTTTGTAACTTTCATTTTGCATTGAAATTACGTTTCGCAACTAGCTTCTAAGGTTTGATTATCCTAATCTAAGGATGTCGGTATTATACTACATTGCTAACACAAGCTGAAAAACATTTGTTTCGAACTAGAATTGTACACAGCCAGATTCTCATGGCCAAATTGATTCCAAACTCTGCTCCGTTTTCTTAGTATACTATTATATGACAGATCAACCCCATGTTCCACCACCACCACCTCTGCCTTGGCGTCTTTGAGCAGAAAGACGCCAATCATCTTCACCAGCAAACCGGTTATGCAGGGGCTGAATACGCTCGGCCTTCTTTCGCTTAGACAGACGATCAGTAGGCGCCACCTTGAAGAATGTGGGCGCCGCCTCGACCAGCCATTTAGGTTCAATCGACGTTGTGCAGTGCATGTACTCCTTGGAGGTGAGCACCAAGTCGTGATAAATAACATGCTCTGCTGGCTTGCCGAAAAGTGCAGAGCTAGGGTGCATGTAAACTGGTGTTCCTTCAACAAGTGTTTTGTATCCTTCCTGAGGGTCCTTTCGAGCAGCGTTCCGGAAGAATCCTGTGCAGAGGGCCTGTCGGACCTTCATCGTGTCCCGCCCACACGAGGCGATCTTGTGTCGATAGCGATTCATGATGCCAAGAAGTTGCTGTCGGACATCCTGGGCGCGTTTTATCTGTCGCGCTTGGATGAAGTTTTCGAAGCACCATGCATTGCTGAACTTGGAATGTTTCCAGGCGTTATAGACATTCAGCAATGTCAGGTGATCTCCATGAGGATCGTGGAACTTAGATTTCTTCTGATCGGCTTGTTGTTGCTTCTCCTTTGGACGATAGAATACCGATGTTATTGAAAGCATGGCGACAATGCTAAGCATTTCATCGGAGCAGCTCATGTCCACAGAAGCAATGAGCACCTTAGCCAAAGCAGGTTCCATAGGGAAATCGGCCATCTTCCGACCGAGTCGGGTAAGGAGACCCTCATCATCAAGAGCAGACAATGCATATAGCTCTTCCAGGGCTGAAAGCATGGTATTTGTTGGTGGAGGATCCATAAAGTCGAAGTGCAGGAGATCGTTAATACCCATCGCTTTCAGCATGAGAATGGTATGGGAAAGGTTCTGGCGTTGAATTTCGGGGATTGTCGTCGGAAGCATCTCGCTGTTGAAGGCAGCCTCGGTATATAAACGGAATGTCTTTCCCGGGCCCGTACGTCCTGCACGACCAGCGCGTTGCTTGGCCTGGGCTTGGGAGATGGGAGTAACCACGAGGGAATCCATACCAAGCTTAGGGTCATAAGCATTCTGTTTGACAAAGCCGGGGTCGATAACGACTACAAGATCATATTAGCTCTGCCAAGTATTTTGGGTAATAAGGATCTCGGAAACTTACAATAGATGTTGTCGATCGTAATTGATGTCTCCGCAATGTTGGTCGCGATGATCACTTTTCGCCTAATTTGGAAATTCCAGTCAGCAATTATCAATAAAACAAAGAAAGAGCGTACTTACCCGCCAGCCGGCGCAGGCTCAAAGATTCGACTCTGCATCTCACTAGGAAGTGCAGAGTAAACGGGTAGAATGACAAGCTCCGGTACAGAAGGACCGAGAGCTTTCATTCGCTCGTATAATATCTCACAGGAAGTGTCAATTTCTTCTTGTCCCGTGAGGAAAACTAGAATATCTCCGGTGGGTTCCGTCAAGTGAATCTGCATCACAGTGATAAGAGTAGCATCCAAATAATCGGACTCGGGCTCCTTCGAGTACATAATTTCCACGGGGTAGGTTCGGCCGGGGATAGAGAAGATAGGGCAGCCATTGAAGTATACTGAAAACTTTTCAGCATCAAGAGTGGCCGATGTGACGATTAATCTGAGATCCGGTCGTCGCTTGATGGTTTTCTTCAATAGTCCAAACAAAATATCAGTGGCAATGGTTCGCTCGTGAGCTTCGTCAAGCATAATCACGGAGTACTTCTTGAGATCTGGATCCAGCAGAATCTCTCGTTGAAGCATACCGTCGGTCATGTACTTGATCTTAGTCTCTGGGCTGGTGCAATCCTCGAAACGAATAGTATATCCAACTTCGGCACCGAGCTTGCAGCCCACTTCCTCAGAGACACGTTTGGCAACGGACATGGCGGCCACACGGCGAGGTTGAGTGCAGCCAATCATACCATTGTTTCCATACCCGGCCTCTGCCAGGTACTGCGTGAGTTGTGTGGTCTTTCCTGATCCAGTGTCACCAACGACAATCATCAACTGATTATCTTTGACCGCATCAAGCAGTTGTTTGCGGAACTTATACACAGGCAAGCTCTCACGTTGTTGTTTGATGGTCATGTCAGTACGTTTTCCCAGAGACACATTCTTGCCCATTGTGACCTTCTTCCATTCTGGCACAGATTCGTCTTGTTGCTGGGTACTGCGTAGGTCTGCAGCAAATTTCCGATCTTCGGCTGCAACCATCGGATCATGCCATTGGGCATTGAGGTCAACATCGGCTGCCCGCTCGGCCGCCTTATCCTGTGCTTCTTGCTGTTTTAACTCGCGCCTTTCCTTGGAAAGATTTGCGCCGGACATTGCCGCTCGGTTCATCGATCCATCAGGAGCCTTGACAACACGAATGGGAGAAAGCTCGAGAGACTGCTTAGTCTGGCCAGCCAGGAAGGGAGGCTCTTCATCTTTGACCTCGATATCAACGTCTTCCTCCTCTTCAAATGTACCCTCGCCAGTGAGTGTGGCATTGTATTCCTCCTCGAGGTCCGGGTAATCGGCTGCTGAAGCAACTCCGGATGCAATGAGCTGTCGGATTTCCCAACGTTCTGGCGAGGTCATACGCTTCCGGTTCCTCATTGGCCTGCCAGAGTCCTCGATGACAGGAACATCGGAACTGAGGGCTCCATAACGATCATCCTCAGCTGAGCCATCAAGGCGTTCCATGTTGGCACCCGAGGCCAGACGGCGCTGGGGAATGAGATCGCGCCCCGTTGTTTGGTCCACCTCCTTCATCGAGAGCCCGACACGAGTTCCTTCAATCTTAACCACCTTGACTTTTACGGGTTGGTCACGCGATACAAGGTCAGAGGGGTGATTCACCCGCGCGCCTTCCTGCATCGCCGAAACGTGAACAAGCCCGTCAACCTTGCCTTTGACTCCTTTAAGGTTGACAAAAGCACCGAAATCCTTGACACCTGTCACACGACCATCATAAACTTTGTAGATGACAGGATGATCATCCAATTCCATGGGTGGTGCTTCACTGAAGTGATCATCTCTTTCGCGATCCCGACGCTTGCGTCGATCACTGTGGCCATTGCGGTGGTTTTCCTCCCTGTCGCCGTATTTCCCGATAGATCTTCCAAACTCGTCCACCAACTCGTCGTTTTTGCTGCGTCGATGCGTGCTCCGAGATCTAGACCGGTATTTCTCACGGTGTCGGCGCCCACGGTTATCGTCGTCGTAAGGGCTGCGGCTGCGCTTCCTGCCATCGCGTTCGTCTTTTGAGGGGCGCGGTTTTTCGTCCTTTGGTTTCCCGGCCAGTCCTTCAAGCATCGCAAATGTATCATCCATAGCTCCTGCTTGATCGTTGTTGCCCTTGTTATCAAGGTAGTCGTCTTCTTCCCAGCGGTTGTCTCTATCCGGAACAGCAAGACCCTTAAAAACGCGGGACTTGCGTTCCAAGGCACCGAATTCATCCATCAGGTCATCGTCTGCGACAGCGGCGTCGCCGTTCTCCTCCTTCTTCCCTTTGTATTTGGGGTGCATCGTGAGAACAAGGCGGTCGACACTCTCCATCAAGCTCTGCGGGAATTCGGCGCCCATCTCGTCGAGGCCTGCTTTGAATTCGGGAAAGTTGCCATTGCATTTAAGGTGTTGGTCAATGACGAATTCAGCCAGCGTTTTGTCGTTAATACCCAGGTGATTCTGGAGCTCGTTCGTCACTCGTGACACGAGCGACAACAGCTCCAGGGACTCCAGGTCATCCATGGTGGTGACCGGGTAAATGAGCGACGGTGAAAATGAGGAGACGAGAGGCGCAAGCCGACGAGGTAGAAATGAGGGAATGCGCAGAACCCTGCTCTGGTCGCGTAGGTGACTTCGAGCAAAGTGAAGGCGGAAAATCAGTGCAGCCCGGGGCCGGCGCCACTGATAAGAGATAAGAAGCCTGAGGCAGAAAGTACAGCCACGGGGCAGCCACAGCAACAGCCACAGCAACTATACGGCCATCCATACCCTAGGGTAACCACCGTGGTAAAGCTACTCTACTTATACAACTTGCGTGATCCTAGCAATTCAGCCCTGGAGGGTACTGAATATGTCACTAACTAGGATACCAAACCTGGCTAGTCGTATAGTTTTTATATATCCAACTGACTATATCCTACTAACAGTGACATCCATCATATTATCATCGCCAACTAACTAGGTGCTTTCAAATTCACGCCCTAACTATGGTACCATTCCGAACTTGAAGCTATTTAGTGTCCGGATTTGTATGGGAGGGGGCCTAGCATATATTCCAATATTAAGGAGTGGGTTTTATACATCTAATATACAATACTAGTTTTACATTAGTCCAGTCACGCGGAACTACGTGGCTTGGGTTTCTCGCTATCCGGCGCCTCCTTCTCAGGCTCTTGGGTGCTTTCTCCAGTAACGTGGTCCAGCATCAGCTCCGCACTAGAAGCTTCGTTATCCACCGTCTCTTCGAAGCTCTCTTCATTCAAATCATCTTGCATTTCTTCCTCCGCAGACTCTTCGCCGTCCGCACTCCTTTGAGAGCCATCTTCGTTCATACGGATCTGCACATCGCCCTCTCCGCCTTCAGCGGACTGCGGCATGAGGCCCTGAGAGTCAATGGTTTTCTGTCTATGCAGCTGCTTCTGAAGCGCAATCTGGCGTTTCAATGAGGCATCCTTGCGTAGCGACTTGTTGGCAGAGAATTCAGTCAGCGCCCGCACCATTCTCTGTTCAACAAGTTCTTTGACATGTGCAGCGAGAGTCCGGTCCGTGAATACCCCGCCAAAACGAAAACTAAGCCACGAGTAGAGAATAATAGCTTTGTGCAGACTCTCCAACTCATGCAAGTAATCCTTGTTGCCGGATACAGGGCGCTCTAGAATCTCAAGGTTGAGATGGGGAATGTCCAGCAGCCGTCCGCGATTATTTTCAGCCACGCAGTCAGCAAATGCGGCAGTGACTTCGCGAGCGGTTTGACTTCTGGTGTCCATCGGGGCAGCCATGAATGTCAATTGGTCCGCAACTCGCAGGCCATTCGTAGTGTCAATAATTTCGGCATTCTCAAGTTGGCCCTTGTTATCACACATGAAGAAAAGAGGATTGATGGCGGCAATTTCATTTAGTCGTTTGATCAGATACTCGAACGGGACTTCTTTCGGGAAGTATGCCGAGAGTTGCTCGAATACGACATTAGGCGGGAAAATGCCCGCGGCGCGAAGGGGTGGAGGCTCCATATTCATAGCCATTTGGATAGAAGGAAGGTCAATCTCCTCGAGAGATGTGACCAAACCCACGTTTGACTTGTCGTTTGGGCTTTCTTTGGCACCGGCTGGCCGGTATCGACCCGCACGCCCACCTATCTGCTTGATTTCCGGCACAGTCAACTGCTGAAGACCGCCGGGAAGTCGTTTGACCAACGTCTCGAAAATAACACGCTTGCAGCTCCTGTTTGAAGTTGGTCAGTAAGGGCTCTATCTCGGTCAAAGTCAATGAACTGTTTTAGACTTACAGATTCAATCCCATGCCAATTGCATCACTAGCAACCAGGAAGTCGTAGTCGTTATCCGGGTCGTTGAATAAATTGGCTTGTTGCGTTCGAATCTCGGCGGGTAGACCTCCATAAACGATAGCTGCTCGTCTCCCAGTAACCTTTTCAATGTCTGCTTTCAGAGCGTGGATTCCAACTCGGGAAAAGGCGACGACACAATCACCCTTTTCAAGACTCTTGAGGTTACCCCTCAAGCTTTTGTCCATGACCTCCAAGCGATTCAATCGCTCATATCGATGAATCTCCAGGGTGTCTCCTGTAAGTGCGCATAGTTCACGGATGAGAGGAACGGCCCTCGTTTCGCCACACAGGTGGAGTTCCTTTGCCTGGCTGCCTAGAACAGCTCGTGTCCACGCCCATCCACGTGCTGCATTGGATATCATTTGGATTTCGTCGATGACTCCAATATCATACTCCTGTCCCACGCTGACCATTTCAACTGTGTTGCTTGTGATACGAGGTATTTGACCATCTTCCGGCGTCTTGACATCGTCTCCAGTGACAAGACTTGTAGGAATGCCTTCGGCCTTGAATCGATGGTATACCTCTTGCGCGAGTAATCTAAGCGGCCCTGCATAGAAACCCGATTTACTTTGTTTCAACCGTTGTAGGGCGTGGTATGTCTTTCCGGAATTGGTCGGACCGACGTGGAGATGGATCGTTCGTTGCATGGATCGGGCTTTTGGATACCACTCGGCGGGATAGCGAAGATCGGCAATTTTCTGATGCACCTCCAGGTTCGGAGTCGAGTACTTTGCGGTAAGATCATCTGCATAGCGCATATAATCCAACTCGCCACGAAGTCCTGCTACTCCGCCAGACAGGTATGCCCTTTGCAGCGACGACTTGATTTGTTTCAAAGGGCCCCATTTCGCATCCGACTTGGAATCCTCCACTTTGCACGCATTCGATATTTGACGCTCAAACTTATTCCAAGAGTCAGGTAAGTCCCCTGTTGAATTAAGTCGCACCTTCGCATCTTGCAGAGCGGCCTGCACGACTCGGTTGAAATCTCTCTGGCCGGCGATGCTGTTTCGGTTGGGACCCGTATGGCCAGATTTCATCGCCGACTTAGCGGATCTCTTCGCGCTCGAAGCGTCATTGTCCGATCTAGCTTCTTTGTGCTTATTTTCGCGTTTCGACCGGTGCAGAGGGAGGGAGGTGGTGAATTGTCGCTGTCGTTCAACGGGTCGAGGGAAGAGTCGCAATGCGCAGAAGAGGGAACGACTGCCTCTGCCAGTCCATGACTGCATTCCTAGACAGTCGTGGGTAATTAATATGAGCGAAAGGGAATGAACGCGCTAGAAAGTAAAACGAGTGGAGGAGAAGGAGGCAGACATGCAGACATGCGGACATGCAGAAAAACGAATGCTTATCGGGGACGAGTTCCTAAGGTTCCCTGGCGCGCCACCGGGAGATCCACTTGAGAAGCTCCCATCATCAAAAATGGTGGGGAATCCGCGCTCTCCTTCATATACCTCATACGAGCCACCTTTCCCTTGACTCCCCTCCCCAGGAATCCCTTGTCCGCCCTCTGGTGTACTCAACCTTTTGCTCGGCGGTGTTTCCGTCACTTCCGCTTCACTTTCTCTCTTTGACACTCTCTGTGTGAGCCTCGCTCTGGGCTGCCCGCCAATATGAGCACTTCGATCATCAACGTCCAACGCGACAGTAAGGTGGCCCCATGGCTTCCCCGGGTACTCGGTGTCTCCTCCAAAGAACCTGAACTAACAAACAATTTCTATGCCAGTCATCCTTAATACCATCCGCAATGCCGGTGGCCACGAAGTACGTCACACCTTCCGCCCCTCCCCCCCGCGTGCGATTACTGACGCTTGTCCCGCACAGTGGAAAGTTTTGGTGGTGGACGAGAACAGCAGGAAATTGATCAATGCTGCTGTGAAAGAGGAAGATATTCTGAACCTCAATGTATCCAGTGAGCCTGCCTGGTTTAGTTCTACAACGTGGACCTTAGGCAGCCTTCTAACAGCATCATCGCCCCGCAGACATCGAGCAGATCGACCACCGGCGGATGGCCAACCCGGACATGGACGCCTTATATATACTATCACCGGAGTCTTGGATCGTGGACTGTCTCATGGCCGACTTCGAAGTGAAGAGATATCGCAGAGCGTTTTTGGTGTGGACTTCATGTCAGTCGGCGACATTGGGACCTCGGTTGATCTCAGCTAACAGTGGAAATAGTTCTTGATCCCAAGCTGCGCGCTCGAATTGACCGGTCACAAATGGCGCGTGATGCCATTGCTGATTACCGCATAATGAACATCGACTTCTACCCCCGGGAGTCACATCTGGTCACATTCCGCGATCCGTGGAGCTTCCCTGTCCTGTTCCACCCGGGCTGCAACCATTTAATTCGTCGCCACCTTCAAGATCTCGCCCAGAAGGTATATAAAAACGTCCGCTAATTTCGAGGTATCCAACTGTCTAGCTAAACTTTTACGCCAGGTCGTCTCTCTCTGTGCCTCCCTGGGCGAATACCCGGTTATCCGCTATTACCGACCCCGATCCCCCACTCACGAGGCTGGTGTCTTATGTTCCCACTTGGCGCGCTTTATCCAAGAGGAACTAGATCAATTTGCTCAGTTCCAGCGTGACTTCCCTCCCCCATCAAACCGTCCACGAGGAGTTTTGTTTATTGTCGACCGCTCAATGGATGTCTACGCTCCTCTTCTCCACGAATTCACATACCAAGCAATGGTGCATGACCTTCTGCCGATCAAAGATGGCGACAAGGTCACTTACAAGACATTGCTCAACGAGGGTAAAGACAACGAAGAGGAAAAGGAGATGGAGCTTGGGGAGCATGATAAAGTTTGGGTGGAGTACCGACACATGCACATGAAAGACGTGCTCCAGAAGCTCGGCGAGGATTTTGCTAAATTCAGAGCAGCCAACCCACAGTTCGCCGAGGAGTAGGGGCTCCCTGTTCCCACTTTTCCCTCTTTGTGCCAGGCTAACGAGTATCTACAGCAACGACAAACAAAACGTCAACACTATCAAAGACATGTTGGCTGGACTGACAGAGTTCACGGAAGGAAAAGATGCCTACACTCTGCATTTGAATATGGCAGGGGAATGCATGAAGTACTTTGGAGCCCGAAAGCTTATTGAGGTCAGCTCCATGGAGCAATCCTTTGCCACGGGTCTCGACGAAAATTACAAGAAAGCTAAAAACTTGGCGGCACAACTTGTACAGCTGCTCGATGACGATGCAGTAATTACACCGGATCGACTCCGACTGCTCCTACTGTACATCATCTATCGAGGCGGTCTGCTTGGTGGCGACATTCGGAAGCTCATGGCACACGCACAACTTCCCGGCCAAGACGGAAACGTTATTTCCAATCTTGAACTCCTTGGAGTTCGTGTGGAGAAGCCTCTCAAGGATGAAAAGCCACCAGTGCAACCGCTGTTCCAGCGGCGAACCCCTGTACCGGAATCGGAAGAGTTGAGCTTGACACGGTACGAGCTTGGGGTCAAACAAATGCTAGAGGAGCAAATTCGTGGCACATTGGACTCGACATTATTCCCCTACACCAGGCCTCACACTGACACCGATGGTGGAATGGCCGCACAGGAGATGCTCTCTCAGCAAGCCTCCCTGCGCAGTGCGAAGCCTACATGGGCACGCACCCGATCCGTCGACCAACCTCGCCAGCGTATGATTGTCTTCATGGCCGGCGGTGCGACTTATGGCGAATCGCGTAGCTGCTATGAAATCTCGCAGACCTACGGCCGTGATGTATTCCTGGCCACCACTCATATGCTGACACCAGGGCTCTTCATGCGCCAGGTCGGCGATCTGGGCATGGACAAGCGCCGCCTCGATATTCCTGCCGAGCGGCCTAAGCCCACGGCCCCTGCTCATCTCTTTGAGCGAGAGGCGCCCCCGGCACCCACACCTCCGCCGCAGAAAAAGGCCATCCCGACGTCGCATCTGAATCCACCCGCGCCCCCCGAGGCACTCATGTCCAACATGTCTCTGGGGTCGAACGGGACAGCCGGGGCTCCTCCGCCCGGTGGAAAGCTCCATAAGAAGGACAAGGAGAAGAAGGATAAGAAGGATGATAAGGAGAAGAAGAAGTACCGCTTCTTCAAGTGATTCATCTCATCTCCTATCCGTATATTTCCCTTGTCATTTTTGTCGCTCTCCGTGCTGTGCGCGGGTACATTCAGCGCTGTTTTGATACCATCTTTTCTTTGTCTTGGGTTTGGAGGCGCTTGAGCTTGCGCCTTGGGATAACATAGGGACCTTGCAACGTGTTGTGAAAATGGAAGGGGAGGATAGGGTCGGAGGATGATGGGGTGAGGAATTGCGAATTGCAATACTCAATAGCGCAGAACATATAAAATCAAATCATCATCAAGTTTCCTGAACTTGTTACTGGTATTGGGGAAAGAATCCGCGCATATAATCTGAGGATATTGACTGATTATGGATACTTAGGTTGCAACAGCAACCACTAGAGCGAACCTTCCAGTAGGTAACTACCTATTGTTCAAGGAATTGCGAACCGGACAGAATACAAGTTGAATACTAGTATCGACTGATACCTACTAGGTAGCAAACCTAGTGCAGTATTAAACCCTTTCAATAACTCCTTGATCTTCCGCACTCTGTAGTCAAAATAAGGTTTCTAAGGTTGAGGGTCCTGGTGATGCAATTCCTTCCTCCTTCCTCCTTCCTCCTTCCTCCTTCCTCCTTCCTCCTTCCTCCTTGAAGGATGCTATCAATTGGGTTTGGATATCTATTGAGTCTTTGGGTTCCAAAGGGTGGAAAACGCGAGGAAACTGGAACGTTTCTGTTTGTGGAAGGGTCTTCGGATGCATCGTGGAAGGTAATGGATGGATCTCGGTTTGGATGGAGAGTCGATGTGCGGAGAGTTCGAGCTTTATATATGAGACGGAGGGTACCATTAGACTGTCAGATGGAGCTTATTTTATCTCTCCAGTAATTTTCATGAGCAAAATGTTTAATAATAGACAGCTTTCTCTGTCAGAGGTGGACAAGACGTATCCTACTGTGGCTCCAAAAAGAAACGTGCTTTCATGAACTTGGGACCAGATTGCGCCGTGTCAGCTTATCCACTGCTATACATCAGATGTTTCCGGTCTCCTTTGGGCGGTTTACAAGCGTTGATGAATAGAGCAAAGAATATTCGAGAGCCAAAGCGATAAAGCCACCGCGCTTCCTTCGAGCCCGGAAATACGTCTTTGTATAAATATGTCTCATATTGTCAAGAGCATTACTATATTGACTTTTCTCGAACGACATATTCTTTATTTTGGCTCTACATATTCTCATGAATGTCCTTTGTTCCCAGTCTCTACCTAGTATAAATACTAGTAGACCAATCTGTCATTTATGGTTGTCCAATTACGTCTCACCAACCACTGGCATCCTCCGGTATCCCTTGTGAATCTAATATTAATAGATACATAGTATACGGCATACTAAATTTCCTCCGATCCCAAATCTGGAGTTTTATCCTACTGCTATAAGGTAAACTTGAGGCTGTCTCCATCGAAATTCTTATCCACTCGACCCCATATAGAAGTTTTCATGGCTGATAGCAGGCTTGAATCAAAAGATGAAAACCGCAAAAGACTTTGAGGAATCGCCCGAAAATTCTCAATATATTGGAGACCTCGAAGAGCTTGCGAAGCGCTACGTAACCCAGATCGAATCTCTGGAAAATCAAGTGTCCGTGTCCGCGCTCCAAAGATGTTCCCGGGCCGCGGGCCGTTGGCCGCTGGCCGTTTGGCCGCTGACAAGCTCCGCCCGAAAACAAGCAGCCAAACTTGAACTGGAACTCTTGAATATCGGCCATCTCTGTGTATGATGTGACAGGGTCTGGGGATATTCTGCGACAATGAATGCGATAGATATTGCGACATCGCCGAATCAGAGATTGCGCGGATATACCTGCATAATGCAATGGACCCAATGGGAGACAACCAGTGTCACTCTACGGGGTATGGTGGAGAGTACTCCTCCTCGTCATCATGAAACTACGAGTACTCAGTAAATAGACCAGAATCTAGAATTCTTGTCCTCCACAAATACGGAGTAGACAGCTAACTTGAAAAACGACCTAGAATGTGCCAACGGCCATATCCTCTGGCCAGCTACTCCACCGCATTGGCCAGGCCTAGGCAACGTAAGAGACGAAAGTTTGTAGTGGGCCCTGACCCCCTTTTGTTATTTTTTTCTCCGTCGCGCGGGAGTTATCTGGGCTAGTGAAGACAAGCCTTTAGGAGGAGTGGACAGTGAAGATAGAAGTCTGTGGCCGTACTCGTACAACAGGATGGAGTAAATGTACATGTTAGGCGCGCCATTGAGTGAAACCAGCGTAGCACTGGCAGCGAACAATGGCAAGTTCAAGTTTCCTCGGTAATAAGTAATACGGGGAGTACACAAAGTGTACCGCCTCCGCCTGCGCCTGCGAGGATGCAACGCTACCTTGGAACGGTCGGCCGGGGCTTCCTCGGTGATTCGCTGACAGGCGTGGCGAGTGAACACAGCCGACATCATGAGTATTGAAATAGTAGTAGATATGTACTCTTTCAAAGTATGGTATACTAAGGTACTCGTATATCGAATGTAGATGATGGCCACTGGCATTATTGTGAGAATACTGTACTGAGAGACGGTGTGGACCAGATTCAGGGGATTCAGGGCTCCGATTACGTCGTTGCAGAATCTGCAAAGCGGAAGAGCCCCGATTTCCCCTTTCCGCATTGGTGCAATCCCATTGTTTGGTTATTTCCCAATTTTATATCGCCGCAAGGGAGATGCCCGCATCCAGGGATACGCAGATGCAAGCGGTTCCCCAGACAAAAAATTACCTAGGTAGTGTAGCAGAGTTGGGTGCATTCAGTGCCAGTGCAAGCTAATGCTCCCGAGTAGCGCTAAAAGAGTCTAACGCATGCATCTATTAATACGACTAGGAATGCGGATACCATCGATACCATACACAACGATCGTAATCGGCCAGTCAAGACTCCACTCCATTCGACTCTCCCCCCAAAGCAGGTTCCGGTTCCCACTTCTTCCCACACACTCAACCACCTTCGCCCATGGCTCCCGACTAGATTCGGTGCTGTTTCTTGTCTTGTCTTGTCTTGGGTTTCTCTTCTCTCTTCACTTCACTTCTCGTTTCTTTTCTTCTTTCAACTTACCCCGGTGTGTGGATGCTCGTGATAATCTCCCCCTGAGGCGACCACCACGACGTTCGTATCACCCTCCTTAAAACACGTCCAACTCGAATCCCCGTCACTCGTTCTTCGGCTCTTCGACTCTTCGATTCAATCTTAATACTTCTCCCCCTCCAACTTCGCCAATCCGAAGCGTGTGTGCATCCCGAGACCTCCAGCGTCCCGGGCCCGACTTTTTCGCCCCGTCTGACTAGGTGAACCTGTAGAGGATTCCCTCCTCACAACCCTGTCGGCTACCTGGACCTGTCCTTGTCGTGATTCCCTGTGTCTCTCGCCAAAATGTCGTCCAACGTGAAGCGAGCCAGCAGTGCCCCGACGGCCACCAACGCCGACACTGCCAGTGCGTCCGACACCCCGGTCGCCTCTGAATCCGCATCGGTCACTGCTACTGATCCCACGACCACCTCTTCCAAGGAACCGACTACCACTTCCTCCAGCGAATCATCGACCACGAGTTCCACGTCTAAGTCGACCACCACTTCGTCCTCGAAGGCCGACCCGACCACAACAACGACCTCATCGACATCCTCGGAATCTTCCTCGACGCCACCTCCCACTACAACTTCCGAACCGACCTCAACAACAACCTCCCATCACACTACCGCCACCCCTACTGTTGTCACGACCACCTCTAGCAGCAGCAACGGCGAGTCAACCGTGGTTGTGATCACCCAAACTCAAACCGACTCTGCAACATCGACCGGCACTTCAGCCAGCGCGACCAGCACCGGCACCGACTCACCCTCTTTGTCCGGCACCAGCGCTGCCTCTGGATCAGGCGGTCTCTCCGACAGCGGTAAGATTGCTGTGGCCGTTGTCGTCCCGGTTGTCTCCGTCGCCTTAATTATCCTCGCCGCAATCTTCTTCTGGCGCAAGCGCAAGGCCAACAAGGCCGCCGAGGAGGAGCGCCGCAAGGAAGTCGAAGAGTATGGATTCAACCCGAACAACGACCCAACCCTCCCCGGCATGATGGCTGCGGGTGGCAGCGTTGCTCCCAAGGACGACAACTCTTCTGGATATCGCGGCTGGGGCACCACCTCCGCCGGCCGCAAGGCTTCGACCAATCTCTCCAGCGGCATGGGCGGCCTGGCCATGTCCGAAGGCAGCGGTGCCGGTGGAGGCTACCACCACAACGCGACCCCCAGTGAAGGCACCGTGCAGTACTCTGACGGTCGTCCCGACTCCGGCGAAGTGGAACCCATCGGTGTACTAGGCGCGGCTCCCGTTGCTGCTAACAACCGCAACGGCGATATCCACCGCGGCCCATCGAATGCCTCTTCCGCCTACTCTGCTGCTAACCGCTCCGAGGCCTCGGAGGAGAGCCACATGTCTGCCGCACACCCATCGGGAGGATACTACAACGAGAACCCGTACTACGGTGAAATGACCGGCCACGGTGCCTACGGCATCGACGACTACCAGCCTGTCATTCGGGATGTGCAAGCGCGCCGGAACACGCGCATCGAGAACCCTGGCGTGTACCCGCGGCAGGGTAATGCGGGCATTGCGCAGAACTTCTAAGACAAAAAGGAAAGCTTCTGTGCAGCGCACAACCTCTCTTCCTTCCTCTCTGCTTTGCCCAGCCTTCTGTACCGCATTTTCTGTTGCATCTTATTACAGCCACACCATTTCAACGACATGATTGCGCGACAAAAGTTCGGCTTCCCCACAAACCAAACACATTCCGTTCTCGCATACAATGGCAAATACATACGCACACACACTCTCTTTCCTAGGTTCGATCCGACTTCCATCTTTCCATCTTTTCTTTTTTAAAACCCACCGCCGATTCCACTCCTTAGCGGGGCCGCCTCTTGTGACTTTTGGCCCAGTCCCTCCGTGTCTTTATCTTCGATATCGATTTTTGTCTTGATTCCCGGCGTGATGGAGATTCGCTTCGCCATGTGTTTATTCGATACTGTACTTCTTTCGACCTGTCTGATCTCCTTTACATTTACTCTACCTTTTTCTTTTTCGTTGTCTTTTTTACTCTCCCCACATCGTCTTGGTCTTGTGTCATCACCTCTTTTTTCATTTCTCTCTATCTTTTTCGCGTGGTTCATCCATGCGAATTAGACATTCCTCTCTACGTAATCGGTTCTGTCGGATTTGATTCCTCCATCTCCGTTGCCATTTTCTCTTTTGATATATCCCACGCACATTTCACAATTCTATGTTTGTTCAAGTCAAATCAAGTTAAGGTCTTTGTTTTTTTCATCCTTTTTTTTTCATTCTGAACGTGCTCCGTTCTGCTCTGCTTTACTCTGTTCTGTTCCGGCTTGGTTTGACTTGTTTCTCGTTTGGGCCTGACTGTACAGTTCGCCGAATTTTGTCGGATTCGGTTTTGTCCATTGGGCTGGGCTTTTTGTTTTATAGTGTTGGTCTTAAATTGACTTCACGATGTTAAAGATCTTGGCTGTAAATGGTAAATGTGGCGTAGACTTTGGCCTCTCGTAGGGTACTAATAGATACTGCTCTAGTAGTATGATGCGATACCATGTATACCTTGTATAACAACATTGTCCTCTTATAACCTGAACTCATTGAGAATATCAATATAGGTTGTTCTCTACATATCTCGAGTAATTTCAGCACAACCTGATGATACCCAAGTAGAAGAGAAGGAGGTTCTCATATTATACCTTGGAACGCTTAGACAATAATAGCAACTCGGTATGAAGGAGGCTGCCATTCAGACTCACATAGGGCTGATCCGCGGCAATCAAACAGCCAATAGTCAGCCCCTCAACCCAAGGCCTTGGCCCTTTATTAGCCACAGCTCCTTCATACAGAGCTTAACCAGCCCAGTCAGTACTCGTACTACTAGTATGATGGATAACATAATAATTTATCCGCCACAGGGGCTGTAGAGATACTAGTAGCACTTCATGAATACTTTTTTAATACTATGGTTCTTGTCTTTGCCCTATCACTACATCACTGCAGATCATATTCAGAAATGGATAACTAGCGCCAGTTAATAGGATTAAGCGGAAGCCCAAGCCCGCACAAAGTAGAGGCGCCGGCTGGGCGCTCAGGCCTGTGTATGTACTCCACGAGATCTCCTTGACGCGCGCTAGTGGCTTGGTAGGGCAGGGTAGGGTAGGGTAGGTGTGATGGTGATGTCCCATGGTGATAGAGGATAGGTGGTGCTTGTTCTATAGGAGATAATGGTAGGATGAGGGGTCCTAGGTAGATGGAAAAAAGAGAGTGTGTGCCAAATACCCAATAAAGTACTAAATACTAAATACGAATAAATTAATAGAAATTCTAATGCTAAATTCTAAATTGGACAGTGCATACAGTAGGGACCAACTTGAGTATAGATCCAGGAACACCACACTGCGATGCTACCACACTGATTCACTAGAGGCTGGGTACCTCCTCAACCAACTCTCAACTCAACTCGCCTATTCTCCTCCATCGGCATTGTTAGTGTTAACTTTTAAGACTAAGACTAATATTAATATTAATATTAATAAAAGGGACCAACCTAACCACGAAGCCTAAAGCCCCACTGCTCAGTCAGCAAGCAACGTGCTCCGGCTGGATGCGGTGATTGGCACCCGCCGAAGCTCCCCACTGAACGACTTTAGTTCCTCCGCGATTCCTCCAGTCTACTTTGATAGGGTACCCTCGGCTGCCCCCAGGAACATCTGGTCGTCCTGTCGTCCTATACCAACTGTTCACTGTCTTATCTTATTCAACTCAATACAGCTCTTCGCCCTGTTCTGCCGTCTGTTCGTCCCCGACTACCCGAGCGGTGTCCGCCAGAGCAACCTCCAATCCCCCGCGTTCATGGACTGCCAACGGGCTTCATCTATCAACCTCCTTGTCATACTGTGACACTGCGCATCTGTCCCACTCCTACCACTGCCGTCTCCACCCTCATTGCGCCGGCCCCTCCCTCTCGACTCGAGGTTGCCCTGGACCTTGTCTGGCCACGCCACGTCCTGCCCGGAACCCTTCTCTTCTCTTCTCATCTTTCCTCTTCTCCCTCCCTCTCTCCTCCCTTTCCCTCTCCAATCCTCGCGCTTTTCAAACAATTGATCCCTCGAGGCGGGATCTCCTACATTACCCCTCACGTCTGCCTCCAAGACATCGCTGGCGCTCTCACCCTAAGAGCTTGCTAAGATGTGAGTACCCCTCCAGCGCAATCGCCGCACAACGAAACAAGAAAAAAAAAAAACTAATCACTCATGTAGGAAATTCGGAAAGCAGATTCAGCGCCGGCAGCTTGATCTCCCCGAATATGCGGCCAGCTTCGTGAATTACAAGGCTCTAAAAAAGGTGGGTGCACATTGCTGACATCATATCGATGACAACAATACAACTACACTTCATTGGAGGCACCGCTGACCCTTTTGCAGCTGATCAAGCAACTCAGTGCCACACCAACCATCCCTGCGCAAAGAACTGCCGAGGAAATTGCCCAGGATGGCAATTTGGACCCCCAGGCTGCCCTCCGCGCCAATAAGGAAGTCTTCTTCTTTCGCTTGGTAAGATTCCGGACGGATTCAACTAGCCAGCCAGCAAATGTATGCTAACAAGCACGCTACAGGAACGCGAAATCGAGAAGGTTAATATCTTTTACCTCCAAAAAGAATCAGAGGTAGGCTGGTCCTGACTTGCCCGCTGAAGGAAGGATGCATCAAACTGACATATATTCATCTAGTTCTCGCTACGACTCAAAACACTAGTCGACAAGAAGCGCGTGGTCCAAACACGGACCGTCTCCAACTCCAAAGCCCCCTCGAACTTTGTGGCTCTTTTTGAAGGCCTCCAGCAGTTCGATGGCGACTTGAACAAACTACAGCAATTTGTGGAGATCAACGAAACCGGCGTATCCAAGATTTTGAAGAAATGGGATAAAACCTCCAAGTCCCGCATGAAGGAGCTCTACCTACACCGCGCAGTCGAAGTGCAACCGTGTTTCAACAGAGAAGTCCTTCGTGATCTCGCAGACCGAGCCACGACGGCTAGGTTGGAGCTGGAGGCCTGGGCGGAGGGAGAGAACTTACAGTTTGACTCGTCTCGACCTTCAGATCGCCCGGCGCTTACATTTGGATCGGAGGAAGAGGAGCTGGACCAGCAAATCCTGCAGTCCGCCTCCACTGGCAATCTTCAAAACTTGCGCGAGTGGCTGGTGAGGCTGTCTTCTGCTGCGGATGCTCGTGATCGGGCGACCCGGACTTTCCTGACCGCGATTAATGGTTTCTCAGACGATGTCCTTGCTCTGCTTCTGGAGAGTGGACTGGTTGATATCCACGCAGAAGATGATATCAACGAACGAAATTGTCTGCATGAGGCGACCATCTCCGGCCGAGACTTTGTTTTCAAGGCTGGACTGGCAGCCGAGGTCGACATCTCTCGCTCAGATGTATATGGGCGGATCCCTCTGCACTATGCCTGTAGGAATGGCAGGGCAGAGATGGTGCGGGAGCTGCTGGCAGTTGGTCCGCATACGGTCGATCTTATGGACCACGATAACTTCACTCCTTTGATCCACAGTATTGTCAAGGGCCAGCTAGCGTGTGCTGAGCAGGTGCTGAAAAGCAACGCTCGTATTGATCCGACCTCCGAGTCAGATCATATTCCCCTCAATCTTGCCTGCCAGCACGGCTCTCTCCCGATCGTGAAGATGCTCCTTGAGCGCAAGGCGCAGGTTTTGCCCGATGCAGAGGGCCTCTATCCCCAACATATGGTTGCGCGCGCCTCGCAATCACCAGAGCTCCTTTTACTTCTGAAACAACATGGAGCCGACCTTGATCAACGAGACAAGCTGTACCAGTGGACGCCGCTTTTTCACGCGGCCAGCGAAGGCTGTGTGCCATGCCTGCGCACATTGTTGGAACTTGGAGTGGATGCAAAGGTTGCGGACGAGAAGGGCCTCTCATCTATGTACTACGCAGCTTGGGAAGGGCATCTCGAGTGCATGCTACTGCTCTGGGCCCAGCCTTCCCAAAAACCCAGGTCACGGGGTCCTCTCGATATTTTGAATGGTATACAGTTCCAGGACCCCATGGTAGAGGACACCAGTGCCTCTAGGCGTGCCAGTGAGGCCGAGATGTATATGGCCGATGGTATTCCCGACCTCGAACTGCCCCCTCCTATTATACCCCTCCGACGGTACGGCCACAACTTCCTCGACAAGAAGGTGTTTGTGCAGCTTCTTTTCGACCAAGGGACGCCTGGATCGATCACCTTTGACCAGTCCGGCCGTCATCCTGCTGCTCGCTTGACAATTTCCTCCAAACTCTCCGACCTTATTCCTCGCACAATTGTACTACCCATTCAAGAAGACTCTCGATCAGTATCCTTCCACGTTGACAAATTGGACACCTTCACTGTGGACTTTGAGATTTTCCCTACTTTTGGTTCCAAAGTTATCGCCAAGAGTGTGGCTCTACCGATTAACTTCCGCGCGGAGCAGTCTAGTACTGGATCTTGCTGCTTACCACTGTTCGACCCTCGCCTCCGGGGCATCGGTCAACTGCGGTTCAACTTCCAGGTCATTAAACCATACCATGGCGATCCCCTGGAAATTACGCACTTCGCGACATACTGGAAGGCCACGAGCGCACTGGACTCTGAGCACAATGGCCTTGTCACTGGCTCTAGTTTGTCAGGTGATTATGTGCAGCTTTTTATCCAATTGACCCGCGATCGTGTACCGGTACTATACCCCCAGTTCACCATCGACCACCACGCAATCGACATCCCAGTTTCGCAATTATCGTACGCTCAGTTCCAGAGGATTGGTATCGAACGAGGTGTCAATCCTAGTGAAGTTACCGAGTACCTGCAGACCAAGGCAGCTAGCAATATGCCACAAGCCCACCGCATCTTGGCGGCATCCTTCATGTCCCTCCGTGAGGTCCTGCGTGACTTGCCCATCGACCTCAATGTCAACCTATCTATCCTCTACCCGTCCGCCGCCGAGGAGAAGACGTTGGAAATGAACTCTTTGGTCGATGTCAACAGCTTTGCTGACAGAATTTTGACGGATGTCTTCGACCACGCTCGCGTAGCCCGCGAGACGAACCCCGACTTTATGCGCTCTGTTGTGTTCACCTCCTATAATGCGAACATCTGTACAGCGCTGAACTGGAAGCAACCGAACTGTAAGTTCTACCACACGATCATCATGGTCGCCCCGCGTGACATTCATTCACCAACTAACAACTCCTCCAGACCCGGTTCTCCTGTGCAACGACCTCGGACAGATCCGCGACCTGGCTCGCAACGTAGACTCCATGCCTCACGTGGACAGCAGCGGACGGGACTCAATGTCAATCAAGGAATCTGCCCGGATAGCCCAGAGCAATAACTTTATGGGTATAATCTGCCGGTCCAGCCTCTTGGTACGTTTGCCCCTACTCGTTAGCCCCTCACACAGTCCTCACCACTCACACCACCTCTATAGAACGTTGTCCCCGCCCTCGTGGAAACAATCAAAGAACTCGGCCTCGTCTTGGTCGCCGATACCTCGGACGAAACGGGGCATCCGGACGGCGAGGCTCTCCCCACCACCGGCGCATTGGGCGTGGCGGACTGGGCATACCGGATGCCAGACGGTGTAAACGGCGCGATGAAAGCAAACGGCATCTTGAGATTCAACGATACGATCGACATGTAACCCCCCAAACACAACCACAAACACAACCACAGCAAACACCCTTAACCTACTTACTCTACCTTATCTTACCCTTTGTTCACACACAACACAACACTTGCTTGCCCTGCTTGTCTCTCCCATCTAGCATCTGCCAATCTTGCATCCCATCTATGCCCCATTTCCTTTCCCTTCCCATCCCTTTTCTTTATTTACGAGACGAAGACCATGAGAATCAAGTAGCTATGCTATGTCTGTTTGCGATTGTTCATTCCTGGTCTAGCTTTGCTAGCGTGGCATTGATTGATATCTTACATAGAATGGGAATGTGATGGCAATTCCTATGGGCATGGCCATGGCCATGCCCATGTGGCTCTCTACTTTCTACGGAGTTAGGCACTCTATCAGATATCGTCATTTACCACATTTACGAATGGCGTGTATGATATCCCCTCCCCTTCCCTCTCTCCCGAGGTCCTTTCCATTCCCCTTTCTGGTAGATCGCGATTCAGATTGAGCGGGGAAGGTCCACAGACCGGATTGAATTAGATGAGATCCCCTATCTATCTATCTATCTATGTAATGTACAGTTCCAACTTCGCTATGCTCTCTAAACTCCCAAAATCAGCACCAAAGAAACAGAATAAAAAATGAAAAATGAAAACCATCCAGACAAATTCTTCCTCCCCAGCTCTCCAAATATTACACAAAGATGGGTTCAACCAGGCAAAGCAAGGCAGCAAGTAAGTAAGCAGAGTAGAGTAAAGTAGAGTAGAGAAATCACGGCTCCCTGGGATAGTTTCCCCTAGGTGCTCTTCGGCGCCCGCTTCCCAATGTCCCAACCCCATCGACGCAAAACCTTAACAACCTTCGGCGTCACAGCCGCCGTCAACGGAACACGCACGAAGATGAGAAGACTCTTGTGAATGGCGTAGGCGAAGACAAGTTGGGTCCAGATACCTGAATTTGAGTTAGCTAGGTAGGCTCCTTGCTTCCTTGCTTGCTTGCTAGGCAGTGCATAGCATAGCATAGGGTATGGTGTGGTATGGTATACGTACTCGCTTCCTCAGCCTTGCTAACAATAGCAGTCCCATCCGCACCGAGAGTGGCATCTCCCTCGACTTCTTTCTCCCCCTTCTCCTTCTCCTCACTGCCTTCCTCGGCTGGGGATGAAGAAGAACCAGGCCAAATCGGACCGAAAACCCCCTTCAAATAGCCCAAAATAACGTGCTCGAAATGTCCAATCCGCTCAACGCCCAGCAACCGCACGGCCGCAAAACAAAATGGGAAATCTAGCGCGCTGAGTGTAAGATACACGCCCAGCGCGGCCCAGCCGTATTCGCGGGTGAGCTTTCTCAGGCGTGCGGATAGACCGCTTGGTTCTTTGCTGCCCTGTTGTTGCTGGTGGCCTTGACCTTGGCCTTGGCCTGGTCTTTGCGCATTGGGGTTGCTGTTGTTGGTTGAATTAAAGCGCTTTTGGTATTGGTGCTGGTGCTGGTTGGAGCGGGGGTTGGGTCGTTGGAATGGTTGGGTATATTTCGTTGGTAGGGTTCGTGTGTTGCTGCGCGCGCTGGTTAGGGAGAATGGGCGGAGGGCGGGCCTTTGTATTTGCGTTGCGCGCAGGATGGTGGTTGCGCGTGTTGGCTGGGTGAGCCAGCGGGTGAAATTTGGCGTCGGTCGGAGGGACATGGTGTTTTTGATGGATGGGGGAGGGAACCGCTAGGTTGAGTGTTAGGCCTAGGGTGGGTTGTGTGTAGGTAGAAGATGTGGTGAGAGGAAGAGTGAGAAGTGGGTGAGAAGTGAGAAATGAGTTGTTTGTGAGCCTGCGGGTTGTTGGCTTTTTTTGGGGCGATCCTTTCCGGCGTCGGCGGGTTCGGTCCGTTCGGAGTTAGTCTCGGCCTGTGGGCTTGTGAGTTATACTTTGCATCGCCATCCCGGTTTTTATTCTTATTTTTATTCTCGGCGCTTGAGTCATGACTTGGTAACTGGATGAGCTTGGTGCTTCTCTTGGGTTCTTTTTTGCTCGATGGGTTGGTTCAAGTTCCTATGTAATAGAGTGCCTATGTTGATGCTGTGTATAGATCTGCCAAGCTGGGTGGGATTCAAGATGCTGGAGGCGTTCGAGGTATTCAAATTGGTAAAGAAACTAATATCCAGTATCGCCAAATCCAATCCCAGCCCTTCTGTAAAAAGAAAAGATCGTTTAATGGGGATACAAAGATATTTGGGTGAACTATACTGAGCCTGCAGTAGTTTAAGTTATGCTGTATGGATGCTTACTCATCCGACCAAAAACTTTCCCACGCCAACCCCATTAGAACATTCAAGTCCGATACGATCAACTTCACCACCCACAACCATGTCGCCACGTCTAGCAGGGAAGCTCCTGCAGCTTTCCTCCTCCGTGAGGGCACGGGAGCAATCACTGCTCCCCCTCATCCCCATCCGAGAATTCGGCATCCGCTCCCTCAACGAGCCCAAACCAAACCGCTTCAACGTCGGCGCCAACCTGCCCGTCCTCGAATCGAGCACGACCGCCGCCCTCCTCCGCAAAGCAAACTCCCTGCCCCTGCGAACCGGTGCAATCGCCACAAAGAAGGGCATGACCGCGATCTTCGACCCGGAGTCCGGAAAGCGCACCGCCTGCACAGTCCTCCAGCTCGACCGGGTCGAGGTCGTCTCGCACAAGACTCGCCAGAAGCATGGATACTTCGCCGTCCAGGTTGGCGCGGGCTGGAAACACCCATCCAACATGACCAAATCGCTGCTCGGACACTTTGCCGCCAATGGCCTCTCGCCCAAGCGTCATGTCCATGAGTTTCGCGTCAAGAGTGAGGAGGGTCTTTTGCCGGTTGGAGAGAGCATCTACGCCAATTGGTTCCAGGAGGGCCAGTTCATTGACACCAAGTCCAATACGAAGGGTAAGGGCTTTGCTGGTGTTATGAAGAGACACGGCTTTCATGGTCAGGATCGTTCTCACGGTGTGAGTTTGAAGCATCGTTCCATGGGTTCGTCGGGTCCTGGTCAAGGTGGTGGTTCTCGTGTCTACCCCGGCAAGAAGATGGCCGGAAATATGGGAAATACCCAGAATACCGTGCAGAACTTGAGGATCCTCAAGGTGGATCGTGATACTGGCGTTGTTGTCGTGAGCGGTAGGTTCCCCTTTGCCTCTCCTTCGCTGGATCTTTTCAATTTTCGCGTTTTACTAACTCTCTCGTCCTCTCAGGTCACGTTAGCGGTCCCAAGGGCTGCGTTGTCCGCATCCAGGATGCGGTTAAGAAGCCCTGGCCCGAGGTTGCCCCTGCTGCTGAGGCCGAAGCTGTGACGGTCTAGGTTTAATGGACGACACGGGCAGCTATGTACTACTACAACACTACACCATTCGCGCAATATTGTTCTCTTGAGCGGCGTTTGTATATGATACATTCAAATGATATCCTTTTCTTCTTCAAAGCTCCCCCGTCAGGCCACACATGTAGCGTAGACAAGACTGCAAATAAAACTTTCCGCAATGATCCCAAAACGCCAATCCTATGCACAAGCAGTCAAATATTTGTACAAAATTCTGCGCAACAGCTCCTGTTGTTCTTCGTCTTCTCCCTTAATCTAATCCTGTCGGAAAGGATCGGTGCCATCTAGCAGCTGCACAACCGTTCCATCCTCGGTCTCCAAGCTCCAAACCTCTGTCCGGAACTATAATGGGAATAAAAGTCAGCCAATGATCCAACATAGATCTCACTAAGAGCAAATTCCAGGGAGAAAAAAAGGGAGGGGGGGGAAGGGCTCAAAACTAACAAAACTCATCCGATCAGGCCTAATACTCCGAAACCTCATCTTCCCCTGCGTCTTGGTCCCCTTAACCCAAAAAGAAATATCAATTCGCCCATGCAACTGATTCATCTCTCCCGAAATCCAAGGAATCTGCTGCGCAAAATAGATCTCATCACCCAGGATGTCGCGCGCCTGCGTCGACGTCCGCAGCGCATACAGCGTACTGTTCACGATACTGCTCGAGCTCTTCTGGTAATTGAATATACCCAGAATACCCGCGCCGGTAGCGACGATGAAAATCGGTAGAGAGTACAGCCAGCCGCGGCTTTTGTTTAGGGAGGGCAGTTCGCGGTCTGCGCGACGTTCCATGATGGGTCCTGTGTTGGGCCCTGGGGCTGGCATGAGGGTGCGTCGGGGGGATGGGCGGGGTCCGGATGCGCTGCGGGATTGTTGGATAGTGCGTGTTCCGGCGCGCCGGAGGGCTCGTGGGAAGAGCATTTTGGCCGGGGGGTTGTGGGTGGATTGGGTGGGAGGAATTGGTTGTAGTTGTACTTTGGAATCGTGTAGATCTCGGAGCGTGAAGATGAAGTTGCGGGTGGTGTGAGAAATTCCGGACAAACAGGACAAACACACAGCCGCCGCGCTGTTGTTCACATGAGATATCCTCCCGACGTCACGGACTCTTAGGCTGCTTCTTTTGCTTTTGCTTTATCTACGGATATTCCTGCTCAACATGGCGGCTGTGAGGCTACGTAAAGCATTTCGGTATCCTGAGGAATCGGACGATGATCGCCAGGAGCTTGATGAGGAGGAACAAGATCGGGTGATTCAACAGTTGCAGCAGCAGAATGAGGCGCGGAATGCGCAGTACAGTGTATGTGATGTTATATCCACCTCTCACCCCCCACCTCTCTTTTGCATTCCCTCTCTAGATAAATGAAAGAAGAGGAATACCTGCTGACAGCTTTACAGCTCGTGTTTACTGCGATTCCACTGGTTTCCACTCTGACTTTCCTGCCATCTCTATTTACCGCGCTGAGCTTCGGCGAAAGGCTGCTTTCGCTGCTGGGAATACTCTCGTTGCTGGCTACGGCTTACATGATGAGATTAGCTCCTCTGCAACCAGATCGAAAGGGCAAGAAACCCCTCTCATCGGAAAGTGAGCGGTTGGAAATGATCCGTTCCGCTCTGTTGCCTGTCAACGGTGCAGTCGGCGTTCTGCTCACTCTAATCTACCTCCTGTTCTTGCGTGGAGGTTCCTCATTCATTATCAGTCCGGTCTTATATTTGATTCCTGGAGGTAAGTCTTCCGAATTCATGTTTTGAACTTCGCTTGGTCGTGCAGAAAGAAACTCATCCTTTCATCCCCTCGCCCTCTAGTCATGCTCGCGGTTATCGTACTTGCGAAGGACACTATGCTTTCGGTAGACCTTGCAACTCTCAAGGATCTTCAATACGAGTACAAAGGTGCTTAGAGTGCTCATCTTTGCTAAGCGGAATCCATTTGAAATTCGTCATATCGTCGTAATACTATTAAAGGTACAGCAAGGTAGATGTAACTATGCTGGCACAGGGTATGTGGTAAATGCAGTAAAGTCGCTGAAATAATCCATAGGCGGAACTTGTTGGGCCCGGAATAGTCGCTAGAGAAAAAGATCTGAATCGGTCATCGCACGCAGCCCAGAGCAGGGTCGAGGGTCGGCATGAAAGTGTCATCGAGGCGCAGTGAGGGGTCCACGAGCAGATCGTTGGACTTGTAGACCTCCCGGATAATGCTATCATCGCTCATCTGCGCACCGTTCATCTGCGCATCGTCGAAATGCGCTCCGTTCTGCTCAGCGATGATCTTCTTATCAACTTGGAAGATATCCCTCGTCTCGTCCAGGGCCTCGCGCGCCTCCTCGGCGTCGCGCTTGAGCTTGTCGAGGCGCTGCTGAATGAAATGAGGTTTGATCCGCTGGAACTTCTTCATCCATCCAACATTCGACTGGCGAAGATCAACCAGCGACTCGACACTTCTTTCATCGGCAACCTTGAGTGTGTCGTGCCCAAGCAATATCTTTTGGGGCATGTATGGCTCCATCATGTTCGCTTTTTTGTTGCAGCCGGCGCAGCTGCAAATCTTCTTACATTTGGGGCATTCCCAAACAGATAATTGCATGGCCTGCTCTGGTGGCAGGTCGAAGAGACGGAAAAGACAACCGTAGCAGTACTGTGAGTCGCAGGTTGAACAGTGTTTCAGCGTCCAGATAGGTCGAGATTTGCAAGTGTGGCAGCGTCCCATCTCACCGGGCTTCTTTTTGACCGTCTTGTCCTTGGTCTTGTTGTTGTTCTTGTTGTTGTTGTTGGTCTTACGACGTTTTGCGGCTCGACGCCCGTGAACCTCTTCCGACTCAGAGTCACTGGGGGTTGTTGGTTTCACTTCCTTGTTGCAGTCGACCCAGGGGCGCACACGAAGTTGCTCTTGGCAAATCTCCGCCACTGACTTTCGAGTCATCGAAGCCCGAACAGCAGAAAAGACAGGATGGTCCATCCCGTATCCCTCTTTTTCATTGCGAGCCATGACCTGGAGTCGCCACCTTTCATGGCGAGCTTCGAGGTCTTTCCAGTGAAACTGTTCAACCCACTTCAGCTTGGAAATACATTTGCAGCTTCGACCAAAAACATAGCAATCCATGCAGATATCATAAGTTTCCTCGCCATCCACACATGCCCCGCAGGTCAAAAAGCGGTTGAAGATATTACAGCGGCAATAGGAACATGTCACATCGCTAGTGAATTCCAGGTATTCTGCTTTCTTCGTTGGGAGTCCTGTGGAGAAACTTTCGGATAAGAGGATGTCAGTGAACATCTTGAACAAATATTCAAAGTCGTCCCAGAGTGCATCCACGCTGGGATGATTTTGATCCGGGTCTTGCTCGAGCAGCTTAGAATATTTTTCCAGGGTGTAGTAGATGATCGCTTTATTCTTGTATGACTCTTCCCGGCAAACCGCTCGCGCACGGGAAAGCTCCTCATCTAATGCCCACCGCAGAGTCTCGACGGTCGTTCTATTCCAAGCGACCTTCATTGTTCTAGTGCCGCGGTTCCACACCTGCTGCACAGAAAGAGGAGGGACGAGAACGAGATCCCCGGGGGTTTGCTCAACCACATATGTTGTGAATGGGGCGTTCTTCCAGGCGTCGAGCTGTGCGAAGTGATTTTCTAGGTCAAGATCGTGGCCGAGAAACGACCTCCAATACTCGGATACAAGGGGCCGTTCATGAGTCTCCGTCATTAGCCAGATCGAAGATCCTGGTCTCATCTTCTTGTTGCCCTCGGGAGTTCCATCTGACGCCTCCACCATGAGATTTTGGCTCAGAGTGCCGCACATTTCCTGGTGTGCTGCGGTATAGGTTCCCTCATGACCGATGTAGCACATGAGATTCTTTGCGCGCATCTCTTCAGGCAGGCTACTCATGAGATCTCCAGCCTTTGCAATGGGGATGTTGTCTGTTGTTCGAGGGCAGGGTGGCAGCTCGGTGTATTTGGAGCCCGGGCCAGCGTAGGGTTTTGGGGACTCGTTGGAATAGAAGAGGAAGGGAGGGATGATCGTTTCCAACGATTTGTGCCATTCCTCCGGGCAATCGATGTCCTTGAGATAGATCCTCTGAGGTTCCGATCTTCTCTCCCATCTTGAAACCACATTGCCTTCGGTGAGTGTTGACATATTATTCAGGTAATGTGCGATCGAGAACTTTGTGTTTTGATGGGTGACCAGATCTCGACATTCTTCTCCTGCGTGGAAATATGCTGGTCAGCAATCTGATTATGCGCAAGCAGAGGAAGTGAAGAACCTACTTTGTCCTCCCTTGTACTTCCGCAGCCAGTCTACCGAGAACAAGTTCTGGTTGAGACGGTCCTCGAATCCTTCAATGACCAGAGGTTTTCCAAGTCGAATGACATGAGTGTAAATCAGATTTTCAAATTCTTCCAGCGGACACTCGTCGATAGAATCGCAGGTTATTCGAGTTGCGAATACAATGTTCTCTTTTGAATTGACAAAGTCCCGGATATCGAGATTGGTTGGAAACGCCGCAAACGCCGCGCGCGCACCTGAACTCATGGCGACGGTGCCAGCGCGCGGCTGAATTTAATCAATTATGGCGATCTTGGTCGGCACTGTGGAGTCGCAGTCGTTTCATGGGGAGATTCGGGGGAGAGGTGCAGCGTGGGCGAGATGAGGCGCGTCGCGCTGGATAGAGCGGCCCCACTCGGCGAAGATCGCTGGGATACACGAGGGAAGAGATCGAATGTATTGAAGAAGGGGTAGATGAGGGTCGAGAGGAGGAAAGTAGAAGAGAAGGTAGAAGAGAAGGGAGGAAGTAGTAGAGAAAGTGAAGAGAAGGAGTGAACGTAGTAAAGGCAGTGAATGCGAAAGTGGGGAGGAGCGTACCTGGCAGCTCCGCGGCAGTCGAAGGTTTCCCTGCCATACACTTCCAGGCGGTGGGTCCTGGGTCCTTCGTCCTTTGCTCAGCGATTTTAAACTTCACCACTTTTTTACAACAGACAAGATCATGACTCGGTAGCACCACTCCAGCTCTTCTCAATTGAAGCCATTCACTTTCATTACCTCGCCTAATTACAGCTCTCCGCACCTCCGCACACCTCCGACCTTAGACCTCCCGCCACGATGCTCTCCTCCATCTCCGGCTCCCGATTCCTCCGTCGGTCCCGGGTACCTCAATGCTGGCAAGCGCAAGGATATACTGGTAGTTCTCGGCATAATGGTGCCCTGTCGACCTTCATTCGCACACAGTCATTGACTACAACCAAGCGGATCCGACCTTCTCAGCTCCAATCGCACCGCACATCCATGCAGATCATCTCAAAGCGCAACGCGCAGGTACAAACAACGGAGCCCGAGACGCAGAATGCAAATGCAAACCCAGCAACACATTATATCCCTCCGCGAACAGGACTGATTGCATCCCTGCCAAAGTCATGGATTCCCTATGCCGAACTAGTCCGCCTGGATAAGCCCACTGGTACCTACTACCTCTTCTTCCCGACCCTCTTCTCCACGCTTCTCGCCGCACCAATGGCCACCGATATAACACCGATACATGTTCTGGGAACAGTTGCGCTCTTCTTCAGTGGTGCTTTGATCATGCGTGGCGCCGGATGTGCAATCAACGACCTTTGGGACAGGAACCTGGACCCTCATGTCGAACGAACCAAATATCGCCCAATTGCGCGAGGAGCGCTTTCGCCTAAGAAAGCTGTGCTCTTTACGGGTTCGCAGTTGCTAGCTGGACTTGGGGTCTTGGTATCATTTCCTTCTCAATGTCTTTGGTATGGAATCCCTAGTATGCCTCTTGTCGTGGCATACCCATTGGCTAAGCGGGTGACCCACTACCCCCAAGCTGTCTTGGGTCTAGCCTTCTCGTGGGGGGCAATGATGGGCTTTCCAGCCCTGGGTGTGGATTTGCTTTCTAATAATGATGCATTGATGGCCGCGGGGGCCCTGTATACCAGCTGTGTTGCATGGACTGTCCTCTACGATATGATCTATGCGCACATGGACATCAAGGATGATGTGAAGGCCGGAATCAAGTCCATCGCCCTCCGCCATGACAAGGACACCAAGGCCATTCTGACTGGTCTGGCCACAGTTCAGGTCGGACTTTTGGGAGCAGCCGGTGTTGCTGCAGGATGTGGACCGGTCTTCTTCGTTGGCAGCTGCGGCAGTGCCATCCTGTCCCTTGGCCTGATGATCTGGAAAGTTCAGTTGAAGAATGTTCGAAACTGCTGGTGGTGGTTTGTGAATGGGTGTCTCCTCACGGGTGGTGGCATCTCGTTGGGTCTTCTTGGTGAGTATACCGCGCAATACCTGGGTTTGTACAATAGCGACAAAGGACTTTCCGAGTCCGAGTCAACACAGCAATAGATGTAAAATATATCACGAATCAACCACCGGGAGATCCAGGTACTCTCGGACTGTATTCACAATATCTCTCCAGTCCATCATTCCACCCGTACCCGCGTCTCCGCAGGCCAGAGACTTCTCAATGGGCGGAAGAATAGTAACCCAACCTTCAGGATTGGACTCACTCCTACCCCATTCATCCCGTAGTATCTTCAGTGATTTCTCAGTCACCGGGTGAACATACATGGCCGTGTTCATCGCGGGTGCCAGGAAGACCATTGGCTTTTTAGCCTTGAACCCCAAATCCACCAGACCGGTGGTGTCCCAAGCCCGTAGCACCGATAGTAAGAGATTATCAGCCATACCCACCGTCATCTTAGCCATTGTATTAGCGGACAAAGGCGCCACTAGTAATATATGTGCCCATTTCCGCAATTCAATGTGAAGAATTGGTGCTCCGCGAACCCAAGGCCTTGCCCATTCATCACTGTCTCTATAGATTCCATCAACTCCGGGAGTATTGCGCAAGCTATCGAGAAGCGGTTGCTCGGCGCTTTGAGCCGTCAGGAATCGCTCCGCGGAGTCGGTGACTATGATGCGAATTGAGACATTTGGGTGACGACCGAGAGCTTCTGCGATATTCGGGATTTTGATGGTGGCGACGGAGCCGGATGCTGCGAGTAGGATGTGGATTTTGTTGTCTTGGAGGTGTTCTTGGGCGAAGAATGGGGGATCTGAGTGAGGATCCATGGGGAATATATCCCTACAATGAATATCACTGTTCGAAAATACGTAGGTGAGAGAGAAGGTGAGGGAGAAAGTGAGAGGTGGTGGGTTGAAGCTTGATGTGGGGCAACGACGTAAGACCTGCGGCCAACGATGCATTACTAAACCAACCCAAACCTCCGAGGGCAACTCCGACACCCGCACTTTTATTTCCTGTAGACTTTCATATCTCTCCAACTTTATACCGACACAGCCGAAACCATGTTCTCCCGAACTGCATTTTCGGTGCGCAAATACCCAGACCAGAGTATCAAGTCATCTGAAGACTAACCTTCCCAGGCCTTCCGCCCCATCGCGCGGCCAACATCTCTGCGCCCCGTCCGCGCCTCCGCGCCGGCCTTCAAACTGCCCTCCATCCTCCACGCCCGTCTCATCTCCACCGAGACCAAGGCCGCCATCGACAAGGCCGTTGGCTCTGCCCCAGTCGTGCTGTTCATGAAGGGTACCCCCGAGACTCCCCAGTGCGGCTTCTCGCGTGCCAGCATCCAGATCCTCGGTCTGCAGGGCGTCGACCCTAAGAAGTTTGTTGCGTTTAACGTGCTGGAGGACCCAGAGCTTCGCCAGGGTAAGTTAATACCATCCAATCGGCTTACAAGGATCTTCGTTTGGGGTTTGTTCTGACCATTTCCGCAGGTGTCAAGGAGTACTCCGACTGGCCTACGATCCCCCAGCTGTACCTGGACAAGGAGTTCGTTGGAGGATGTGATATTCTGATGTCGATGCACCAGAACGGTGAGCTCTCGAAGATGCTCGAGGAGAAGGGTGTCCTGGTAGCGGCGGACCAATAAATTTGATACCTTGGCTTTTCTTTGGCAGTGCGTTGGCATTGTCGGACGGCTTAATACCTTTGTAAAATATCTTCATCATCCTTTTAGATTGAATATCCCTTCTCAAACTCATTCTGGAATTTGGTCTAGCCCTCAATGCTCCAGCAGTATGATCTCGGCTCAGATATTTATACACATTATTTTTGCCGTGACTCGCATGTTGATGGTCGCTCTCTAACCTTCCTATTAGTAGTAGGTACTTAAGTTGGAAGCTTGGAAGGTTCATGGGCAATAGCAATGTGGAGATATAGTGAGTACTAGTATCTATAGCACCAATGCAACCCGGAAGCATGTATTCCATAATCTCTAGGGCTTCGACAACGATCCATCCCAGTCACTCCCAAGGTCTGAGTCAGGAAAATACGCGACGGTGACCCTGGTCGACTATCCTGTCCAATCGATTTTGAGACTACAATTCCTTCCACGATCAACCTCGCAGATCCCCAGAATCCCTCGGTGCTTATTCACGTCGGCACCTGGGCAGTTCTCGGACGGCCTAATTATGCGCCCAAGATACGACAATATCGCTGCTTTCGTCCAAGTTGGTTATACATATCATCTTGTTGTTTTACTTCCTTTCAGGCCACCTAGGCACCTTTCTCTATCCTACTTGATACCACAGGATAATCTAGATGTACTTACCGTGACCAGATCTTCTTTGCTTCAATGACAAGGTATGACAAGGTATGCACAATGACTGTCTTGGAAAATAGAAAGAGGTCAATCTATCACAACTACCACTGTGGAGCGAATCATTGGCAAGATTTGATCACGGAGGAGTCTCAGAAACGGATCTCCAGTCAGGTCAGGCTGACCACTAGTAGTACTATAAAAAGCTAGTGCAAAACTATATCCAAAAGGTTTGAAAGTCTTCCCCGGAACTTACCCGGAACCTGCAGTGCCCGGGCATGATTTGACTACTACTACTACAGTAGATACTAGGCTACTTTGGATATCTCCTCTTCCCTGCTACGAACTTCAAGAAGAACATCCATCCAGTTGACTATAAGTATGTATACTAGTATTGATTTCACTTTATCGATAACAAAGTCTCCTCCCCATATTCAATGAACCCCAGTTGATGAGGTCCAATATATATACAGCTAATTAAGTTTCCTTTCCTTTCCTTTTACATTTCCGTACTACTAAAACAATAGATTGAGACAGGTTCAAGCAGAGCCCCGCTCTTGCGCCTTAACCAGATCTTCCGCAGCACCCTTCTGCAACTTAGCGCGCTGTCTAGCCTCATAAGCCTCACGGCTCTTAAGAATGCGCGCGACAATCTCGCCGGCGTTCACATGCTGGAAAGCGTGGCGATCGACCTCACGGAAAATACCCATCTTCTTAGGTCCGCTGTAGGGATCGTAGGTCAGGGGGATGAAGGTAGTGGGTCCGTGGTAGACGACGTCGGGAGTGCCGAATGGCAGGGTCTCGAGGTAAGGCTGGCTGGGCACAAAAGGGGCGGAAAAGACGACAGCGTGGATGTACTAAAAAAAGGGTTGGAAGCGTTAGCGCGGACTTAATGTAACGAAAGCCCAAAAAAAAAATTAAATAGTGGGACGAAATTGGGAAATGTCTCACCTTGCACTGGAGAACGCAGAGACCGCGCTCGAAAATGTTCATGATCGGGTAGTTCAGACCCTTCCAGTGGTTGATCACGTCGTCGTCGTGAATACCAGCAACAATGAAGGCGGGAGCGTAGTCTTCGCCATGTTCTTGGATTCGCTTCTCCTTCGCCTCAGGTTCGTACCAGCCTCGTGCACGTCCTTCGACTTCCTCGTGATCCATAGCCTTACGCAAGAACTCAATGTGACCGGAGGAGAAGAGGTCGAAGCCTCCGTCAACGTAGACAATCCGTTGGCCGGGCTTGGGCCCCTTTCCAGCAACAAGAGTCTCGTACTTTCCTGCTTCCTCGACCTGGTCGTCGATCTTGGCGCTACCAGATCCAGTCCAGGTCCAGACCTGGGGACCAGGCTGCAGGCCGCTCTCATCTGTCGCGTAGTCGGTGATTCTCTGCAGTAGATCTGTGGCAGTTGCCTTGCGCTCTTCGGGGCTTCCGGATCCCTCCTCTCCAGCCAGAGTGTTCTTGACGGACTTCACAAAGTGGTTCTTGGTGCAGAGGAGCATACGACCAACGAGGTCGGTGGTAGAAATACCAGGAGTGCGCTTGACAACCTTGAAGCGGCCGGCGGCCTTGACGAATCGGTAGCAGTCGTTTCCATCGCTGTCGGAGGTAATGTCGTCGCCGTGAACAACGTATTTGCAGCCGTAGTGGGATACCCAGGGCAAGTAGGTCACATAGGGAGCATGGGGGACGCTTTGAGTAGCCCAGCGACAAGCATCGACGGCAGAGACACTGGAAAAATTGAAAATTAAGACGTGAGCACGCTGGAAGAATTGGAAACTGGGCGCCAATCGCGGAACTTACCGTTCGTCCAGAGCCATCACCGTTGGACCCTTATTTTCTAGAATTGCCTGGTCGGAATGAATACCCACGTAGAGCTCCTTGCCGAGACGACGAGCTTGAAGCATAGCACCAGCATGGCCTAGAGAGGACGGATCAAATCAGTTCATTGTTATTACAGTGTCAAGAGGGCGCATGCGCATGTTGTTGCCTACCGTGGTGAGTGAAGTCGAAGCAACCGTCGACCCAAATCTTGTCCTCAGAGATGGCCTGGTCCTCCTGGGGATCTACCGGCCATTGGCCAGGCAGAGGAACCTGTTCTTCGGGGGATGTAGAGCTCATTGAGTCAATTAAAATGTGAGTAAGGAAACGTGGTTGAAAGGGGGAAAAGGCTTCGAGGGGCAGCGGAGTAGAGAGTAAATTAATTAGTTCTAGGCGGAAAGGGACCGGAGGGGCTGTGGGGAAACTCTCCAGATCTCTTGCGCCCAGGGCCAAGCCTCCCTTTTTTCCTTATCCAGTTGCTTAGGAACGTCATCTGTGCCCCTCTAACCTAGGTTTCTCCTCCTGGACTGCCTCGATTCTCGATTCTCGATTCTTGTTCTTTATTTCCATTTCCTGGATGCGATCGCGATAATCCGGGGGACCCCCCTGTCTGTCATCCCTGTGCGCCCAACGTCATATTGCCTATCGAATCTCTGGTGAACGAGAGACAACTACAAGTCCACAATGATTGCATCTACATTTGCCCCAAGCCTGTCACGGAGGGACACAGCCAAGTCCACTGGCGGATATGACAATGCACATGGAAGCATCCCACCAGTGACAAGCGGCGGAGGTCCCTTTGGCCCACAGAGCGCCACAGCGATATATCAACAAATTCACGACATGGCTACGAAGCGGATTTCGACTCTGGGCTACCTGAGAAAGGCGTAAGTAATACCGACCTACAAGACGAATACATTTAGGAACCGCCAAGCTAATCAAGTGGTGTCTTCTCATTTCCAGCCTCGAGGGCCGTGTTTACTGGTTCAATACTGTACACTTTTCCCGAGCAGACATCAATCGCATGCCATATTTCGAAGCCCGAAAGCTCTCCCGCCGAGCCGTCAACTATCTCCTCCTCGGCCTATCCCTCCCACCAATCCTGGACGTCAACTCGACTCCCTTCGAGTACATGCGAGCCTTGAACGCCCTCCTCCTCGAATTCGACGCATACCAACAAGTCCACCCGCCAGACGGCAGTTCCTCATCCAGTCTCGCCCGAGCACGTATACCCCAAATGTTCAAGAGAGCCGCACACGCCGGCACCAAGACTCGAAGGGCCAGCTCGGCCACCGAAATCGGGTTACCCATGCAAACAAGCGATCCCTCTGATCTGAAAAGTGCCGCGAATAACATTTCGCCCGCCAACGCGGCCGCAGCCTCGATTATCTCCTTCCCCCTCACCGAGTCCTCTGACCTCCTCCCCGGTGAAGAATACACGTACCTCTTGACGCCCTCGTTGCCATTTGAGCCGGATTTCTTTGAGACCTTCGCTACGCTTTGCGATGTGCTGATTGATTGCTACACGAGGATTCTGAGCTTGGTTTCGTCCCCTTCGACTTGTACGGTGGGGCTTGGGGAGTTATTCTCTAAAGCGGATGCTAAACTGCGCAAGATCATGGTTGCCGGTGCGGTGCGGGAGTTCGAGGACGCAAGTCGGAATAACGTCAAGAATGAAGTTTCTGGCGTCAATCGGGTGGTGCTTGGTGGATTGATGGGTTGATTTGACTTGATTTGATATTATGTGATATTATATTTATCACGACATTCACCCTTTAGATTATGAATGGGTCCCGAAGATCTCACCGGCTTCCGCGAGCCTTTAATTTCTGCTTTACGATCCGAGAAAGGCGTTTTCGGGAGTTTGTTTATTTTTACCTGGCTGGATACTGGCTAGTGTATTTATTGAATTTGTTCGGAATTGATTAGATGATTTAACGAGACCAACAAAAGGCAATTCTGTACAGTAGTTGAGAGAGTTCGATCTTAACTTCAAAATCTGGGAAACTTCTATGCATCTCTATTCCCTCTAGGGGTGGATATCACTCGCTCGTATTCAAACGTAGAATAATGGATCGCTGGGAACAGTTCATAACTTTTCTTTTCGCTGGCCATGTTGATTTATGCGACACCGGGGTTTGTTCCGGTACATGGCGCAGGGTTCCCTTTTTCCATGAGGGGTAGGGCGGAAAACGACAAAAAACGATTCGATTCGGGTAAAACTCCGGGTGGCGCCGTGTGCTTCGAAATGCTGGGAAAGAAGAAATAGGAGAGGAAAAACAAAAGCGCCGGTATTATGCAATCGCTCGATGCAGGAATCGTTAAGGAGAGGTGATGCTTCGAACGTCGTCGGGTCGAGTAGAGTAGGGTAGGGAGGAGGAAATTGGAAGTGAAAGGTGTCGGTGGTACAGAGCGAGGCCGATGTCGGCTACAGCTTCTGCTTCTCGAGATCGCGTTGTTCGCCAAAGACTCGGCGGCTCATCTCGAGGACTGTTTCAAATCCTTCGCGGCCGATAATGGCGTTCTCCTTGAATCGTTCCACGCTAGCCTCCTCGACCTTGTTCTTGATCTTTTGCCACCCGCCGCAGAGAGCGGTAATCTTCGCCTCCTGAGTGAACTGGGTGGTGGCGGATGATGATGGCTGGTAGGTGACGGTCTCACGGACGTTGAGGACATTCGACCATGTCAGGTTGTTGGAGCACATGGTGACTTTCTTAGAGACGGGGTCGACGTAGGAAACTTCGTAGACGTGGGAAGTCGTTGATCCGCCGAGGAGGGTGACAACCCATTGTGGTGCAGATTGGTTGCAGGTAATCAGACGCTCAGTACGCAGCTGAAAGAAAGGTTAGCTCGGGGTTCAACGTAACACATGCTGTATCGATTGTTGACTCACGATTCCGGTCGAGGGGTCGATAGTCCGGGAGAGAGTGTCGACACCGACAACGTGGGGGGGCCTTGTCGTTCCAGGGGCAATACTTGCGCCAGTTTGCCGTAGATACCTCATCCCAGGAGTAGTCGAAGTCGCAGGTAGAAGAGAAGACCTTCATCGTGAAGCGCGTTCAACGGGCGAGTCCCTTGGAAATGGGTGATTGCGAAATTGCGAAACACCAGACGGGGTGAAAGAGAGTATGGAGAGCTTGAAGACGCGAAGATCAAAGTGGCGAGGTCGAAACAATATCAGTGGACACAAAAAATCCCAAGATGAGTCAGGCTCTGCTGGGCTAGAAAAAAGAATGGGGAATATGTGGGTTTGAGTGGCGATCAAGAGGGAAACGTCAAATCGAGATTTTTCATGCGCGCGGGTCAGGGCAGCCCCGAGAGGATCCGTGGGTCGGAATCTCCCGTGTCGGTGTGCTTGGCGCTTAGTCATTACATGTACCATACTGTACCTGGTACGCAGGCACAACAATCCCGCACGAGGAGCTGCAGCTGAGCTATCCATTCTCTCCACTTCACACCCCATACCCCCTCATTATGGTTGAACTTCGCAAGCGCAAGGCCCCCGCGCCTCCTCCTGTCGTGGAGAAAAAGAGCAAGCCTGGTCCGAAGCCAAAGGCGACCAAAAAGGAGGAGACTGTCGCGCCAGTCGATGATGATAAGCCAAAGGTACCTCAGGTGGGCGATGTCCTTGACCTAGAGGCCTTTGGTGGCGATCTCGAGACCAATGAAGGCACCGCGACCTCCTTGAAGAAGCTTGTCGACGACAGCAAGGCTGGTGTGGTCATTTTTACCTATCCCAAAGCTTCGACTCCTGGATGTATGTCTCCATTCTACCGCGCCCGCGCGCTGATAACCAACACTCGTTTTGTCTTGTCATCATGTTCGAATCTTAAATCTAACATTGCATTCATAGGTACCAAGCAAGCATGCCTCTTCCGCGACAACTTTGTCCACCTTTCATCCACCGGTCTATCTATCTACGGTCTTTCGGGCGACTCGCCCAAGGCCAACACCACTTTCAAGACCAAGCAGAATCTTCCATATGAACTGCTTTGCAACCCAAGCTATGGCCTCATCGGCGCCATTGGTCTGAAGAAGGCCCCTAAGGGGACCATTCGCGGTGTCTTCGCCGTCGACAAGAGTGGCAAGGTTCTGATTCGTGAGCAGGGAGGTCCTGATGCTACCGTCGATGCTGTCCAGAAGATTGTGGCCACGGGTTCGGCCAAGGAGGAGGCAAAGGAGGATACTGAGAAGGAGAACGGTGATGAGGCGAAATAGTCGTGTTGAGCATGGTGAGATGACGAAGAACACCCTGCTATAGTGATCACCCCCTGTTCGACGTAGTACTACCAGATCACCCGAACATTGTGATTTATAACGAAACCACCTTTACGCAAACATGTTTTAGGAAATACCCAAGGTGAAATTGGTTTTCAGTTCTCCCCACAAGCGAAGTATTCGTCGAGACTTACAACTATTTTGTCATGAGGTGTGCGATGGAAGCCAGAAATGCCATGGGCCACCAGCATCTGTGGCCCGGCATCTGTGGCCCGGGCGCAACTCCATGCAAGCCACTGCACTCCTTGGATATCGTCACGGTGTTTATTGGGTGTTTAATCTTTATGAAACATCAATTGCCGACCGGGAACCTTGCAAGATAGAAACTGATTAACAGGCAGGTCGCTACTAGTACTTGTAAAACATAGCCTATCTGAACATGTGAATATCAGTAAGGAAAGTGGAATATTCAAGTTGTGATGACCATGATACTAGCATTAAATAGAAATTCAAACCAATGATTGACCAGGATGTCCATCAAGTACTAAATATTATGAAATAGTGAGTAGTAGTGAATTACTTCATCCACACACTATGTGTGTGCTAAATCTTGCTGATCGTGCATAGCTCCCTAGGTATGCTTTCGGCATTTGTAGGTATGTCTTATACTTACATCCAGCTATTGGGTAAATAGATTACACATTGTCTTGATAGATAGGTAGACAGATGGGTCGGTTCATCATATAGGACATCACTGGGTTTCATTTCCTATTTCGTATCTCCGGCAACTGTACTCCGTAAATTGCCAGGGAAGTAGAGAACGGACATTAGTAATGGGAGCGTCGATGGTTGGTCGACAACCGGGGATGTGGAGATACAATAATCCGAACTCAACTGCACCACTCCGTACCCTGACGTGCCGCATCTTGAATATTGAAGGCCGCCACCACCGCTTGACGAGCTTAAAGACTTTCCAACGTGAGTAAGAGACTCAATTACACCGATCAATTCGCCCTCTACCATTGAGGGGAAGAATCCCGAGCTGTGTGTGCTGATACAGGGATCCAGTTCAAAGTCTTCAATATGGCCGGCGGTGCTGTCAAAGCTGCTAAGGCGGCATCCCACGTCGTTCCACTTGCGCAGGTATGTCCTAGACAGGATAAACGGTCTCCTATGATCTATATTAACCATCTTTGACCACAGAAATACACCCTTGAGTCCAAGGGTATCTGGGACTGGGTCCGCCGCACCCTCGCGGTCGACCCGAACCGATCATCCGGTGTCCCTCTGAACTCTCAGTTCCGCCTGCCCACCCCTGGCTCTAACCCCCCCTCTCGCCTACGACGACCCAGTCACCCTCCCCGCCGGTGACATCGCCGACAACCCTTACTGGAAGCGCGACGCCCGGAGGAACTACCCGACACTCAGCACCATCACCCAGGCTGACGCCGTGTCTCTCCTGACCGTCGGCAGCCAGGCCGCGCCCAAGGACGACGTCCTGCAGCTCGGCGAGGCTGGCGCCAAGCAGATTGTCTCTGTCAAGGCGGAGGGCGAGGAGCGTGGTCTTGCCGGTTACTTCGAGAAGAACAAGTCTGGTGTTGCCAGCGTTCTGGGTGCCAATGGCCTGCCTCCTTCCCCTACCAACCTCAACACTGTCCCTAAGGAGTCTCAGTCCACATACCAACTCGGTACAGAGAATGGTTACCCCGATATGTGAGTCGTTTTCTTCTTTGACTAGGGTTCCCTTCCCTGCAATGGCTTTTCCGGGGTCTTTTACTAACGCTGGTATTTTAGCTACCCGTGCCGCACTTTTGTTTGATTAGATCGTTTCATGGAGAGATTTTGATTACGCCCTCAAAAGGGCTGGCTAGTTTATGTGACATTCAATACATATTTCCTTTTTTCAGTTTCTTCTATTTCCCTTGCCTAGGACATTCGGTATCAAGCGGAAACGGTAGAAATGACCGATGGGACCATAACGGAACGAGTAAATGGTTTTAGAGCCAGTTGAATTTTACATTGGCATACGCTCGATTGTTGCTTTCTTCAGGTTGTAGTCACGGACTAGAATACCAAGATTGTCGAGACACGAAGCTCATCAGCCTTCTTCGCATAATTTGAGAATGATATTCAACTTTTGATCTATTCATCAGTTGCTCTGCACTATTTGACGGCACACCTTCAATCGATTAAGTCCCGATAACCACTGCCCTATGCTCTAGCAACCGAGTGATGGGTGCTTCCAGCTTGCGAGTACAAGCTGCTTGGGTAGTACGGGCCGTTGGCTACGGTTTCAAGTATGTGTAATACTTGCATATGTACTTAACTACTACCTAGGGGCCACATCTGTTAAACTATGCATTGCCGGTGAGTATACAAATATAGGATACCACAGCATACAATCGGCTGTGGCGCGTTGACTCGGTCCAACAACTTGTTGAAGTGTTCTGAGAGGTAATCCTTCGCCACGGATAGGTTACAGGATAGCTTGTATCAATAGAAAAGGCACATTTGTGTTCATTTACATTGGAGAGAAAAATTAGACCGTAGTTACACAGACGCCAACACCCTCTTCATATCAATCATGTCCGGGCCCGAGCTAACTGAGGTACTTTATCCGGAACATAGACTCCGTAGAGATAACTAATCGAACGGGTTGGTGCGAGTTCCCCACCAGGTGAGGAACAAGCTGAGGCCAACGGTCTCGAACACGCGAGATACCGCACCGACAGCAACGGTGTCAATAGGCCTCTTCTCGGCGAAGATCTGGCTGACAAACTGTGAGGAAACGTTAGCATGTGTGCACTTTTATAAAGCAATTGCGCTTTTTCTTTGGAGCTGTACGTACACCGGGAGCAGAGCTGGCGAAGAAGATCAGCGTTCCGAGGTATGCGGCGCCCTTGTAGCTCAGGGTGCCGGTGGCGTTGATCAGGGCAGCGACACCGTAGGTCTGGACGGCACTACCGACGAGGGAGCTTCCCCATGCGGCGGCGGCACCGGCAGCCTCCTTAGACTTGATGAACTCCTCTTTCGAGTTGGCGGCCTGGGCGCGGTGGTAGGTGTCACCGAAGACTGGGGCCAGAATGCCCAGGGAAGCTGTGTGGGTGAAGAACGTACCCAGGGCGATGGCCGAGGGCTTCACGGGGGGGAGGTCTGAATGTAGAAAAGGTAGGTTAGTGAAGCTGCTTCAGTCGTTGTCTGTCTTGCAGTTGGCAATGCAGGTACATACAGTGCAAGGTAGTCATGATGAGTGAAATTGCTTTATTGGATGATCAAAGCTGAGTGGAAGAAAAGTTTGACGGGAGCACATGAGGTTTTAAAACAACTGGGAGCTTTCCATGGCGTGGTAGGTATGCAAGTGACGTCGTCATGATTCAGTGCAATGCGGAGGGCGCATGACGTCAGATCACATTTGCGCCTTGAAACTGGCTGGTGCGGGTGCGGGTACGGGTGGTTCTTTCCTCGGAAAGCACGAAAACGATTACTTGCAAGTCCACTGAAATGGGAACTTGTTTTAGAAAGCACGTCAGAGTCGGATTTCCTTGTACTGTACCCTCTGTACTCTGTACTCCCCACCATAAATGGTAAGACGTCCCCCAGCCTCGGGTCGACCCCGTAGCACCTCCACCATGTGGGGGTTCGCCCACCTGCCAGGATTTGCAGATCTCCATTGGGGAACAACGCACGGGCGCAAGCTTCTTTTTTGCTTCTTGGTGTTATTTCTCCGATCCCAGCATGCACAAGGAGCATCGTTCTTCATCCTGGCAACTGCTCTACACGGAGAGTGATCCTAGAGACTAGCTAGGTCTTCCAGTAATGGAGAACAGCCAGCATCTATATCAGGGATAGTATTCTGTGTATTTTGATTCCTGCTATCTTTTCTATACTTCTCATCCTATACATTCCCATGTTATATCTTCTATTTTACTTGCCTCACGGTTTTCACTCCCGTCCATCATGTGATTCGCCGGCGATAAGCACCGGGCTAAGGCGAAAAGGCCCCACTGGATGGCAGTAGACTGGCTTGTATTTGCCGCACCGAGATTCTTTGCTCTTCCACTCTTCCAGGAAAAAAAAAGAGAAAAAAAAGGAAATAAACTTCCATTGCCCTCACTCACAATCAGACTCAATGGAGAGATCGGTTAGCCCAGCTTCCAATCCGGATGCGCCCTTCAACGTGAGCAATACATTGGCTCCACTACGAGTCAACAAGGCCGCCGGTACTACGAATGTCACCTTCGACGGACTCTTGAGCGATCCGCTGCTCTTGAAGGAAGATCTCAAAAATGGCTGCGGTGGTCAGCTTTGGCCCGCTGGAATGACTCTGGCCAGATATCTTCTTGCTCAACACGCCTCGGACATGTCTGGGAAAACCATGTCGGTTAGCCCGTGTGTGTGTGTGTTAGGGGAAACCCATGGCCATCACCAATCTCTCTCTTCTTCCCCTCTTCTTCCCACCTCTCCTGGCTGCTACTTAATAAACAGAACCAAACTGACACCGCAGTATAGCGTGGAAATCGGAGCCGGAGGAGGCCTCGTCGGTCTCGGCGTCGCGCGCGGATGTGAATTCGCATCACCGATCCACATCACTGACCAACTACCCATGTTCGACCTAATGCAAGACAACATCCAATTGAACCAACTCGGCACAAAAGTCAAAGCCTCAATATTAGATTGGGGAGAACCGCTCCCGGCTCACATTCCAGCAAATCCGGACATCATCCTTGCTGCCGACTGCGTCTACTTCGAGCCCGCTTTCCCTCTTCTCCTCTCCACCCTGCAAGATCTCATCGGCCCCAACACAGTGTGCTACTTCTGCTACAAGCGCCGCCGAAGAGCGGATCTACGATTCATGAAAATGGCCAAGAAGGCTTTCGATATGCAAGAAATTCGTGACGACCCTAATGCGACTACATATAACCGCGAAAATATCTTTCTCTACTCGATTCGACGCAAGACACCCAAAAGCAACAATGAACTTGCAACGAAATAGACAACGAAATTCCAACAGAAACAGCGAAATTATGGACCATTTTCAATAGATGCAGCGATGATATTATCCAACCCATGAAATAAAAATTCTATACACAAAATGTGGCTCCTCAACTCCCCATCACTAGATATCCTTTCCTATCGACTTTTTGTTTGTACAGCTGTGACCTTTCACAGCTTCAGCTTATCACCCTTGTTACCGTGCTCTCTCCTGTCTTTGCCACCGTCCATGTTGGTGACCTTGCCCTCCTTGTCAATGACCTTGACGCCACCCTTCTTCAGATCAGACACCAGTTGTTGCTTCTCGGCCGCCTTGCCCTTGGGTTCGGCGGGCTTGTCGCTAGACTTGTACTGGGCCTTACTCTGTCGTCTCTTGCGGGCCTTGTCTTCGCGGCTCATCTCATCCTTGGAAATAGATGCGCCAGTCTTGAGAAGAACCTCGCCAGCAACCTTTCCATCGTTGCCTGGTGCGTAGACCTCTTGAGGAGCAAGCGCAGATGGTCCGCCAGCGGCGCTGCCAGCTGTAGGACGAGCATCCTCCATCGTGATGGTTGCGGCATCGGTAACCACATTGATGTTGGCCTGGGGAGCCTTGGGAGTGTAATGCCAGTTGCAGAGCGTATCCAGCTGAGCGCTGACCTCCTTCCAGAGGTTTTGGATCTCGGCATGCTCTCGCATGAGCTTCTTATCCTTAGTGTCGACGTAGTTCGGGTCATTGGCGCGCTGGTGTTCAGCCTCATACATCTCAGCCAGACTTTCTTGCGGCTTAGTGTCCGCCAGCTCGAATCGTGCGCGACGATGGGCCTTGGAGTCACCGATACCCGGACGACGGCGAATGACTTCATCGAACTCGTTGGCGAGAATTCGGCGCTTAATAAGTTCCTCGATGTCCTCGGAGGTTTCATTCGTCACGACGGGGACTGGCTTACCCACTCGTTCAAAGTCGAGATCTTCTTCGATAAGTGAGTTGACAGGTCGCTCCACAGCCCGGGCTTCACCAGCCATTGTCCACTCCTTTTTAGCAACATTGGAGGCTTCTAATCGGCGAATCTCATCCGCGATCTTGGCCCTTTGCTTCTCGTGGGTTGACTTGGGACCCTGGATCTCGCCGTCTACCTCCATATCTTCACCTTCCTCCCCCATCTCGTCCTCGTCATCGAAGAGGTCGCGTCTGACATCAGCCATGGCCCGATCGACATCTTCTTGGGTGATATCCGCAGCAGCCTTAGGCTGGGTCTTTGGGAGAGCGCGGAATTTCTTAGACGAAGCCTTGCGAGCCGGCGCCTGGAAAAAGTCGGTATATTTGATGTTGCTGGTGTCGCCATAGCTAGTCGCTTCGGGGTCGACGTCAGGCTCGACATCGTCGTCATCAGAGTCAGCTGCGTTGAGATCAGCGTTGCCGAAAGTCGGCCCGTCTTCTTCGCTGTCGTCGTCCATGTCCTCATCCTCGCGACCACCCCCGATGGGAGCTGGCTTAGCTTTAGGAAGAGCGTCAGTCGCAACAATGGGGTCTGCGTGCCAGTTGACTTCCTCCTCTTCATCATCATCGTCGTCGTCCGCGCCACCCTTCATGTCTTGCCTCTCTAGCTCTTCGGATTGCTTGTTGAAGTCGTCGATAGAGAAGAATCCGTCGTTAAGGCCGAATTTATCTTCAGTGTAGAAACCGCCATCTTCCTCCTCTTTCTCAGAGGCTGCGGAGCCTTCCTCATCTTCATCGCTGAATCCTTCCTCCTCCATCGCATCAAAGTCGTCAACTCCGCCCTCTTCAAGCTCTTCAAGCTCATCCTCCTCTCCAAGCTCGGCCTCAGACCCCTCAATATCCTCCTCTTCCCCCGAGAAAGCATCCGACATGCTCTCAGCATCATCACTCTCAGAACCCAGCTCTTCAGGGCCCGACCCCTCAGCCAAAGAACCCTCCTCATCCTCCGAGAGAAGATCTCCAAACTGCGCAATAAGAGCAACATCTCTCTGAATCTCCGCGCCCGCAGACTCCAATATCCGCGTCGCTTGTTCCCATACTTGATTCGATGTGAAGCCGTCAACGTAGAGATTCTTTAATTGCAGAGGCGGCGCGGCGTCAATCTCTTCTGATCGCTTGCGCTTCTTGTTGAGCTGTTTGCGGGCGGTTTGTTCGTCCACGACGGATGTCGCGAGCGGGTCGAGGATCTGTTTCGCAGAGTCTGCGAGTAGTGCGTGGAGGTCACCGGAGGGTTGGAGGAAGGACCAGGGTGTGGACAGCGCTGAGGGGAGGTCTGTCTTTGTAGTGGTAGCAGGCGTCACAGTGGTGGCTGCGTCAGAGGTGTTCTTTCGTTTCGCCATTGTGGAATTGTGTGTGGGAACGTAGCGGTTGGAAACGCTGGGCGATGGTGCTCTTCCGAGGCGGAGAGAATCTTTTGAGGCCGCGAAGAAAAATTGTACGGGACTGGTTGTTAGCCAATCACCGCCCTCTTTGATAAGATAAGGACTAAATGGGATCCATCTATACAACAGGTCCCATAGTGAATTGCTTTATGAAGATTGATTTATTTGCTCTAAGAGTATTTAAATAAATTAATCATGTAGATTTCACACTATAATATGGATTTAACTTTTCCCTACAGAGCTCTATACATACAATGACAGCAACCACGCTTCTACAGACACTTAACTAGTACCTGTAGAATAGGAAGGCACATGGCCAGTCGCACCTGCATGTCAACAATGTCAACAAGAAGCGCTTGTCACAGGGAGAACAGAAAAGAAAAAGGATTTGGCCGCTGGCAGGCAGAATCGAACTGCTGAGCAAAAAGCAAAAAGATCAGCCCCAATTCAGCTTCTCCTATTCCGCATATGGACTTTCCTAGAGGAACCAATTGTTCCCCTAGACCATAAGGGTCTACGTGCCAAGACAAAGACTTCCTACAAATAAAACATGCCATTGCTCTCCTTTTGTGACCAACTTTGCGGTTTGTACGTGCGAATGTCATTACCATGCCACCCCATTATTGTCATTGTGCCTGTCGCCATCCTCCTTATTCTCCTTCCCTCGCTCAAGGGGCTCTCTTCGGTTTCAGGATGCTTCAACACAGGCCTTAGCATACTCTTCCTAGTAATGGTGTACTCATTTGTCGAGAGCGGTCTCGTAGCTTATTTCAATCCATATAATGGGCCAGTGAAGTTATTCGTAGTCATTTTGAATGTTCGAGTCAGCGGGGAAACGCTGTGGCGAGTCCATACAAGTACCCCCCAGATACCTCAGTCATCCGTCAACAAGATATCTATGTCTCAATCCTTATCATAAAAAATTGCCATCTAATAGTATCAAGATGGATTCTCAGGTCAGTTGGTAGATGACGACAAATTATCATCATGCTCCTGTATCGATAAAGTTGCCATCTGACCTGAACGTGGCAACCCCCAACCGTTGTATCCACATCCAGCCCTCTCAAATCAGCGCACGCATTTGTGTGTCTAGAGCCATAGGGGCTCCAGAAGTGCCACCTTCTAATCATTTTTGCCATTAAAGTTGCCAGATCATGCCCTTGAGAGGATGCATAGGGAAGTTATATCTTCAGTGGCACCAATCCCTAGTACGGATCAATGCCACCTGCAGTAAGTGGCACATCTCTTTGGCTAAAACTCTACTTAACAACAAATGGAAATGTCATTGTGACTAAAAGCGCCTTGGGATGCTTAAATAGATGCTCTCCCAGCATGACCGACATCTAATCTCCTAACTTGATCCAAGCCTATTCGTCACCTTGAAATTCCTTTTACATACCAGAGAAATCCCAAGTCATATCAACTCTTCTCTACCTCATATTATAAGTAAAACTAATCAAAATGCCGCTCCATGTCTCCCAGTTCACAGAGAGGACAGCCAGTGGCTCGAAGTCCCAGTTCGAGCCAGGTAATATACCAAGGATATCCTGAGAGTCTATAGATACTAAATCAAATTGAACAGGCCACAAGATCCCCATCCAACACTTGAAGATGCCCGGCTTGCAGGCAGACATGGAAAATCCCAAGCCCGTCTCTGATCAAATCCCTACCGAAGATGGCGGATATCAAACCTACAAGGCCGCCGGCAAGCTCGAAGGAAAGAAAGCCATCATCACCGGTGGCGACTCGGGCATTGGACGTGCCTGTGCAATTCTCTTCGCTATGGAAGGTGCATCCAGCATGATTGTATATCTTCCCGAAGAAGAGAAAGATGCCAAAGAGACAAAGAGGCTGGTCGAGCAGTACGGTCAGAAGTGCTATTGTCTGCCAATCGATATTCGCAAAAGGGAGAATTGCAAGAAGATTGTCGACACGGCGGTTAAGGATATGGGCGGTATCGATATCCTGGTCAACAATGCCGCATTCCAGAATATGGTGGCCGATATCAGCGAGGTTACCGAGTAAGTTTTGAGAGAACTGCCTTTGTTGATAAAAACCTGGAGCCCTAGATCTCGTGAGAGGTCCAGCAGGTTCGCTGATATATTTTGATATATAGGGATCAATGGGAAAAGACTTTCGACACAAACATTCACTCATTCTTCTATCTCTCTAAATATTCTCTCCAGCACATGAAGAAAGGTTCAACCATTATCAACTGTGCCTCGGTGAACCCTTACATCGGTCGAGGGGACCTGCTAGACTACACGTCTACCAAGGGAGCCATTGTGGCATTCACGCGTGCGCTCTCAAATCAACAGGTCAAGAAGGGTATTCGAGTCAATTGCGTCTGTCCAGGTCCTAGTATGTGTCTGCCCTTGTATAAAGCCACTAGCAATGTTGGGGGCTAACAACACGCTATAGTCTGGACCCCTTTGATCCCAGCAACAATGATGACTGAAGCGATGGAACAGTTCCATGCTGTGCCAATTGGTCGCCCGGGACAGCCGAGTGAGGTTGCAACTTGCTTTGTCTTCCTTGCAAGCCAGGACAGTAGTTATATTTCTGGCCAGTGTCTGCATCCCAACGGCGGTGTTATGGTCAATGGATAAACCCGTCGGTGGTTCGAAGGTTTATTCAGCTTTTGAATAGCGGTAGGTGTTGCTTCCGCGAGGACCTTCAGCCTAAAGGGTTATTAGTAGGCGATTTAGAAACAAAATAACCTATAAGGTTAGGTGTTAGATGCCCACTTGGCAATTTAACTTCCTAATTATTCTTTTCTTAATACCAATCACTCGAAAATAAGAAAGTTGTTTGTATGGAGTCGCAATTATGGACTTCGTCATGATTCCAGATTTACTAGTTTGATGTCATGCTTTTTTTTAATCAACGCAGGGTTAAGAAGGAGGAAATTTTAAAGAAATTTCATTGGACTGATCAAGGAAATTGGAGTCACAACCAGAGGCCTAAAATTTACAGTAATAAGACAGAAGAGACTCCACGATGGCTTGGTATGCGTTTTGAATCCACCGCGTCTAACGGAACGAATAAAGGAAAGGGAAACGGAAAAGGGAATTCGCCAAATGGCTTAACGGCGGTACCACATGCGGGTGATGCGAGTGTGGCGCATCTTCTTCTGGAGCTGGAAGATACCGTACATCAGAGCCTCGGAGGTAGGAGGGCCTGAATGTCATAGTTAGCAACGGCGATTCACGGGAAACAAGGAAACGGAGAGGGGGGATAAAACTGACATCCAGGAACGTAAACATCAACGGGCACAATACGATCGCAACCGCGAACAACGGAGTAACTGTAGTGGTAGTAACCACCACCGTTGGCACAACTTCCCATGGAGACGACCCATCGGGGCTCGGGCATCTGATCGTAGACTTGACGCAGGGCGGGGGCCATCTTGTTTGTCAACGTACCGGCGACAATCATGACATCGGATTGACGGGGGGGAGGCACGGAAAATGATACCCAAGCGATCTTGATCGTAGCGGGGGGTGGAAAGGTGCATCATCTCGACGGCGCAGCAGGCGAGACCGAAGGTCATGGGCCACAGGGATGATTGACGGGCCCAGTTGGTAACTTGATCGAGGGTGGTCCTAGAAGCGATTGATTGTTAGCCAGAGCACCGCGGGCAAGTTACGTTCGTGGCGAGACGGCTGTGTGTGGAGGTTGCCGAGGCAGCGTACAAGACATATTGCATAGCACCCTTCTTGGGCTCCTGGGTGAGGAGAGGAACCTCCTGGCGGGCCTTGCCAGAGGCAGTCAGGCCCTTGCCTGATGTCGATTGCTGCTCAATGGCAGTGGCGGATTTCACAGATGAGGTCGAAAGGGCCGCAATGGGCGAGGCGCGAGGGAGGCATGTCGCCAGGCGGGCGCGCGCTGTTGGACGGATTAGAAGGGATCTAGGCATTGCGAGTAGAGGGGATGTACCGCTCAAAGAGCCGGAGAGGGCCGGTCGCACGAGAGGCATCATGATTGTAGTCTCGGTGAGATGGCGAGTCTGTTCCGGGCAGCTTGAAGGTGGCGGGCGCTCTCTGGGTAAGGAGGACTTTTGCCGGAGGAAAACGGTAAGAATGACGTGGTAACAGACTGGTTTGTGCAGGTTCAGGTAAGGGATTCCCGAGTCGGTTATTGGTGGAGAGCAGGTAATTTTCCGTTCCTGCGTTGCGTATGGTAAAAGCGGTGAATGGCTTGGAAAGAGAATCGGGCTTCGCCTGATTGGTTCCCCAGATGTTAGCCTGAGGCCGTAAATTGTGTGGTCAGTGCGTGGTCACTTCCCTTCCGCTATCGCCCCCCCAGCTATCTTGGCCCGATATGCGGGTGCTTTGGAGCTGCATCCAATTCAATCTGCCTTTTCACTGCATTCCCTCGCACCCCTTCGAATAGAAGCATAACCTGATTTTATTTATCACGCCATACCTCAGCACTGCTATCGACCATCTTATCACTCGCCACCCTTCTCCAGTCCCCAGGCGCAAATCGGAAAGGGGAACAGAGTCCAAAACAGCTACCCCTCCGATTAAACAGTCACCTTGAGAGATTGGACATTCCGTAAAATGGCAGGACCTAAAATCGCCTGTATAGGTATCATTGGCAAATCAGTAAGAAGTAACCTGACCCTGCGCAACCTGGTTCTTGCTAACTTCAAGCCAGGACAATCCTCTCCACATCTCCCTCTTCCCTCCATATACAGATTCCACAATTGAATTCTCCTTCCTCCTAAACTCATGCCTCGACATTTTCGAAATCCGACGCAAGCACACATCTATCGACCAAGACCTCGGTCTACTACAAGCGATTGATGAGAGGCTAGCAGCTTACGGCTGGCTTACGACAACGGGCGTGAAGCTGCTGGTCATCGTTGATCTATTTGGCCAAGAGACTGCAGGTACAGGGAAACCAATAGGCTCTGCAGTCAGCGGCTTGAGGGACGCAGATGTCAAGCCTGTAAGTCGAGGGACCGTCTCTCCTAGGACGATACGTGCTTGCTTGGCTAACCTATAACCCTAATGATTTAGGCATTTCGTTCTCTCCAGAGCGCATACATTCAGCTCCTTCAAAATCCTTTCTATTCCCCAGATGATCACGCTCCTGCTCCAGGATCAGCAGCTAGCGCAGCAGCTAATTCCTTGCCTATCTCCAACCCCAAGTTTATCGCCGAAGTTCAGCGTATTGGCGAAACGTGGGTGCCCGGTGCTACTGCATAGATTATGATTTAATAAAACCCCCCCATTTTTTTAACTTCAGATAAATTTCATTGCTTGTCATAAGATGGACGTAAATTTTGAATACAATTACAGACATATTTTTCACTGTGTCTTCAGGCACGTTTTCAATGGTTCCTGACTTCGGCTTCGGTCTGTTCCAGGGCAACAATCATTTCCTCCATTTCCCTCGGGTTGCAGACGGCCCATACGCCACCTCCTTTCGTGTTTACCCGGCCAACTTCTTTTCCAACTAGATTTCGGCCAACTTTGCCAGGCCCGATGCCGATCCAACGTCTGACACCTTGTTCTTGGTGAAGATAGCGTATGCTGTCCCACCACTGGACAGTATCCGTGCATTGTCGAGAAAGTAGATTTTTGAGATCTTCCTTTGATTTGAAAGGTAGGGATGAGACATTAGAGATACAAGGTATTCTGCCAGGGAAGCTAATGTCGGTGTGTTCGAGTGCGGTTCGCATATATTGGGTAGCGGGAAACATCACGGGACTGTGGAAAGGGCTTTCGCTTTTGAGTCTCACGGCACGGGGATCGTGTCCGCCAAACTGGCGCAGCTGGACCAGGAGAGTTCTGATTCTTTCGATACTGCCGCTGAGAACGATCTGGTTGGAGGAATTGATGTTCGCCACCATAACTTGCTGGATTGACGGGGTTTGAACAGTGTCGTCAGTTCCTAGTCCTAGGAACTCATGCACGGTTCTGAGAAGGCTTTCGAGGTGTTCGGGCTCGCAGATCAATGCTACCATCCCGTATGTTTCGCCGGAGTGTTCGACCACTTCTCGGGTACATCGGGCCATGACTTCAGCACGGTGCCGTACCAGCTTGAGCGCGTCGGAAAATTGGAGATAGCCTCCAGCAACTAATGCTGTGAATTCTCCGAGGCTGTGGCCCAGGGTCACGTCGACCCGGGATGTAGTGTTTAGTCCGTATTCGTTTTCTAGAATGCGGAGGATGAGGACGGAGATAGCCATGATGGCCGGCTGCGCGTTTTCGGTCTTGTTTAACTTTGAATTGGGACCATCAGAGATGATGCGGGATAAATGGAATCCTAGGATGGAGTCCATCTCATCCAGGAGGCGCGTCGTGGTTCGAGGGAACCGGTCCATCCAGGTATTGGCCATGCCCACCCGTTGTACTCCATGGCCTATAGTTAAGTCATTTAGCTGGCGTCTGGCGTCTAGCGACAGGGGAAACAAATCAAAGAGTACCTACCTGGGAAAAATAGAGCCGTGTGCAGCTCCCTCCTGGATGAAGGGGCCCGGGCCATCGTCCTCAGAGCCCCAGTCATGGCCGGGGAAGTTAATCCCCGCAGGTGACGCCTTGAAATCATAACCGAGCGCATTGTAAGACTGCGTGCTGGGCGACTTTGGCCTTGATCAAGACCCAGCGCAACATATGATCATGGTGATAGCTGCAGGTACCCGTTAGAAAGAGCAAACATCAAGATGAGAACGAAAGACCAGACATAAAGTTGACCAACTCCTTTGGAATCCCCAACACGGGCGTGGGGCTGGGGATTCACGTGAGCGTTTCTTCCGCATTTCGGGGGAATCGGGGGAATCGGGCCCGGAACACGGCACTTGTCCAGTCCTGAGCCACGAATTACTATCTGATCTGGTGTAGACCACGGGAATGATTCTCCGTGTTTTCGGATATGCCGCTCCATACTACAGTAGTAGCTGTTTGCTACTATGTTTTAAGTGGAGACCATAACTGCTATTCATCCAGTTCAAGTTGTGATCCTCTTACTACTATTATCCTAGTATTTTCTTCTTGTTCTACTATATATTGCCGACATTGTAGCTCCAAGTCCTTCGAAGGGTTTAATTCCAAGGTTCTACTGGGAGATTTAGCTTTGTATGAATAATTAACCCCGTAAGTAAATGAGATAAGTAAGTCAGTACTGTTAAAACAATATATTATCCATCTCCAGTAGCTACTAGTTACTACCCTAGTTAGTAGAGTACTACTGCAAGTGGGTGCATTCCGACACACTCACCGCCCTGGGCAGAACGCCAACTTCTTTGGTGTAAACACTCTCATTGCCAGAGCTCTGAGCCCATCCTTCCATTGCTGTCTGATTGCGCCCTTCTTCGCCATATCTAGGCGCATTATCCCCAGGTCATTCTTTCACTCTATCTCCTGGCTTCGGCCAGTGTAATGTGAAGGCTGAGACCAGTTTCGAAACAGAAAAAATGTTCGCACCTCGAGCCGCTCGCACGTCTCGACGCCGCCAGAGAACCAGCTCCGACGACTCGGTCGGTCCCCCGAAAGCGAAGAGACAACGTTCTGTTCTACGCCAATCCGGAGATACCACCGCTGCGAGCTTGCTGAGAGACAATGCCGCAGAAGCACAGTCCGCGACATCGGCCCTGTCCAACGATCACGACCTAGCTACGGACCCCACTGGCCTCGACTCGCATCTACCAATTCGTGGCGCAAAACCGAGTGAAGCTTCCAAAGGTGATTCGGAGGGAGCAGTACCCCTGGTAAGTCAACCGCTGCCTTGAACGACTGCCCGCTGGAGAGATCACTTTGTTTGAGTGCAAGGTATGGCCGCTGATACCGCTGAAAATAGTCAAAAACCGATTACTATATTGTCAACCAACTTCCAGCTCTGCCGGATCAGATCCGGGGCTCACAGTCAGGTAAGCAGCTCTACACGATATCTCAATTTGGGACGCCGGTCCTAACATCGTGGAAACACAGATCCGTTGAAGTGCTTCTTCGCGCCCGGTCACGACCATGCCTTAGCCTTGACACACTCGCATGCGATCGTATGGCCCTACTCGGTCGCCACTTCTTCACCTTCGCCCTCGGAAACCTTTACCGTGTCGATCCCCGAATCATGCAGAGACCCATACGGACCAGTACCCCTCGGTGCCCTAGTATCCACAGCCACCGGAGAACACCCCGGTCTTCTAGTCATCATTCCTTCGACAGGCAAAATCATATACTGGGAGACTGTATCGAGCGCGGCATCTTTGGCATTGTCTCGACAAAAGCAAAATGGAATTCAAGGGTCTACCCCGGGACTACTTTCGGGAGAAGTTGCGGTGGAGGTTATGAATTGTGAGCCCTCGGGGCTTATTGTTACATTCTCCTCTGGGCGAGTAGCACATGTCACGCTCAGGGACCCTCAGGGCAAGCCCTCTGTATTGGTCAACTTCCTCAGGAGCACTGGTGGCAGCGGGGGTGGACTCCTCGGCGGACTGAAGAATGTTTTGGGAGGTGGATACTGGAGGAAAGAGGTCACCGCTGTTCATCCTGGTCCCTCCCGCCAGCGTGGTCAGCGGGATGTGCTTGTCGCTACCTCGACTGGTCTGGTTGAGATCTGGAATACCCACTGGCATCACGGAAGTGCCCTGAAAAAGAAGTACGATGTCAAGGAGGAGATCGCGGCGGCACTTCCTTCAGATATGAAGAATGTGAGCGAAGTCGATCTCAAGGTCATGGATTTTGCATTTTCTGCTCAGTCTTCAGACGAACAGGAGTCTGATGAATCGTGGGGTCTTTTCGTTGTCGTCAGCACCCCTCAATCTTTGGAGGCCAAAACAATGTTTGTCGTCCAGCTCCAATTATCTGGAAACCAATCGCGCGTCCAGTCTTCGTTTGCTGTGGGCCTCCACAGCATCCCGGTCATGGGCCAGGAATTGAAACCCAAGATTCTGATCACAACTTCCGAGGATACTGCTTTCATCATACTTGGGCAATCTCTCGTTATTCTATCCCTTACAGCTATTGATGAGTCTCCAACCTCCCAACTTCTACACGACGCCCAAAAGTTGGCCCTTCCTTTCCAGGATACAATCAATCTTCGATCTGGCAAAGAGTTCGAAGTATTGGGATATGGCCCCGAGGAGCGCACTGACGATGAAGAGGGCTCTTCATGTGTGATCATGATTCGGAACTTTGGTGTTGTCCGAATCGATGTGACACCTCAATTTTCAACAGAACACGATGTAGAGGAAGGCCCCGTCACGGCTAAACACAAACTCGAGCAGGCCATTTTCTTCGGTACTATGGCAAAGAATCCTCTTAATCTGGTTGGCGATGGCGGTCTCGACTTCCCTCCCGAGGAGGTTGAACAAGCCTCCTTGGATATCTGTAGGGAGCTCCTTCAATCTGACACCCGATTTATCCCAAGCACTACGATTTCCATTGATCAAAATCTGCGGCTTCGGGCCAAAGCTCTCAATGACCTTGCGTCTTTACTCTCGAAGAAGGGCAATCCGTTGGGCCGGATGGCTAGATGGGAGCTCCTTTGGGGCGCAGAGAAGCTTGCTGCCCAGCGGGCTATGTGGAAATTGGAAGAGACGCTCCGCAACAAGAACGAGGGTCTCTTCCTTGGCCAGGTAATTGATTCGATGAACGACAAGTTCAAGACCAGCCCTAGCGGCGACACCGATCCTGTCCGCCAGTGGTTCTTGAAGGATACTTATCAGATGGAGCATATTATCCCATGGATCAAGCACTCTGTCAAGTCTCGCAAGGGCAGCTCCAAGCAGACGCGTAAGAACTCGGAGCAGATCCTGGAGGCCAGCGAGCTGTTCCTTGCAGTTACAGAAACAGCCTTCCGGTATCGTGATGATCATGCTTCAATGTATGGTCTGGGCGACGACTTTGTGGAGGATGGCGTTCTTGCCGATGGGTACGACACTCTACCCGAGTTCTGGACCTCCCGACGAATGGGGTATACGGAAGCCGGAGATCTTCTGGAAATTGAAATCGACAGTGTTCTCTCCTGGGTGCAACAAAAGAAATCTAGCGCAGAAGCACCGGATGGACAAATCGCGAAGAGACTCGCCGAAAACAGTGCTCGTCACCTTCGAGCCGTAGGTCAGATGCACCGTGAGCGAACACGCTGGCTTGCAGCACAGGATGACCCCAAGCTCACCGATGAGGGCGTTTCGATTGAGCAATCCTTTGTCAAGGAACGCAAGTGGTCGCTCTTCAAATTGGCAGGAATTGGCCATCTTCAAGACGCAATTGTTCTAGCGGAGCGGTTCCGTGATATGGAAGCTCTGGTCGAACTGATTCTTGAACTTTCCGACCAAGTTAAGGATCGCGCAGAGAAAGGTCTGGCACTAGAAGGCACGGAAACATCTGTCTTTGGTGTGGCTCCTATCGGGAACAGTGTTGCAGATGTTGAGCGCCGGGTTGCACACTATTTCGACAAGTTTGGCGAGCCTTGGTCAGACGCATACTTCACACGACAGATTTCTATGGGAAATCCCGGTGCGTTGCTCTCAATGAGGAAGTATCAGCGATCTGTAACCAGCTTCCTCCGGAAAACACCCGCATATGCCAAGCTGAGCTGGATGAACGATGTGGTCGGCGAGGATGACTACGAATCCGCTGCTGCATGCTTGGAAAACCTGGCCATCGGCAGTGAAAAACAACTTTGGAACCACCATGTCGAGATTTCGCTGGCGAAGCTCAGCAAGTTGGCTTCAAGCGAAAAGAAACGTTCTCTTGGCAACAGTTCCTCCTTCCTGGAGGATATCAACCGCCTCGACGACTCTATCGCCATTGACGAGACCCAAGACAAGCTCTACTACTACATCCGACCATTCACCGATGGCGCAATCGACCACAAGGCCGAGCAAGAGCTTGCCTTGGATTATTTCGGAAGCTATCTGGCGCAAGATCGTCCATCTCTTCACGAAATCTTAGGCGACGCTCTTTCTACTCTCGTCAACCGAAGTATCATCGGACCCGACGGGCTTCTTGATGTCCTCACCCTCATCGGTTATGTTGAGGTACCGGAAGACGTGGACAGTGATCTTTGCGGCCGGGAATTCTACCAAGCCCTTCGGGTTCTCGATCATAGCCGCTATGCGCAGCGAGATCCTTCATATGTATCTGCCTTGCGAAAGCTGATCTGGCGACGATGTATGATCAAGGATGACTGGAATGCTCTTGGAAAGGCCGCTGAGGGAACCAACGGAGACTCGGACAGTGCCACTCGTGACACCTCCCTCTACCAGACCTTGTCGTCCTGTTTGACAGGTGAGTTTAAGATGAATCATAATTCCTCAACACATCCCATTCTTACATCTTTTACAGAACACTCTGGGTCCAGTCTCCAATCTCTCTTCCAACCCGTATCCCCTGCCGAGGCATTGATGGCCGACTCCGAGTCAGACATTCTCGTCTCACGCTTCCGCCCGGAACAAAGGGCCCGGGTTGCTACCGACCTCCAGCGGGAAGACGATCTCCTACGTGAATATATTGAAACCGGCAAGCTCGACTTCTGGTTCCAAAATCTCCTGGAATCCATTGGAACCCAGACATCTGCCCAAACGGATACTCCTGCTGGGAATACTGGGGTCCAGGCCGCTTCCCCCTCTCAGGATTCCAAGGCACAATTGACGTTCGTTTAAGCTAGTGTGGTTTCTTTTTGTCTTGGTTTGTGGCGGTGCTAGAGGTTTCACAATGGTCTGCGGGCTGGAATGATTTGTATTTGTAGCATTTACGGAATATCTGAGTCTCCTATTTCTCTCGCTCACTTTCGCGGTCTTTCGCGTAATGATATTTTTTATTGCGACAATCTTCCTTTGTTGATCTTACTGGGGGCCTGTCATCAATGAATACCCCGCCTTTGATGAGGACTTTCGCTGCTCGACGCGTGGCACAGACTCAACAAGCAAGTGAGTGCAACGTCATAAGAGCATGCCTACTAGTAACTATCAACCGACGCTTTGACATATTATCGGTCTAATTGCTCAATGGAAGGCTACTTGAATTGTTTCTGTCTACATGGTATATGGAAGAAAGGCAAAAGCTGATAAATTCTGAAACTTAGATACTCCGTTGACAGTCGTTACAATAGGTTATGTAGATGTTGACACAATAATAGAAACAAATGAGGTCGTCAACAACTCGACGGCGACGACGACCCGCTTACACCTTAGCCCCATTCTGCTCAGTCTCACTAGGACTGTTGCTGCTGGCACTATCGACCTTGGTGACGGTTTCTCCATTCTCATTCAGCACTTCGCCGCCGTGAACCTGTTCTTCGAAAACGGGCTCCGGGTCGATGGTCTCAAATTTGGTTCTGAAGTCGGCGAGGCCCTGTGTGCTGCTGTTCGAACGGCGGCGGGCATTGTTGAGGGTGTAACCATAGTCATGGACTTCCTCGCCATCACGGCCCCTGAATGAGGTGGGGTCATGTTAGTATATGATTCAGGTGAGGTAGGACGAGAAGGATGACAAGGATGATGTGGAGTATGCATTGAATGCAGTTTAGTAGACTTACCAGTTACCCTTACCACCACCATCTTTCTTTGTTTTCTTAGGGTCAGCATCGGTTGGACCGGACTTGGCGAAGAATCGAGGGAGGTTCTCCTGGGGGGGCGATCACACCACCCTCAGGAGCCTGGTATTCACGGTCATTGAATTTGTGAGAGCGAGTCACTGCTCTCGTAAGTATGGGATGGAAACGAATCTTAATAGGAGGGGGAGGGGAGGAGACAAACTGATGGAGTATTTGAGATGATGTTTTGAGATGGATGGGAAAGGGAAATGGAAAGGGAAGACAAGCCGGCCGAAGCTGAGCAACCAAAGGGAGTGCCGCATCTCGCGTGACTCGTGACCTCATACCGCCGAAAATGCGGGGGTTTGCACTAAGCCCGGCCCCACCAACCTTAATGCATCATGACGGAGGGCTTTAACTAGTAACATATCTTGGTTTATTGTTTGGTTATTTGGCTTCGTGGAATCTTGGTGCTTTGGTATGTACTAATAACACTTCAATTGGCCACTCTGTTTGCTGGGGATTGAGCATTATATCGTGGTATCATGGGATGATGCGATGTGTCACGCCATACACATCATACCATGAGCCCAAGTGGTCAATTATCATGAATTGTACGATTGTAGCGAGCTTTTAAATAAATTAAACCGACTCAATTGCTCAATTCACCAATTGACAGCGTTACATGGGTGGAAAACTGGGGGTACGCAGCTCGGGAGATTGGTCGAAAGAGGCTGAGGTGACCTATTTAGAATGTCTTGGCATTCCGACTCCGCGCATTCCAGTATTAGTTTTGGTTTTAGAAAAAGCTTACCGCTCATTAGTGAGTTTGTAAGGGGTGTTCTATTACTTTGATGTTGAAATTAATATTGAGAAGATTCCCCTCGAATTCTAGTCTTCGATGCAAAGAGTTTTTTAAAGACACATGAGCATAGAGATGTTTTTCTTCAATGATGTTGCAGAAAAATGACAAGTAGTCATAGAGCTCTAGAGAACAGAAGTCATAATTAAGAAAATTGTATACATGAGTGCATGAGCTGCAATCTGAAGAAGCAGAAGAAGAAAAGGCCCTAGATCCGAAAACAGAACCAATCAAATCATCCCCGTCTTGGTTTACCAAGTGCGACCAAAGAAAAATCCCTAAAAAAGATCGATACAATATTTGAGTACCCACTGGCACCTTGGCCATCAAGCTTCTCTACGGTATCCTCTTCTTTAAGAATATCAGGGATTGCTATAATATCATTTATATAATCTGATCACATATTCCGAGAAAGGTGATTAAGGATGATATCAAAATATATAATTCTGCCCTTCAAACAATTTACCCTTCTACATTTTCATCATCCTCAAATCTACGGATAATTCTCGCAGGTACACCACCAGCAAGACATCGTGGTTCAATATCGCGTGTCACCACAGCTCCCGCGGCAATTGTAGTACCCGACCCAATACGCACACCGTCCAGAATAGTAGCCCGGGCACCAACCCAACAATCTGCTTCGATAATTATTGGGCGAGCAAAAGAAGTCCCACTGTGTTCTCTTCGGTCTTTTGCCCCGGGATGATGTGTACCCGTGCAGATACATACGCCAGGACCGATTAGAACGCGATCATTGATTCGGATAAAAGCATTATCAAAGAGGGATGCACTGTGAATCCAGAGGTCTCTGTAAGTATATAGTGCATGAAACGTAGGAGCGAGCAATCAAAAAGAGACGTCAACTAACTCGCGGTTGATGTATACATCATCCCCAATAGAGACGTTACAGCCCCATCCAACGAAGAAGGGCGGTTCGATATTTACTCTCTCTCCCATTTTACCCAGGAGGTCTTTAGCAACTGTCATACGCCGGGCTTTTGATGATGCGAGCGTACTTCCTTCCGGAATCATTGTATCATTGAAATCGTTCAGCGATCTAAGTGTTCGGAGTTTATGGTCTTGGAGTTCAGGAGATCTCGAGGCCGTAAAGCTAGAGAAGCTACGTTTTAACACAGCAGCGAAGATTGTGGCACAGAAATGACAGACCTCATTCCACTTATCATTTTTTCGTATTCGTCGCACCAAGGAACCCGCGCATTGCTTCTCTTCAGCTCCGATATTATTTCTTGGGTTTCGGTGGAAGATGACATGTTGGCTAACCTTGGAAGTCTCGCACTGCAGAACTAGTATGTTCAAATTGCCTTTGAAATTGTCGTGAATCCCCGGAGATGAGTATAAGCAACCGTTCGCCAGATTCAGCTGCACAGGCCATTTAAGACGGGGTCAGGAGGGCTGACATTCAAGCATTCAAGGGGTGCCTTAAGGGACTTGGGCGCCAAACCTTCCACCGCGCCAACGTTTCAGTGAGGGGAAACCCTAACTCATCCGCCCAATAAACTGCCTCGGCACGCCTTGCATTGTTCAGCGCAGGAACAATCGCGTTGTCTCTTGAGTCTGAGTGCTTTTACTGGTTCGGTTAAAATACGATATGTTTGAGGGACAATGGGCTCGGACGAATTATGTCATGGATTGTTTTACTTGGTGGCCTACATACTACACGATCCGCATTCCCCGACCAACCTCCACCAGTATGAATGCCTCCACCATCTGCCTGAAATGAATTGCCCTTGTTTCTGAACCCGCCACCTCCCATCCCCGCAAGCAATGCAATTCAGAAATGCTAGTCCCAGCGGGCGTGGAATAAAAGGCTGATGTTCCTCCCCGTTTCTCATCTCCATCAATCCACGCCTCAATCCATCGCCTGCCTACTCGTCTGATATAGTTGCCGGTCGACCATATCCCCATTTATCGCCAGATCTACAACACTACACTTCACCTCACAAATACTTCTACGCCTCCTTTACGAAGCCGCCAAGATGCACTCCATCCTCACCAGTTCGCTCTTCCTCTCTCTCGCTGTCTTCTCCACGGCAGCTCCCATCCCATTCTCCTTGGCAACAAAGGACACAGCCCTAACTGAGGCTCAACTGGTTCAAATTGCCCCAACATCAAATACCTGCGATAATGCCCCTGCCAAAGGAGAATGCGCCACGGCTAAGACAGCCGCCACGTTCGTCTCTCAGTCCTTTAATGACTACAAGGTCACCAACAAGGCGGAGCAAGCCGCGATCCTGAGTCTGATGGCCTTTGAGAGCGGCGACTTCAAGTACAATAAGAACCACTTCCCCGGCACCCCAGGTCAAGGCAGTAAGTATATGTATTATTTTTTCCTGAGATCAAGTCATGTCTAACTAGAACTGCCATTAGCTCGCAACATGCAATCCCCAGCCTTCAACAAGAAATATGCCAATAGCATCCCTGCCCTGAAAGACAAGATTGCCCCTGTCGCCAATAGCCCTGCTGATCTACTTGACTTGCTGCGCGATAACGAGACCTACGATTTCGGATCTGGCGCCTGGTTCCTCACCACTCAGTGCTCTAAGGATGTGCGCTCCGCTTTGCAGGATGGCTCTGAGACGGGATGGCAACAGTATATCAGCAGCTGTGTTGGCACTTCGGTTACCGATGAGCGAAAGCAGTACTGGGAGCGAGCTGTGAAGGCTCTCGGTGTGTAAAAAGATACGTGAGTATTGTCTCGGTGGATCATAGAATCGGCGTTTATGTGTTGGTGTTTCAGGAGTTTGGTTTGCTTGCACCCGAAGCTGGTTCTTCGTGGCATTTCGGCGCAGTTTGTGGTTCATGGATACCTGTCTGAATTGTTGTTATGAGTTTATCTTGGTTATGCAATTATGTCTTTATGTTACTACCTCAAAGCAAAAATATCGATGGTATGCAATTTCCCGCCCAATTTTGCAAAGTGTTTGAACTAGTAGTCTATCCGTAAATAAAATCAACGTCGATATTTTGGTATCTCATCTCATTGCCGTAGTCTCGTTTCATATACAAAAGATTAACTTTTTGTCAATATTCACAGAACACCCTTAGTGCTAACGATATCGCCAGCGCCGACCTCACCGGCCGATTTCCGGGTAACAGCAGTGCGAATAGCAACAGCGAGAGCCTTGAAGGCACTCTCCGCGCGGTGGTGGTCATTGTCACCGTATGTGCAGCCAACGTGAAGTGTTACGTCGGCAGCCTGGGCGAAACTCTGCAGACCGTGGGTGATCATCTCAGTGCTCAGATCGCCAATCTTCTCGCGGCGGAAGCCAAGGTTGATCACAGCCCAGGGGCGGCTTGACAGGTCGATCACGGCCCATGAGAGAGCCTCGTCCAGCGGGGCGTCACCGCGGCCAAAACGCGCCAGTGATTGACGAGCGCCCAGGGCTTTTGTGAAAGCAGTTCCGACGGCTAGGAAGGTGTCCTCGGTGGTGTGGTGGTCGTCAACTAAGGACAGAGACAGAGACGATTAGCGGACTGCTTCTCTATGCTGCAAAAAAGCAGAACAAGAAAAATATTTGACTTTGACTACTGTCATCAAGCTGGCGCGCAACTTACTGTACAGATCGCCCTTGGCGCGAACCGCCAGACTCATTCCGGAGTGCTTCGCCAGCGCATGCAGCATGTGGTCCAGGAAGCCAATTCCAGTGCTCACGGTAATCTGCTGGGTCGGGGTGAATTGAGTGGCATGACCGGCATCCTTAGGAGGGACAATGCCCTTCTTAGCGGCCTCTGCTTCCTCGGGATCTGTTGGCGGGGGGAAGTGGGAGGATGGCTCGTAAGGCGGGAGGACGCCACCGTCAAGGGAGAGCGACACTTGGATTTTGGTCTCGTTAGTGACGCGCGAGACGACGGCGGTACGTGCTTGGAGGGTCATGGTGGTCAATTGGAGGTGGTTATGCAGCGGTGAGAGAGTTGAGTCAAGTCATCTATTCTAATTGTTGCTAATCATAGTTTCTTTCTATGTGACTCGCCGCCCGCTCTCCGACGGGGAAACTTTCCAAAAATGGTTGATCCGCACCGTCTCCGTCATTCGGTGTCTGAAGCAAAGACCGTTCAGTTCAGTTCATTTCCACCTTTAAAAAACACTGGCTGGTCCAGATTTTTCTGCATGGTCCATATTTGATCAACTCGATATAACTGACCTTCTCTCGGCTACTTAATCCCCTATCCTTTACCTCTTCTTCGCCGTCTTATCAGCTTCCCCCGCGCCCCGAGCTCAATAACCAACCACCACCACCAACATCATCTCCTCCAGCCTTAGGCTGCCCGACACTCCTTGCATCTTACGGCGGTGATATAAACTCAATTCCAGCCATTATGCCACCGCCATCCAACCAACGGAAGGACATCGAGCCCCCGGCTGAGGTCACCACTCAGGCCATGATAGGCTTCATGACCGGTGTGTTCCGGGTATGTTATCCTTGACAGCCAGTGCAGGTAGACCGCCGTTCGATGAAAATTAACATCTGACGCAGTTCGGCTCGGTCTCCATATTTGCGCATATGATCATGAACCTCCCACATCCTTTCATCTTCTCTCCTCCAAAACCGCCCACTACGCAATCACAAGCTCGATCTCGGCCCCAGATGTTCTCGCGCGACTATCTTCGTTCTCGTCTCTTCTACCGTCCATTAGAAGGATTTTCGGAATGGATCTCGCCAGGTTCTCGTGTTTATCGCGGCTTGACACCGCAATTCAAGGTGTTCCTGCAGATCGCAGCCATGACGGCCGGTGGCTGTATCTGGGCCGAAAGACGGGTCGCAGAGTATATTGAACTGATGCGGCGTATCAAAAGAGCCGAACGTCTCCAGGCCGAGCGCGAGCAGGGTTCCCGACCGTACTAGTAAAATGAAATTGCTCTAGTCATGCGGAGCATATGAGTACAGTATGCCATACGAGTACATAGACTACACCGATTGTCGGGGACAACGTGTAAGTGCATGGGATCGACGGATGTGCCTCGTATCTGCGAGAACTACTTGACCGAATAAGTAAACATGCTTCCCGAAGGCTCCGGGAATTCTCTTTGTTCTTGGGTAGGACTTTTTTGGGCAGGTTCCTGGGCAGGAGATATGACGCAGTTTTTCAATGATGCCACGCGAACGGAATTGATCTGAATCCTGGTGATTATCTCGAAGCTTACCCCCTTGTGGCGCTGTCGATCTATATTACGATCTCCATCTTCGTGGACCCCAGAGACGTCAGTTTTACCCCATCCACTCCGTTCCCCCTGGGGGCACATCCCCCATGCTCAAAGACGGCGGAGCTCGCGAGGTGTCGATCACCCTTTTCGATGTGGATCCAGGAGGATTGCACTTTGATAGTTCCATCGCCCCATACTCGTACCATATCAATAGTCATTTATGGATCGCATCGCATCACAATTTTGTCCACACACCACCGTGCCACGAGAGCGAATCACGCAAGCGCCGTGCGGGAACGGGTGGTTCCTGCGGAGCAGATTAGCCGGGCCAATACATACTCATATGGAGTGTACAATCCCTGCTATAACAGTCCGTAGTGGGCTGCACTATGTACTCTTAGCGGATGCACGCCCTGGGTGGAGTACGCCTCTTACGTGGCCAAGAAGCCCCCATCTCTCGAATGCGGATGCAATTCGACATGTCGCGAACGCATGTCTCATCGGGTCAGGTAAGACGGTACGGAGTACATTTGGCCGAGTCATGTATAAGAGTAATCCAACAGATTCGAGATGTACACAGCGGATGGAATATCAAAGGATAGTTAGCCGGTAGTAGTTATACTCTAAGACACCATATCAGAGATAAAAAAAAAAAAGAGAAGAAAAAAGTTAAGCCGATAACAATAGGCAACCACTACTACTCCATTGTAAAAACAAAATTCTGAAACATGGCGATGTTCAGCGGCGAAGCAACTGGGAGGGGCGACCGTTTTACTGCATCCGTCCATTCCTCACTTCACCTCCTTTTTCCCTCTCCTCCTCCTCCCGAGGGGACCGTTAGATCTCATCGCTGCACTCGTCCAATTTCTCCTCAGTTTCCTGTTCTCTCTGCTCACGGGAGAAGCTCTTACAGTAGAGTTTGACCCTTGCCCTGAGATCTCTGCCTCTGCCTCTGCTTCTCAACCCCCCCGCCACCAGTCGAACTTTGTCCGTCTTTCACACTCCCAAGTTGATCGGCAATCTTGACCTCATTCTGGGTCAGATCAGCTCTCGGAAGCCAGAGAGATCTTCTGCGACGAATCGATTCCGTTGATCACCGCCCTCTTTTATTGTTTTCCCCAGGCCTCCTCGCCGTTTTGAGTCTGTGTTTTCGGAGCCAAGCTCTTGAACTTCTCCCCTTCCGGCGAACCTATAACCTTCGGTGCAACCTCTCTTCCTTCGCCACATTGTTGACAGCTGCCACACGCGTCTGGGGCAATTCACTTTTCTTCCATATAACCGCCAGGTCCGCTTTTTTTTCTGACGGTGGAGTCTGTTTGCTATCCCTAGCATCTTTACCCGTCAATTGCTTCCATGGCGACTTGAAGCTGTACGTTCTTGTCCTTGTTCATACCCCCGGTACCCCCGCTTTTCGCCAGCCCTCCCCCCCATCCCCAAGCCCTAAGCCTTTCGGAACTTGCCAGCTCCAGCTCTTCTGCCTGACATCCATCGACATGTCCTCCAGCCCTCTGTGCTAACTGCGGCTTTCCAGTGAGAACGACGTTGGGGTCGTCAATGGGACAAACCCGTTTCTCACCACTATTTCCGCCGATATTTTCGACGCCTACACTCGCTACTAGTCAAATCCTCCCTCTACCTCCTTCATAATATCGCCATGGCCGAGCTCAAAATTGGCTCGAAGGAACGAAGGAAAAGTTTCAGCATGTTCAGCCCAGCCTCAACATCCTCAGCCCCACTTCTACGACCTCCGATTCACGACCGAACCCCCTCTGATGATACCTTCTCGAAGAATAAGAAGTCCCGTCGCAACTCGGGCTTTTTTGGCCGGTCCCAAAGCCCGAATCGATGGTCAACGGGACCCAATGTCCTCCGCCGACCAGGCACTGCGGGAGAGACAGCCGCCTGGTCTGCGGCTATGTCCTCTGCAGCCACGCCCACCCTGGAAGTTCCTCAACCACGTCGCAAGTCATTGCAGAAGAAGCGCAATTCGGTCTTTGGATCTTTGAAGTCACTTCATTCTCTGGAAGACGATGACCCTCTCAGTGCCTCCGTTGGGTCATTGGGCGACGAGCATTCCGGGATTAGTCCCCGAAATGGGATCTGGTCCTCCGCCATCCTCCATCATGGAGCACTCCAAACGACAGGCGGTATGTGGCGAAAGAAGAGCCAGTACCTGGTCCTCACCGACAGCCACATAATTCGTTTCAAAAACCAGGCCAAGGCGGCCGACTCCTTCCCTTCAATCCCGCATTCGTATGCACGGGCTCCTGCCTCGCATCGCCAATCCGTCGCCTCAATTAGTTCACTGCAGGACATGCAGCTCTTGGTTGCAGAACCCTCTGCAGGGATTCCGTTGAACAGCATTATTGCAGTGTACATGCTGGAGGACGCCCGAGTCTCCCCCCACGGTGGAGGTGGCTTATCTTGATGAGCGCACTCACAAGGCTACCCTAGTTCAAATGCAGACATCTGACCTCCAGGAACTACAGCTTTGGATGGTGGGTATTCGCCAAGCCGCACAGATGGCACGGGCAAACGACCCTCTACCTTTCGACCGGGGCTCGGTTGAGTATGTAACAAGGATGTTGGAACATGAACGAGATTACGACCCGGCTGTATTCCGAATGTTCCGGGTCATACAGATTGCCTCCAGCAAGTCTCCTACACGTTCGTCTTCCGATGACCTGACCAAACTGTCGCCTACTGGCTGCTACCTCGCCATTGGACTGCACAAGGTCCACTTGATTCCGATGCAGAAAGCAGCCAATCGATCGTCCGTTGTGTCGTTGTCTGACCTGGAGACCACCACATCATTTGGCCTTATGAATCTGACTGGTCTGTCAATGGAATACGGGGACGATAGTCTGCATTTAACTTTCCGGTGAGGAATCACGGAAGCCCGCATCTGCCACTGACGTTGCTAATGATGAAGCAGTACCCCTTTGAAGAAAGCGTTCAATGTGTTCCTTGCTTCAGTTCATTCGGTCGAAGTTGCTTGTTGGATCCGACAACATACCGAGTACCTGCGCCCATTGTGGACACAACAGCCGTATGATTTCGTGGTACCACGTGAGCTACAGAACGAAAACTTTCCACCTGCTGCTCTGGATGAAGATTATGGCTGCTTCGACCGCACATTAGTTGCTTATTCGGCTAGTTATGACGTCGATACATCCAACATTCGGTATACCATCGACTTGGAATGTGAAGATGCACCATGCTTTCGCCTTCTTCGACCAGCATCTTCAAAAACTTCGCGCTACAGTGCGCATGAGCTGATCGCTGTTATGCGTGCTCTCCGATACAATGAATCATTTCGATCGATCTCGTTCCGTGGGGTAAACCTCGATGCATTGCAGGGTCTTCGTGATGTACTTGGGGTGGATGTTGATGTTCATCTTGACCGAACTGGGTCCCTCGTAAACATCCCAGGGCAGACCAATTTGACTGTTCTGTCCCAGGAGGTGCGTGCCTTGGCATTGAAGAGCCAATCACTTCGTCGACTCGACTTCTCGTACTGTCTAACACGAACGCCAACTCCAACTCTGGACAAAGGTAGCCGGGACCCTGGCTGTGGCATCCCTGAGGCTATTTTCCCAGTTTGTCGTCGTGAATTAACCAATGTGGATTGGGTTGTATTGAATGGAATCAAACTGGGCGAGTCTGACCTGGACTATCTAGTCGACGCCGCATCGCAGAGACGAAGCCATTTGCGAGCTTTGGAGGTCGGCGATTGTGGGCTATCTGTGCACGAAATAGACCTCTTGCTGTCTACCATCGTTGCTCAGGAGTCAACTCTCGAAGCCATCAACATCTCGGGGGTGCAAGGCCGTTTGAATCCCGATGTGCTGCAGCAGTATATTGGGTACTTTGGCCAGATTAGGAAGGTCAATCTTTCTCGCATACCCAGGACATCGGGCTCTGACCCTCTAATTACAGCAGAGATGCTGTTCAATTGGCGGCTTGAAGAACTGATTCTCAGTCGAACAGCGGTGAACCGCGAAACTGTGGACTCTCTCGCTACTTATCTGGCCAGTGATCGGTCCCAAAATCTTCGCACACTTCGCCTTGATCAGTGTGGCCTGACTGGAGAGGATGTTGCCATGTTCATGCATTCGATGTTTGCCGGCCCAGGCAGACCGCGAAGCCTCCATTTGCATGTCAACGAGAATCGTCTTGACAATGGCTGTTCTTTCCTTTTCGATGCGATCGCTAAAAACCTGACTCCGTCCCATCTTTCCATGCAGATGATTGACTTCAAGAAAGAAGAGCACTTCCGACAGTTGGTCGATGCGGTGCGCAAAAACAATACTCTTCGCTATCTGGATATCTCGAAAGCTTCTCTTCCATATGATGCTGGTCCGGAGACCTGTCGAGCGCTCCAGTTGATGTTTGAGGAGAATGATACCCTCGAAGCTTTGGACATTAGCGGAGAGAGTGCGCATCTAGACGTTGCACGCTTCGGAATTGGTCTCAATCTTGCACTGACTGGTCTGAAGAAGAACACATCACTCAAGGTCCTGAAGATTGAGCATCAAAAACTCGGCCTTCAGGGCGCAAACACGTTGGCATCTGTACTTGAGGAAAACGAATCTCTACGAGAAGTACACTGCGAGAACAACGACATCAATCTACAGTCATTCACAGTACTGGTAAATGGTCTGCAATGCAACCGTACCCTGCTCAGCCTCTCCAATATGAACCGAGACCGACATATGTCTCTCGACAAGGTTCGTCGAGAAGTTGACAATGTTCGTTGGGATGCGGGCACCACTCATAGCTCGACGGCAAGCTCGATTCGTCGTTCTTTGCATGCAGCCATGGGTACTAAGAGTCACCGTCTAAGCAAACACCAACCAGCCAACTTTTCCGCATCGCCTACGGAGAACTCGCAACTTGCAGCTCAGAACGTGGAATTCATTCTGCAGTCCCTCCACCGCAAATGGGATATGGAAATTTCTCGGTTGCAGAGGTACCTCCTGCGTAACTACAATGTTACTCATGGAATCGAAGATCCAGAAACAGATGATGCTGCTAGCGATGGACGTCCTGGGACCGCAGCAAGCCTGGGAACAATGCTCGATAACTTCAAGTTCGAAGTTGCCGTGTCTGCAGACGAAGTTCATGCCTCTCCCCCTGACGATTCCGCTGCATCAATCCACCTCCCCCAGGAAGTCACGGCTCTACCCTCAACCGAACGCCGCGATTCAGAGCCTAGACTCAAGGTCCCATCTAAGACCTCGCGCACGGCCAGCCGAATGAAGAGCGTGCCCAACCTGCGACCACAAACCGCCCGCACATCACAAATCATGCCTCCGGGTTACGGTTCTTCCAGCCCTTCTTCCGCGCGCCTCGCCCTTCCCGTCCCTCCTCTACCCTCAGCGGTGACCAAGGCAAGCAGTGTTCGCAGTGCCCGCAGCTCCAGCACCGTCTCAACTGGCACTGGTAGCGCGCGCAGTACATACGGGACAGCTTCGTCCTCTCTAAGAAACTTCCTGACTGGCAGCGCCTTGAAGGAGCGACGACGAGTGGAGTCGATACGCCCTATTCGTGTATCAAATGTATCAAATGACAGCCCCCCCACAGCTAGACTGGGCACCGCCAAAACTCGATTTGCAGGAGCTACAGTAGCTTCCCTTCGCTATGCCCGGACCATGCGAGATGTACAGCAAGGGAATCAATCTCCCACCACACCCTACCTATATCACACCTCCCGTTCACTTCTCCACGAAGCATGTCTTCAGAAATTCCTGTATAGGATTCTCGAGCGCACACGACTTTCTCGCCTCCTATATATGGATCTTTGCCAGGTTGAGCTTTTCTGACCTGCTCAACTCCTGGTCATTCTGCCTCTATCTTGTTCCAGAATGAACCAACCAGCCAGCCTCTGGCCCTCGATACCCTTCACTTTTTGTTGAAAAAGAATCTTCATTCTGCAACTCTGCTCTACTTTCTGATCAAACCACTATCAAGACGGAGTCCTCTGTAGTTCTTTTATTTTTTGCTTCTCTTCCTCCATTTCTGGCGTGATTCTTGTGGATATCATTTGCGAGGCGCTCCGGCATTTCGCAGCGACGGCGTTTTTTTTTTTGCTTCACATCTTCTTTTTCTTTCACTGCTGTCATTGGCTCTATTTATATTCGTCATTGTTTTATCTTGTTCTATATCCTGCTGCCCATTAAGGCTGCTCAATGTGACCGTGAACCTTACTTACATGATTGCTTTGCTTTGCTTATTATGAGGGTAGTCAAGGGTATTTGCTGGGCTGGGCGGGTTTGGCTGGTCTTGGTACTACCCACTGTGGTAGTTGTTAATGCTGTTGTCTAAAGATCCATTGGTAGCGTGTGGGCATAACTTGAATGAATATCAGGTCTCGAGTCAGAAGGTTCTTCTGTGGTTCGTTCTATACCTAATAGGTAGTAGTAAGTAGTAGTAGTCACGGTGTTCTCATAAGGCCCTGCCACCCTCTCAGTGAAGGCATTCTACTTAATACATATTGTTTGAACCTGACCTTGGAACAATCCAGGGTAACTAGGTCTATAATTGCCCAGGTGCGTGTGATACCGAGTAAATGATAGTAGTATAATCGATAGTATTTATATCCCTGATACCGCCAGTGGCTATCGAAATTATTGACGCCATGCTACTAAATCTGCTACGAACACGTAGGGAATATGATGAGAGCGAATATGATGATCATTCATGACAACGACGGCGAGCTAGACTAGCTGGCGAAGAAGCCGATCGACGAATGTAAAGAACGGAGACTCCGTCTTTGGAAATGTTCCAATTGAAGTGTCGCAACTTGGATCTGCGATATAAATGGATCATCAAACAGATTGAATAGGTTTAAGACTACGTGAAGATCTCGTCGAGTTGAATGGAAATACGGTTAATATACAGCGATGATAGTAATTTTGGGACGTTATCGCCAGGCCATCAGAATCACTGGGCTGATTGCGGCCAGCGTGTAGTCCCGCGTAGTCCCATGTTTCGATGCTTCACCCAACCGTAGTAGAGTTTGCTCTACTCCTGGAAGAAAAAGAGATCCTATCAGCAAAGAAATGTAGAAAGAACAACTCCGCTCATATGAATTCAAGAGACCTTTAATGATAGATATACAGCCCAATAAGTAAACATTTCAAACCCAGTGATTTTGAAATCAAAGACCAATGCCCAACAATGCCAGAGTTGAAAGGAGTAAAAAGAAAAGAACAAAACAAATATCTACTAATGTACATGGAAGAGAGACCCAAGCTCTCTCAAATAGGTATCGAAACCACCCTAAGAAATAGGGCATGACGTTTTAACTTCCCCCATGGGAGATTTTTTACACCTCACCACCCAACACCACAATACCCTCCTCTTTATCGCGCTTATTCTCCTGCGCGCGGTACTTCCGTCCCTGGCGCGCGAGCTTCTGGAGATTGCGGAGGTAGAACTTGTTGTGATCATTAAGTTCCTCCTCGCCTCGGCCTGCGAGGGCTCTTTGACGTCGCGTTTGACACATGTTGTACAGGTGTCGTCCTTGTTTATCGTTCAACTCGTTTAACTCCCAGTCCACAGTCCATAGGTCTGCGGAGGAGAAGTTCTCGGGCCTCTTCACGGGCTTGCCGTTGACAAGGTTTTTGGCCGTCAGGCAGTATGCTAGCAGGGGGCCCTTTGGTTCGACTGCGTCGGTTTGTCCGGCGTTAAAGGTTTCGTCTGGGGGCAGGGATGAGTCGTAGATACCGGGGGCGGTCTCTGCTTCGGTTTCCTCTGATTGTTGGGACTCTTCGACAACTTCGGGTTCAGGGGTTTGGAAACCAGGCTCGAGCGGGAAGTCCTCCTCCTTCTCCTCCTTCGGGATGAGGTCCAGAAGACGGTTCTGATACTCCTCGATCTCATCCTTGTTCTTATTTTGGATGGCGTGGATCTCATCTTGAGTGACGGGCTCCACGAAGATATACATGAAAGGCGTGACGGTGTCACGCGAATCGAAATGGAAGCGTAGAGACTGTTTGGGGAACTTCTCTGTAGCTTTGTTCAACACCTCATTCCACATTCCTAAACTGAGCTGGAACTCGGTGTCGCCCAAAGCGGTATCGGACTGGCCGTGCAGAGCCTGGTCCATCTCTGGCAAGCTCACGTACTGGAATCCGAAAATGCGCTCAATATTGTGGAATGCAACGAAGATGCCGTCCATACGACCAATACGCACTTGCAGCGAGTATTTGAGGAAGGCAGCGCGGATCATGTCGTAGAATTCACGCTCGTATGATTCAAAGGCTCCGTACCGGTCCTTGATCTCATATCCAAGTCCCTGCTCGAAGTTCTTTGCGTCCATGCGAATGGAGACAACGGCTCGTGTCTTCAGATCAAACATGCCGGTTCCGGGTAGGCGGGGGTCGTAGGCGTCCAGCTGCGAGCGCATCACAAAGTCCCCGTAGGTAGAGTAGTGGTAAGCTTCTGGAATTGATTCTTCTTCCTCGGCAGATATCTTGTTCTCATGCGAGCGTCGATAGCGCTCGAATTCTTCCTTTGGCAAAGTGAGAAGCTTCTCCATAGACTTTCCAAGATTCATCAAAATATTGGCCGAGTCAAACTCCTTGTCTGCATCAATTGCATAAGTGCCATCCTGGTAATGGAGAAACATGGCGGCTGGTGATCGAAGCAGGCGAGTGAAGCTGCGCATCTTCTCCGGAAATCCCTGGGAGACGGTGCGGACGTCGATTTCTCTCCAACCAGACAGAAGATAATGAAAGTGGGATAGGACCGAGGTCATGCTGGAGGAGGACCCAATATACTTCTTGTTCTCTTTGACGGCGACTTCGCGGAGAGTCTCGTCCTTAGAGGACGTAATGTAATCCTTCAACGTGTTGAAATCGAATTCGGTGACGGGCATGATCGAGCCGAGATAAGGGTCGAAATTGTAGACGCGAGAACGAGGATCCCGTAGATGATAGACACCGGGGCTGTGTACTCATGTTAGAGTACTGATTGTATAGCACGAGAGAAGAAATTGGCAAACTTACTTGAACAAAACTCGATCAAGTCCAAAAGATAGGCCAGGAACGGGCGCCGTGGGGACATCAAGTGCTAAGTAATGTTTAGCAAAGGGACCGGATCTGCATTTCACGCCAATGTTCGAACTTACGTTTCACTTGCTGGCCTGTTGAGTTGATTGATCCAGTGTACTTATTCTCGATATTTTTCGCAACGTGTTTGAGGAGTGCCCTATCTTCTCCAGCAGTCTCCTTCCTAGCCCTGGCCTCTGGGCTCATGGATGAGGATGGTCTCTCGGGCTCGGGGATATCAATTGCAGCCAAGACTTGGTCATTGGAGGCCTGGACTTGCTCCAGTCGGTTTTGTTCAGTCGTCTCGCCGTCGGCATCTCGTTTTCCAGTCGCCTTATCCCCGCCGGATTCCGATTTTTTGGAGTTTCCTTTCCGCTCATATTTCCGATGGTTTGATTTCTGGATGGTAGTCAATTGAGTCAGCGTCTTGTTCTCTAGAACAAAAAGATAAGTGACATACCGCGTCTGGATCCTCAAAGTTCTTCTTCCATTGCTTGCTAGTCTTTGCAGTCTTGTGTTTGGAAAGAGTGGGAGGTGTGGTATGTAGTTGGCGGAATTTGGCTGGCGCGCTGGATTGGATCGCTAGACAAGAGAAGCAGACATGGCCTCGTGCTAGGCCTGATACAGACCGGGTTGAAAGACGAAGCATTCGGTCCACTTGACTCCAATCGAGAGGAGAACAAGAAAAAGAAAGGGATGTCTTCTGACAAAGATGGCGCGCGAAAACGAGTCGACCGCAGGCAAACCTCCGCGCCGCAGAATGTTTTTTTGCCTCGCGCCACCGCCGTTTAGTTTGTGCCTGAAATATCAGGATAGTGACTAGTATTAGAGAGTAGTAACACTAACGAGTTCGCAGGTGTTAGGTATTGAGTTATTTGGGCATTGAGATATGTATTGATAGAACTAAGTAAAATCAGTAGTAGTTCTGGTAATTATAATTTCTACGAATACACCAATTCTGATTCTATTCTATCCTATTATCGATACTGCCTACAAAATTAAAGTTTTCCCGCCTTAGAAGTATCAATTGGATTTGGTCGATACTCTAACAGACACTGTACTAGTAAATCTTTGATAAAAAGTACAATCTAGCAGATTTGGATCTCATTTAGCCTTGCTAAACATTCGAAGTTCAATTCTGTTCACCAATGAAGAATTACAAATGTAAATGCAGAAATAATTATCCCCCATACTCGTACATGAGTCAGTCCACGCGGCGGAGAAAATCGTTCCGCCGGCAGAAAAAAAAGTTATCTTCAATCCAATCTACGAAGTCTACCAAGCCCTTCTCGACCGCAATCCACTCCCTTTGCAGTTGCCTCTCAGGTCTCTCGAGGTTAGTTTTTTATCCGCACTGGTTATATTATCCCCAGATTCAGGCATTTCTCTTTCTCGACCCCTCAATTCCATTTCCCTGGCCCTCCAATCCTAGCAGAGGAGGGGCATACCCGCGGTGGACTCCCACAGTCGCTAACAACTTCAACACAGTCACTCGAGACACTGCTTTTCACAATGGCTTCCGAACAATTACGCGTTCTCATTGTCGGCAATGGTGGCCGTGAACATGCTCTGGCTTGGAAGCTGAGCGAGTCTCCTCTGGTCGACATCGTCTACGTCGCTCCCGGAAACGGTGGCACTGGTCTGGGTGCCTCCAGCAAGATCGCCAATGCCAATGTCAAGGGCGATGACTACCCCGGTCTGGTTGCCTTTGCTCAAAAGAACAGTGTCAACCTGGTCGTCCCCGGCCCCGAGGCTCCTCTCGTCGACGGTATTCAGGGCTACTTCCAGGCTGGTAAGTTAACTTTATACCAACCTATTCTTCTCGATTCCGATCCTGTGCCTTCGGATTCACTAACATATCCCGTCTCTCTATAGTTGGAATCCGATGCTTCGGTCCCTCCAAGGCTGCTGCCCGCATGGAGGGCTCCAAGACCTTTTCCAAGGACTTCATGCAGCGCCACCAGATTCCCACCGCTGCCTTTGGAAACTTCTCCGACTACGAATCCGCCGCCAAATATCTCGACTCCGTCAACCACAACGTTGTTATCAAGGCTGACGGTCTGGCCGGTGGCAAGGGTGTTGTTATCCCTACCACCAAGGAGGAGGCGCACCAGGCCCTCCGCGAGATGATGATCGATCACCAGTTCGGCAAGGCTGGTGATGAGGTTGTCATTGAGGAGTTCATGGAGGGTGACGAGCTGAGCATCCTCACCTTCAGTGACGGTTACACTATCCGTTCCTTGCCCCCGGCTCAGGACCACAAGCGCATTTTCGACGGTGACCAAGGCCCCAACACTGGTGGCATGGGCTGCTATGCGCCCACCCGCATTGCGCCCAAGGAGGTGCGCGAGGAGATCGACCGTACTATCATCCAGCCTTCCATTGATGGTATGCGCCGTGATGGATTCCCCTTCGTTGGTATTCTCTTCACCGGTCTCATGATGACCAAGAACGGACCCAAGGTCCTTGAGTACAACGTCCGTGGTGGTGACCCCGAGACTCAGACTCTGCTGCCGCTGCTGAGCAAGGACACCGATCTGGCCCAGATCATGGTCGCCTGTACTGAGCACTGGCTGGATGGTGTCTCCGTCAAGGTCGAGGACAACTACTCCACCACTGTCGTCGCCGTTGCTGGCGGATACCCTGGCGCCTACGGCAAGGGTCAGACCATTACTCTGGATCCTGCCCCCGCCGGTACCCTCATCTTCCACGCCGGTACCACTCTGTCCGGCAATGAGCTGCAGACCGCTGGCGGCCGTGTCATCGCTGCTACTGCTACTGCCCCCACCCTCGAGGAGGCCGTCTCCAAGAGCTACGAGGGTGTTGCTACCATCCACTTCGATGGCATGTTCTACCGCAAGGATATCGCTCACCGTGCGTTCCGCCAGACTGCCGACACCTCTCTCACCTACGCCCAAGCCGGTGTCTCCATTGATGCCGGTAACGAGCTGGTGAACCGCATCAAGGCCTCCGTGGGCCGCACCAAGCGCCCCGGTACTGACGCCGTCATCGGTGGCTTCGGTGGACTCTTCTCTCTGGCCGCCGCCAACTCCCAATACCACCCTCACTCTCCCACCCTCATCGGAGCCATCGATGGTGTCGGTACCAAGCTCAAGATCGCCCACAGTGTCGGCATCCACGACACCGTCGGTATCGACCTGGTCGCCATGAACGTCAACGACCTCGTCGTCCAAGGCGCCGAGCCTCTCTTCTTCCTGGATTGCTACTCCTGCGGCCACCTGGACGTCCCCACCGCCACAGCCTTCGTGACCGGAGTCGCAGAGGGCTGCGTGCAAGCCGGCTGCGCCCTGATCGGTGGTGAAACCGCCGAGATGCCGGGTCTCTTCGTCGACGAGTCCTACGACGCCGTCGGAGCCGCCGTCGGCGCCATCAACACCACCGGCGAGCACGCCCGCAAGATCCTCCCTTACACGGACTCCATGCGTCCCGGTGACGTCCTGCTCGCCCTGGGCTCTTCCGGCCCTCACTCAAACGGCTACTCTCTCGTCCGCAAGATCGTCGAGCGCGCTGGCTTGAGCTACACCGACCCGGCCCCCTTCACCATGCCCGGCCAGTCCTCTTCTTCTCCCCTCTCCCTCGGCGCTGCCCTCCTCACCCCTACCCGCATCTACGTCAAGTCCATCCTCAACGCCCTCGCCTCCCACCCAGCTGCCATCAAGGGTCTGGCCCACATCACCGGCGGTGGTCTTGTCGAGAACGTCCCCCGCATGCTGCCCGCTACCCTGACGGCCCAGATCGATGTCAGCACCTGGGCCCAGCCTCCTGTCTTCTCTTGGCTCCAGCGTGCCGGTAATGTGTCCGCGGCTGAGATGGCCCGCGCCTTCAACTGCGGTATCGGTATGATTATCGCCGTCGACCCGGCTTCTGAGGCTGCTGTTCGTCAGAGCTTTGTCGAGCAGGGTGAGGATGTTTACCGTATTGGTGAGCTGCGTGTTCGTGCTGAGGGTGAAGAGGGATGTGTTCTCTCTGGACTTGAGTCGTGGAGCGCATAAGTGCATAGATGGCTTGGCTTCGGTTTCTGTTTTATCTTGTAGTTCGACGTGGAAATGCCCATTCTATTGCATCATCTTATATAAGATTTTGATTTTGATATCGACCTTTCCAATTTTCTTTTTATTTTCTTTTTTCTTCTCGTCATTTATTTGTTATTTCACTTTTTTTTCTGGCAAATTTTCTTATGCTTGCGGCTTGCAACTCAAAATGAGGACGAGATGAGTCCAACGAACGACTGATGCGAATCCTGTATGATGGATGAAATGATATACACTCCTACATTTTGGTTACTTAAATGAAAGATTTCCTAGAATTCTGTATTCTCTCTCTCTCTCTCGTACTTGCACCTACACCTGCACTGCCGGTATTGGCATTGGCATTGGCATACTTTTCATCGTACTAGTAGTACTAGTAGGAAAGATTGATCACCAGTACTACTACTAGTAGTTGGTATAAGGTATGCCCCACAGGTTCTTTCTCCCGGGGCTATTCAAGTTTCAGATTGAATTAAACGAACCTAGATCCGGGCAGCGAGCGTCCTATTCGTCGAGCCTGGGCTAGAAAAAGCAAGCATAGATAGTAGGTAAGGGACCTGAACTTATTTTGTTCTAAGGGTTATCATTCGACGGACTGAAATTACTATCCTTTTAATATTTAATAATTCCATTACAGTTTACTGCTGACACTACGACAGAACATGCACATGCACAAGCATAAGCGGATGAAGGTCTCAACTGAAGACAATTTAGTCGGAGATACAACGCATAAGGCTAGAACATAAAGGAACGCGACCTGTGCCAACTCCCATGTACACACATCCTCATATCACACTACGCCATGTCGCCGTGGCGCGGCACAAAGCTATTTCCGAGGTGTTTCGAAAGGAAGGGAGAAGGGGAGGGGGTGGGCGGCGTGAGCGTTTTCCGAAGAATCCGAGGCAGATATGGGGGTGACTCGCACCACGCGCACAAGAGAGGAATTGTGAAACTGAACAAGAGAAGAAAAGAGGAAGACCGATGAAAAGAGAGAAGACGAAAAATAAAGACCGACTCTATTCCACTAAAAATCGAGATTTCCATTTTTCAGGCTATCCGCTTGGTAATGCGAGTCCAACAACAACGCTTGCGATCCACCAGTGCCTCCCTCCTCATCCTGCCTTTTAATACACCAGGAAAGTACGAGCGAAGATGATCAAAGCTATCAAGTAATAGCTTAGAAGCACTTGCGGTGAACGATCGAAGGACCGCTCTCGTCGTACTCCTGCTTGGAGATCCACATCTGCTGGAAAGTGGACAGGGAGGCGAGAATGGAACCACCAATCCAGACGGAGTACTTGCGCTCGGGGGGAGCGATGATCTTGACCTTCATGGAAGAGGGAGCAAGAGCAGTGATCTCCTTCTGCATACGGTCGGAGATACCGGGGTACATGGTGGTACCACCAGACTAAGGGGGAAATTGTTAGTTCAAGGAGTTCATGAAAAACACTGGATAAGATAGAAGGAACACATACCATGACAATGTTACCGTACAGATCCTTACGGACGTCAACATCACACTTCATGATGGAGTTGAAAGTGGTAACGTGGATACCGCCGGACTCGAGACCCAAGACGTTAGGCTGGAACAGAGCCTCAGGAGCACGGAAGCGCTCGTTACCAATGGTGATAACTTGTCCGTCGGGAAGCTCGTAGGACTTCTCGAGGGTGGAGCTCTGGGAAGCGGTCTGGATCTCCTGCTCAAAGTCTAGGGCGACGTAGCACAGCTTCTCCTTGATGTCACGGACGATTTCACGCTCGGCAGTGGTGGAGAAAGAGTAACCACGCTCAGCCAGGATCTTCATCAGGTAGTCGGTCAGATCACGACCAGCCATGTCGATACGGGAGATGGCGTGGGGCAGGGAGAAACCCTCGTAGATGGGGACAACGTGAGTGACACCGTCACCGGAGTCAAGGACGATACCAGTGGTACGACCGGAGGCGTACAGGGACAGAACGGCCTGGATGGAGACGTAGAAGGCGGGGGCGTTGAAGGTCTCGAAGACAATCTGGGTCATCTTCTCACGGTTGGACTTGGGGTTGATGGGGGCCTCAGTCAAGAGGATGGGGTGCTCCTCGGGGGCGACACGGAGCTCGTTGTAGAAGGTGTGGTGCCAGATCTTCTCCATGTCATCCCAGTTGGTGACAACACCGTGCTCAATGGGGTAGCGCAGAGTCAGGATACCACGCTTGGACTGTGCCTCATCACCAACGTAGGAGTCCTTCTGACCCATACCAATCATGATACTATCCGTCTGTTAGTTTTCCATTTGATAAGCTCTGAATTGCGGCAGTCGATTTCGGTGGCTCGCAATCGAAACAAGCAGCAGAGGGGGTGGGGGGAATTTACCCATGGTGACGGGGACGACCGACAATGGAGGCTGTTCAGACCGTTAGTATTTTTTTCATCTTTTCTTATATTGCTTTCCCCATATCCCCCTCCAAATCCGATACCAGCATGTGATCATATAATACCCACTATCTCAAAATGGCACCTCGTTGTCGGGAGATGTCATCTGAAGCAAGGGCTAGCGGGATCGCTGGCAAGGAGGAGGGGTGTCTGAGGGGGCGGAGGGGGTTATGTGGCACTTACGGAAGACAGCTCGGGGGGGCGTCATCACCGGCGAAACCGGCCTTGCACATACCCGAACTAGAAACAAAGCATCAGTAAAAAAAAATTCCTCTCTGTCGGTAATCGACATAATTGCTGATCGGTTGGGATCCTGGAGGTGGCCTGGTGTGCGATTGGGACTCAATTTGCCGGGGCGGCGAATTAGGGGGGCAGTGATTGAGATGGGCGCGACCGGGCAGCGTGAGACCCCAAAACACCAAAACCAACTCTCAGGCGACCAGTTGATTCATCACATACCCATTGTCGATAACGAGAGCAGCGACTTCCTCTGTAATAGACGAAATGGATTAGCAAACCGTTCCAGATGAGAGTTGGGATGATGACCAGCAGCTCATGATCAGGCTCAGCTCTCCCCAGCTATTTGGGAGGGGGGAGGCTTAGAGTTGACGTGGCTGGAGTGGCCTCAAGCGAGAAGCTGGGAGTGGGGAGAGGGGGGGAGGGGGGAAAATATCATAATATAACATACCTTCCATTGTGACTGAGAAAGGAGATGTGGATTAAAGGAGATGGAGAGAAGAGAAAAGGGGAGGAGGGAGTATAGAGTTGAGAATAGGTAGGGGGGGAAGAGGGAAGAAGAGGGAGAGCGAGAAGGAAGTGGGGAGGGTTGGGACTGGACTGCCACACACTGCCACTACTATGGATCTGCCTCTGCCACTGAGACTGGTGTGTGCGCAAGAGAGAACTTGTCCCTCGACTAAACCCGCCCCGATCGTCCCTATATATCTCCAGTTCCATGGCTCTTGTCTCCCAAGGCAGACACACTTTCTACAAGTGATTCTACATTTTATCATGATGGATTGCGCATCCTCGTGGGGCTCCTATGTTTGGGATGGCCCTATTTCGGGACGGGGCATCTTCGCCACAGAAAGAGAAAGAGCAATACAAACAAGTTACAGTCTTACGGGAGAGCCGGCTCCACGATTCCAGCTTGACAGGGTCCAATGCACCCAGTAGACCCGGTTGAACAGCATGGCCGCCTGAATTGAGGACCCCAGGCTTCCGCAATTCACCCCATCCAGGTTTTGTCGTATGTGGCGGGGAGGGGAAGGGAAGGCTGTAAAGTTTACGAGTGTACGAGTGTACGAGAGATTGGGCAGGTCACTTCTAAGTATAGAAACCCCTCTTTTCGCGGCAACAAATCACTTTGGAATGCCATGGGAGTACTCTAAAGGTACTTGACTTGCTCGCACAACTCCTCGCCTCCCAGGAATGTACGGAGGAATATGTAAACCCCCCAATTCTATTGTTCATGGTGCTGCAGCCCTTTCCCCTCCCCCCTAGCTGCCACTTCACCTCTTGTCCACTTCCAATTGACCTGCTAGCCTAACGCAAGCCGCCCCATTTACCGCCATTTCAAAGACGGTGAGTGGAAGGTCACGTGCTATACCACGTGATATCAGCTGATCGAAGCCGCTGGGCGCTTCCCGAATAGTCTCAGTCGTTTCCTTAGTCATCCAAAATGTGGGTATGGCGGGCAGTTATATCATAGAGCCCGCCATGGTATCAAAGTATTCTCGAACTTTTTGCGACCAGCCCAAATTTCCCCAAATTTCCTCCACAACTTTTTCGCCCCGGAAAATACCATTTCCAATCACACCAAGATGAATCCCGAAATGAACAAGCTCCTCAAATGGAGTGTCCAGAACTCCCAGCAGCAGAATGAGGACGGCTCCGTCACTGCCCCCGCCAGCGCCGAAGAACTCCAGCGCAACCTGACCCCAGACATGATCAATGCGCTCATGGGCGGTCCCTCCGATGCCGATCTCATGAAGGCTGCCATGGAAATGCTCCACTCGGATGAGGCAGACCTGGAGAACAAATTGATCGCATTCGACAACTTCGAGCAGATGATCGAGGGTATTGATAATGCGAATAACCTGGAGCCTCTCGGCCTATGGACTCCATTGGTTAAGTTGCTTCAGCATGAGGATGCCGATATGCGCCGCATGTCCGCGTGGTGTATTGGTACTGCTGTGCAGAACAATCAGACAGCTCAAGATAAGGTATGTTATACCCCGCCAGCTCTACTATTCGGTGAAAAGCAAAAAATATACATATAATGTATACTTGAACATGACATATAGCTAACACATTTATCACACAGCTTATCGTCCTGAACGCCATCGCCTCTCTCGTGAACGTTGCGACAACCGATCCCAACCCCGCCACCCGCAAGAAGGCCGTCTACGCCCTCTCCTCCGCCGTCCGTAACTATCAGCCTGCCATGAACGAGCTATCAAAGAGCCTCCCCGAGGGCTACCCCACAGATAAAACTGATGCCGCGGACATGGATGCTGTGGATGTGATTATGGACAAGCTCCGCGCTCACCCCGTTGCCTCTGCCTGAAGAGCCTAAAATCGAAGCGATGACTCTTCATACACCCTGCTGGAGGCATCTGTAGCGGAAGACCTCGAGTGCCTTCCTTTCGTCGCTTGTTTCGCCAAGGCCTGCCCTCGAGTTACTCCGCCGGTGAAACGGGACGGCTTGGCTTGCCGTGAGTGAGCCTACCCTTCACATCAATCACACCCACACAACGACGACGGTGCCTATCTTCTCTTCTCATGGAACCCATGGGATGGTAATGCGATGTTAGGTTCGTTGCCGGGCTGATTGCGTTGCTCAGATTACGCATGCTAGTTCCAGGCAGAAGAAAAGTGGTTAGATAGATTTGTATATACCCCGGGACTATGTACTAGGTCCTATTGAATTGACGAAGCTCATGATATGAAACTTCTTGAACAGAATATGGTCACCTAAAAAGTATGTAAATTTTTACCTAGTAATAGTAGTATGTAGTACTTGTTCATGTAGGTCGCATGCGAAAGAATATACTGTTGCCTGGGCTAAATGTTTCGTTGTGATCAAAGACATTACGCGTATGCTTTACCTTGGAAACTATACTAGAACCTCGGGATATGGCTGTCAGCCGGTTATCTCCTTTCAAGGTCCACGGGTTACAGTACTACTTAGTATACATCATGATGATTTGTCTAGCTCGAACCTTAGGGACCCAACAGGATCTGCCTCCATGCAAATCTGTGGAGAAATTGTCTCGTTAATGCAACAATTACTAGCAGATATCTTACCTAGGAATCAAGATTCTCGATATGACATACCTTCAAGTTGGTACCCTTCAATTATTTTATTTCTCATCTCTCATTCACTCCTATTTTCGTACTTCTCAGTGATGTATATATTCAACTTAAAGTTGCTGAGTATACGACCAAGATGCCGTATAGCATACACGATGACCCTTCCACCAACCACGTCGATAATAAGGGTAAACTAAAATAATTTCTACTTCTCCGTCAATTCGAAATGGCCCATAGAGGGGTTTTAGAGAAAGTAACCGCAGTTCGCGAGTTCTGCTTGCTAGGTATACCATACTACTCCCGGCCCGACATTCCTCCGACCACCCCCAGTCGTCATCGCAGGCAGCTCCGAGACGACCAGCACATTCCCTCCAAGTCATCAAGCCAACCCAACAACACAATGGACGTCTCAAGCAACCGACTCTTCCGCTTCTCAAAGCCAGAATGGCTCAATAACTCCGCCGTCCGAAACACAGGAGTTTACGTCTCCGGCGCACTGGTGAGTCCTGCCGTCCAACTCGACCCGCCCATGGACTTGGAGCTGGACCTGGAAGACCAGACCAGACCAGACCAGATTAAGCCCTACTACCCGGGCGCGCATATACTACACTCCATGGTCGCAAACACAAGCTAACCATCCTTTTCTAGTTCGCGGCCGGATTCTTCTTCCTAATCGACGTCGCCTCATTCTCCCACAGCCCCCGCAATGGCTCAGACGTGCATATCAAGTTCGTCGACTGGATTCCCGGCATCTGCTCGGCGCTGGGTATGCTGGTGATCAACTCGATCGAGAAGTCGCGGCTGCAGGCCGATAGCTTCAGCTACAGCGGTAGCGGGGTTGCGTGGAAGGCGCGCTTTGTGCTTTTCCTTGGGTTTGCTTTGTTGGCTGGTGGACTTGCGGGCAGTGTTGTACGTTTTCCCCAAGCATTTATTAATATTTGTGCGCTTGTGTCTGGGAGACCGGTGGCTAATTATTGTCTTCTTTTTCAAGACGGTTATGGTTCTCAAGTATCTTATTAAGGATTATCCGATTCAGACGCTATACTTTGGTATTGCGAATATTGTTGCCAATGGTCTGGTTATGCTGAGGTATGTGGAGATGGGATATTGATTGCCGATTCTGATGCTGATGCTGATGCTAATTCTACGCGGCAGTTCTATTGTTCTCTGGGTTTCTCAGAACATCGAGGACGATTATACCTACAATCTCGCATTGTAAAGAAATGCTTTGATGAGGTACCGAGAAACTCGCGACTTGATTTGTCTGTATTTTATGCGCGGATGTGATGGCTCCGTTTTTGATTACTCGCATCTCTGGCTACCCTGCTGGAGCTTAGCATGGATGAAATCTATTCTATGACTCTTCCAAAGAACGACCCGGTTTCGTAGATTGTGCCTGGGAGGCTCGCTCATTTAGTACCTAGTACTGGCTTATTCACGGTATAATTCTCCCATTGTCGTCTAGCTGATGGCAATGAGAGGGATACATGTTGTACTATTCTTGTTCGTAACGGGGATTGGGAAAAGATCTCAAGATTCCTAATGGCCTGATCTAACCAAATTGGCAAAAATTTAGTACGCCGAAACAAATCACGAGTCGTAGCAAAAAGAAGACAATCGCCATGATATTGAATTATGAATATGAAAGCTCCGAAACGAAACTCCCTGCAAATGTAACCCGCCTGAGGTCATCCCATGCGAAACCTAAAACGCCAATTCCAAATGAATAGATACATGAATCCATAAAGTCATAATATAGCATCCCCGAGATACCCATCCCAGCCTACCCACATCAATGGTCTTCACAGAAGAGTCGCAGGAGTTCATCAATGCAAGTCATCGCTTTACCTTTCTCCAAAAGCAAGGGGGAAGATCCAGACCCGACAGCCGGGTCTCTGAGATATTTGCGCAATGCAAAGGCGGCTGCTTTATAAGTCGCGTGATACATTGCTTTAAACTCATCATCATCCGCCGAGGCACCGGGAGCTGGCGTCTCTGCACGCAGAATTTCCGGGGCAGGCGTTGCATTCGATGATTGTGCTGGATCTGGGTCCGACCCTCCTCCTCCGCCTGCAGCTGGTTTAGTCGAGGACTTTGCGTTGGCGCGGTGAAAACCGTAAAGCCGCATACACGTCAAAATTGTGCGCGTGATGAGGTTCTTGTTATCCGCGATGATGGATTCGGGATTTTTAGGCGGAGATGAAGGGGCCGCCGCCGTGGTGACTGACTTCTCTTTTTCTCCTCCTTCTGCCAGATATGACAAGGCAGACGGTGGCAGGATTTGTTGTGATCCACGACGAGAACCTTGATCTAGGAATGGATTTGGCGTTGGTGCACGCTTTTGTGGATCGGCATTCACATTCACATTCACACTCATATTCACACCGGGGGTAGCGCGAGAACCGCGAAAACTTCCCTGTCGGTGAAGATTGGCTCCAATGGATACGGAGCGGGATCTTCGAGCCGCGGCGATGCGGTCGAGACTTGGGAGTCCTGGTTGGTCGTCGTCGGGCTCACGTTTTATACGGAGCGAGGATATGTTTTGCGAGGATGAGGATGGCCGGATTGGTGCCATCATTTGTGAGACGGCTTCGCCGCCTCTTTGGCGGACGCGCCGGTGGTGTAGCGCTGCGCTCTCGAAGAGTGTTGCTACTCGTTTCCGTTTAGGGCTAGGCGAGCTAATGTCTGGGAGGAACTCCGCTGGGGCAGAGCCATGTTCGCCGCTGGAACTTTGTGGCGGAGAAGGGAAGGCTCGGGCTTGTGTGAGCTGGGTTGTAGAGAGGGGAGCTGCATACACTCGCAACTCATATGGCTTCGTTGTGGAGGTATTTGTATTGTTGTTGGATTCGGACGGAGACGAATGTGGAGGAGTAGGTGGTCGCGCGCAAGAGGTTGAACTGGATAACACGCCATAGATCAAGAAATCAGAAGTAGCGGGACCGGTCTTCTTGATTGTACTGCCAGTAACACTGACCAACAGGCCAACCGGGCACTGTAGGGATTGGTGTAGATCCAGCTCATCTTCGTTCACCCAGATTGCGCCGGTCAATTTGCGCTGGAGCCATTGTGACGTTGTCGGGTTGAGTGTGTGTAGTTCAAGATTCGGGCCAGCGCGTGCGTGGAGAGGGATGAGAGCTGGGTTCACAAAGCTTCGAAGCTCGAGTTTGCTGTCTTTGGATACATCGCATTGCCAGTGTGACGTCGAATCAACCAAGCGGATTCCTGGTAGGTCAGCCGACTGTATATAGCGAGATCGGTGTTTATTGCTTTACCTTCCAACAGCTGGTCTGGATCCAGGGCAATAGACCCTGACCAGACGTTCATGTTCAAGAGTTACCAGGTCGTAGTACCCTCAGATTCATCTTCGTGGTGTTGTTGAACCTTGGAAGTGGGCGGTCAAGCATTGGCATCCTGCAACTTCGCCGACGCGCCTGGAACGCGCGCTAGTGGGGTCTGTTTGACATGGGGCACTACGCATTCATGAGCCGAATTTCTATTTAAAGGCGGCAATAACCACTTCCTACTATTAGAAATGCCTGGTATGATCACTCATTGACTATCTTGGGAATTCCTGACTGCAAAGTTAAGTGATATCACCAAGTCCCCAGGCTAGGTACGACATTTAACTTCCCAGTCACGGGATTTTCGCGAACATTTGAGCGATTTTACACAACCACTACTTTGGTAATCAGATGGATCCAAGGAAAACTGAATGCGACATATATATATACACTGTGTTAAAAACCATTCAGAGTATCATAGCTATCATAGCCAAAGAAATGCTAGCCATACAGGTATGGCAAATTGACGCTAGAACTATCTCCAGCACTCACCCGAAGTATATGGCCCGGGTGTGCAATACGTGAAAATCAAGTTGGTCGCGCAAGAGTAACATCATCATGAAAAGCAATGTGGGTGTGTCAGGAACCATTCTCGTTGTACTAGAACAGGGAAGGCCGGTTGTACCCAGTCCTGCCCGAGGAGCCGTCATTCGCTACTAGAACTCCTCCTGTTCTTGGAAGAACATGGAAAAGCTGATAATAGTTCCATAAATCAAAAGACCGCCAAAGATAGACATGATCATAGCCGGGAGTTCGATCGCTCCGCTGTGAGCTAGAACTGCGGGGAGGGCTGAATACGGGGTGTTAGCAATCTCAGTTAATGAACACAGCGAAACGAGCAATGCAGAGCAAATCAATGAGTTCCCCGGGACGATACCCAAAATATGTTTCCCATATCGGTCCCGGGGGGTACTCAATCAAATGGGCTGCTGGAGGGTAAGGTGACGCATTGAGAAGGCGACCAACTTACCAATACCAGTCAAAACCAAGAATCCAGTCATGAAGCGCCCGAAGTCCATCGCTGAGCTACTTGAGCTGTCCATAAAGTCGTCTGGGTTCGCACATCGTGCACAGATCCAATTGGGAAGCGGCGCAATGATATAGATGGCAACGACCAACAAAGGCCAGTACTTGTGCCATAGTGCGGAGGAGAGGATAACGAGGAGGAATCCGATCGCAAGAACCTGTTTCAAGTCAGCAGATGTTTCCTCTTCTACCGGCGCAAGATAACAGGCGGGGTGAGGAGTACGAAGGAGAGCGCGATGATGGTCTTAAGTCCAGCAGCCATGATTGCGGAGTCACCGAAGCCGTTCGGTTGTCGGAAGGGGCTAAGATCAGATATGGAATGGTAGCGCAAGTGTCAGATAAGGTATCTCAGTAGTAGTCGAGGGATGGCAGCCCCATTGACAGGGAGCGAGGGGAGAGATAGCTTTGGAGGTGTTGCGAGGAATGAGTGACGTTGGCGCCTGAAGGTCACTGGGTGTTGCGGCCTCAGGCCACAAGAGCTCGATGCTTCACACCGCGTCACCTTAACTGCCTGCTTCAGCTTCCCCCATCTCCGCCCCCGAGTCCTTCTCTTGTTGTTGCGCTTCCATTTCCCTTCATTGATTGCCAGGTTTACCTCTATTCTCTATATCTCAAGGACCCATCAGTCTCCTCCATTCGCGATGTTCAGAAACAACTACGACAACGATGCCGTCACCTTGTAAGACCTACCCCAACCTCTCCGCGAATTCATAATCAGTTCTAACAGAAGCCCCAAAGCTCCCCGCAAGGGCGGATATTCCAGGTTGAATACGCACAGGAAGCAGTGAAGCAAGGATCCGTGGTCGTGGGATTGGTGAACAAGACACATGTAGTGCTGGTCGGCCTCAAGGTTCGCTCTCACTCCACTTCATCTGTCCTTCAACAGGGACGATAGACAACAAATCAGGACAACGAACTAACCTACGATTCCACTCCAGCGTAATGCCGAAGAACTTTCCTCCTATCAGAAGAAGATCATCGAGATCGACTCCCACATGGCCATTGCCATCGCTGGCCTGGCCTCAGATGCCCGCGTTCTTTCCAACTTCATGAAGCAGCAATCTCTCGGCTCCAAGATGACTTACGGCCGGCCAATCCCCCCTGGACCGTATCGTTAACCAAATCGGCGACCGAGCGCAGACCAACACGCAGCACTACGGAAAACGGCCCTACGGTGTAGGCCTATTGGTGGCTGGTGTCGACGAGGCCGGCCCGCACCTGTTTGAGTTCCAGCCCTCGGGCCTCACACATGAGATGGCTGCCTGTGCTATCGGTGCTCGTTCCCAGATGGCCCGCACGTACCTGGAGCGGAATCTCGACAAGTTCCCCGATAGCAGCCGCGACGAGCTGATTACCCACGGTTTGCGAGCTCTCAAGGAGACACTGTCGCAGGATAAGGAGCTCACGGTGGATAATACTTCTGTTGGTGTGGTTGGATTGGCGCCTGAGGGATCAAAGGGCCGGATTGAGAGCTTCAAGCTGTACGAGGGTCAGGAGACGGTGCCCTTGTTGGAGGCCCTTGAGCGGGCAGATGGTGCCGCAGAGGAGTCCATGGAGGTCGACTCATAAACTTCTTGATTTTTAATGATTCGCATAGACATGAAATAGTATCTGCTTATGCTGTGCCCTTTTGGGATTTTTTTACTACATAATACTGTATGCTCATTGTTGGGATGGAAACGTGCCCGTTCCAGGGTCAATAGTTTCTACTCTATCATCTAGAGCGTTCATGAATATAGTCATAAAAAGAAGAAAACAAAGGCGAAAAAAGAAACATGAAAAACCCCCGAGAATACAGCCCATAAGAACCCAGAACCCCGAGCTCCACGCGCTATGTATGTCCGGATCTATGCATATCCAATATGAATGACGTACTCATATCCTTATTCCTCTCCCCAGTTCAGTTGCATTCGATCGCGGCTGACCTGGTACTCCACAAGCTTGGGCCAAACTTCGGCCACATCACGAGCCTCAGCCAATATCGATCCATTCCCGCCGCTGATAAAGCCCGACTTGACTGCATTGCGAACCCAGGCCAGGAGACCATCCCAGTATCCGTTAATGTTCACCAACACCAAACCAACCCGGTGAATTCCGAGCTGGTTCCAAGTCGTCATCTCCATGACTTCCTCAATAGTGCCGAAGCCACCAGCAAGAGAAACAAAGCCAGATCCCTTCCCACCTTCCATAACCTTTGTGGCCATCAAGCGCTTGCGCGTGTGCATGTCCGGCACGATAGTTGTAATACCATATTCCGACTCTGGAATGCCTGCTTCATCGATGGCCTCTGCGACGACACGCTCGGCAGCCTTGCCTTCGCCGTTTTGTTGCTCCGGGGTGCCGTTGCCGTTGCCGTTGCTGGTCTTTTTGGAGATTTTGACCAGGGCACGGGGATGATGCCGTGGACGGCCTTGGGGCCGGAGAGGGAAACGAGGGTTCTGGCAATCTCGCCCATTAGGCCTGTTGTTCCGCCACCGTAGACTAGTTGGACATTGTTCTTGTGGAATTCTTGGGCGAGGCCCCGCGCCGCTTCGAGGTGGACTGGATCGTTACCTCCGGTGGCACCGCAGCTAAAGGGAAAGAGGTTAGTATAACTTATTAGAGTGAGTTTCCCGCCTAGAAAAGAGCTCCCTATGCCCCTTCAAACCCGCTGAGGGCATATTGAGGATGTTGGGGAGGTCCGCGGGGAGGAAGATCGGCGGGTGAGGGGGAGGGGAAAATTGACTCACAATACACAAACCACCGCGGGCTTGTCTTGTTGGGTCATGATGAATGGTATGATATCCGTGAAGCTATACAGATAGAGTGTCCAGTATACTTGTAAATAAAATGGCAGGGAAAAGACGATTTATGTATTCTTTGTGACGTGGCAGAAGAACGGAAGTAGTAACAATGGTTCCCAGAGATTCAGTGGTTACTCTTCCAAATGGCTGGGAAGGTTCCACCACGATAAGAGATAAAATGGGTGAAATGGGTGACTCAAATGCACGGAGGCCGGTTAAGCTGTCCGACTGGCTGGGTTCTCCAAACTACCAACAGGTTTGGTCCAATTGATGATCCACTTTGGTTTGACGTGGTCAGCTGTACATTGGTGCTCGTTCTGGGGATCTGCAAGTATAGTCCTCCATGCCCAGACTTTCTCGGTAAACTATAATTAGATGCTACATACTGTAGTCATAGAGAGGAGAAAGAGGAAATACGATTTATGCTACTACTGAGCTTAACCTTTCAAATCATCTAGTAGTAGTACTAGTAGCAATCATATAATGGTTCAAGTTGACCTCCCATGCAATTCCATACTGTCCAAATCACGGGATTCACGTTGGTAACTTGAAGGTCTTCAGTGCCACACTCATTCCTTCCTCTCCTTTCCCTCTACTACCACCCCTACTACATATCACATACCACATTCAAATTTGCAAAAGATGCCTAGCTTCAAGTTCCATCTCATTCAAGTTCCATCTCATCCAACAACCATGAAGAACAAACTCCGGGTCTTCCTTTCCTTACAGCATCGCTCTGCGCTCTCGATCCGCGAAAACAGACAAGCGACTCGGCCACGCAGCCTTTCACTGGGGTTTACTAATTTGCCCCCAAGAGCCCACAGAATCCGATTATTGCCTTTTTGACGCAAGTGACGGAATCCTTCTAGACGAGACAACCGGCATGAATCTGAACACAGACGGCAACTGGAACTTCCGAGAGAAGACCTACACCGATCCCCAAGCGATTGCTCACTTTTTAGGAAGCGTGATGATTGGGAAATTACCCAAGGAAATCACTAACGCGGATATTCGTGATATTCTCAAGGATATTGCACTACCACAACCCGGTGCTAAACCGGAACAAAACTGCGTTAGCTGGACCAGAAATGCTATTATGGAATTGCAAGAGAAGGGTCTTGTTGAGCAGTGCGATCTTGATCGGTTCATGGATGATGCACTCGCCTGCGCAGATAAACGCTTACGAGACTACAGCTCTACACCTGCTAGCATCAATTACACAGACCGGCCTATGTGAGCAGCAAATCGGAGAATGCCCAACCTAGGGTGTAGGCGATGTAGAAAGAGTGGCTCGCCAGATCACAGCCAGCCCTGGAGGGCCGCAAAATTATTGACATCATGATATTTACGATTCAACGTATAGTCAATCAAGAATCAAGCTACAGCCGTTAGAAATCCAGAAATGTCGAGTCACCTTGAATATTTCATATAGGCCAAGTTACAAGTGCCCTCAAAGTGTATAAATAACAAACATCTTTGGTATTCCATATCTATCATAGAAAGGGTATCATAATCACAATTCAATTCAATTCAATTCGCAACGCGGTTCTTCTTCCGTTTCCCCTTATTCTCGCCAGAACTGGGCGGCGAGTTACTCTTGTCCGAAGCTTTCCCTGGAGTATCGACTCGGACCTGCGGTGTCGACACCCGGCCGGGTACAGGTGTATTGACTGACGCCGGTGCAGCAGCCGCCTTTGCTGTAGGTTTGTTCGCAGCTGCAGCACGGTCATTCTCACCGCCATTTCTGGACAGGATGAACGAGCCCGGTTCACCCTGCAAGGGATTTTCGTCCATAAATTCGTCCCCGTAGCGAGTGAAGAGGTTGAATGCGTCGGCCAAGCTGCGGGTATCCTGATAGCTGGAGCTGGAGCCCGAGATCCCCAGTCCTACTTTACTGGTTGTGTGTGTGTCGATGCTGGATTGCGTTTGTGAGGGTATATCGGGCATGGGTGTGTTTTCTTTGCTCTGCTGGGAAACAGAACCTTGCTGGCTGGACTCTGCGGTGCGGGCCACGGGTGGCATGTAGGTGTGTCCGTGAGATGGGGTGAAGTTCGGCAATGTTGAAGCGGTCTTCATGAGTCGGGATAGAGAGGTGACGGCTGACAACTGGAAGTAGAAAGAGTCGTTAGCGACGACTTTTGTTTGATTCCGAGCCAAGGAGACACAAAGCAAGAACTTACAATTCGGTTACCAACTACACTGGCAACAGAGGGTGCCATGTAAATGCAGTCGCCGACAACAAAGTATGTCGAGATTACGGTCACCTCGTCGCCCCGCCGGTTCTGCTTCCGAATCACCCAGACATTGGACGGCTCATGGGCGAAGCGAGTGTCAGAATGCGCGGCGGCTTGTAAAGGATCATAGGATACGATAAATTCAAGGCCAGACATTGTCTTTAGACGATCTTCGAAGGCTTCGCGCGTCTCGACGAAGTGGCGGAAGGCTACATTGTAGTTTGCTTGGATGGCGAGGGAGGCATTATTTGAAGTTGGGTCAAAGAAGGGGGACTCGGCGAAATAGAATAGAACTAACGGAGGAACACAATTGATATTAGCAATCTGAGAGGAGTCAATTGTCATGAGGCGCACTCACTATTGTTGGAGTGCAGGTAACCGCCCATCATTTGGACGTGCGGGGGAGACCGCCAGAGGATCTCCTCCATCGAGGAATCTTGGCCTGCCATGAGTAGCTTAGATTTATCACGTCAGCTGTATTTCGGGCCAGCTTCATTTATCTGCCCTTCAGCTTTCGACTGGAGGCGCGAGCGAAATTGTGACGTGCAGATAAAGAAGGGCGGAGAGTTGAAGCGGAGAAAAAGACGTTTAGCTTGTTTGCACGGCCGATCCGCGACTAGCTCGAGTTAGAGCTAACTATAGAGTTACTAGAATAGTTCCTCACTTTATTCCACCAATTCACAGGCCAACTTGACTAACATTTCTCACAAAACTTTGAGTTACTGTCTAGCAGGACTGTGATATCTATGTATTGTTTGTTATTTAACTAGGCTATTTGCCCATGTGCTATGTAAACTCTATAGAAAGCAAACCCCAACTCCAACGCTAGATGTTGAATGCACTTCAGCGACCAACTGATAGATCCGGATGTTGAAAGCACGATCAGAGTGCTCCGTGATCTTGTGATACTAGTGGTCGTACTCAAATACCACAAATGTACAAAAAAAAGTTCATCTCAACCCCATTCTAGCAAATCAGGCAGTATTGGATGGCCTGAAGACATTTTGGACAGTGTTCAGTTTGGTCAGCATTTCCTGCCACTCGCCCTCGGCGGTGCTCAAAGTAGTGATAGCGCCGCCGGCACCAATTTTCCAGACTTGTCGATTGGAAGCATTCGCCGAGTTAGAGGTGAAAGCGGTACGGATCAGAACCGAGAAGCTTCCACCACCACCCAAATCAAGATAGCCCATGACGCCAGAGTAGATTCCGCGCTTGCGCGCTTCGATGGTTTGAAGGTGCATACAGGAGCGTTCTTTGGGTGCCCCGGTCATAGAACCAGGCGGTAAGCATCGTTGAAGAGCCGTGAGACCATGAACAGCCATATTCGAGGTTTTGAGTTGTGGCATGTGGCGGACAGAACATCCCAGCTTTTCAGGGTTGACTTCGCCCTTGACATGGGTGATCATTTGGTAGACTCGGCCATGATCTTCGACCTCGAGAAGCTTCTCAACGCGAACGCCACCAGAGCCGCAGATGCCATATAAGTCATGCCGAATTAGATCGGCGATCATCAGATTCTCGGCCATTTCCTTCGACGATCCTAGGATTGCCTTGGCCCTTTCAAAAGTCATCGAGGGTGACTTTCTCACGGTGCCTTTCATCGGCTTCATTTCTAGCATGGAGGTGCGGTCCCAATTGAGGAAACATTCCGGGCTGCTGCTGACAATCTTTGTATTTCCAAGGTCTCCGAATGCACTGAATGCAGCCGGATTGTACTTTCTCAATTTTTTGTATAGCTTCCATGGGAATTCGAGTCGATCGTTTTCTCGGGTTGGGATGGGAAGGGAAATTGATGTCTCGCCTGTAAGGCAAAGCTCATAAGATTCACCAGCTTCGAGCTGTGCTTGACAAGCTGCGATTTTTTGTTTGTACTCCGACTCATTGGGAGTTGAGTGGATGCCCTCACGGAGGATAGGATCTAGAAAAGCAACATCATCGCCTTGGCTGTCTTCTGGGCCACGGGAACACTCTTGCAGGAGCTGTAAAGTTTCATCAAGCCACCCAAGAGGCAAATCGTCCGAATCAATGATTGATTGAACCACAGCATCCCCGGTAGTGTTGTCAATCACGATACTTCGCTCACACCATAGCAGACTGACATCCGGGAGACCTTCCCGAGAACTGCCATTTGAATTACCAGAAACCGGAGGTGTCGGTGACGACCCATGGGAATGAGGAAGGCAGGCTAGGCCAAGCTCGTAGGAGAAGTATCCTAGGAAGCCGCCCCAAAAGGGAATCTGAGAACTTCCAGAATCGACCTTCTTCATTTCCATCAAGTAACGCAAAGCATCCCATAGCTGATCGACAGAGATGCGCTTCTCTATCATCTGCTCTTTGCCGTGCAGTTGGTACATCTTGATAGTTTGCGTGTCGGCCCAGTATTCCAACCTCCAAGATCCAGGGCTCGGGACTGAGATAATGCTATATCGGCCATTGGATTGAAAGAGCACCGTGGGAGATCCTGGAGCGTTGAATAGGTCACTGATGGTCTCGACGCTCAAAGAGTCCCGGGCAAATACTCGATGCGCGGAACACACAGACGTAGCGGAGCTCCAGTTCAACATGTCATATGCGATGTTCGGAAAAGGTGTGGTATCTTCACAAGGGCTGATTATTGCGGTAGGTAGTTGGGCATAACCACCGCGGCCAGATACTTTGTTATATTTAAGAGCCAATTGCCACCAATTTCGCAACAGTGTCTTGCACGCTTCTCTTTCTGACTTGCATGATTCGGGGTGAAACTGAACACCCCAGAATGGCTTGTGGCGATGTCGAACGGCCATTGGAATCCGGTTGGTCGAACTGTCGCCATCCTCCAAAGTCAAAGATGCCAGAAAGTCTAGGTCATTGGTTGGCGAAGTTTGCGATTCGATCGTCTCGTCAAGATTGGCGTAGAGGGAATGGTAAAGTGTCACTTCAAGAGATGGAACATTTTCAAATAAGTCTTTGGCCCTCGTGGCGATCTGACGAACTTGGCCATGTATAGGATAAGGCAGTCTTTCGATGGGAATGCCGTGATGTAAGCACAAACTCTGAAACCCGAGACAGATCCCGAAAACCGGGAGCAACTCGGCATCCTGCAAATTCCAAATATCCTTCATGATGCCAACATCTTTGGGAATTGAGGGGTCTCCAGGTCCAGGCCCGAGGACTATGGCTTCATAATGGCGCAGGAATTCGTGCATGTTCCCATCAGGCCACTCGGAGTCGATAGTCATCACGGTGACTTTAACGCTGAGCGTTTCCTCAAGCATCGCAACGACATTGTAAGAAAACGAGTCGTATGAGTCAACATAAAGAATACTCTTGAGATGAGGCACTGATATGTCGGATTTGCGGGATGAGCATGCAGCATTTCCATCCCAATTACCATCTGTGCCAAGCAAAGGTGCCATGATGAGATCGAGGCAGCCCCGCTAGAAAAATGACGGCCAGTGCACAGCAATTGCAGGGAATAATGAAATAATCGTCACTAGAAGTGATGCAGGATTTCTGCAGGATCTCTGGTGCCTGTCACACTATGGTGACTAATTTTTCTGGGGGTCAGGTATGGCCCGAATAAGGGTTCGGTGGCGAGCGTCGAGTTTCCCCCTCTCTCTCTCACATGCACAAAACGGGGCGGTTCTTTCCGCGGGGAAAAGGAAAGGTCAGGCAATCAACGGCTCATTGTGTCCACTTGGTTATATGAGTATTGGTATGAATGGAGCCGCGTTTAACAATACATTGTGAGGGAGATGAGGTTGCAGGGGAAGAAAATTAAGGTTGAGCAAAGGTAAAAAGCGGGTACCGCCGGAATGGATTCGGGTGGCAACGCACTTTTTAGATTCCATCTAATCTATCGGAGAATTTACAGTAAGGTTACAGCAATTGGGTATTCAATTATCGCTTCAAAGATCACTTCAAAATAAATCAAGGGTTGGAGACAGCAGCGCCGGTATGGAGGCTGGCGAGCTTGCTGGCCACTTTGGGGAAATATTGAGCCACAAAGCTCTCCGTGTAGTAACTGTGCGCTGAGCTGTGATCGCCCACAAGGTTGTGGGCCAACTCATGGCATAAGATCACCCACCAGTAAACAATTGCATCGGTCCGATCTGGATTGGGGCCTCGGAGTAGTGGCTGCTCGTGCAATTGTTGGAAATAGAAGTAATTGCAGAAGATACTACCGGCTCGGTTGAATGCGATCGTTTTGCCGCCCGGGTCGTAAAAGATGCTTAGGCTGTCGGCACGCATAGAAAAAATCGAACCACAGTCGAGAATGATTGATGCAAAGATGTTGATTCCAGCACGGTTAGCCGCCAAGAAACCAGACCGATCAGTAATGGTTCTGACGAACAAAACATTGACACCGCTGGGAAGACTGGCAACAAACTCCAAGTCATGACTCGGTCGTTCATCGCAATAAGATTTGCTTTCCGAGATCTGATTTGTCTCTGGCCGACTGAAGACATCGGATGATCCATGAGGTCGACATGCCTGCACGGCAGAAAGAAGTTGTCGGTTCAGTTGATGCGGAGAGCTAACGTTGACAGGCTGCTCTGGGCGCGGCTGCTGGGAATCCGTGGGGTTGGGGGAGTATGGTGGTGGAGGAGGAGTTGAAGATTCAGGAAGCAATGATTGAGACTGCTCGCCGGGCTCTGCGCTTGAGCCTGAACGATTCCCGTCCAACCCAAATCGCTTCTGCAAGTTTGCAAAAAGACCGCGAGGAGCTCGCTCTGGCATGGGAGGTTCGGCTGGAGCAACTTGTGTCTCCGCCGCCAGTTGCTTGCTGTTGGGTGATTCAGGAAAGAGGCCAGGCATTGCATTTTGAGATTGAGATTTTGGCCGAGAGTCCTCCAGTCGTTCTTCTTTCGGAGGAAGTTCTTCTTTGGCTCGTTGAGCCTGCGCGGCTGCCCATTCAGCTTCTCTCTCCTGAAGAATACGTCTCTCTTCCTCTAATTGCTTTTGTCGTTTGTCCTCTGCAATTCGTGCCTCTTGGGCCTTCTGTCGAAGGATGCGTTCCACATTGTAGCCTCGCGCACGGAGCTCCAAGAGGTCTGTTTTCAGTAGCATCTCAAGTGTCAAAGTTGAATGGAGCTTTGGACGCTTAAGAATCAAATGGACGAGCGATTGACTGATCTCATACAGGTCATATTTGCCAGGGCAGATACACAATCCCCAATTGCTTGATAGACGTGCAACAATAGCGTTTCGCTTTTGTGTATGCGACACACGTCGGCCCTTGAGAGATCGTGTGAGAGAGATCGAGTTGACGACTTGCACGGAAAAGCTGTTCTCAAGCCATCGGGATCCATGTTGAATTGCGTCTGCCGGCTGGTCGTGTAAGAAGAGCCGAGCGCGCTCTAGAATGATCTTGTGTAACTTGGCTCCCAGATTTTGGTCCACTGCCACGCCACCGAATCGCGCTTGTTCTTCAACAAGTGTACTCAAAGGAATGGCACCAAGGGCAACATAAAAATTTTCCAGCGTTTCCTCCTGCGGTGCGGCCTGGATGTGTTCTTTGAAAAGATTGAAGCTTTGAAAATCGTCCACGACAACGACATCTCTCGCTGATGAAAGGCTCCATTCCCTGATGTCCAAATCTTCATCAAGGTCCGGAAGAGCCTTCTCAGCAGATGCTCCTTTGCTACTTTGCTGAGGAGGAATATCACGGCTTGCTAGAAGAAATTTCGCCCTCTTCATCTCGCTAAAAAGTTCCTTGTCCTTTTTAAGGATAGGAAGATGTTCCGCAAGAGTTCTCAGAAGCATCAAATAATTTTCTGAGCTCTGGAATGCAGACGAGACGCGAGCAGGTTCTTTCACAAGCATTCGTGCAATCTCGGTCTTGGTAGGCTCCCGCCTTGAGCCGACAGCCATGAGGAAAAGGTTGGCTTCTTGCCCAAAGTCAACAAAGTCAAAGATATCTTTGTAATCTTCGCCTTCGCCGAGATAGCAAAGTCTTGGCGCAACAAGTCGGGTCCGGGAGCCCTTCTCCGAATGATCCTTGACAGCGATAGGAATGATAGGGGCACTGCCGACGCGCTCAATGTCCTGCGAATTGAGATCAGAGACTCTGCCTGCCAGGTATTTGAAAATGATCCTGGCGTCCTTCTGGCTGGTGGGAGGCTTGCGAATGAGTATTTGAAGACATTCTGTCATAGGCGGGTGGGGTTTAACCCCTAACTTGAGGGCATGTGGGTGAAGACGTTTCTGGAGAATATGAAATCCGAACAGAGATGCCCCCTCGTCTGTAAAGCATTTCTTAGGCGTGCTTAGACTTTCCGACCCTTCAACTGGGAGGAAGGGAACTGTGACTGCGCGTATGTCGAATGCATCATAGCCGTTGGTATGATACTCGTTGAGGAAGTACGATAACGCCTTGTTCTTTCGTCCAGTATCCTTTTCCTGGTCGCTTGAAATCATAAGACGAAGAAGCTCAGAGCCAGATGGGAAAGTCTTCAAGCCCATCATTGAGAGAAATTTGCCCTCGTTGCTGGTGCTAGTAAAGATCCCTGGCCATTCAATCACTGGAAGACCCAAAGCTCGGAGCGAATCCTTGGGCTCGTAGAGTTCAGATATTTTGTAGCGAGACCCAGACTCAACCTGGTTATCTTTCGTGCTCTCCGCAGTGCAAATGCTGGTGTTTTTGAGCCTTTGAATATCGTTTGCAGGGATATCCTCACGAACAGATGTAAGATAGCGGATCAGATCCACGTGGTTCCACTTGCGTGCCGGGGCACTCTTAGCATCGCCAGGTTCAGCATTGATGAGACGGTCAAATATAACACCAAGCTCAACCGTTTTGCGAACACCGAGTGCTACCAAAAATTTCTCTTTGACGCCATTTAGACCATGCACAACGGGAAGGTCGTCAAATAGGCGCACAGAGGCAAAATATGTCTGCCCAGGCTGCTTCATTCCAAGTTTGGTTGGAATAATAGTCTGAGTTTGAAGGGTATTGACAACAGACTGTTTGCCAGAAGGGCTGAGGACATCCCATGACTTCGACAGAACTGGCAGAACCTGGCCAGCAAAAGTGGAACTTTGCGTGAGATCTTGATCTGCGCTGAGAAGGTTACGATCCCCGGCCTTGTTGACAAGGTAGCTCAGCCAAGGCACTATGTGTAGCTCGACCCATCCCAAACCCTCGAGTTCTTGTTTGCTCAATGACTTCGTGAATCGGAAGGGTACCACGGAGGATGGAACTGGAAGTTCAGATGGGATCCGTTGAGGATTCAAGAAGCTAGTGATATCGGCAAATATGATCAAGCGTGTCGCTTGTCCTTCCTTGTCTTCATCATTGGCAACCGCAACCCGGAGAAGACTTTGAACGGAAAGCCGGTCAAGTTGCCCAGACACAGTTTTGCGGCCGAGCCAGGTCAGAAACTCGACCACTTGGCTTGATCGCAGGGTGCTAGACTCCAATTCACGTTTAATGTCCGACACTGTGATATCTGTTACCAACCCAAATGATGTTAATCTTTCGACAAATTCCTTAGCACCGTTCACAAAGTCATCCGGCAGAGCAGGAATTGAATCCATGAAGCTGAGGTCTTTGGGAGCAATTCGTATCTGATGACTTGGGATGACACCGCAAGTAGAAAGAATCTCGATGGAAGCGTTCTTGTTGCACATCCAGAAAGCATCCTCAATGGTCTGACCCAAGACGGAAGAGGGCGTCGATTCGCGAAAGACAAACTGGTTCGCAGTGTGTATGGCCTCAGGAAGTACATCGACGATGTCTTCTTTTCGGATTTTTGAGCGGGATGGTGGGAGTTTAGATGCAATTTTACTCTTGATGGTGGACATTTCGGCCGACCAAGCAATGCGACAGACAACACCAACCGCTCGTAACATCTCGAGATTCCATTTACTGATATAACGAGTGTTTAGATCGATGCTTTCTCGCTCAACCGTTGGGATGACAGATGGTGCAGATACGTGAGCGTTAAGACCAGTAGTCTGCTGAGTAGGGAAGCCAATGAAAACCCTCCCTGACTTTGTGGGCAATATGGACGCAAGAATTTCGGATTCTGAAGCTGATGCTCCTGATGCGATATTGGCATCATAAGACGGTGTTAAAATGGCGATGGTCGCTTTCTTGGGCGGCGGTTTGCGGGTGGCTCTTTCAAGTTCTTTGCTCAGAGAATGGCCAACCGAAGGTAGGATCGAGGCTGTATTGATGTGTAAGAATACGGTTGCGGTCACCATGGTGGCCATGTTACTTGGCTCTTCGGGACGCTCTGCTTGCTGAATAGTTGTTGACTTTTCTGGCTGGCCGGTGAATTTCGAGAAAAAGCTGCGAAGAGAGCTAGTCGTGTCCCGAAGGTTATCAAGACGGAATATGCTTGCGTTCGGATTCCACTCGACAATACGCATCCAGGCTGCATCCACTTGTGCAATTTCTTGGGTGATTCCGGTGACTTTCATCAACCCTTCTGCAGTCTTCGTCTCAATATCTCTGGGGATAGGTACATTGACGCCTGGTGCTGTCTTTTTGGATAGCCTTAACAGACTCCAATCATCCAACATGAGCTCTATCTCCTCTAAGGCAACAAATGTCAAACTGCTCGACAGGAACTGACAAAGCGACATCAATGACGGTATAGGAGAAGAGTCGTTTCGGTAATCCAGCACAAATGTGGTGTCTTTGTTTGGGGTATCTCCCAGATCCAACCGGCGAGTATAAAGCCCATTGCCTTTCCAGTAAAAGGCCATGGCCTGATTACCTGAGGAGACAAATGGCTCCTCACAGTCATCAAAAACACTGTAGAATCCAACACCAAACGCGCCGATCTTGGTCTCATCTGGATTGCCATCCGCAATGCGTTTTAACCGTGCCCAGTCCTTCTCGCTAAATGGCAGACCGTTGTTCGAGATGAGGAGACGACGAAGGGTGTGATTTGAGATAGTATGTTTCAGTTGGGTCGTTGGGTCGGTCGACACTGGGGAGGGCACCGTTGTCGAAGGTAGAGTCTCGAATTTGATAGTCACTTTAGATGCGGAGGCATCGGCCGCGTTTTGAATCATTTCTCGCAGAACAGTCCTAAGCGCAAGCGCTAGGGTCAGCTTTTATCATTTGATACCCTCGATGTACTATAGAAGACATACCATTTCCCCGAATACCGGGCAAGAACTTTTGAAATCAATCCCCTAGTATCGACCGTCACTGCTTCTTCATCGGCACCGGACCCCATAGTCCGGGCCTTCAGCGCGTTGAAGTCCACGTTCAGAGCCATATCGGATTCTATATATATGGTCTCTGTCTAGTAACAAATCTTCTTGAATCTGAAAAGTAATACTCGAGGTTGTGTTTCCGTTGATAGTGTATATCTGAGAAGTCATGCGGCTACCGCATCTTGCGGATGTAAACAAGCAGGTCGCAAATTCTGGGGCGTGAAATCAACAATAGATGGCAGCCAGATAAAAATCGAAGTCCATAGACCAAAAGACTGCAGGTCCGGGAATGCAGCAACAGAAATTCCGACACAAACGACAGAAATGAAGTGTTGAAATGATGACCTGGCGGAGATGCGGACTCGCCGGCGGAGGAGATATGCTTATCGATAAGCCGGCTTATATCAGCAGCTTAGTCATGATGTTATGGCAGCTCCACCGTCGGCCTCAGGAGCCCTCGAGAAGGTGGGATTTACTTGACAAGCTCAAGTCAGTTGTTGCTTTCGCTACTAGTACAGTCACTACGACTGATCCGGTGCGGCGCACTCTTCCATTTTGCGGCGCCTCCTCTGTCGCATGACGCTTGGACGTTAGGCCGGTTATACTGCTGTGAATGCGGGCCTGATATCGCAAACCGCTTCTCCGGTCTCCCTCAAATGACAAGATGGGGGTCGACCCCTTGTCTCCAATAGCGCCGGCGCGCCTGAGGGCGTTGCTACTTCCAATTGGCAAAATCAAGCGCTCGCGATTCTTGAGCTTTGCTGCCAGACTCCAAGCTGAGAATGTGGTCCGATTAGGGGATATCAGCCCCGATTCACGACCAAATCGAAGTATGGCATGGTCCCTTGGGGATTGAGATAGATCAACTATTCGGCCACTGATACTGACGGCTCAATTCTCCAGATATGTTTTCTCCTCTCGCATTCCCAACTGGCATGATTCTTTACGACCTATCCTTCTCAGTTCCTCCCACGTCACACCTTGAGCTGTTCCCCTTCGAAATATATCGAGAACCATTGGTTATCATTGCAATTGCTGATGGGACGGAGCTCCCGCAGACCACTGGAACAAATGAGAAACACCCGACACCCGAAGGCTTGGACACATTGCTGGAGGAGCTTGATGCGGTGAAGGAAAGGAATCCGCGGGCATTGGTGAACCAGCTCCTGGTGTTTGATTATGAAGGCCTTGGAAAGCTTACGAATGGACCGGACAATGTGCTCTGGGTTCCTCGCCCTGAGGCCTCTAAAGCAACTACTATGAAAACGGTTCTGTGTGACATCACATCGGTACTACTTGGGGAGCTTGATGAGTTCGCAAAGACAATTCAAAGTATCCCATCGATCGAGTCCCCCAAAGCTTTCTCATGGGGACCACATCGCAACCCCGAGCTACGACCTCGGCCAGTAGACCGACTAATGAACCGCATGACCCTGCCTGCGCAGCTGCCTTCCCCCAATGGGGGACCACCAGAAACACCGTTAAGTTCCAATGCTAGCTCACCCGCACCTAGCGATCACGAAACTCCGACAACCTTCGATGAAATCACAAGGTCAATTCATCTATCACGCACGAATTCCGGGGGTAGAAGCCCTTCGATAAGTTCGCCCAAGGAGCATAGTCGGGATCGAATGTCTGTTAGCGGATTGAGTGCCACTGATCGAACGAAGAATAGAATCAAAGGCCGTGCCGGAGTCGTCATTGGCACTCTTTTCCTGCAGGCGGGAAGATGGCCTGATGCTCTCAAGGAACTGTCCGAGGCGGCGAATAATGCCCGAGCAGGAAGTGATTATATCTGGCATGGCAAGGCACTTGAATCCATTCTTCTTTGTCTTCTTATGATGGGGTGGGCAGGTATGGATTTTCAGGTATTTATTATGGCCCTCCTTCTCATGAAACGGTAAAGCGGATATCTGACCAGCATCTAGATCCCCAATGTGCTGTATCCTGCTGCCGAAAAAACGAACAAGGCAATTAGAGACTCCATTAATGCTCCCACGGCTGGTAACCGGATAGTATCTCTTCAAAATCTTGCCAATTTATTGCCAGATCTTTCGAATACGATCCTGAACCTCCACAACCGCGCCGCCAATATCACCGATGAGCCTCTTCCTCAACTGGTCTTTTCGGAAACTGTGATCCGGTTATCAAGGCTTCTGGTGTCTGCGCGCGTTCGGGATGGCTCACTCGATGACAATGCATTAAAGCATATCGTCATGAACGAGCCTCTCGTCCCTTTGCTCCAGCCGGAACTACCCCGGGGAACAGTTGTGCTTCGAAAGACTGACATTGCCAACTTTCTTTTCCGTGCTCTTCCACTTTCCCCGGGTGCAGACTTGCCAGCTACCGATTATGTTCCTATCATAGTTGGTGTTGTATCCGTCTTGAACATTCTCGACTTACCGCGGAAGAAAGCATTTGTGATGCGCGAGCTTCTGTCTGTGATGATCCCTACTCTTGTACAGGCTCGGAAGATTGGCGCTGCAGAAGTGGGCATTCACCCCGCTGCAGGACTAGCGTCTCTGAGCGACACTGTATTTGATGTCAATGCTCTTGATGTGGGCCCTGGTAATATGGAATCAAGTGTCCGTCTTCTTCTAGCCACGATAGGCGAGACATACGGTGTTCAGCCCTCTTCATTCTATGAATGGGAGAAACGTCTTAGCCAGTCATCTGCCCCCGGTGACTATGACTCGGTTGCAGCAATCGCAGAGCGTTCATTCAGACACTGTGTTCTGGACCGATACGGCGACCTGAACCTCAAGATTGACGTGCTAAAGGCATGCATCAACTGCTGTGAAGCACTTCCTGACTTTGATGGTGTCTTACGCTTCACCGTCGAGCTCATGCAAACTATTCGAGGAGACTTAATGCTCGGGGAGAATTATAAAGTACCTCCATACTTGCCTCAGGATGAGCAAATTCGCCTGTTGAATAATATAAAGCGAACTGTCGGTGCGGCTAATCGGCTGGGAGCCTCGGATATGGCTGCAGAATATTGGGATGACTTCCTCGTGCGCGATGTACAGCTGCTTGCGTTGCCTGCTCCCAGGCGGCCTGTTCGGAGGTCTAAAACTGAGCTACAAGCCGTGACAACGGGCTCCGATAAGTCAAAGAAAGACCCGTTCTTATACAACCCTTTTGCCAAACCAAGCAGCAAGGCTCTTGAGATGCTTGCTGTGATGGATGAGCCTGCTTCATTCCGCGTCACGCTCCAGAACCCTTATGAGTTTGAAATTGAGATCGAGCATTTGGAACTAGAAGGTGAAGGCTTATCGTTCGATGCTGTGGCGGAAAATATCACTCTTCCTCCCCTTTGCCTCCAGGAAGTCATTGTCCTGGGGACAGCCCATGGAGATGGAGACCTCAACATTTCCAATTGCGTTGTGAAGGTACGAAATTGTCGGAAGCGGAAATTCCCTATTTTCAGATCTTTCTGGAAGCCCGACCCAGAGGTCAAATTCAAGCGAACAGGACTGGCAGCAAAGAAACCTCTCAACGAACGTCCAACATCATGGAGTTCGACAACATCAAAGGATGGGAAGACCCTCTCGAAGAAGGGCCCTGAAAATGAAACATGTCAAGTCAAAGTCATCGGCAAACAACCATCTTTGGTCATCGAGTCGATGTCGCTCTCGCAATCTGCGATGATGGTTCTGGAAGGGGAAATCAGATCGTTCACCATCACCCTGCAGAATACCTCCGCTTGCCCTGTGGATTTTGTCTTGTTCACGTTCCAGGATTCAACCACCAAACAACTCCAATCGGCTCTTAAAAACAAAAACCTTCTTCCAGTTGAAATCTACGAGTTGGAACTGAAGCTAGCCACGCAGCCAGCCTTGCGATGGCGCCGCGAAGACTCAGACACGAAGGATTGCTCAATCCCACCAAAACAGAAAGCTACCTTCACAGTGGATGTCCTTGGTAAGCCTGGTTTACAAGATACGACCGTGCAGATCGACTACTCGTGTCTTGGAACCAAGCAAGATGACTTACCTGAGGTCTTCTATACTCGACAACTGTTTGTCCCGCTGACTGTGACGGTAAATGCAAGCGTTGAGGTTGCCCGATGCGATGTTCTGCCATTCAGCGGTGACTTTGCATGGAGGAATAACATCAATTCTCCTATCCAGTCCGAGCAAGAGCCCAACTCGCCCCTTTCTACGACCGACCACGACCCCTTCTCTCAGGTTCTATCTCGCCTTGGTAATGGAGCTTATGGTCCAGATCACTGCGTTGTGTTGCTAGATCTGCGAAATGCTTGGCCAAGTCCTTTGTCAGTGTGGCTGCGCGTTGACGAACACCCCATCTCTGGAAAAGGTGACCACATCGGCCAATACTCAGTCGATGGTGACCTCCAACCCGGCCAGACATCTCGATTCGTCCTTGTACTACCCCGCGTCTATTTGGACAACCCCCATGCAACAATTCCCGTCGTCAACACTGGTACACGTCGGCAATTCGTTGTCAGCGCGAACAAATTAACCTTCGAGGCCGAGGCAGCTTCAAGAGAATCCTTCTGGTTCCGCGAGGAATTCCTCAAACGAGTTGTGGGTGGCTGGAGCGAGCCAGCTACTGGCCGCAAGGGGTCAATCGACCTTCGCAACATCCGCATGAACGCTCGCATGGTGGAAGCCATGCGTCTCGAGGACGTGGAAATGACATTTTCCCTCGCATCTCCATCAACGGCCTCGGCATCGGCCGATGCGAAATCATCAGACGCAATTACCCAAAGCGGTCGCTCTCGCTTCCGCGTCATGACAGACGACCTCTTGACCCTGAATGTCAATGTGCACAACCGCTCCTCACGTCCTGTCCAGCCGCTCCTCCGTCTTCAGCCTAGTCTCCGCCACCAACCGAATAACGTCGCGTTGGATCTTACACGCCGTCTCGCTTGGAGCGGTATGCTACAGCAGGCTCTACCAATCCTGCAGAGTGGTGAATCAACGCAAGCATCTATCGGTGTGACGGTGTTATGCAGGGGCGAGTACGAGTTCGGTGCGAGCGTCGAAGAGGCGCGGCTCCTACGGCCCTTCGGTGAGGAGCCTAAAGGAGATGCCGACCCCCATGATGATAGCATCAAGGATACGTTTGGCGCGGATGTCGTGAGACGACGACGCATCTGGCATGCGAAGGAAACCTGTATCATCCATGCCCGGGACTGAGGTCATCTTCCTATGGCACCGCCTACTAATCATGCCCCCTTGTACCTTTTTGCTTCGTACTGATATAGATTTAAGATCTCGCTGGTGCATCTGGATCAACGTCTGTCTCTAGGTCATATACCTGTGTCATTTGTATACTTTTTTTGTTCTACATAGTATTAGCGTGGTACATACTACCAAAGCCATGAAAAGAAATATCGAAGACCATCCATACAATACAGCCTACATTCTAATGTGTCCTCATTCAACAACCCCCTTTACAATGTATTAGAAAAACAATTACCCAATTGCATTTTGCCATGATTTGATTTTGATAGATACGGGCGTCAAGATGCCATTTATCGTCCAAGTTCCCGTCGCAGCCGTCCCGCAGCTGTCGTGGGAGCAGGCTCTGGCCAGCTGCCAACGGCATCTTCGACCTCTTCAAGAAAAGTAGTACTGTTGTGGATGCTAGTACCGCCAAGCACAACACGTACACCCGGCGAGCTGGCATTCACCTGAGCCACCATCTTAGACTCCTCATATGTAACACCACCAACCATGAATATGATGATATCCTGCGGTTTATCTCGGGTGTGTCCGCTGCCTTCTAGGAAGGGATATTGAAGCTCCTTTAGACGTCCCTTGATGAGATTCTGAAGAGTGACTTCCAATCGCGGTGAGTGCTGAGTGTAGACGTTTTCAACGCCCTTCAGTCCTTTGAACCGATCTCTGGCTCCGGAGAAGAATGAGGTTGACTCGAAGAGATCAGTGAATCCACCAGCAACTGGCGGAGCTTGAAGGGAATGATGATAGGCGAGAAGATTAGGAATGGTGTTAACTCGGTTGGCGGGAACATTGCCGGCAGTTACCAGCAAGTCGAGCAAGACTGGTAGAGAGTTGTTTGGCTGTTTCTCGTAGCGGAGTGCGTAAAGAGCTACTAGTCGCAGTTTATTCTCGGCGGGGACGTTTGGCAATGCGATAATTCGTTGCAGCGACTATAGATCGTTAGAGGTGGCGGCCAAAAAAAAAAGGATGCAAGATCTATTGACTTACCCTGAGGTCATTGGAGTGGTTTTCATTGCAGGCCAGGCTCTGCTCCAACTCACTTACATCGAGCAGGGTTTGTTCTCCGACACGTCTACTCAATTCACCAACCAATGTGACGTGCTTGCTGACGTTGCCAGAGAGTTTGCGGAATTCAGGATAGTCTTCCACGAATCGCTTCATATCGGCGATTGATTCAATATTCATGTTCGTCTGCGTCTTTACCTGGTACTGCTCCACGTATTCTTTAATGTTCTGGCCGAGGTCTCCGAAGTTCTGGTACATATTCTTCTTGAAGAAGGGGTCTTGGTCTTGGGCAAGGACAATCTCCTTAAGCTCCGGTCGAATCTCAGGTACATTTCCAAGATCGACACGACCATTGTTGATTCCGAGCAATTCATGTACCATCGCCTGGTATGTCCATTGGGTGAGCAGCGGCGTAATGGGGTCATCGCGGCGATCCAGGATAAGCAGGATAGGTGGGGTATCCGTCCGGCGGAAATTAAAAAGCTGCTCTTCCTGCGTAATATGATATCGAACCTCGGTGGCCAGTTTTCGAGCCAGAAGACTGTTCTTCTCGTATCGAATCAATGGGTTCTTCTTCAGCGACAGAAGCAAGGCCAGGACTCCCTCAGTGGTCCTCTGCAGGGAATCGGGATTCCACAGGTCAGGCGATTGGCTCCATAGGTGTGAGAGTGGGGAGCTCAGGTTCAAAGAACACAAGTCCGGGTTGATGACCAGGAAGTCGGCAAACTGTTCTTGTACACATTGGACGACCTCGTGGCTATCTGCCTCGGCAAGCCGCTCGAGGGATGACTTGCGGATGATGTTACTCATATAGATGTAATATTCGCCATATTTGGGTTCGCGGAGCTCGTCGATAAGCAGCTGAATCGATCCGGGAGATGGGCGCACGAAACATAAGCAGCGCAGATGTCGCATCTTCTCTCGCGCGGCATTATCGAGGCGGTCGATGAGGTAGACTTCATGATTAAGGAGAGCGGATTGGGTGATGGCGGTCGAGACGATCGGAACCTGTATTCAAAAGGAGTCAGCTGTCGGTCCTTAGGATGAAATTGGTCGAGCGCATATCGCACTGTCTCACTATCGAGTAACAGGATCTTCATCTTGGAAGATGAAGACCCCGTGGCCGACTCGCCGGCCGTCACCATCTTGGAGATGTAGCCCGAGACGGCCGCGACGACATCCATGGTGAGGGAGAGCGCAGTAGGCGCAAACAATGAAAAGATATGAAGAGCTGGAGAAGATCAGAAGGTGGTGTCGTCAGGGCGTGGGGGAAGGTGGAGAAGGTGAAGTTGGTTGAATGTTGAGTCGCGTCCGCTTTCCGCATGACACCACTCACTTTCACTCGTCACCGTCCTCCACGTCTTCTTTCCTTCCTCGTCTCCAGCTTTCCCTCCGTTTCGCATGCGGTCTATCTTCTCTAGTAGTCTTCAAGCTGGGTCGACACCATGTTGCCCTACGTAGATGCCTGTGAGTATTTCCCTGCTTCTTTTTGGCCCCCTCGTCCCTCGTGGAGCTTTCCCCAGAGCTTCAAGCTAACTGATGCTCCCCGCAGTGTTTGGATATCCTGCTCGCCTCACAGGCGCATCCGTCGATGAGCGTATGTGAAACCTCAATATCTTTACTTGACAACTCAAGTTAAAATGTTTCTAACTCTTCTAGTCAAACTGATCGGCTCGTTCCTAATTTCTTACCCACTCGCCGCGATCCTGAAGCGCATCCCCGACGCTCAACCCGGAAAAAAGAGCGCGTTTATTATCGGCGTCTCGCTCTTCTACATTGTCGGCCTATTCGACCTTTGGGATGGACTTCGCACTCTTCTCTACAGTGCTGCAGGCACTTATGCCATCGCATACTATGTGGACGGGTCCTTGATGCCCTGGATTGGCTTCCTCTTCCTCATGGGTCACATGTCGATCAATCACATCTACCGCCAAATTGCCGATGATAATCAGGTGGTTGACATCACGGGAGCCCAAATGGTCATGGTCATGAAACTCTCCTCTTTCTGCTGGAATATTCATGACGGCCGTAAATCTCAAGATGGACTGTCTGATGCGCAGAAGTACTCGGCGATTACAGAATTCCCCAGTATCGTCAACTACCTGAGCTATGTCTTCTTCTTCCCCTCTCTTTTTGCCGGCCCTTCGTTTGAGTATGTTGACTATCGTCGCTGGCTCGACACCACTCTCTTCGACATCCCCCCTGACACCGATCCGTCCAAGGCGCCTCCTACAAGAAAGAAGCGCAAAATTCCCCGCAGTGGAACACCCGCCGCAAAGAAACTTGTTGTTGGTCTGGTCTGGATCTTCGTATTCCTGCAACTGAGCGGATCTTTCACCACGGAATTCGTGCTGTCCGATGCTTTTCTCGAATTCGGCTTCCTGCGCCGCGTGTTTACTGTCTACATGCTCGGCTTCGCCACCCGCTTCAAGTATTATGGTGTCTGGTCTCTCACTGAGGGCGCCTGTATCCTTTCCGGTATGGGATACAATGGATTCGACAACAAGTCCGGCAAAGTCTTCTGGAATCGCCTCGAGAACGTCGATCCTTGGAGTCTGGAAACCGCCCAGAACTCACACGCTTACCTCGGCAGCTGGAACAAAAACACCAACCACTGGCTCCGCAACTACGTTTACCTGCGTGTCACTCCCAAGGGCAAGAAACCTGGTTTCCGTGCTAGCATGGCTACATTTGCCACCAGTGCGCTGTGGCATGGTTTCTATCCGGGATATTACATGACCTTCGTTCTCGGATCATTCATCCAAACCGTTGCAAAGAGTAAGCTTTAATCTCTATCTCACCTACATCTTAGATTTTGCTTCACTAACATGTTTTGCTAGACTTCCGTCGCTACGTCCGCCCCTTCTTCCTCACACCCGATGGAGCCAAGCCCATGCCATACAAGCGGTACTACGACTTACTCAGCTGGCTCGTAACTCAACTCACCCTCGGTTTCGCGGTGATACCCTTCATCGTCCTCAGCTTCGACGGCTCAATGGCTGTCTGGTCGCGCGTCTATTACTACGGCATCGTAAACATCATCGTTTCAATGGCCCTCTTCGCTTCTCCAGCCAAGGCTTACCTCCTCGGTCGACTCAAGCGTCGCAATCGCCCTCATATGACTCGCAACTTTAGCCAGGAAACAGTCCGTCCCCCAACGCTGGGCCTACCCAATGATCCTGAGCGTGACTTCGACGAAGCCGTACAGGAGATCATTGGCGAAATTGAGTCTCGTCGCCGCCGTGGAAGTGTCGTTACCATGCCTTCTGGCGAAGAGCTGAAAATTGCTGTCGAGCAGAAGATCGGGCGTAAGCTGTGAGTAGCCAGACCAGCTGGTCTGACTTAAAATTCTGGTGTGGTTTGTGAGAAATTATGCATTGTGGGAGGATCTGGCTTTTCAAGTGTTTTGGCCCTAAGCCCACTTCTATCTCTATCTATTCGGGGGCTGAGCTCTTTTTAATCTAAGTTTGTATGTATTCGGTTAGAACATAGATATCATTTTATTAGTCTATGGCACTCCATGGCCATAATTGACTTTATGTGACTCGCTCTATTAGGCAGGAAATATTCCGTCCCCTCCATGGTAGGCGTGCCCAATAATCCTGAGCGTGACTTTGAGGGAGTTGTGATGTTAGAGATCATTGGTATCTAGCAAACATTCAACTTGAAGGTAACTAGACTACGCGGGAGCAAGTTTTCCGAGCCGGAGCGCTTGAGTAGTATGCCGTCTGAGTCTCTCGATCTCCAGGTAGAGTACATCATTCCAATCCCGCTCCGCTGCTAAGGCTCTCCCGAAGGGATTTCGAAAGCGAATAGGAATTCGTGGATTGTCCGGTGGATCTGGGCAGGGATATCGTCTGCACAAAGTCCATAAACCTTATTAGTATGTAAACAGCAGTAATTAAATACTAGTCATGAACACACCTCGCTTTGTACAAGCCCAGGCATCCTATACCATCATGGCCCGTCATCCATACTAGTTCTACGGTTCCAGCGACACGATCCACTCTGTCCACAACAATATTATTACAAAGGGAGAAGTATCAGGAGGTGAATAGAGAAAGAATAAACAAGAGGGAATGGAGGAAAATGCTCTAAGGCAAGAGTGTTGTGTTGTGATGACTTTGATCCATGGGATATCAGGTTTCTGCCATGGTGGCAGCTTCACAAAATCCCGAGTGTTTCCAATACAAATTTGGACACAGATTATTAGGATTAAGCCATTCCATAGGTAGAATAGTGTCGCTGATGGGGTGGCAGAGCAACCTTTTGATACTAGGGAATAGCAGAAACACCGATCAAATCGATTACGGCTATGGAGCTTCGTAGTCAATCAACTAAGTTGATGCTTAAAATATTCCTGCTACATATAGATTCCAGGGACGCGGCAATTCTAAGCAAAAATGTATAGATTGAATATCTGGTACAGTTGGTTGAAGAGAAAGGTACATGACGAAAGGGCAGGTATATCGAACATGAAAAAATCCAGATAAAGTGCAAAGAGTATATCGTATATCCGAATACAGATGGGCGATGCCATCGAGAAGAGAAAGAAAAGCCCTTGGGAAGGGAGGGAATTACTTAGGGTGTCACCAAAGCAAGCATTCGAGCATGAAAGAAAAGAAATGGGGGGAATATTATGTATGGTGCGTATAGTCGTTTCATGTGAGTCGTTTCAAAATGTTCAGCGAAGAGAAGGGGGAATAAATAAGTCATGCATCGAGGGAAAGATTCCTCGAGCAAAGTGAGAAAGGTAACAAGAGTGAGGCATCAGCCGAATGACTGAATCATGTGACTGAATCACGAAGCGAAAAATGAGATCAAAGCCGTATAGGTGGTTTGGGGTAAACAATTCCGAGAGTGGGTTCATCCAATGAAAAAGGGAAAAAAGGGAAAACTGTCGAAGTCAATGAAGGCGTGGAGTGGTAAGAAATTTTGCCCGAGTCGCAGGAGGGGTATGATGGAAGAGAAAGTCGTGAGAGATGGTGAGGAGAAAAAAGCAGCAGCAGCAATACTCCAGTGAGATTGAACGTATTAGAATCCAGTCGTGGTGCCAATGACAGCCAGTGTGATCTAAAATTATGTTAGAATTGTTTGCATTCAAAACCATGCACGCACTCAGTCGAACTTACAATTATGACGATGATAACGACACCGAGCGAGATCATCCAGCGATTGAGATTGCGCCACCACCGAGCATTGTTGTACCGCCGTCTTTGGAGATTCCACAGCTGCGATTCCAATGCCATTTCGACATCGTCATCGGACTCTGTCATTTCAGCACCCAGCTTAGGCATAGCTGGCAGAGGCAGGAAGGAAGCGATAATCCAAGCGAGAGGGAATATGAAACCCAAGCAGAAAGAGTAGACCTGGATGTTCCTTCGCCCAAACACGGGCTCGGTCGTTGAATCCATTGACGGTGCAGTCCATGCACTAGCCGAGTGCTGAATCGTTCGTCGGTCGGTGAATAGGTGCGGAGACCAGCTGTGTCGTAGTCGGCGGGGTGGTCCGTGAAGTTCACTTCCTTCACCTTCGGGGTCCGCGACCCAGTGAGCACGTGGGTCGCGGGGGTCACTTTCAATACGTCGCTGAGCGAAGCGAACACGCTCAGGCGAGCGAGGCCGTTCAGGGGAACGCGGTCGTGGGATATTGAGCGGCGTGGGCATCAAGTTGAAAACGCTAGAGTTGCTGGTTCCAGGGCGTGCAGAGGATGGTCGGCTGGCGTGCTTGATTGACAAGGACGGGTGAAGGCCCATTGGATCCGCGCGGTAGTAAATCTTAGCCCAGGTCGGAAGGATGTGAAAAACAGTGCTTGAGCTTGTGCCTGGACGAATGGCGCTTCGCATGCTGTTGCTGCGCTTGGATCCGGACGAGAGACTCTGCGGGAAACCATTGCGAGTTGGGAGATTTGACAAGCTGTCCAAGCGCTCTTCCTCGTGTGAGTTTTTGACAAGCCAGACAGTTGATTGTGATGATTTGGTTTTGAGAGCAGCAATTGGGGGAAGAGCTGGCTCTGAATCATCGCTCACAACTTCTTCTTCGACCTCCTCGTCCGCGGGAATTGCGTTGGCGACTTCTTCATCGGACCATACAGAAGATACTCTCGACAAGTGTGGGTTCCAGCGACCTGATGCTGGGCCAGGTGTAAAGTCGCGTTCGGAAGAAGTCGATGTATCAGCCCGCGAACTCGAGGACGGAGCACGGATCCGCGGGAATTGAACAGGGATGCCACTTTCAATGGCAGCTGCAATGTCAGACACTGAGCGCTGGCTACGTGATGAAGTTGAAGTTGTAGATCGTGATCGGCTGCTGGAATTGTGCCTTGAGACGGAGCGGAATGAACGAACAGGTCGAAGAGGCGGGCTGGAATGGAAAGATGGCGAACCACGAGAACTCAATTGCTCTGAGGAGCCCGCCGCGTAGGTCCACGGCGCGGCGACACCGGCATGACGCACAGCAGTTCCCCGGGAATTCCAGGAGGACAAGGAATTTGAGCGAGGGTCTGAGTCATTGAAAGGGATATTCGGAGGCAAGAAATTCATGCTTGAGTTGTCCAGTGTCACGAAATTGGGACTCGAGGGAGCACCAATGGGCTCAACGTTTGGACTCGAATAGCCAATCTGGGTTGAATCGTCATCATCATCTCTCGTAGACTTGGGTGAAGTAGGCGGCTCAGATACCACCGCTTTGATTGTCGGGGTAGCTGTTGGCAACACGATCAGGTCGTCATCGGAGAACTCCGCCTCAGAACCATCAGAGCCGTGATGCAAAGTCTTTGGCGACTGAATTTCCGGGAGAGATGATTTGCTGGAAAGGGGATCTTCATCCCACATCTGCGGCGGCGACATGCCTGTGTCTGCTGTAGAAGACACATCCCAGATCTCACCGACCGACTGTTCTCGAACGCTGCTCGCAGCTCCATGGCTAATCGCTGGCGAGGGCCAGGCTGCGGCGGATGGTCCGGCAGTGGCAGCATCTGTATAATTGAATCCGATGTCTGCAATATACTTCTGCTGCCCTTTACCGGGAATGGGCAACAGGATCTGCTCTGGCTTTGTTGGAAATGGAGTGGCGGTATACATGTCGACATCCTCTTGATCCTGATCTTGAACCAGGCGCAGGGACCGTGTGGGGGATCTCTCATTGTTGTGGGCAGAGCTTCGCTCTTCCAATGCCCGCCGCCGCCGAGGCGGAGGCGAGCGCGACTGGGTGTGTGAAGGCATAGTTGTCGAACCAGGATTAGAGCATGGTCCGAGGGACCAACGGGGCGTGAAAAGACTAATAACCAGAAGAATATCTCCAACGTGGAGTATAAACAAAGAATGACGTTAACCGAAAAGGGAACTGTTGTTGTTTTCCTATATTGGATTGATGTAAGGAATGCCTCGCCCTGGGGGTCGTTGATCGATATCGATAAGTGAATGGTTCTATATGGCCGAATTCTTGGTGTAAAAAAGAGCGTAAAGACGTCAAAAAGGTCGTCAGAGGGCAATCAGAAGGTCGTTTCAGACGTTGCAGGCCATTAAAAAAGAGCGACAAGGAACGAAAAGGGTCATTAGTTTCAAAAAAGAAGGACGGGGAACAGAACGACTGGAAAACAACACCGCACACAAAAACATGAGACACAAAACGAACCAAGGGGGGGCCAGGAATTTTGTTGCCCAGCGGCGGTGAAGCGCCGACGAGCAAGGCAGGGCCCAGCAGAGTCCAGCGCCTATCACAGAAGATCCAGACCCCCCAGGGGTATGCAGCCATGCACGGCCCTAGAGCGCCGTTGACCTCGCGGGGCCCAGTGACGATTGGTGGAGACGCGCCCGTGAGAACGGATTTTCGGGTGCGTTGCCTGACAGAGTTACGCTGATGCACACGCTGCAGTGGTCATTTCTGTCTCCTCTCGTTTATGTGTTCCGTACTCCGTAGACCTGGCTGGGAGGGGCCAGAGGGGGGGGAAGTATTCGTCCAGCGAGCGTGAGCCTTCACATCATGCACTACTGTACATATATGGTGTACGCTCTCTGCTGACGATCACAGCAATGGCGAACCAAATCCTGACAGGAACCTTCACTCTCAGCCCAGCCCCAGCCCCGGGTGGAGTCAATGCGTTGTCAAGGATTCTAGCGCAATTTCTGGGCGAATCTCTCATTCTCTCTCTCTCGCCCTCGCTGACTCTTGAACAATATTGAGATCCCCTGGCAGCCCACCTGGGACGGTTGCTCGTGAGGTCGGAGAATTTCTTGTCCACGATTCACTCCCCTCGCATTGACTCATATTAAAATGAAGATTGACAGGGACAGCAGGGGGAGGTGCATATGATGCCTCACTTGCGGGCCACGAGTTGGAAAGGACGCTCGGTCCACCAGTTCGGGATGGAAGGTTGGTCTGGTTCGAAGGATAATTATAGCCAGTGGTCAAAGATTGAATATGGAGAATACAGATGTCTGTCATTGCTGGTGATATCAAACTGGTGATTGTTGATGTTGATGTTGATGTTGTTGATATTCTTTGTCCTACATACTGTACGGTACACTTCCCGTAGTGGGCCAAACCGTGGTTCCAGACTGGGTTTGTGTATTACCAAACACTGCCACACTTCTCCCGCGTATATCTGTGTATTGGTACCTGTGTATGGTCACACTCTTTCACAACCCCAACAAAGCAAAAAGACGGGCCGTGGCCAAGTTGAGAGAGTTGCTGCCTTTGAACTTCGAAGTCCAGGCCGATATCACTCTTTCTTGACGCCGCACTCCTTCGTCGTGATTCCATCCCACTATGGCCCCCGTTGGGATACTCGCACGTCTGAAGAGCCTGTATTCTAAAGGTCAGGGTGAGTGAAAAATATCCTGAACTCCCGAGATCGCTCCCCCCCAGGGACAAACTTCGGACACATCAGCTAACCCGCCCGTTAGATGAGCCTTCACTGTCTGTACACACCGTCGTCGTCTTCTCAGTAAGATTTGCCCCCATCCCCCCCTTCTTCGGGTGTTTAATTAGAATCGAACTCAAAAAAGAATACTTTTTTGATCATTCGCCTTCCTTTCCTAACTCATCAAACTCCAGGTCGCCCTTACATTGCTCTATGTCTTGCCTTTCTATCTGTCGCACGCCACGCGGCCATCGCCAACTCTGAGTCGAGATGCGCCCTCTGTGATTCGCGCTCGCATCCGCGCGGTGACAGGCTCCTGCGTCGCCAGTTCTCTCATTGTACTATGGCTTATTGTCGAGGAGGGTAATTCCTCGCTCGGCGCTGCGTTGAGCATGCTCGGCTGGTGGCCCATCGACCTGGCGGATATCCTCCGAAGCCTATCTCTAACAGCTATTCTATTCTTGGGCCCTCTCTTTGAAAGGGGTATTGCCGAAGGCGAATGGCGGTCTTGGTTCCGTCGCAGTAAAATATCCGAGAGCCTGAGCGGCTGGATCGGCTGGAGAAATTATGTCGCCGTAAGTTTGAGTGCCCTTGGTTCTCTACCATGGTTCCCGGGCCCGCGATATACGCTTCATATTTCGATATGATAACTAACCGCTCTATGTACAGGGCCCCGTCACTGAGGAGGTCATGTTTCGGTCGGCCATTATCCCACTGCATCTTCTAGCGCATATATCACCTGGAAGAGTGGTGTTTATTGCGCCTTTGTACTTTGGCATTGCGCATGTCCACCATTTTTACGAGTTTAGACTTACTCATCCCGATACGTCGGTTTTGGCTTCTCTGCTACGCTCGCTCTTCCAGTTCGGCTATACCACCATCTTCGGCTGGTATGCGACATTCATCTACCTCCGCACTGGATCCTTGATTGCGGTCATTCTGGTCCACAGTTTCTGCAACTGGTGCGGATTGCCTCGGCTCTGGGGCCGCGTTGAAGCTGGAGAATCATTTGGGGTACCCATCAATACCCGTGGCAAGGAGGACTCGGATGGGAATTACGTGGCCGAAGACGATGATGGCCAGCTAGGTATTGGTTGGACGATTGCGTACTATCTGCTTCTTGTTCTTGGGGCGGTTTCTTTTGCACGGTGTCTTTGGCCTTTGACTGAGTCTTACTATGGCCTGGTGTCATTTACTGAGTCGAGGGCTGGCACAAAATGATTTCCATAGTGAAGATGTCAAATTTCTTCTTTCCTGTACCTATGCATGATTAACATTTCGTCGGAATTGGATCAGACGAAGTCGATTGGTTTTTGGCAGCCGGCCATCTATAGGTGTGGCTGAGATGATTGCACAGGATACATGCCTTATTGTCTTAGGCTTTTAATGATATAAATTCAGATTGTGTATTCAATACTAGTATTCTTTGGGTTCTTAACAAAGACTGCTACCAGGTGGATTGGCACGTAATTACCTCAGTGGTCAGTCGTTGCGTTGATCGCACTCAAGTTCAAGTTCCAAGTTGTGAATATAGTGAGAATCCGAACGTCGACCGATTATATAACGAGAGCAGTACCATCGTCCACCTGGAACAATATATACATCGGCACTGGCAGTCAACCTTGGTATTTACGGGCAAAGCACAACTCAACCTTGGAATACTTTCAAGGGGCCAGTTCTATCTTAAATCCGAAATTAACTAAATTCACATATAAATTTCAGCTTTCTATGAATCCTACCTACTTGACTATGATCAATCACTACTAGGTATTTTGTAATAACCTTGAAATAGAGCACCGGAGAAAACTTGAACCATCCCTAGATAGCGCCTCGCCGCCCCCTCAATATCCCAATACCCACACCTGAGCACCAAGCACCCACCATCCGATCTGCCTCACTAAAGAAAAGATCAGAGAGCTCAAATATCTAAACGACCGCTTCCAATAAAAACAACCTCTTTCGAAATTTGCCGGTCGCTCCAAAATCACCCAAACCTTCCAAGGTTTGTTCACACTGAGACACATTCCAGCTGCCCTTGCAGCCCTTGCAGCCCCAGCCCCTTCAAAGCCAACAAAAAAAGGTAAGACAAGTATGCCCGTCCAGATCAATAGTGGCAGATTTCTTGCCATGAACTCGGGAACTAGCAGCTTTTATTCTGCTGGGCTCGTGATATAAGTGATATAAGACCTGACTTGATTGCGCCGTCGCCCGGGTACCCGTACCTGTTCCACAATAGACTATCCACCCCTTTTCACACACCTTGCGAGAAGCGTCCGCCTGGGCACTGCCCTTCAGTGAAAGTCACAAGTTTCTATTCTAGATCAAGTTCAATCTTTGAGCCGAGAAATTCTAGACATGATTTTCCATCCTGCCCCTCAGGTAGAGGACGGGTGACAACAGGATTGGCGTCCCTCTTCCTAAAGCATTTCCACCTATAGAACAAGATGTGATATTTCTTCAATATAATCCGGAGGTACAGGACGACCCGCCCCGTCGCTCTATTCTATTCCAGAGCGACCGTTATCAGGACGTGGTCACTCGTACTGCTCGCTGATCCAGCCCATCAAACTGGAAATAGAAGCCCCTCATCAAATGTTACATATGACAGCAAACTGCATATTCGGACACAATACCCCACTTCATGGGCTAATCAGAGACCGAGTTTCCATAAATACCATGCATCTTTTGGCTTCGTGAGGATAGGCATCGGACGGGAAATTCTGCAGCGAAATGCAGCTACGTTGCTTCGTGCAATGGAGGCGAATCGCTTTAATATACCTGACACTAATGGGGCATTGGGGAAACATGATTTAGTTTGACTGCAGCTGTCGTGTATATTTGGCATATCTCTGCCGACTTGTACGATTGGGGAAGTCTCGTAGTATTCTAAATTTTCTAAAAATATTTCGTTGTTCGACGTGATGATAATTGTCTTCGTCTTCGCTTTTGGACTTTGTGGTTTGGTTTATGCCTGCCTTGCCTCAGGGCGACGAGCAAGAATCTGCCACCTGGTTAGTCTCGATTCTAGAGAGTAACCTTGTTATTTATTCGAATCAACTAATCATGACATTGCCTTAGGTCCTCCAACCATCCCCATCTTAGGAAACCTACATCAGCTTCCCACGACCGGAATCTTTCTCAAGTAGGATAGTCTTTCTTCCTCTAACACAAGGACCCTTTTATGTCTGCCGTTTATATTTATCTAATAATATTCTCAGACTCACAGAATGGGCCCAGCGATACGGAGGGATATACTCCATAAAAATAGGCTCCGGGACCTCAATCGTCCTCACAGACCGTCAACTCGTCCGCGAACTCATCGACAAAAGAAGTTCAAGATACAGTCAACGCCCTTCATCTTATGTATCCGATAACCTAATAACTCAGGGCGAACACATGCTCGTAATGCAATATGGGCCGTTATGGCGCGTTTTCCGCAAACTCGTTCACCAGAATTTCATGGAAGCTGTCGTGGAGAAGAATTATGTTCCGGTACAGAATGCCGAAGCTGTACAGATGCTCTATGATCTCTGTCAGCGGCCGGATCAACATATGCTTCATCCGAAGAAATTTAGTAATAGTGTTGCTATGAGCATAAGTAAGTCTAAAATCGACTGTCCCTTGACTTGAACTTGGTTTGTTAAATTAAATGCCATTTCAGTTTTCGGCATGCGGACGCCCACTTTGGATACGCCGAATATGACTCGTTTGTATCACATTATGGTAAGTTCAAATTCGTTGTCAAGTAAAGTAATCAAAACATAATCCATTCTCACATTGACTGGGAGTCTAGGACGACTGGGTCCAAGTAATGGAACCCGGCGCCACACCACCCGTCAACATATTTCCTATCTTCCACTGACTACCGCACCGCCTATACAAAAACTGGAAAAAGACTGCAAAAAGACTCGGATCAAACATGAACTCCTTATACAGCAGCCTACTAAACGAAGTCCGAACGCGCCGTGAAAACCCCAAATATCCCCGCAACACCGTGATGGACTCGGTACTGGACCAGAATGAGAAACTCGGTCTGACGGGTCATCAGATTTATTTTTTCTGCGGAGTTTTGAATGAGGGCGCTTCCGATACTACCGCGACGGCTATTCAGTCATTTATTCACGCTATGAGTAAATTGCCGGTTATTCTTCGTAAAGCGCAGATGGAGGTTGATGGTGTTGTTGGTGAGGATCGGCTCGGACGCCGGTTTGGGAGGATTATGTGCGTCTGCCGTATGTGGCGATGACGATTAAAGAGGCTATGCGTTGGAGGCCGGTTGTTCCGCTTGCTTTTCCACATGCTGCTACGGAAGGTATGTGCCAAATTCAAGTTCTCTTCAAATTTATGTGACAGTTGCAAAGATACTAGTAGCTAGTATATACATTGAAAGCCGCAGGCCAAGACTGATTTTTGTCCGGTTTATTAGATGATTGGGTCGATGGCTACTTTATCCCCAAGGGCTCAACGGTCATAATTAACGTCTGGGGTCTTCATCGCGATCATTACGGTTATGGATCAGGACGTCGGATTTGTCCCGGAATGCACCTTGCAGAGCGCAATATGTTCCTGGCGATTGTGAAGCTCATATGGGCCTTTGATTTCGGGCCTGATATAGATGAGAAGACTGGTTTGCCTGTTGATGTAGATGTTGACCCGCAGACTGGATATAAGGAGGGGCTGGTACTCGGTGCGAGATCGTTTGCTTGTCGGATATCGATGAGATCAGATGCGAGGAGAGATACGATTGTGCGAAAATTCGAGAAGGTGAGCGCGGATGTTTTTTCAAAGTATGACTTTAAATGGATTTGGGTTTTTGGTATCGTATTTGATTTCTAAGTTGATCAATGGGATGATGGGTTCAAGTTGTTTAATGTATTTTATGTCTAGTGTACATGTCTATTTAAGAATGTTAAAATACAGAATATGGAGAGTATAAGTTCGTTTCTGAGCCAAGCCCTGATCAGAATACAACGTTCACGAGCTTACCACCTTTCACAACAATCACCCGTCGTCTCTTCTCCCAGTCGTTCTTTTCTTTCAGCCAAAATTTGCCTTCTGTGGTGTCCAGAACATGGCTTATTATCCAGTCCTGTTCTTCCGGCGTGGGTCCGGATTTATTTCCCTGGGAGGTGGGTGCGGTGGACGGCATCCGTGGGATATTGACAGCGCATCGCATCTTTCCATTGATCTGGATAGCCACAGTCTGACCACCACGGGCAGAAAGAGCGTCGGCCTGATCAGAAGATAGGAGAGGGGTTGGCCAAGACGAGGCATGGATGGATGGAACAACGGCGGTAGGACTGTTCCCTTGGACTAGATACTTGTGCAGGACTTCCCAAGATTCAGATGTTAATGCTGGAGCAATGGGCGAAAGAAGGCGGAGGAGAGAGGAGATAGAAAGGTAGAGGACAAGAGGCGAGGATGGAGGAGCCGAGACGAGAGCATTGGTCAATTTTGTCAGATCTGAAACGACAGTGTTGAGACCATAAGGGTTGTTCTCGATGCATGATGTGATAGAAGTGATGGTCTTATGAGTGGCCAGGATTGCATCTGCATCGGAATCGCTGAGCGCCTCCAATGAAGGGGGAAGAGAAGCTGCGTGGCTATTTGAAGCATCCAGGTCAGAGGCGGAAATCGTAAAGCTCGCGTTGTTCAGTGTTTCTTGAGCATCAATGACAAGTTTCCACAGACGACCGAACCAGCGTTCGATACCAACGATCTTAGCTTCGTCCCACTCTAGCACTTCACTAACCGGGGCAGCAAATAAAATTTGCGCACGAGTAGCGTCGGCTCCATACTTGGTTGTGCAATCAGTCGGGTCAACACCGTTATGTTTGCTTTTGGACATCTTCTCAAAGGAGATGTTGGGGGTAATTTGGGTTCCCTTGATCAGGGGCTTTTCCGGGTCGGAGATATCCACTTCGGACGGATGCAAGAATCGACCCGTTGATGGTTCAATGAAAGTCTTTCCATGAACCATACCCTGGAAGGAAGAGTCTTGAACGGTTCCGCAGGCGCTGCCAGACCCTTGTCATGGGAAATAGCAGGGAATTGATCTGACTGTGCGAGGAACTTATAGATGAAGCGGGCATAAAGCAGGTGCAAAATGGCGTGCTCCACGCCTCCAATATAAAAGTCCACAGGACGAGCGACAGATGGCGAGAATGGAGCATCCTTGTTTCTGGGATCCAAAAAGCGTAGGTAGTACCACGATGAATCTACAAAGGTATCCATGGTATCTGTATCACGCTTCGCTGGCCCTCCGCAGCTGGGACAATTGGTGTGGAGGAATTCTTCGGATGACTCCAAAGGATTTCCCTTCTTGCCCTTCAGCCAGTCACCTTCGATCTTGGGCAATTTAACAGGCAGGTCTTTCAAAGGAACGGGGACGGGGCCACAGTCGCCACAGTGAATGATTGGAATGGGGGCACCCCAGTACCGTTGCCGACTGATTAACCAATCCCGCAGCCGCCAGTTCTCCATGAACTCGGCTTGTCCCACCTTCTCGAGGTCAGTAACAATCTGCTTTGTAGCCTCTTTAGATGACAGGCTTTGATATTTCCCGCATAGTGAAGAAAGGAAGCCCTCTTGGGTAAAAGCAGTCGCGTCGCGAGCGGGGATGACCGATTCGATAGAGCCACCATCCTGAGATTTCGGAGGATCCGAGTTGATGACAATGGGAATCGACTCAGGATTCATGTTCTCCTTGAAAAATGACATGTCCCTGGCATCATGGCCAGGAACAGCCATCACCGCACCTTCGCCATAATCACTAAGCACATACGGTGCTGCGAAAATCGGCAGCTTCCTCTGCAGATGAGGGCTTTCTTTGTCGATTTTTAAAAGAGGGTGCGACGCCTCGGCGCTTTTGAGAACATAACCAGCCTTCGAATCAGGTGGAAGTAAGGCCGCCTCATCCAAGAATTTTCGAAGAGACGGGTCCTTTTCAGCTGCCTCCAACACGATGGGGTGGTTTAATGATAGAGCAAGATATTCAACTCCATATAGTGTGTCAGGGCGCGTCGTGAAAACGCCAACATTGACTTCTTTGTCTCCGTTGATAGTAACTGGAAATTTCACTTTGGCTCCTTGGGACTTCCCTAGCCAGTTTCGCTGCATAGATAGCACTCTCTCGGGCCAGCCCCCAGAAAGCGAGTCTAGGTCCTTCAAGAGCTCTTCCTTAAATTGAGTGATCCGGAAGAACCACTGCTTAAGGTTCAACTTTTCGACCTTAGCTCCAGAGCGCCACGAAAATCCATTGGCATCCACCTAGGGCGAAGTCAACATGCATAGTCCACCACAAGTTATTATTCGTCACCCACCTGTTCATTGGCCAACACTGTTTTGTCAACCGGGTCATAGTTGACAAGAGCCTCAGACTGATATGCAAGGCCCTTCTCATATAGCATCAAGAATATCCGTTGCGTTTGCGCGTAGAATTCGGGGGAACAAGTTGCCAGCTCCTAAACATAATGAGTGAGTCAGTCAATGCACACCATGAAGTTGGGCGTGAATTCATCTCTATCCCACGCACCCTGTCCCAATTAAAAGAAGTCGAGATCCCCCGCAACTGCTCCTTCATCTTGGCCATATTTTGCTCCGTCCATTCCGCCGGATCAATGCCTCGCTCAATCGCCGCATTTTCCGCCGGAAGCCCAAATGCATCCCACCCCATTGGATGCAACACGTCATGTCCACGCATTTTGTAGAATCGCGACAACACATCTGAAATCGTATATACTCGAACATGGCCCATGTGCAGAGTGCCGGAGGGGTAGGGGAACATCGAAAGGACATAGGTCTGCGGCTTCGGCTCGGTACTTTTCTCTGTCGCGAGCTGGGCTAAAGTCGCGTCGGATTGCCATTTTGCCTGCCATTTTTTGTCGAGGGCCGGGAGGTCTAGTCTTCGAGGGGTAGAGGAGGTTGTCGTCGCAAGACGAGTGAAGGTATTGGACGCGAGAGGGAATCGGAGTAGGTGGAGGCGCGCGCAGCTCCGGGCGTGCGCTGCCAGGGGTGTCAATCGGATACGTGAGAGTGTCTGCATGACGAATATATCGTCATGTCCGCACGACCGTGACTGTAGGGGGATTATCGAACAGTAGCGGTATGGACCACTTGTTGTTGGAGAGATTGTCTGATCTTCAACTTCAAAACTTCCCCGGAGCCCGGGCAGCATTAGGCCCGATTAGGACTAGCGTGATCCATGGATATTCGAATAGAATTGAGTTGGAGAATAGAGATACTTTCTTTTCTTTGCTCATTCATGGTACTAGTAGTACTAGTACATTTTAATTAATTTGATCATTATTTGGCATTATTTATATTCATTTCTATCCACACATCGTATCTATGAATATATACACCATGCTATATACACTAAGTCTATCTTATTTATCATCGTCTACATTCGCAATATATCTCCGTTGCGATCAATCCCTCCACGAAAATGGTCCGCGATGACCTTGCCCCCAAGGATAGTCTCTTCCACTAATCCTTGCACATGCTTAGGCTCGATTCGGCCGTACCAAATACCCTTACCCGCCAGCGGGTGAGGCTCGGCAGAAGTTCCCACCGTCATCTTGGGCGGGATGTAGATGATGACATTACCAGCATACTTGTGCCCACCAACATGGCTAATTAAACCAATATTTGCATGATTGGGTCCATCAATAGTAGTACCATCGCCACCCACAGACTTGTATCCTTGCGTTTGAAGCACGCGCTGGAATTCGCTTTCCAGAGCGGGCCCCATGACACCACAGCGCATGTCTCGACCCCCATGCCCACAGATCAGGATTGTAGGCGAGTGATTGATATCAATTATACCGTCGAAGTTAGACGAAAGTTCGGGGGCCCGGGTCATGTCTGTTCTTTTGGCTTCTGGGAGCGAAGAGTGCATGTCGTGTAGGCGTTCGGGGAGAAGGAAGGCGCGAACAAACGAGGTCAGATCGGCGGCTCCATCAGACGCAGTTCTGGCATCGACTGGTATGGAGGGTATGTATTTGAAGCTGGGGAAAAGAAGTGCGGAGGCGGTAGAAGGGCTGTTTGTAGCAGGAACGATAGAGGAAGTAGAGACGAGGACATTGTTGAAAGGCTGGAACGACAAAATGGCATACGGTCAGAATACAGATCATGTGTAATGGTGCAGTAGGGCCACAAACATCAAGATATGGGCCACCTCGGCTTAGCAAACGCTTAAGCCCTCGTATAAGGCCACCCCAGCTTTTGTTTTCTCCGTCGTTTTCAATGCGGCTTGTCCAGTCTCTTTGGTCGGTGCATATCACTAGTTGCTGCGCATAGGCTGCCATTGTCCCGTTCAAGGCTTGTTCGTGATCAATTGGTAATCCCTCGGGCATGGCTGGCGTGGGCGGGCAGTTGCAGGTCGGCTCGGGACAAGACTTTGTAACGGGGAAAGGAGGGGGGGATTTCGAGGCGTGCACGAAGACGACCTGCGCGACATGGCGTGGTTGACAGGGGTCTAGCAAATCTGGAACTGTGATGTAGTTGTACGCTCCAGTTGCGCATGAACGACTGCGCGAGCACTGTTGACAACGGTCTCATCGGACAGGACCTGGAAGATATGTGCAAGAAAATCGGGTATAGATAGGTCCGACAAGAGGTTTATTTAGAGGTCTGAGGGGAATTGCAAAGAGTGCGAAAAGAAAGCGACAGAGCAGGGAGAAATAATGGTAAACTTGGGGAAGTTCAAGACAGTCCCAGCATCTCCGAAATCTCGGAGCGGAGATTAGCGGGATTATCAATCGCCACATATCATTCGCAGCGGGTGTGGCTCCTCCACTGCCAGACAGGCACAATCCACAATCCACAATCCACCCTGGTGGCAATAAAAATATTATAAAAAAGAAGAAGAATGAATATGGCGCCACCCGGATTCGAACCGGGGCCACCTCGGAATTGGAAATTGCTACTGTCCACTATAGGACAGTAATCGACCACAACGAGGCATCTTAACCAGCTTGACTATAGCACCTTATTTGATGAAGACTGTCACCAATTAGTGCCACATAAGGGTGGACCACCCAATCCTCCCCGCCCGCTATCTTCCCAGGCGGGGCTGTGGCTTCGTCCTTGTCAACAGTTCAGTTCTCCAATTTCTCTGGACAAATAAATCAACCCCCATTATGCCAGGATTCGATCAGGTTGCCTCGAACAAAGCCTTAGCCATTCCAGGGATCGTGGAAATCATTCTCTTACACTTGGACATACGCACAGTTCTCACAAAGGCCCAGAGGACATGTCGAACTTGGAACAATGTAATCCAGGAGTTTCCCTCCATTCAAAAACATTTATTCTTTGAGCCGACTGAGGAGATTGACGGCGAAAAGATCCCCAATCCACTCCTGGCTGAGGTCTTCCCTTCTTTTTTCCCTCTGGATCTGAAAAAGTTCTCCGCCCAGTCCCTGGACATTGTCCGCAACCCGCGTTAGGCTGAAGCTTATATCCGAGAAGAAGCAAGTTGGCGACGAATGCTTGTCCAAAAACCACCCGCCAATGGTCTGGCACTACTTCAGATGCACTATAGACATGTGGATGATTCATTCGATGACCCCGGCTATAAAGTTCTGGTTCGTCCGAAGCCCTTTGTAGAATTACATCACTCGCGCTTACATTCCTGGTAACGCTAACTAGAAGCGCCCGGAAAAATCAAATATGAACGAGCAGGAGCCCGATTCAACTAATCAAGGAAATGGCCTAAGAATGGAGACATTTTTCGAGTTGATGGTACTTGACGAGCGTGTTCAATTCGATCCCGGTGTTACTGTGGTGGTTCGTTGGGGTCGAGAAGCCCAAAAATCGATCTGGGTATACGGGCCTGGTATTCCAATTGAACATTCTTTTGGCCGCCGAATGATGACTTTTGACATTGTGGTTACCTTGACCAATTATTTCCATGGGAATTACTGCAAAGATACGCGTCGCATAACCAATGAGGAGGAAAGGTACCAAGCCGCTCAGATCTTCGGCTACTACAAAACTTTCAACCCGAGGGTGAAGCCAAGAGCAACGAAGCAAGTTGTGCATGTTGAGCTTGAACAATATCAATCGATGTACGATCTGTAGTCAATTATACTAGTACTATTCAAGTTGTCTTAAGCATACTATGGGTAGTAGTAGACAGTGGGGCAGGGATATGGTTGATACCCCATCAAATATATATTCCAAAAGGGTTCAGGTGCCAGTGACTAACACTACTACCTAGGTAGGTAGTTAGGTAGGTATTGGTAGTACTGTGCGCAACAACACACCTGATTTATATTCTGATCAGGTTTACTTGCCGCCACTTTCATAAATTACTAGTAATAAAGCAAGCTATATACTGAGTAAATGAAATATTGAATCCACTCGGACTTAATACTGCGCAGTCTCGGCATTAAATTGAGATTCGTGGTGCCAAGACATGATGACTCAGTGTGATCGCCACCGGTCATGGCCACGCCTTCAGCAAGATCGAACGGTCTACTAACCTGATGGATGCACGATAATCTATTACGTCTATCGAACATCGATGGAAAATCCTCACAGAGGTAGCGGGGCACCTTATGACAGCGTCCCGATGTCCTCGTCTTTGAACGCCGGCAATTCCGAGCCCGATCTTGAAGACGTTGACTTCTCACTGTTCTTGAATCTGGATAGCCCACAGACCGACCGATGTGCACATGGTGATTTAATCAGATCCGAATCCCCATATGTGGCTCTAGACCAGGGGACACATCTGTCCAATGCCGAGGCATCAGTCAACGTAGACCATTGGTGTCCGAATGGGCTTACGGAGAGTTGGCCTTGCCAAGACATCTTTCAGTATGAGGCCCACCCCAACGGAGACAGCTCGGGGCAACAAACGGCTGCTTCCTCGCTTTTCGCCTTTTCAGAAAGATCTTCAGTTGCAGACGAAGTCTCGTCGGACAACGATCCCTCTGCCGAACTTCCTAATAAGGCCAAGAAAAGTAGACGCCTTCCTTTGGACGCCGTAAGGGTCCTACGATCCTGGTTCTATGAAAATCAAGGCTACCCATATCCCACCGACCTGGAACGAGAAGAACTGGAACGACAGACTGGGCTGAATAAAAGCCAGATCTTCAATTGGTTCGTGAACGCGAGGCGCCGTAAAATACCCAAAAAGAATGTTACGCGCGATATCAACTCCATGGACCACAAATTACTCTCTCCATTTGAACGATGGCAGCACTCACCACCCGAAAACGAACCAGCTGCAGCAACCGATATTCTACGAGCAGCGGAAAATACGCCGTTTTCCCACCTTGCTGGTGATAACATGCCGTCCAGCAACTTCGATGGCTGGTCAAGTAGCAGCGCGACCAGTTCATTTCAATTTGGAGCATCTTCGATAAGCAGTGATAATCGAAGTCACTCATCTGCTTCTGCGCGATCTTCTCAACTATCGAGTGGCCCCTATCAAAGACCACCCACTCCACTCCCGAAGATGGGATTTAGTCGCCCCCGCCGGAAAGCCAGACGTTTCGCTAATCGCTTGGCCCAGTCAACGGCGCTTGAACGTCGCGCCTACCAGTGTACTTTCTGCGCAGACTCGTTTCGGAGCAAATACGACTGGCAGCGGCATGAGAAGGCACTCCATCTCTCGATCGAGCGGTGGAACTGCGCGCCCGCAGGCGGTATAGTTGAGATTAATGGGCTGGACATCTGTGTCTTTTGCCGTGGGTTTAGTGAGGATGCTGGTCATCTCGAAACGCACGACTACCTCGCATGTCGAGAAAAACTGCCCGAACACCGCTCTTTTTCGCGAAAAGACCACCTGGTACAGCATCTCCGCCTGGTGCACGGCGTACCCTATCATCCGTTGATGGACGAATGGCGAGTATCGACTGCTACACTTCTTTCGCGGTGCGGATTCTGCGACTCGAGATTCACAAGTTGGAAAGAAAGAGTCGAGCATGTGGCTGAGCACTTCAAGAATAACGCAGACATGTCTCAGTGGGTGGGCGATTGGGGCTTTGAGCCGCATATTCAGTGCCTGGTGGAGAATGCAATGCCGCCTTATCTGCTTGGTCTGGAGCGCCGTACAATGGATCCCTGGAAAGCGTCTGTAATGGAACAGGAACATCTTGAAAATAGGTATTCTTCGGGTGATAATAAGGCCCCGGAAGCCTTGGACCGTTATTTCAGTGTCCGCCAGGATCTAATCACCTACCTCCAGGGCCAGATTGCAGCGGGTAATGATCCTTCGGATCAGATGATGCAAGACCATGCTCGTATGTTTGCGTATGGGAATGATGATCCTTTTAACCAGACATATGCAGATCAACCGGGATTCCTGGTGACTCTCAGGCGTGACGTTGCGAGTGGTTTAACGTTAGGAAATCAAATTAATGAAGAGGACGAAAGGGACAGGCCGGCTGTTCTTGAATTTTGATATGCCTATATAGAACATAGCTCGAATTCCACAATATATATATACATATAGTTGGGTCGAGAACAATTGAACAGCACCGTGCTTTTGACATTTCAACCCCCCCTCCCGCTGTACTGGTAGAAATCGCTCGCCGGCTCGGTCGGTCGCAATGACATCGAGAATCTTTCAACTGCCCCTATCAAGTAATAGGCCCACCGAGGAACCCTCTAGACGTGCCCTTGTAGCCTCATAAATGTACCATTCGTTGTTTCTACCGTGTGTCAACTTGTGGGGTACCCTAGGATACCCCGCCGACCGTCGAGGGAGTTGTCAGGGGATCCGCCCGAGGAGGGGTTTGCATCTCCAAGCATGTGGCTATCCAATAGAATGTAACGGGCTTAGCGATCTGAGGCCTCCCATCTCTTAAACGGGATTCTCGCAGACACTGGAAGTAAATCGAGCATCGAGGTATTCGTCTCGTGGAGGGGGACGCGGGGCAGGCGCCTAGGACGTGGTGCTCGCAAATATTGTGAGTGCACGAGTTCTAGTACAAGGGGTGGTCAATGTGTAGGCTCTCGAGTTAATGGAAAGTGATTTCACTTGTTCCACTCAGAGCTTTGAGGTGATTGTTAGTGTGGCTCTCCACCAGAACAAGGTTTGTACGTCGCCATCCGACGGTGCTTAGCGATGGTCGATCGCGAGCTAAGATTTCCAAAATATTGGAGTTTTCTTCTCCGGTGAGATGAAAGGCGCAATCGCATGGTTGAACCCTTGGGCCTCTGGTTGATCTTCCGTGCTTGCCGTTGCTGGCCATTGTCGTCGCGGACCACGGTGTAATGTCAGTATTGTGAACATGAATGGAAGCCAGTAACACTGTCGATTGTAGTCGAAGGCACTGAATGCTTCAAAAGCATGTAAAGTATGGGCTCCTTCTATTTCGAGCTCTGGCTGGCATTGTGTAGGTGCATCGTGTCCAGTTGTGAGTTGTGAGTTGTGAATGTCAATGTAAATCTCAATGTCAATTCAACTCTGCAACACAACTTGATCACGCGCGAAATTCACAGAGGAGAATGGAATGGAATGTTGGCTGGGGACGAGAAAATGATCTCCTCACGGTTCCGTCTGAAAGTAGTATTCCATCCCGGCAACGGACTCCGTATCTCCAGCAAGTAATTAGGTGCTTCAGTGGATCCGTGAGGGTCTTTTCTCCAACTCCAACAACCTCCTCACCCGAAAAGAAAACAAGGTGGGCGCAGTAGAGAGAGCGGGTCCCGTGAAGTTGGAGAAGAAGGAGAAGGGCGAAGGCCGAAAGTCGGCAGAAGAACGGAGATCGATCGGGAGGTCCCCCGCGGTGAAATTCAGGGGCCGGAATCACGGCATCTTTAGTATCTCCAGCTGTCCGGAGGAGAGTTTCAATTGCCGCTGGTTGACCCCATTTTAGTCTCTCCGCGGCGCGTGGAATCATGCTTCTTTTTTTTTAAAATAAAATAATATAATAAAATTTTAGGTCAACTGGTTGCGTGTCAGTTACCCCTCAGCGGGGTAGCTGACATAATGAGGGGTAAATGCGACGAATGGAGTAAGGTTGCTTTACGAGTTAATGCGGTGTTGGATGGGCTGACTGCGGGATGCGCAGCGGTACATGTCGGTCCACCGTGAAAGAGACTATTGTGGTCGATCACGCGATAGTATGTAACACCAAGGAGGCTTGTTGTACATTGTAGATCACCTATCTACAGCTAGAGCCCCAAAAATGAGCTACCCCGCATGTACCATGTACCATGTACTATGGCCGCAAGACCAACTATCAATGGAGTTACTACTGTACAACATCGAATCTTACTGTAGCTACATAGAACATGAAGATGTATACAAGCTACAGATGGGGACCTTACTAGTGGCTCAGGCTGGCTGGTGGAGCCCAGAACAATCGAAATGGCCTAGGAAAACACGAACCACAAAGTCTCCTCCCCCTCCTGTCCCTCGTGCGGAGAGATGAGCTTTGGCCGTGAGTGGCTCGTTTCCCAATCCACCGGTCCCCCGACCGACAGCCCCGTCCCGTTTGCGTTGGAACTGGGATCTGAGGGGAGTACAGCGTGTTTTGGGTTCGGCTCCATCCACACACACTGTCTCGTTTCCAGTGGTGGTGTTGGCCTAAGGAGGGGCTCGCAGAGAGGGGCCTTCCGTCTATATAACAGGCTTGCCTAGCCGGTCATCCAACTCTTTTTTTTCTCTCTCTCATCATCTCAACCTCTTTACTTCCACTTTCCACCTCACTTTAAGGTATGCCAAACCCAAATCGATCTATCTTCCCCCCCCCCGCCCTTTACCATAGCCTATTGTATGGCCTGCATGGTTCTCCACTCTCCCCGCTCCTGGCATTAGCCGCCTCGTTCTCCAACGCCGTTTTAGGCGATTGACTTTATCGACCACCGGCTTTCCCGGGGGTCGCTATTATGTATAAAAGGCATTCGCTGACCTTCTCTAGCTTCGTGCTTTCACTATCTTCTACTCTTTCATCCTAAAACATCATTCACAATGGTATTTATCCGTTCCCTTTCCCACCTTCGACGGCCTGCCGCCCAATTTATATCTGGCTCTCTTAAGCCAGCTCCCATTGGGTCCTTCGCCAGGACTCCAGTGGCTGGTGCTTTTTCCAATGCCCGTACGCTAACCGCATCTGCCAATCTTCAGGGCAAGGTTCTTCTGGTTCTCTACGACGTAAGTGATTCTTGTCGACAAATCTCGAATTGATTCTACAATGTTCCGGATGACTGACTGTATCACAGGGTGGTGAGCACTCCAAGCAGCAGCCTGGTCTTCTCGGTACCACCGAGAATGAGCTTGGTATCCGCAAGTGGCTCGAGGATGCCGGTCACACTCTGGTGACCACCTCCGACAAGGAGGGCGAGGGCTCCACCTTCGACAAGGAGCTTGTCGATGCTGAGGTTATCATCACCACTCCGTTCGTCAACCCTTCCCCAATCAACAATCATACCATACCATGGATATCAGCTAACATGTCCGATCCCTCAGCTTCCACCCTGGATACCTCACTGCCGAGCGCCTCGCCAAGGCCAAGAACCTCAAGCTGGCTGTCACCGCTGGTATTGGTTCCGACCACGTCGACCTGAACGCCGCCAACAAGACCAACGGCGGTATCACCGTCGCCGAGGTCACCGGCTCCAACGTCGTCTCTGTCGCCGAGCACGTCGTCATGACCATCCTTCTCCTGGTCCGCAACTTCGTTCCCGCCCACGAGCAGATCAAGCGCGGTGACTGGGATGTTGCTGCCGTTGCCAAGAACGAGTTCGACCTCGAGGGCAAGGTCGTCGGTACCGTCGCCGTCGGCCGTATCGGTGAGCGTGTCCTGCGCCGCCTTAAGCCATTCGACTGCAAGGAGCTCCTGTACTACGACTACCAGCCCCTGTCCGCCGAGGCGGAGAAGGAGATCGGCTGCCGTCGCGTCGAGAACCTCGAGGAGATGCTCGCCCAGTGTGACGTTGTCACCATCAACTGCCCCCTGCACGAGAAGACCCGCGGTCTGTTCAACAAGGACCTCATCTCTAAGATGAAGCCCGGTGCTTGGCTCGTCAACACCGCCCGTGGCGCCATCGTCGTCAAGGAGGACGTTGCCGACGCTCTCAAGTCTGGCCACCTCCGCGGATACGGTGGTGATGTCTGGTTCCCCCAGCCCGCTCCCAAGGATCACCCTCTCCGCTACGCCGAGCACCCCTGGGGCGGTGGTAACGCCATGGTCCCGCACATGTCCGGTACCTCCATTGACGCCCAGATCCGCTACGCCCAGGGCACCAAGAACATCCTGGACAGCTACTTCTCTGGTCGCGAGGACTACCGCCCTGAGGACTTGATTGTCCACAAGGGTGACTATGCTACCAAGGCCTACGGTCAGCGCAAGTAAATCTGAACTAAAAAAGTTTTGCGACCTAACACCAGACTGGCCGGTTTTATGATTTTCCTTTTATGATTGTTCATATTTCATGTATTCATGATCCCTATTATTTTAGCGGTTAAAATATCACATTTTCAAACTAAATTTATTGTGCTATGGTCGAGTGGTGATTGAAGGATACGACAGCTGCATTATCAGAGTGAATTTATTTTCCTATGTGTATGATCTGGGATCGGGTTCATTGCATCATATCAGATGGGCGGCGGCACTCCGACCACACCTTTTTGCTTCTCTGACATACTTGCATCAGACTTCTGCTCACTCCACAGAGCAGACAATTTTCTGTAATCGGGTAGTCTGTAAGATTTAGCCTGTCTCGATGGATTCAACCAAAACCTCAAAGATCTTTCATAAACCTCGCAACAATATCAAACCCCCAAAGCCCAATATACCGCACAACCTTCGCCGCCCAAAGAAATCGATCCCAATCCCTGACAAGTTGACTGAATACTCGCGTTGCCTGCGCTGCTGGAAATATGCAGTGGGACGAAGGCCATGAGTTCATGCCTTCTTGTAGGCAGTAGGGGAGACAGCGGACTGCTTTGCTGATGTAGACTTCGGAAAGTTGAGAGGCCACGTGTTGCGGGGAGTGACCGTCACGTAAGAGTTTTGGTATGTCGTCAGTAGGCTCTGTTAGAGTATAAGTCTGGTAGATAAGTGGGTATATAAGAGATAGTGAAGCCCAAATGTAAATGTACAAGTTGGCTTCGCCGACTGAATGGAATTGGTAGGCGGGACCGAATAGGTCATCTGTTGCAGGAATTCCTGTTTTGATTTCTCCACGGTTATACGTGGGGGGGTTCTTCGGAGGTGCCACTTGCACTGATCTTTGAGTAGAATATCTGATTATCAAGTTGCGAAATGGGGCCCGGATGTGACAAAAGAAGAATTTGAAAATCAGAGGTTAGCGTATGAACTGGTGGATAGCCGCAAAGTTCGTATCCCACGCGTCTATGAATTCTTCTGTGATGAGCGAGGTTGGGGTTATATTTTGATGGAGTTCATAAATGGAAAGGTCATTGATCCACTGGAGGACGTTGATTCTATACAGCGGGTTGCGAGCGTGCTAAATTATTTCTCAACACTGCGGTATAGCGTTCCTGGATCCCTTTATGGGGGTGCTTGTCGCGGCCTTCTTTCCCCTGAAACTGATAACTTGGTTTTCGATACTCTTGACAGAATGGAAGAGTGGTTTAATAGCCGACTTTTCGCTCAAAATCCCAAATTAGCTCTACGAGGCAATGAAATCGTAATTTTTCATCTGGACATAGCACCCCGGAACATCTTGTGGCAGGAAGATGGGTCTTTGTGTCTTCTAGATTGGGCTTCTGCTAGTTTTTACCCAAGACTATTTGAGTTTTGCATTCAGTGGATTCTTGACGGAAAAGAGGGCAGCTTCATTTCCTTCTTTTGAAATCGATGAACCCCCCCTTTTGACCAAGAGATGGCCCAGAAAGAGCTTATGATGTGTGCTTGGAGAAATATCCAAAAATATCCGTTATAAGTGAGCCAGATACCGGCTATTTATTCCACTATACTTATTTGCTTCCAAGTCGGAATAAATCATCAACATCACACCCAGTGTTATCAGAATATTCGGCAAGTGCTAAACCAGAGCCTGCTCATCCAATGCCAGAATATCCACCAGATTGACGTGAACAAGCCCAGCATGAATACTCTACACCGTCAAGATCTGCTTATGTTGCTTCTTGAAGTTCGGCTGTAGAAAGTAACAACCACACGAACTTGGTTCTCAATCGTGTTGTCCGCTATTTAAGCGCATTTTTTTTCTCCGCGTGTGTCATCTAAATCTACATAGTACCGAGGTCGTTGCAGACAGCTAATTGTGAATGGCAATACATTTTTGAATGGACATCTCCCTTTCTTTCATAGCTACCCTCGCAAAAAATATTCAAACTGCGTTTTTGATCGACACTTTGTACTGGAAAGCACTCGCGCCTCTCCGCCAACTAGTCTCAGAATGGCGTTACAGAAAAGGCGGAAACTTAAGCAGCCATTCGTGTTGTGCCGGGCGAGCCGCTGGAAGATTCCTGTTCTTAGAATAGTATCCATGAATAGCGCTAGCGTGAATATCACAGCACCCGTCCCAGCATACAAAAAAAACGTAACTTACAGTGGCACTGCAAAATTCTGCCTTACTATTGTGGTGTGAAGTAAGTCGCGAAGATAGCTGAATTGACGGCGCCGCCCAGAGCGGTATGCAGATGGTGCACCAGGTCATTCTAGAGCAAGGGAAGGTTGTAGGAGAGAGCCAGGGGCAGCAGAGAATAAGAGATACTAGATGCTAAAATCACTGTTAAAGGGGCACCAACTTTATTGCTAGAGAGTGACTCAGAGTACTGGGTAGGTGTAAATTGGAGGAGTACTGGAAAGGAAGGTGATCAAGTGACAGCTTACTTTCTAAAGTACAGGTAGAAAGGCGGCTGTTTCCGACAACAAACGAGACTATTTTCGGCGTCTATTTCACAGGTCTAACATATTTTAGTCGTAATTGCTTCTTCGTAACGCAGGGGCTCTGTATCTACCAACTGATCGAAGTGGGGCACACTGTCGATCTATCAATGGATTGACAGGTCCAGAACAAAGACCACATTTTGAGTGGATCCCATAGTTTTCGTTGGTATTCTGACAGGTTCAATATCGATCGATCGATCGTAGATGTCGATCAAAACTTTGGATTTCATTGTCAAAATGAACTCTCATTCCTTGGGGTTGACGGTAAATTGTTATACTTGCCTCTATGTATCCAATTCCATACTACGAAATGTGAAACCAAGTATAATGCACTAGAAGTGTTTGGACAAGAACCAATCTATAGTCAAATAATTCAACCAATCTCGAATATGCAGATTCGCTGTAGACATGAAGAGAGAGAAAAAAAAAATCACCGCCCAGGAAATAAAATATGAACAGGAACTGGAAGAATGAATAGCGCAGAGCAATCAATGTTGGCCATGTGCGCCTCTCCTCCCACCATGCTCCTCTTCATCACTATCATCCATGAAACCTTCTTCTAATTCTCGATTGAGGCGACTTGTCGAGTCACCCGATATCCCGCGCCGTTGTTCTAAAGCCTCCCGGCGAACGGAATCCATAGTCATCCCGGTCATGAGTTCCCCTTCCTCCTCATCTATACTGATATTGTCGTGGTCGTCAAGGTGCGTCCCTCGCCTCCACGAGGATGGGAGAAAAAGGCGCATGGCTGTATCGGCTATGCGATCGCGCAGCGACAGAGTATGGGCCGAAATAGCGTGCAGGGGAAGGTACTGGGAATAGCGCTGTTGGTAACGTCGGAGGAATGGGATGATCAGGAATGAGAAAAGGAGGTAGACTGTCAATGCGATTGATGCTGGAATAAGGATTGTCTGAGGAAATTCATCGTTAGATCATTGGTCTTCAACAATCCGGGGGCCCTTTTTTGAGCGATGATGACGAGGCTGTGACACGAAGGAGGAGCGAGGGAGACAAGCGAACCTTTGCAAAGCCCATAGAGGATCCCATTTTGAAAGTCGATCCTCTAGGATGCCAAGTAGCTGAAGTAAGACAGGAAAATCAAGGCTTTGGGCGACTGATTAGGAGTTGCAGTTGTTTTGTTTACCGTCCTGGTATCGGGCCGGGGAGTAGAGCGGCGTCGGGATCGGCAATATGCATTGAGTCAGGTGTAAGTTATCCTCCAGTGTAGAAGTTGAGAACCGTCTGATTCAAATAAACTGCAACATCTCCAGCAGAACAACGATGTTCTACTTTGTTCTCACAGAGAGTTGTGTTTCAATGTTCAACTTTCCCCGATCCCCACAGGGAAGCCTGGGAGATATCATGACTAAGCACGGATTAACTGTCGACCGGATATTTAGGGGGTTATCAGGCACGCCCGTGCTTTGATCGACCCTGGCGTCAGGAAATCACTGGGACTTGCATATTGCAACCCTCTCCGGTTTCATATTTCTGGATTTGATTTTCCTTTGTGTGGTAGGCAACCGATAGGCCCCCTCCCGTCATTGACCCCTCTGATTCAGGGTCACTGCGTCAGTCACAACCGAACCGGGTATACTAAACTAGCCAGGGAGGGACAAAAACACCACTTCGGACTATCGTGAATGTCACCATTTTCGTCCACCAGATCCATAGCGATCGACCCCGCTACGGCTTGTACATCGATTTTACAACCTCCGACCCTCTCCAAGTGTGCCAAGGGAGCGCTCTTTATGCTGCTCCCTGCCACTTCATAGCGACAACCCGCCAAAATGCCCTCTCATGCAGCCGCAGACAAGTCCAGGCAAACATCGGCCGGGAAATCATTTTTTGGGAGGAAACTATACAAGGACCGCTCGACCGATGATCGCTCTCAGGGATACGACGGATATGGAGGCTCTTACGATAGCCTAGCACCGCCTGGAAGCGCCGCGGGATCTCGCTCGTCCCGCTATTCGAAGCGCTCTTCAATCCAATCTGTCGACATGAGCCACGATATCGATCCCGGAAGCATCGCCCCGACCGCAGGTGTTATAACGTCCATACCATTTGAGAGTCTGCCATCGGATACAAGAAACCCCATCCCGATCGATAGCATGTCGCGACCCGACTCCCGCCACGAGCCCTCCCCCAACCACATTGGCAAAGCCGGGGGAGATTTCCATCAGTACCCAACTTTGACCTCCACCTCTGCGCCGAACGGTTACGCTCCTCATCCATCCGGTCCCCGACCACCCCCACATGGCTCCAACACGACGATGACTAGCAGCAACTCAGGGGACCGTGGCACTCGATATCAACAATGGGGACGACCCGGAAGCTCAGCGGCGAACCCTGGCATGGGACATAACTCATCGATTGACTCCTCCTCGAATTCTCGCACATCACTTGACCAGGCTAGTGTATATTCCGGTCATTCATCCAATACGCGGGGCTCAAACTACTTCCCCTCAGAGCCCTCGTCTCGCACCCTCACAAGCTCGCATTCCAGTGATCGCAATACAATCTTTCCGAGTAGTGCAAGTACCGGCAGATTGTCAAACGCCCCTTCACAGCACCAACCCATCCCCGCAGCCGTACCCCGTCCTCCCGATAATTTTCTTACTCGCCCTAGAGATGATCGTATCGTTGACCAGCTATTTCTGGACCTGATGCAGAAGCGTGGATGGCAGAATCTTCCTGATCAAGCCAAGCGGCAAATGCTGTCATACCCTGCCTCCAAGAAATGGACTTTGGTCCACCAAGATCGCTTGACGGAACTACAGGGGGAGCAGAAAAGACGACAGAATGCCCGTCAAACACATGGGCATGATGGACTTTCAGGTCTTCTGGAGCGTGCCGATGAAGAAGGCAGCCCAGAGTGGTATGTGAAGAAGGTGATGGATGACACCATTACGTCAAAGCAACTGGCTAGTTTGAGCGTTAGTTTGCGAACGCAGCCCATCAGGTAAGCCGTGAATCACCTTTTTCGCAGCAAACAAATGAATAAATATTGATCATCTTCTACAGCTGGGTGAAAGCCTTCGTTGAAGCACAGGGTCAAGTTGCCCTGACCAACGTTCTCCAGAAGATCAATAGACGGAAGGCCTCTGGGCCCGTTCCTGCTCCTCCAACTGGCGACAAAGATCTCGACCGTGAATATGATATCGCCAAGTGTTTGAAAGGTCTCATGAACAACAAATATGGAGCCGATGATGCACTCGAGCACCAAGGTGTACTTGTCGCACTTGTCAACTCATTAGCTTCCCCTCGCCTTAACACTCGGAAGCTTGTCAGTGAAGTTCTCACCTTCCTGTGCCACTGGGCCGAAGGCCAAGGCCACCAAAAGGTCCTTCAATCCATGGACAAAGTCAAGCACGACCATAACGAGACTGGCCGATTCGATGCTTGGATGAGAATTGTAGAAGTCACTATCGATGGCCGTGGAAAAATGGGAAGTTTGGTCGGTGCCAGTGAAGAATATCGCAGTGGTGGTATTGGCATGGAAAACCTGCTTATGGAATATGCCGTTTCCACCATGATCCTCATCAATATGCTGGTAGATGGAGCGGAGAGCGACTTGCAGCTACGATGCCATATTCGTGCACAGTTCATCTCCTGTGGAATCAAGCGTCTTTTGACCAAGATGGAGGGTTTCCAGTATGAAGTTATCGACAAGCAGATCGAACGTTTCCGGGAGAATGAGGCTATCGACTACGAGGATCTCCTCCAACGGGAAGGAAGCAGCATGAAGGACAGTGTTGAGGGAGAAGTCAAGGATATGAGTGATCCTCTTCAGATTGCGGATGCCATCGCAACCAAGATTAATGGCACCAGGTCGCACGACTACTTCCTCTCGGCAATGCAGCACATGTTGCTAATCCGCGAGAATTCCGGCGAGGAGGGTCTACGAATGTTCCAGCTCGTGGATGCAATGATGAGCTATGTCGCCATGGATAGGAGGCTTCCTGATCTCGACCTTCGACAAGGACTGAATTTCACTGTGCAAAGTTTGTTGGATAGACTTCATACTGATGCCGAGGCGAGACGTGTGTATGATGAATCACTGGAAGCCCGTCAGATTGCCGAGGCCGCTATCGCCGAACGCGATGAGATGAAGGCTCAGGTTGAGCTTGGTGCCGAGGGCTTGGTCAAGAAGCTTCAAAAGCAGATTGATGAACAGACCGGCATTATCGAGCTCCAGGCACGTCAAAACGAGACTTTGAAGGCCGAGGCCAGTGAACTACAAAGACTGCGTGCGCAGGAACTCCAGCGCAATGAACTGGAGACCCGAGAGCTCTATCTGATGCTTCGAGACGCCCAGGATATTGCTGCATCCAATGCCCGCAAAGCAGCCAACCCAGATCAAGAGCCATCGACCGCCGATCCATCGCAGATGCCTGGAATTCTGGACCGGGAGCGTCTTATGGAACGATTGGAGCGCCAGCTGGAGAGAACCAAGACGCAATTCAAGCTTGAGGGCAGAGTCTGGGGCCAGCATGGCCCATCTGACCGTCTACGTGAGCTGCGCGAAAAGATGGATGGAGAGGATGATTCTGGTGAAGAATTTACTGAGCAGACTCGCCGCCATCTGGATCCGGGCTCCCTTGGATCCGTGTACCGGAAACGCAGCCATGTGCCTGATATGGACGAGTCCCCTGAAGGCCAAGCTCTTTCTCCCGTGGATGAGGATGAAGAAGCTGTGTACGAAAAGCCTCGCTTGGTGGAAATGCAACGACCTCGCCTGAACCCTGCTCAAGCTACTGGCTTGCTCGGCGAGCTTGCCTCTAAGGTGCCCAAGTACGATGAAGGCCCAGAGGGAACTGGCACTGCAGGTGAAGACAAGGATACTGCAATGGAGGATGGTGAATCCAAGCCAGAGCCAACAGCACAGCAAGGCTCATTGGTAATGCCACCTCCGCCGCCGCCACCACCACCACCGGGTGGCCTTGCTATGCCTCCCCCTCCACCTCCTGGGGGTGTCAAGCTCCCGGTTCCTCCTCCACCGCCGCCAGGTGGCAGTGGCCTTCCTCCCCCTCCGCCGCCGCCAGGTGGCCTTGCTATGCCTCCCCCTCCTCCGCCAGGTGGTGCCAAGGGTATCCCGGTCCCTCCCCCCTCCCCCCTCCTCCTGGCGGCAAAGCCGGTCTACTTCCTCCCCCGCCTCCTCCAGGTGGTATTGGTGCTCCACCACCTCCACCACCGGCCCCTGGAGGCAACGGTGGATTTGTTCCTCCACCGCCGCCACCAAGTGCTCCATTGGGCGCTGGTTGGACACCCTCCTTCATTACTCCAAACTCCATTGTGCCTATGAAGAAGTTTGGCGATCCTAAGAACAACCTCAAGAAGGTGCACTGGGATAAGGTTGACACTCCTGAAGTAACAGTCTGGGCCGCGCACGCCGTTTCGGCCGAGGAGAAGGAACAGAAGTACACCGACCTGGCCAAGAAGGGTGTCCTGGATGAGGTGGAACGGTTGTTCAGGGCTAAGGAGACTAAAATATTCGGAGCCAGCACAGCGGCCAAGGCGCGCAAAGACAAGAAGCAGGTCATTTCCAATGATTTGTCTAAGAACTTCCAGATTGCCTTGTCCAAGTTTTCTCAGTTTCCACCTGATACCGTGGTTCAAATGGTTATCCACTGTGATCGAGAAATTTTGGACAACATGGTCGTCATGGACTTCTTGCAGAGAGATGAAATGTGCACCATTCCGGAGAACGTCGCGAAGTTGATGGCGCCGTATAGTCGGGATTGGACCGTTCCAGGCGCTGAAACCTCTGAGCGTGAACAGGATCCCAGTGAACTCACCCGTGAGGATCAGATTTACCTCTCCACCGCCTATGAGCTGAATCACTACTGGAAAGCGAGAATGCGTGCACTGTCTCTGACACGCTCATACGAGCAGGAATACGAGTACACCTCCTCCAGGTTACAAGAGGTCGTTCGAGTCAGTGAATCTCTACGAGACTCTGTCTCGCTCATGAATGTTCTTGGCCTGATTCTGGATATCGGAAACTATATGAACGACGCCAATAAACAGGCTCAGGGCTTCAAACTGAGCTCGCTTGCTCGCTTGGGCATGGTCAAGGATGATAAGAACGAGACCACTTTTGCCGACTTGGTCGAGCGTATCGTGCGCAACCAGTATCCCGAGTGGGAATCCTTCTCTGATGAAATCAACGGTGTCGTTGGCCTCCAAAAGGTTAACGTTGACCAACTTTGCACTGATTCCAAGAAGTACATCAGCAATATTAAGAATGTGCAGTCAAGCTTAGATGCAGGCAACCTCAGTGATCCGAAGAAGTTCCACCCTCAGGATCGTGTCAGCCAGGTGGTTCAGCGAAGCATGAAGGATGCTCGGCGCAAGGCTGAGCAGCTGCAGCTTTACCTGGATGAGATGGTGAAGAGCTACGATGACATCATGGTCTTCTACGGTGAAGATAATACCGATGAGAATGCTCGGCGAGACTTCTTCGCGAAGTTGGCTTCCTTCTTGGTCGAATGGAAGGTTTGTTTATTCATCTGAAAATGAGCCAGATGGCCCCGTGTATCAAATTGCTAACTGTTTCTACCTATAGAAATCCCGCGAGAAGAATATGGGCTTGGAGGAAGTTAGGAAGCGCACCGAAGCCTCACTGGCCCGCAAACGAATTAACGTCAATCTCGCCAATGCCAACGGCCCTGCGACGGAACCGCAGAGTTCCCCTGCCAACAGCGGTGCAATGGACTCGCTTCTCGAGAAACTGCGTGCTGCTGCGCCCCAAGCCAAAGATCAACGAGACCGTCGCCGTCGTGCTCGCCTCAAGGAGCGTCACACTGTTCGCGTTACCTCCGGACAACATGTTCCGGAGGGCGATGCGGAAGAAGGCAAAGACGGAAACGAAGATGCGGCCGATGGCGATGCCAAGACAGATGAAAATGGTCTTCTGAGCCCGCCTCTACCCGATGATGGAGACCAAAGCACCAAGGAGGCTCAAACATCCGAAGGCGAAGATATTGCCGACCGTGCGGCCAGCATGCTTCTCGGCCTAAGGAGTAGCTCTGACGCAGGTGGCGAGCGTCAGAGACGTCGAAGAGAGAGTGCTGATGAAGAACGTCGAAATCGCCGCATGAGACGACGCAACGGAGCGACGAGCGGAAGCAAAGATAGCGCCGATGGATCGGGCCTTCCAGCCGTGCAAGAACCCATGTCTCCTTCACGAACCGACTCTATCGGTGCGGATGACCAGGCTCTGCCGAGTCCTCCTCAAGAAGAAGCACAATTATCAGCGCCCCCCTCCATCATTGTCTCAGGTCAACATGATGATGATGACCAAAAACAAGAAGAACCCTCTGTCGACGGTTCATCTTCCAGCCATCCGATTGAACTGTCGGATTGAGACCGTGAACAGCCCCACGGGCGACCCTAATCTAATGTCTGATAGATTCTTATGTGATGCCGTCTCGGAAACTTCTTCAATTTTCTATCTTGCATCACCTTTTTCCCTATCTCTTACCCTCGACTCGACTGTATAATACCCTTTTCACTCCCTCCCACTCCCTTTGATCCGCCACTTTCTCTATTCACTTCGTGATGAGCGTTTGCATGGGTCATGATACCATCGTCTTCCTTTTCCTCTTTTCATTTCCTCTTCTTTATTCCTGGTTATTCCATGTTAAATTTACTTGTCTGTCGAGGGCACCCCCGCATACCCCACCTTGTTCATGGCTCAAGAGCGGTCTCTCCTTGTACATAATTCCCTTTTTCTCCACCATTCAAGGCACCGTCGACCTTGACTGTCAATTTTCATGATCGAAAGACCTAACTTTTATCGAATTGCATTCCCATGTTCGATGCCACATCTCTGTCTTTGCGAAGCCATTCTACTGCCCCTCCTGTGCACTCTCTGGATCGCAGGTAGTGTGTGATAAAGGTTGTACATGTATGCGAATCGCTGGTACTAATGCGGGAGAAAGACGATCTTCTCCGTTCAAGATGGCGTGGTACTTAAGATAGAATTTCTATTGGAGGAATATACGTGGTACATTCATAGATTACCCTGTGCGAAGCTTAGCTCAAAATTACCTATAAGCTTCAAGCTCTACCAGACTTACTTTAAAATGACTAAGACTACTCTTGATAATGCCCATACTGCCCAAGCTTATTAGATATCTATACCTAGCCCTTGTTTCGGTCCAGGGAATGACATGTTATAGATTGAGCCGTCACATACCCCTGCAAGGATTTTATGCACTAAATGTATCTATAGATTTTGATTTTCACAAGTCTGCAGGATGAGGAACTGCGAAAATCAATAGTCAACAACAAGGCAGGGAAGCTTCTTCCTAAATTGGAAAATGTCGACGACCTGATGGCCTTTCTAGCAATAGTTGGTGCTATCTAATCTACTATAGCATTGATTCCTTTTGTTGGTTATTGAATATCTGGCCCCTTTTTTCCATACTGTTTTTAGTATCCATCGTCTATACTAAATCTATCATTTACACGTGACCGTTATCTTGGATCCACCAATCTTTAATTTATCGCAACAAGCACGCGACGCCCACTCAATAACCTGCAATCCAGGCTTGAAAGCTTTGTCTCTGCGTATGAGAGCCTGTCAATATCAGAGCCTGCGATGGGCCGCTTCCATACGCTCTCCATGGGCTCAAGTACGGCCTGCGATATTCAACGAGCTTCTCTTCCGACGTCATGATTCGATCCGCGGAGCGCAATCTTTAAGAAGCGAACATAGTCCCATTCGAAGCTTCTCCTCGACTCGATATGCACCTTTCATGCTTGACGCAGATTCGACAATTTATGCACTATCTACAGCACCCGGAAGAGCGGCGATTGCAGTAGTGCGAGTCTCCGGGCCAGCGTGCGCCTCGGTATAGTCCTCCTCTCCTCCCCCCCAAAGAAGTATAAACGAATCACAAAAGCTTATGCTGATTAATCCGTGCATATAGATCTATAAAGCACTCTGTCCTCAATCCCCCCTCCCCAAACCACGCTTCGCGGCACTGCGAACCCTCTACGACCCCGACCATTCACCTTCCACAAACACGGTTCTCGATGCCGGTGCCCTCGTCCTCCACTTCCCTGCCCCAAAAACAGTCACAGGCGAGGATGTACTAGAACTACATATCCACGGCGGGCCTGCCATAGTCAAAGCCGTTCTCGGCGCGATCGCCCGAACAAATCATACAGATGCAGTGGTCCGATATGCCGAACCGGGCGAGTTCACGCGCCGGGCATTCATGAACGACCGCCTCGGTCTCCCGCAGATCGAGGCGCTCGGTGATACGCTTTCTGCGGACACGGAGCAGCAGCGTCGGCTGGCAGTGCGTGGCTCAAGCGACGCCCTGCTTACGCGCTACGAGCGTTGGCGTCAGCAGCTACTCTATGCGCGCGGCGAATTGGAGGCCTTAATTGATTTTTCCGAGGATCAGCATTTTGATGAGTCGACCGAGGAGCTGGTCTCTTCTGTTGCGACGCAGGTACGTGATCTGCAGGTCCAGATCGGGTTTCATATCCAGAATGCGTCGAAGGGTGAATTGCTTCGTAATGGGATTAAGGTTGCGCTCTTGGGGGCTCCGAATGCTGGTAAGAGCTCATTGCTAAATCGTGTTGTGGGGAAGGAGGCCGCTATTGTTAGTACCGAGGAAGGGACGACAAGAGATATTGTTGATGTTGGCGTTGATCTTGGAGGTTGGTATTGCAAACTCGGTGACATGGCGGGTATCCGTGCGGAGGGAAATGGTACCGATTCTACCGGGCGGATTGTTATAGGTGCCGTCGAGAAGGAAGGAATTCGCAGAGCGAGAGAAAGAGCTTTGCAGTCTGATGTGGTCGTGGTAGTTGTCTCACTCGAGGAAAGTTCCACTGGACAGGAGCGTCTTTTTGTTGAACCCGAGGTTCTTGATGCGGTTAATGATTGCGTCAAGGCTGAGAAGTGTTTAGTTGTTGCCATCAACAAGTGTGACAAGCTTTCAGTGGAAGAAAGAAATGGTCGTCTACCCCAGTCTCTGGAGACTACTATCTCTACTGTCTTCCCGGCCGTGCGAAAGGAACGTGTTTTCGCCATTTCCTGCAATGAAGCAGAGCGTGGGCTTTCGCCGCTGAGCCAGTCTGACCCAGGCCACCTACAATCATTTCTACGTGGATTGATCTCGACATTCGAACAAATCGCTTCACCGCTAGGCATGGATGGAGATAATAGTGGCCAATATGATATTTCCTATTGGGAGGACTCATTGGGAGTCACTCATCGACAAAGCTCGAATCTAGAAAAATGCCTCGACCACCTGGAAGATTTTCTGTCCCAGACCTCCTCCGCTTCCCCAACCCCCAATTCGCCTCTACCTTTGTCCCCAAATGGAATTTTCGAAGAAGCCGAAATTGACATTGTCACCGCTGCTGAGCATCTGCGTTTTGCGGCGGACATGCTCGCTAAAATCACCGGCAAAGGCGAGAGTGGAGATGTCGAAGATGTGCTCGGGGTCGTATTCGAAAAGTAAGTCCTCTGTCTGTCTTCCGTTGACTGAATCGGCAAACTGATGATTGTAGGTTTTGCGTTGGCAAGTAACAAGAATTGAGAGATTTCTCAAGATGAGTGGAATCACTTTCTGCGAAGCCTCTTGGCCACCCTAGCCCTGGGGCTTTACGAGTGCAGAATTCATGGTCGAGTGGAGATTAAATGAGTTGTGCTGATCGGATGCTCAATGTCATGCTGGCATATACCTGGCAGGTAATGCTTGTCTTCATGCCATGGAGAGCTTTGTTCATGGAGACCAGGATCATATATCAAAAGAGCTGTTGGTGCACATTGTGAGCTTTTTTGCAACTCAATGAGACGACTGGAAAAATGAACTGTCTGGGCGATTGGCAGGCCCGTTGTAACCACCACGGCCCATGCTGGAGTTGTCTTGGTCGTCACCGAGGAACATTGTAAAGTATCTGGATGATATAGAGAAGACGAGGTTGTACAACAATGTATATAGAAATGTTATCAAGAAAGAGCAAGTGGGGTTTTCAGATGAGGCTATTAGCTTTTGAAAGTTTGCTGTGTCTTGGAAAATTTCGGGAAAAAATTAGATTTCCCACGGTTGATATTTATACAAGACCCCTTCAGCGGAACCAGTCTGCCTTAAGACGCCATGAATCTTCCAGGCATACAGAATCTTCCAGCCCTGCCATTTCAGGCAATCTTCTAGATTTCAGCCTGGAAATCGACCGAAGCATCGGGACTGCTCTCGTGTACCATCTGAGTCAGGGCCACCCATTGCTAGCTTCCTTCTTCGCGAGACTTGCGGGCCGACCAAACTAAACGGACCTGTGATGCGCCAATCTCCTACCCTTGGCACGCCGTATTGCTGGATGATTCATCAGGGCTAATGCTACCGTGCCTACGATGATGATGCAGATCTTAGTCGAGCGAGGCTTAGTGGGTAATCATTTGGCATTCAAACAATCTTTTTTCAGCTGACGAAACGTGGTTGGAAGTTGAAACATGCTACTGGGGCTCAGCCGGTGACTCCTCGAGTGGACTCGGGCCTAACGGCTGTCTATTGATTTGCAATCCTTATTCTTCCCTGTTACTCTGGAGATTGATTGTGATTCTATTTCCCTTGTCCGGCTCTTGTTGATTTCAATTTCTTGGTTTCTTGTTGGCCTTATTCGCTTGATTTCGGAGACTGTCAGATTCTAAGAATAGCCCATGTCTTCCCCGCCTTCACCACACGCTGAGCAGCCCACAACTGGGAACTAGGAAGAAAATGGAGAGCACTTTCCTATATTTACAGTAGCGCATAAGTGTGTAATTTGTGGCCGGAATGATTCACTATCGGAGTCCGCAGATGCTATTAATAAAAATAAGAATCCCACGTTGTGCCCTTGCAGTGTGCTGCCAGGGGCCGGTTGTGAGGATTGAGGATTACTTCTTTTGGACCGCTCTCGCGTCCATTTTCCTGTTTGGCCGAATTTTCTCGCTCTAAGAGCTGACGGGCGTACAAGGATAGATGGGGAACGATTCAGAAAATTTCAAGACGTGATTTAGGGCTTTGTAGAGATACTTCCTACGACGGAGTGAATCCCGACAATATGGTGAAGAATGGGGGCCGTTTGTGGGCAGTTGGATGCTATTCATAGCACTAGCGCATCCCGGTTCGGCCATGTGGCCTCCTGGTTTGTCCTCTTCTCCACCCACACGCTCTGTGGCTTCGCTAGTTGTAAAAACACGCTAGCTATGCTGTTAGCTCTACTGTACAGTGCACGGTCTATCTTCTATAATATTTACTTTCCGGTATACCACGGCATCGGTACCCATACTCCACGCTTATCCTACATGAAGGAATAATATCTGGGAAGCGGAGACATGCAGAAGTAGATAGACGGATAGTTCTCGGCTAATTTTGGATACTTCAGATATCAACCTGGTAGATTCCGAGCATATGGCTCGGGCTGAGATTGAATCCTACCGAACCACCAAGCGTGCGCCGACATTTGGATGATGCTATTTTTGCTGTGGGAAACACAGGTATCCGGCCGAGGCTTTCCGGGATTTGATAGATGAGGAAGGTCGCACAGAAATCCAAGGCATGTGATGAGACTAACATTTGACGGATTTCCAATCATGATTATAATAATAGCTCTGGCCCCAAATCTGGTCTCAGAAGATACCAGAATGGACAGGCTGCTTGTCGATCAAAATGTGTCTTGAATCCTAGGAGACCCCGTAGCACGCCTCGACTATGAAGTTTTCATCTATAGTTAAATGATTGGCAGGGAAGCTTTCAGGGGAATCGAGTGAAACATTACTGCTGTATTAACCCCACCAGCTTTATTGTGGGTGCTAAATATAAACGTGCTCCTCTATAGTGTGTAGCAATAGCCGTGCATACTACATGTGTATACTAGAAATCATCCCGAGACATTGCGGGGCAGCGAACCATGGTTCAAGACGGATGAGGAACTGCTTGGATCAACATCATCCAACAAATTACAAGCCACTTTCCCGATTGCAAGCCCAATTCTATCTTCGAGGATAATGATTGATCATATTTCTATATCGCCAGATGCGACAATGGCCTGCAATGCACGTCCGCACTGGCGGGTGCGCTAAGTGCTGGTGGAGATGCCTTCCCCACCATGTGATTTGACGCTGTCAGCCTCGCCCTCGTAGTCTCGCTCTTCATGCTCTGCATCCTCAACCATGGACCCCGTCTCGGCTTTCGGCCTCATTTCGGGCGGCATTCAAGTCCTCCAGGCCATCACGTCGACTGTTCATGGACTCAACCAGCTTTATGGAAAATTTAAGGACGCCGATTTGACCATTCAATCCCTGATCCAGGAGCTGAACTGTATCGGTGCAGCACTCACTAGCCTCAAGGAATGGACCCGCCTGAACAGTGCCGATGGACTGCAATCGGAAGAGTACAGTCGGGACCTGGCCGTCGCCATGGATGGCTGTCGTGTCATTATGGAGGTCGTATCTCACGACGTGTCCACCCTGGTGCAGCAATCCCGAGAGAATGGGGTCGCAGGAATTCGCACCCGCATGCGAGTAGTTTGGAATGAAGAGACGATGCGCGGGCACCAGGAAAAGTTACGCTCGCAGGTAATGGCGCTGCAATTGCTGCTCCAGGTGTGCCAATGGTGAGATGGATTCGCTTAGCCCGCCCGACCAACCACGTTTTTGACACTGATTGGCCATAATTAGCCATACCTCGACAGAGCAGGTACGATTGCTTAGGACTGCTACGACAAGGAAAATCTTCCATCGAGTTGCAGACGATACAGCGACTATCTTGTCCAGCCGCGGAAGCCGCGCCACATCTTACGCAGACAGCATGTCTCAAAGTAGCCGACACTCTGTCAGTGATTCCGACTTTGATTTTCACAGGGCTATAGCAGAGTCACCAGCCTATCGTAGAACACTGGATCCAATTGCTCTTACTGCAGCCTCGCTAGATCAACCCCAGCTACCGATAGCCGAGAGTGATCATAGCCCCTTTGCATTCACCGGCACAGACGAGGGATATGCAAGCAACCGCACAGAGACCACTAGCCTGACAGTCCCATCGCTAAATATTCCAGCATCAAAGTCCGAGGAAGAAGGCTACTTCCCCTTGCCTAGCAGCCCATCGGGACCAGTACGACACCCAACGAGCCCTCTCCATAGTCGCAGTGTTTCTCATACTCAAAATTCTCAACAACAACATCAAGCACCAATAATCCGAAGGAATGCGTCTGATTCCAAAGCGCAGAAATTGCGAACATCAGGATCCAAGAGAGAAAGATTCTCCTCTTTATTGGGTATGAGCACTCGCAGTCGCGCTAACCTCGCCGTGTCCCCCGGAGTCTCGCCGAACCCATCGGCCAACAACTCTGGCTCTGGCTCTCTTAGAAGAAGACAGAGGCTAGAAGGTGACTTGAGAACTAGTATAGACCTCACAGCCAAACACGAGGTATCGGTACCCCAGATAATCAAAGCAGCCCAGGCGGGCTCTCGGGATGAAGTGGAGCGGCTGATAGAACAAGGGTGTGATATTGAAGCCCGCCACTCCCGATCAAGTCGGAACGCTCTTCTTGTTGCGGCACACTGTGGCTATGACGATGTTGTTGACTTGCTGATACAGAATCATGCCAAGCTGAACATTGTCGACAGAGGAGGGTGGACTGCTTTGCACCTGTCCGCATCTCGTGGGCATCGAGCGGTGCTAGAAGTTCTATTAGAGGAGGGTAGAGATCTTCTCGAGACCCCGAGTTTCCATGGTCAGACTGCGCTGCGTGTAGCAGCGGACTTTGGTCAGCTGGAGGCAGCGTATACTTTACTCGCGCATCACGCACAGGTCAATTCACGAGCAGAGAACCAAATGACTGCATTGGTGAGTCCATTCCAGGCGTAAAATCTGCCTAAGAAAGAAGGAAAAATCACTTATAAAGTTTATAGCATGCTGCTGCCAAACGAGGGGATAGTGAAATTATCCAAATGCTGATTTCCCATGGTGCCGACCTGGAAGCCAAGGATGGAAATATGATGACAGCACTCCACCATGCCTGCGAGGAGGGTCATCTCGATACTATAAACATGCTCCTGAGACAACCGGGCTGCGATTGAAGTACTAGGCCGTGAGCGCAAAACGCCGCTAATATGTGCGGCTGAAGCGGGTCGTTCTCGGGCCGTTAAGTTACTCTTGAAACGCAAAGCCAATTCTCGAATTATCGACGAGACGGGCATGACCGCGCTTCATTGGGCTGCGTATAATGGGCACGAAGAGACGGTCGGGATTCTAAGCGAAAAGAAGGGCTCGCTTGATGCCGTCAACAATATGGGACGTACCGCGTTACATCTGGCAACAATTCAATCCCGATTTGCCGTGGTGGACTCCTTACAACGGAAAGGAATGCAGCTTGATAAAAGATGCAATACTGGCCTCACTGCACTTCATTATGCGTGTATGGCTGATAGTTTTGAGATCACGAGACTTCTCCTGATGACAGGTGCCGATGTGGAAGCATCCGAAACCCAGCACCAGCAGCGGCCTCTGCATATTGCTGCTGCTCGTGGTTCGGTGCCTATTCTCG